CATGCCATCCAAATCCTCATGCTTTAAGAAGTATTGATGGACGCAGTTTAACTTTGTATCGTCTTAACAATATATTTAGATTTCATCATCATCATCATCATCATCATCATTTTTTGTTGTGTCACGTTTTTTTTAATATTAGATGAATAGGATCTATGTTAGATACTTTTAATGCGCAATATGTTCTCTCTTATATATATTTTCAATGTCTCACTTATCATGTCTGTGATTGGTAATCAGTACCCCTGTTCTTGCTCTGTAATTGATAAGTTTCGCCCCAATCCCCGATTGCTTCGTAATCCTCGTCCATAAGTGATGACTCGGCTCGGTAAGTTACTCCCGGTTTGCTGTTGGCCAACACTGTATGTTCAGCGCCTGTATTTGGGTTCCAACACGGTTTGTAAATATCAAACACGCTCTATTATCGGTTGAAAAATAACTATTATGTTGTAATCGTTCAGATGATGGATTGTGTACAAGGTGTTCCTCTTTTATGTCTTCATTACCTGTATGCTGTTTGTTGTCCTCTTGATCTTACTGCGTCGCAGTGTTGTTCCTCTTGTGCTTGATGTAACTCCTTGTTCCTTCTGTCCCTAGTCACTAAATGATACTGTATGCTCAGCATTGTATCATTATTGTAACAACGAACCAACATAACATTTGCCATCAGTCATCTGTTAGGTACAGACGTACTTTACCGATTAGAAGGACTGCGGCCCAACTGCAACGAGCCACCGATGGAAACTATTGGGGTAATATTTGTTGAAAAAGAAAATCATCGCAATTAATAATTATTATATTCATATTCTATAGCAAAAGATGGAAGTAATGAACGCAATTTAATATTTTTAATCTCATATTTACCTTAACCTGAATTGGTGTCTTTCACCGTTGAGGTTAACATAAAGAACGGATAATTTTTATAGGTCCTGTGTAGCCTGTTTCGGCATAACATAAACGCTATTCTTTAATGCCTGTGCTATTTGTATCATTTTTGTAACATCACTTATTTACCTATAGAATATACGAAATAGATAAATAGCTATGTATAGTTGCAATGTGCGTATAAAAACAGAGATGTTGTGCGGATTTAGTCTGTAATTTAGATAAAGTCACGTTTTATGATACAAATTGAGCTTCGTGAAAAAGCAAAATTCAAAGAAAATAAGAGGAAATGTTAATAAATATTCCATGTATGTGTATTAGGGTAATTATTTTATAATACCTTGTATACACAATATACATACCTACTCTGTTCATCAACTTAGCTCAACTGGTTTATTCGTATACTAACGATCTTGACCTTCATTATCACTTATCGCTCTTTTATTGAATTTTGTTATTCGTCTTGTTATATACTGCTAGTTTTTTTGTCGTACCTTTCTTTGTTTCTACATTGTATAGTCAATTATAATCACTGTTTTGGTCTTGAAATTCTCAGACTTTTATTCTTATAAAACTGCGGTACCCAGCATGATGTGAAATTAAAAAATCTATAAGCATTATTTGAATACATTCTTAAGATATCTCTACAAGCAGTTATATGGAGACTCGCGATTACTTTTGAAATTCTGATTTTTTGGTTTTCTCTCGCATTCATTCGTAAGTTGAGACTGACTCATTGCATTTATAGTTAATACCAAAGTCTATCAACAAGAATGATATCACCCAAACGCTTTCGTTACCTAACTTCAAGCCGATTTTCATTTCTATCCACTGTTCAGTAAGTTCACTGCTGAGATAAAGATAATCTATTGTATAGAATTGTAGTTCTTCGTTCATGTCTTTCTATTGCAAAAGCTTCATCAAGGATTTCAAACATTGTGTTATAGAATTCAGGGTCATGATCAGGGAAGTTGGGCTGTCTACTGCTATCCCTCCTGGACTCTCCGGAACTTCCAAAATGTGATGACATCTTTAATGGCTTGATATGTTCTCCACTGCTTGAAGCCCCTGAAAGGCTCATCATAATGAACTTCGCAACATGCTTCATAGTTAATAATGATGAATATTAAGTATATCAATGGGGTAATGTAAGTGATGATGTACTTTGGAACTGCTTCGAAATTGATATACGGACAAGAAAGCGCATATACTCCTAAAATTTGATTGAAGATTAACACTATCCAGACCGGGCGAAACATTTTAAACTTATCTACTTGTCAGTATGTACTTGGTTCCAGATTCTATATAATTATCTATATGTTTTATCGTTGATGGTCGATGATTAATGTGTTTTTAAAGTATAAGTTTTTTTAGTTATCACTGTCCGCCTATTCCTTCCTGTGCTCTTATTATTATTTATACATTCATATGTAGCAACTAATTTACAATTAAACTTATGTTCGGCACTAGTATCTGAATTTTGACGATGTTCTCCAAAAGAAGAGGTCCCCAGTGAATTCAGCAATTGTCTTTTCGAATGATGAGATTCAGGCATATACACCACATCTCTATTTTCGTGGATCTTACGTCATTGAGCCAATGGTATCGTTTAAAACACCTTAAGTGAAAATTTTGATCTTTGCTGGATGAATACGCTAGAAATTCTTACAGACTAGGCACTGACAGCCTGTTTACAATATACGAAGCCGAGCTAGTAGGAGTCTATCTAGCATTAATGCAAGTAGAACGTGAGTTCATACCCCCACACATTCCGACCCCACATACTGTCTTCATCCATAGCGATAGTCTAGCGGTCTTGTCGGCGATCGTTCAGTTACAAACGACAAAGACAGGACAATACTTGATAAAACAAGTACTTGACAAAATCGAAAGGATCAAAAGAATGAAAGGAAGAGAAGGAACCATAGTCCAATTGAACTGGATCCCAGGACATACGGGCATCTATGGTAACGAACTAGCTGATAGAACAGCCAACGAGGGAAGGACAAAATGTAATCATTACACCAACATTGACTTCACACTTAGTACTTCATACTCAGCAATGCGACGCAGAATGCGCGAACGCTATACAGCTCCACTGAAAATCGAAGCTTCGAAACTGTCAGTCATCAAGTCCAATACCTCAAAAACATCAGCCGGAAAGCTGACAGCTGCGAAAACTGCTAAGATCCTCAATGAACTACCCAGAGCGACACGGTGCCTAGCAACCCAGCTACGTACAGGTCACTTCCCTACGACTAAGTCATACCGATACCGATTCAAACTAATCGACTCACCTAAATGCAGGACGTGCGGCGTAGATGATAGCATCTCGCATAGAATATTTATATGTAGAAGACACATAATGGCAAGAATCACCTTGCGAAGAAAGATAACCAAGATCAACATTCGGTTCGAACTAGGTCCAATGCTCAGGAACGCGCAAGCTCTTCAAGCCCTTTACGAGTTTTTCAAACCGCAAATGACTACGTACCCAAATCGCTTCGGTGGTTCGGCTTAACCGACATCATTCACGGTAACGCAATTCATCGACATTTTACAACACTAGCCAATTTAAATGCTTCCAGCAAAATCGACAACATCTTTGAATCCTCATACGATGACAAGTATTGACGGACTCAGTTAAACTTCTTGTATCATTTAAACAAGCGGTTTATCACGTCTCGTTCACATTGTTTGATTTCGCGCGAAGTAACGAGCGATATCTTTCGAGAACCGAGAAGGTCCTGAGTTCGAACCTCAGCATCTCTAGAAAGAGTCCATGTTGTTAATGGACATTGTATTTTTGCTTTCATCCAATATAACATAAAAGAAAACCTTATTGTTTGCTGATTTGTTCATATCAGACTCTTGAAAATACAAGAATGTTATGGTTTACTGTGTGGCCACAAACTCTTTGATCTTTAATAACACAGTGAATGCAATGTGAAACATTTCATGACATTTCCTTATGTATCTCCTGATGACAGTGTCGTAGGATGTCTATTATAATTCGAAGACTGTGGTTAGTGTCGCAATTGTGAATTTGAGCTGTCACGCTGAGAAGTGTCAAATGTGAGATAATATATTCGCTGGCTCAGGTCTAAAACAAGCAATTTATTTCTTTTATGTAGAGATCCTTATTCGATGTGTTCATCTTAATTTTTTCTAGACTTGGTTGTAACTCTCATGTAATAAAGTATTTCATAGAGATGTGACAATGGTTGATTTATGAGGTTTATCATCACCTGATCCCAGACATTCACATTCTTTACTTCCTACTCGGACGACAAGTTAATGACCGTAAAGTATTGTACGCACGGGCAACAAAAGCTTCCAGTTTATTATTTCACACATTATCAGCGTTATTTTAAGTATAAGTCACATGTCAGCAAAAACTATTTATATCTACTGTTTTGATAATTTCTAATGCAAAATGTACAAATCAATTATGCAACGAATAGCTGGAAAGTATGTGTGAACTGTTAAGGATGTTGTCATCAACGTCAGAGCTGGCGTTGTCCACCCGCTCGTAGAAGATCATGAAGGGATTCTCATGTAATACGTGCTTTAAGGTAACTTTTTCGACGCTAGAATCACTTGTGCGTAACCAGTCATCGTCATCATCTGAGCTTATTTTGCGGTAGGTCACGTAGTGACCAGAATAGTGGGAGCCATAGTGTACCACAATGGATTTAAGAGTATAGAGAATGCGATTAGGGAGTGTTCCATTTTTGGTGAGGTTATCCAACATATCCTTGCTGGCTGATGATATAGGCTTACGCGGCGATGTCTCTAATGTACCTGTAGTCGTTACGGAAGTTATATCAAGGAGCTCTCCAAAAACAATCTTGCAAGGGTTTTTGACAGCCATTCCATTACCCAAGTATGCTGAGCGGTTGATATGCAGACCTAGTATTTGTGGTGGCCTTGCAATCAGAAGCTGTTTCGTCGAACCACCACCTGATCTATCAATTCTTATGTCTTTCAATCGCGCATCTTCTTGAAGGTCACCATCCTCGCTTAATAATGATGATAGCCGTCTTTCGTACTTTGCAGCTTCCTTTATCTTTCTGCGACGAGAGCCTGAAACGGAATTAGGATCTGCGGGCATGAGTCGCTCAACCTCCTTTCGCAGTCTGACAAGAGTGGCCTCAAGGGAGCATTTTCTGCAAGACGCGTCTTCTATTGTCTCCATAGCTGTATACTCCGTTAGCAATTGCTCGACATTACATGATGTCTGCATTGGAAGATTAAGTGAGAGTGCATCAAAAGGAATATTCCGTATTGCTTCGACGTAACCACAACCCAAATCAGCGAGTCTACTGGCCGTGAGACCAGCCAGAGGAAATGAATTTTTGTGTAAAGTGGTGTTCATAGGGGTTGAAATAGATCCCAAACCTCCAACTGAACTTTTAGCAGATTTTATAAGGCTCTCCTCGTGTGCTAGCATTGAGGAAATACACTGGAACATCTCTTGAGCGTCCTGCTGTCCAGATTGTATAAGTGAAAGTGCACGTTTTGAAGGTGACATATGAGTGGTATTAGATGTGTTGCTCAGCGAGAATGCATTTATGACTGCTGTGTTGGTATGAACGGCTCTGTTAGCTGAAGGGTTGTTGAGAGCTATGAATGTGTTAGTCACATTGATAGTTTAGCGATACCACGCACCTTGTATGGTATCCCATAGAGCTTCCGATAATGGCAGGTAGATATCAAGCTTATCGCTTTCAATAAGCAACTCCTCTAAGAAAGATTCAAGACTGTCAAGTGAAGCGAGGGACTAGAGGGTGCTTTAGGAGTAAAACGACGATACAAACTCTTACAAACCTGTATTGTAGAGTTGAGGAAGCAATGTACGCCGCTGGAGTTGCGTAAACCAGGATAGTTGCTATGTGGGGTAACTGAAAGCTGCTATGAGAAGACTTTCGAGTAAAGAGGAATACACTTACACTTGTCTGATACTCTAGATCTTCTATTACTCTTATCAATGGGTTGTACATCATTATATGCACTTCCAAATAACCAACCAAATAACATTCTAACGTAAAGGCCAAGATTGCGTGGACCAAGGACGACAGCGATGAGTGATAGTAAACTAACAAATAAAGCTGGTAAATGCACTAATTCAACTCCGAAATTTATCGAAGAAGTCGATTGCATAGACTTGGATGACTAAGGAGAAGACTTGGTTGATTACCACCAGGAGTGAAAAATGGATTTTGAATTGGCGCTATTAGAAGGCGAAGGTGGCACTGGATTGGTTGAATTAGTAAATCAAGGTAAATTCAAGGACGTATTGCTTAGTGATCCTGCTCAAAAGTTACTTGGTGATATTGATTTGGATTACTTGAAAGTTAGAATAAATATAAGTGAAAAGGACGCATTATCTGTAGCAGTTGCATTGTTACATTCTTTCATTCAGATCAATTGGACAGGTCCTGATTTAGATTTCAATCTAACAGATTTGAACGGTTTATGGAGTGATTATGACTATCATAATTCAATAGCTATTCAGAAATTGAGTACTGGTGGTGAGCCTGCTTATCATTTAACCCGATTCGCTCCTTTGTTACTTATCGCACAAGCAATCTTCAATGAATTGGTTAAAAGTGACGAGGGAGAGTTACCTTTAGGCTCAGCAAAGTGGTGGAATCTCAGAGCAGCAGTAGCTCAGCAACATTTATTAGACGAATGTGTTCCACTTCCAGAATCGATGTTAGATGGTGTCAAAAAGGCACTCATAGATAAGCTGCCACCTACATTAAAAGCAAGACTTACATTAGAAGTTGGAATTGCATACCACATGTTCGAAAGAGACAGGGAAGCGTCAGAAACATTCTTGGAAGCTGCCAATACTAATGAACTAAAGTTCCACTTAACTGGTGCACTCGGAAAACGTACCAAGTTCCAACAGAGCGATATTACTCAACTAGTTCTTCTAGCAGAATCAAGAGATAGTCAAGAAAGCAAAGAAAATGCCGACTCTCAAGTCAAAGATTTGGAATTAAACGATGACACACTTCTCGAACAGACTCAGTTCAGTTCTACAGTCGACTCATCGGCACCTCTATCACATATAGATCCCTCAAATCAGCCAAAATTATCAGCAATTGACCAATGCATCTTACTAGGTATGTGTTTGAATATCAAAAATACAGCCCCAGAGAATGGTCTCACCAACTCTCAAATGGGTGCTTTCGTTCAGAGGGTACTCTCAAATCACCAAAATTGGTCAATTTACACAATGAGTTTACTCTTGAGAAGTAGGTTGGAAGCACACCGTACACGTACTGTTCAACGTGCAACTTTACAGTTACAAGCTTTGATCGATCAAATGCCAACATCAGATTCAAGCAATGTTGAACGTTTGAAGTATTTCTTCGCCATGCCTATGCCTGCCAAGTGGGAACTTGAGAGGGAGCTCGCACAGAGATTTGTCAATATCGGTGTTGTTAGATCTGCACTTGAAATATATCAAAAGTTGGAGATGTGGGAAGATACAATAATTTGTTATGTCAGCACAGATAGACAAAATGATGCGCTCGATACAGTCAAAGGTCTCCTTGAGGGTAGCATAGTTGAATCACAAACCATCACATCTCGTGCTAAAGCCACCGTTGACACTAAAACACGCACAAGAATGGATGTCATGAGAGTAGCAAAGTTATGGTGTCTTTATGGTGACCTTGATGTACCAAATTGTGAACAACACTATAAAAAAGCATTAGAGGTATCAAATAATTCAAGCAGTCGTGCTTATAGATCACTTGGTGGATTATACTTCGCTAAGGGCGACAGCAAGAGCACAATTGAAGTTCTTCGCAAGGCTGTTGCGATTAATCCTCTCTATCATCACACTTGGTTCATCCTCGGATGTGCATGTATCAGATTAGAAGATTGGGATGGTGCGATTGAAGCCTTCAGTAGATGTGTGGCTATTGAAGACGATGACGCGGAATCTTGGAATAATCTGGCTAGTGTTTACCTCCGTCTTGGTGATAAAGCTGTAGTGAGTTATACATCTCCCTTCTAAACCATTTCATAACCAATTATATAGACACACGAAAGCAAAATGCATGCCTTTAGAGCATTAAAACAAGGATCAAGATATGGATTCGACAATTGGCGTATATGGCAAAATCTCATGATTGTTTCGATCGACGTTGGTGAATTAGCAGATGCCACTAGAGCGGTTGGAAGATTGGCTGACATTAGAGGAGAACTTATTTGCGGAGAAAATGACGACTCAAGTGAACTTGATGTTGTGGACAAGGTAGTTGACGCCGTTACGCTAGCACCACGTAACGAAAGAGATGCAATTGAGGGAGATACCTCAGCCGAAGGGGCTCAAGTCGTGCATAATTCCAATGAAGGTCACGGTTTATTAAGAGCAGTTGATAGATTATTCGATTATTCATTGTTGAAAAAAGTCTCATCACCTCGCATTTTCAAATCATACGCTAGATTAAACTTCTGGAAGGGTCAATACAGGAACGCAATTGATATGCACCTCAAAGCCTATAGAGCTAGTGTTGGATCTGATGATACAGTTGAGAATGACAAAAAGGCATTCCAGAAGGCATCTGAAACCATAATTGATTTGGTTGACGTTTTGCAAAACTTTGGTGAGAAACCTGCAGATGTAAACGATCCAAACAATCAAGAAGATGCATCACCAGATTGGAAGTATCAAGCTAGAAGTTTATTGAGAACATTCCTTGGTCGTACAAGATCAACGTTTGAAGATGAAAAAGAATATGCCCAACTGAAGGAGCTCTTAGAGGAGATCAGAAGCACTTAGTGATATTGTAAATAATTATAGATATTTATTGGGAATTATAAACTGTTTATATGAAACCCTAAAGACCTTAAACATTCTTTGAGTCTACAAAAAAATTTCAATAACCATGGAAATTAAACATACAAATGACAAAAGCATAGAAGATACTTTGTTGTTCTATATAATTATGTAAATACTACTCGACATTCCTTGTAATTCTAAGAAATGTTGGGGAAAGAAATTAATGTTGAAACCAATGAATAATGTTGTTAATTGGATACACGTTCGATGTATCCAACATGCCAATCTGAGAAGAAACGCTTTGGAGAATCACCAAGGAAAGAACCAATACCGTTTAATAACAAATCTTCAAATTCATCAAGTATCCACCCGGGGTATTTCAACTTGCCTATTTGATTCATCTTGCTGTCACGGAGTGGTTCTTCTCTATTTGTCTTCCAGAATACTTTACAAGCCTCTATAGTTGAATTTAGACGTACTTGTGACGTTCTAACTTTCACCAATGGATTGAATAGCCACACTAGTAGTCTCAGTTCACCAGTTTGCTCATCTTGAAGAAAGTATCTGTAACTACCATAATTCCTCGATTGCTCGATAAGTTCAGCAGAGATGTGGTGACCAATGTTGTAGCTGTAGTACCTGTTTACGATTAATGTTAAAGATACAACCCATATCACCAATCTGGGACACCTACGGTTGTGATTTATGCGCTGAGACAGGGCACACCGACACCTTATTGAAGCGGAAGAGACCCTCACTTTGGGCGCCGCCGATGGCACTACCACAGATACATTTCAGAGTGTGTTGAATTTGCTCATCCTGGTGAGTATGTTAGTAAAGAAAATTATCTAGATATGCCACATAGAGCTAAATTTCTCCCTTTATGTAGCCGTGATGTGACAGTAATCTTGAGACATCACGGGTATTCAACAAGGGACTTTTAATGTTGGGTGGTTGTATCGACACAGGCGGGGTAATAAATGAAATGCCCCACATGGCCTTCTTGACCACCCGATTTTGTTTTGTTGTTGCTCTATTGAAGGCCTTATTTTACTCACATTATACTCCACTCTGACATTCTTCTCAACGATATTCTTCTTGTTGAAGACCCAGTAATTACTACCAATGAGTACCTCATTTGGGTTAGCAGAACTGCTGATTGAATTACGATAATAGTCGGCGTTCAGTTCTTGTGTAGGGTGACACATCCAGTTGTCAACATGTTCAGACCAACCTTCTGAAGGAAGATCTCTATAGCTAGCAACATGATCGCCGCTCGCAACATCTCTGCTACACTTTGCACATCTAAAGCTAGATGGTTTTGATGAGCTGAATTCCATAGAACTGAAAGGATATGATGGAGGTTCAACGACCGGTGTAGTGAGCGACTTCCTCGATTGATGAGATACTTGTAAATTGAATTCAAAGAGGTCCCTCTCAACCAATTTGACTCTTTTACGTTGAGGATAAACGACTTTTGTGGGAAGCTTTAATCTAACATTAAAATTAGAGAGGTTTTTCAAGATAACGCTATCCCTTGCTTGCTGATCGACTTCGATATCGAGCTCTTTTGAATAGCCATGCAGTTGTGTTTTAAATTGCACAAGAACGTTTCCAACGTTAACATTGTGTTCTGCGATATAAGCCTGTTGGGAAACCATATTTTGGGTTTGAGAATCAACTGAATCTGTGGTGCCCGTCAATGGAGAAATGCAATATTAGAATCAACACACCTTTTGAAGGTGACTTCTGTACACTTTTAGTGGAACTGGATGGACGTGGATTGGTCTCAGTGAAGTCACTTTCTTGTTCAGTGAGCCTTCCCACCCTGTTCCTTTGAATGATATCGACGAGATCAGCAACACGCATTTTGGTACGAGCATCTTCCAATCTGTTGCCCATATCCACGCGCTGACTATCTAGCCTTCTTCTGTTACCCTTCTCAATACTACTTATAACTTGATTGTCGCTACGACGAGTATTAATGCTCTTTGGGAAGAACTTCCCAACGCCATTACTGGCTTTATGAGAGGTACTGGCTTTGGAACTCTTAACGGAAGACTCAACCTCACCGGCTAGTTTAGCTAAGTCCATTTCAATGACTTGTTTTTGTGATAGTTCGACCCTTTGACTAGCCAATTGAGGAGTAATTCTCATCAACCTGTCGATAGAATCGGTTACTCTTTCTAAATCTCTCTTCATTTTCTCATCTTGAACACTCGATACTATACTAGCTGTAGTGGAAGAGGCCGATTTTTGTGATAATTGGCGGTGCATTGATTGCGAAGGCGAAAGGTCGGAGTAACTTGGCGGTCTCTCACTAACATTGTCTCTCTCATTGCAAAGGATGTTGATAAGATTGATAAAGGTTTCAATTTTGAGCCAAATCTCACCGCTTTTTTCATCTTGTGTGTTTAATTCAACTTGCAACTTTGACATTCGAGATTGTAAGGAGTCATACACATCTGAACTACTTGTAGGTGACAGAGGCGGTGAAGATAGTCGTTCTTTGGTTTGTTGAGTATTTCCATCTCCAATCGTCAATAAACTTAAAGCTTCTGCAAATTGATTGAGTGTAATTATTAATTTGGCATCAATTGGTGAGAAAAGATAGGACATTCTTTCTATTCTCTCATTGAGTTCACCAGAAGTTGCGCTATGGAGATGCGTCTGTAAAGCGTAATTCACATTTGCGTTTAAATGCTCTATATTCTTAGTAGGATTATACTTCTCGCTAACGTGCTTCCAATCTGAGCTGATAATCGGTTTAATTGAGCTCAAAGTTGAGAACAACAAGGTATTTAATGCTAACATACTATTCTGTTGTACGCTAATTAAACTCTTTACTAACTTCTCATCGATATTTGGTTGTGCTTGTCGGAGGTGAGCCAATTCGGCCAATTCTTCTTCTCTATTCAGCGGAACAGGAGATGTAGCTGTATATGTATCATCAGCTCTGGTTATCTCCTCATCGGTGCTCTTTTCCTGCATTCCCTCTTCTTGAAGGGACATCCTGGTGGTTTAGGTTTGAAAGAGTAAAATACGATAGTGAGCACAGTAATTAATAAAATATATTATATACTACTCCTTCGGAGAAAGTGCACACACAACTTCACATTAACTCTACAGAAAACTAACTTAGAGATATGAAATGTATATAAGGAAATCGTGTTTGATATTAAAAGTAAATTAAATAGTATTATTGATTATAAATAGAGTTTGAGGAACTAAACTAAACTGTACTTGCGTGCCTGCGTAAATTCCAGCGAGAAAAACATCCAGATGGGTAATAAACAAATTGATCCTATTGGTTTCTAAATGAACTTGTGGTCTTCACCTGGTGGCCACCCTTTAGTTTCAATTTTATTGAGTTTACCCTTCTCATTGGTGTGTATCCAAGCTCTGTCATTTGTAGCAATAATGTTGTCCTTCTTACACTTGGCTATAATCTCATCAGAAATACCGTACTCATCCTTGGCTGCCCAGATGATTTGTTGTGGTTCAGACATAGATGGGTGAGTAAATGAAACTTCTTCTTTGAATGGTGGTGGTGGAGTGTTATCATCAATTGGATGAGACTCATCGATGTTACCAAGTTTCTTTTCATCTGATGATACTTTACCCATACTCTTACCCAATTCAGCAAGTGGAACACTGCCATCACTTGATTCTCTGATACCCTCATTTGTGCTGTCGACTGTTGAGTTGTGTTCGAGAGCATTGTCAGAAGTGAGTGGCTGAGTTTCACCTTGTTGATCCCACGTCTTAGATGCAAGAGTCAATGGCAAGGCTTCACAGAGTGGTTCATACGAGTTGTTGATCATGATGTGGAAACCAACAGTGATGACAATCAAAATTACCATAACAACACCCTCTCCGATAGCGACTTGCTCATCATCACTCTTTGCCAAGAAGAAGAGAGCAGCAAGACAGATTTGCGAAATGTACATTCCTGTAAAGATGTGTTGAATGGCCTTTGGGAAGAATAAACCACCAGTGTCTGATGTTGGACTAATGTCATAAACGTAAAGGAAGTTGTACTTGTAAGTGAAATAAAACAGCATAAAAGCAACAGCACCGAAACCGTTCATGACTGGTGCGATGATTGAATAAGCGACTGTGATAACGACAAGGAGTGAAAGTGGTGGGAAAAGTGTACCCCATGCCACGCCCGGCATAGTATTGAAAATAGCCCAACGAGCACGTGGCGTTGATCCTAATAACCATGCTTTAATGTAGTAAACAACAAGACCACCAATTTGAAGTAAGCCACCAGAGGATCCTGATAAACCTTGCAATGTAATATAGGTGATAAAGTAAATAGACGCTCCTGGTAATTGGTTCGCAAGAATTTGTGGATAATAAGTAACATCAGCGCTTGCTAATTGACCAAGTGCACTTATAATACCAGAGGATAGAGTGGTGATCAAGAAACCGTTGAATACCAAGAAAAAGAAGTAGCGGTGCATGAGAGATAACTCAACTGCTGTATTACGTGGAGTACCTTCGAATTTGGAAAGTAAGCGGAAAATGATTGGAACCAAAGCGAAGAGAATAGCAACAAGAACTGGTGGGAAAGCACCTTGAATAATACCCTTTACAGGGTCAGGGAGATCACCAAGCCATCCTAACCAACTGTACTGGCTTGAAAGAGAGTCAACGTTTGAAACCATACCAGCGAAAGCAACCGGAATAGCAAAGAAGATGGTAATGGCAATAGTAGCAGACCAACTAGCAACAATTTTGAGTTTTCTTTCGTAGGGATTAACATTAAGGTTGGTCCAGATGACATCTTCAGGGCCAACCTCAGAGTATTTTTCAACCATTCTGTAAGGAGCATGATGGATAAGTGACTTAGCACAAAGATGTGCAGCTAATTGTTGATTGAAAAGAATGAAACATGCGCCTTGTGGCTTGTAATCATCTGGGTTTGACAGTACCTCTTTACGCTTATCATCTATTTCTTCGTTAAGTCTGGCAATTTCATCTCTGCACCAGTTAATAGAATCAACCTTTTCGCCGAATAATCCCAAGAAACCGAGTTTGTGAGTTGGGCGTTGCTTTGATGGAACCAATTTTTCAGCAGCACCGATATCCTCTTTCTCAACATCATCGACAATAGTCTTTTTTGGAGCCGGTTTACCTTTCTGTTCAGCCTTTCCACGTTTGAGTTCCATTTCATTAGCTGTCTTGATAAGCTTAGTGATGGCGCCTTCAAGTTTGTTACACGCTTTCAAACGATCTTCGTGCATTTCAGGGAGTTTCTTGAGGTTTTGATTAATCCAGACTTTCTTAATACCACCGGGGAGGTGTGAAAACAAGCTAGTAAGTTTTTCGACTGTGAGTTGTGATTGAGGTACACCCGTAATGAGGACGGTATTCGCCTGCGGAAGGGACGAGTGTTCTTTATCGATAAGGTAACTTTGCCTAGCATTAATAAAATAAGTCATTTCAGATTTAATGAGGTAAAATATCCAGACTGTCGTAATAATTAGATCGGAAGTTTTTGATCGGAAACATCACTCACAAGTGAAAATCCAGGAAGTTAATAAATGAGCGGCATAACGAGGATGATTGCTAGTTGCGACATTACCGTACGTGAACATATTGAGACCTTCTTCAGTACCACCGGAGTTTGCGCTGTCTACAGGGAAAAGAAGAGCCCATGAGAAGAGCCACATAGGAACAAACATCTTGATGACCATACGTAAGAAGCGAATAAACATGAAACTATCTAAACCATTGTGCCTTGCTATCGGTTTATAGGGCGCTTTGAAGACCTCCACAGCCCAAGTGAACATATTTTTAGTGAGAGCAGTAGCTCTATGTCTATGTAGTATGTCAATGAAAGTGTTTATGCGTGAATAACACGTTTACGTACCTCACAGGTGGCTTTGTTACCCTTGGTTCATAGATGTGAGGGAATTTCGGTCTAAGGACGCAGAATGCACTGACTTGTACAAATGCGACGGCACCGTTAAGTACCAGTGCTGCGACGAACGTACCCGTGTTCGATGAATTTGCCTCCTCTGCACTAGCTGACATGGCTGTAAGGGAGAAAGCCTTAATTTTCCGTTCATTCTGAGTCCGTGTGAGATAAAGTAATTAAATGTCTGAGATTCAGATAATACAAAATTCCGATTTAAATAACTAAATAACCTGGCTACCTAGTATATTACGGTCTTTATCGAGCGTCAGGGTAAGCTGTCTACCTTGTCTAGTGTCAAAGAAACCCTGAGACGTTAGTGGAGGTAAATATAATTCGTATGCCTATATTAAGTAATTTAGCATTTTTCGGCGGAATAAGTATCTAACATACAACCATGTAATTTTTCACAAAGCTGATAATTTCTTCCTTTGTTTGGTGTGGTTTGTTCGCATTTCTTAGGTTTTGCTCCTGTTCATCTCTCCAGTCGTACACATATCCTAATTCCATTGCTTGGAGGTACACCAAGCAATCGAAGAACTGAGGACCAGAGAAATATGTGTCATACTCTTTCAGTGCATTATTGATATCAGTGATATCCTCCAGAGTATGTTCAGCGATCTGATTTGTCAATCCAGCTGGACTACTCTGTGCAGACTTGTGTTGGGCTGCCAAAACAGATTGTTCTAAGGGTCTAAAACCGATTGACCAACCTTCAAAAATAACAACTTTGATCGGATCATCGAGGTTGATAGTACGCCATTCGCCTTTGCTCTTCCTGTCTCCCTGTCCGCTGTGAAGTGACTTATCATAAACTGGTATCTGAATGGAGGAACCCGGTGGATCATTCCAACTCTCTCGCAATTGCTGAAATATATCCTTCGCTAGTACCATATCATGTGTACCAGATAAGCCCCTATGTTTGTAAAGCTTGTTCGCTGGATGTCTCGCCGAAACATCCTTGAGCTCCTGATGCGTAAGATAGAGATCATCAAGGCTGAAATGAATGGTGCGGAATCCACCTTTTTGTAATTCGTTTGTTAGTTCATTTACAATTGTTGATTTCCCAGACCCTGACCGGTGGTTAATATAATGAGATATAAATAACGAAAAAGCATACCCTGTAGACCTGTCAATCCTATAAAGAACGGTCTATTAAGCTTTGACGCCTCAATTAATGGTATAGCCCAGCTTAATATTCTCTCTACTTTTTTCGCGCTCATTGTTGAAATGAACGATTTCTGTGAGATTGCGGCTGAGGTGGGTATAGCGTCAGCTGATCAACAATATCTGATCGTGCAGTCAAAATGGGTTAGCTTGAAAGGTTTGAGGAGATATTCTTATTATCAGTTGAAGACTTGTGTTGTCGTAAACGATAGTGAAGTGGCTGGAGACATAACGGAGGAGGTGGATCCCGCTGGATTGCCAAACAACAGCAATATTAATGTAATTTGGGATGTGGTGCATTCAAATAGCTTTAATGTTCCTGTTTTATACTTCAACGCGTATGTAGATAGCCAGCCAGTCTCGTCCGTTGAATTCCTACAAGAGAATGGAATTATTAAGTCCACTTCATATGTTTCATTAACAGACCACCCATTGTCAAACAGCAGTTGCTTTTTTATACATCCTTGCAATCTAAGCCAAGCTGTAGAGGAAATACTACGAGAAGATGATAAAGCAGACTATATGACAGTATGGAGAATGATTATAGATACACTAGTTTACATAAATTAACGTCTTAAAATGGGCTAAAGCAATTGGAACATCATATCTATAGACTGAAACTTGGCTTCTTCGTATCGCTAAGCACTCCCTGCTTGCGTAATAGCTCAGCACGACGCAATCTTCTAATTTCATCTGCTGACATCCCTTCTGTCTTCTTGATAGAGGATTTCTTCAATTGAGCTATTTGCTTCTTAGGTGGTAAAGCTGCAGCATCCGCTAATGCTTGCCTACGTGCGTTTACTTTTGGTCCCCTTTGCACCTTCTCGGTAGCGACGTTTTCCAATTTGGATGGTGCGGATGACGATTTTTGGATGTTACGCGTACCAAGAACATTGAGAGTTTGTTTGTTAATGGCAGTAGGTTGTTGTGTATTCTCTACACTTTCTTCCTCCTCGAACACCTTGAATCCCATTTTAGTCGTCGTGGTGATGATGAAAAAGATGAGAAAAGCATTACGCGTAAATTTTGAGTATTTTTGTAATATTAGTTTATTTGCTACTAGAATACAACTATATAGTGACTCTTTTGCACGCGTTTTAGGTGTTGTTGGCAAGGTGGTTCGATGTTGATGTATATATCCGTATTTTTGGGTGATGAGCTAATAAAAGAGAAGCGATCATCAAGCAGTTAAGTATTATACGCCTTGAAATTGTTATTGTATGTTCTATGATAGGAATGAGGGCAAACATGTGTATAACACTAACGACACCTTCTAGAGCCAATACCATAAGAAAATACTAGTATAAACTGTTACAATATTGCTAATATTCTTCTATTCAGCAATTTTCCAATATTAAGCTTCTTCTTACACTACCACCAAGATGTTCAATAGTCCGCTGACGTTCAACGATCTCAGTAGAAGCACAAATTCACAAAACCAGCAATCTACAATGGCTGGTCAGACATCCAATCAAGAGGGCACGAGCTACTTGCCTGGATACCTGAGTAGTGCAGCACGGGGGTCAAATATACCACTATCAACGCCACCTAGACAGTCGCAATCTGGACAGCCTCCACAGTCCTCTCTCTCTAGATCCCCACTCTCTACTTCACAATCGAGCGCTCATCAAGGACACTCGCAGAGCGTATCTGGCGGTGCATTTGGTGCTGGTTCCTTATTTGGTAGCATGTGAGTGTAATTTTGACGTTAGTTATCTTTTCTCATTATACAAAGTTCAACTCCGCTTTCAAAATCACCGCGTAGCAGTCTTTACGGTAGACCAATTGAAGATGATCAGGAAGCACCACCGACGACATTCTTACAAGATGAGGAGAATGTTTATCAGCAAAATACTACAACTAGTGCGCCATCAGCTCAACAAATTCACAATCTCACACCATGGCATCATGCACCACAACCAGTGCGCCAACAAAGCCCTATCGAAAGTCGTAGCGTTACATTCTACGGTATGAATGACGCTATTAGAGCGAGAATGATGGATATCTTTATACCACAATTTGGCGCAATTGAAAACGTTTCAGACGGTATTAACTGGATAGACGTCGTTTTTGTTGACAGCTTGGCTGCACAGAGGGCACTCAAGCTTTCAGGAAAACGAGTAGACGAACTTGGTGGTATCATGTTGGGTGTTAAGCTTACTCACCAGTCGGATGATCAACAGAGTGGATTCCAGGGCCAGCAGCAGCAGCAATTTGATAACAGTAAGCATCTCACCCCACTTCCACCTTCTCAGGCATTCAAACCATCGCCTAAACCTCAATCTAGTACGACTACACTTAGAACGATGTTTAATACGCCAAACAAGTCGACTAATGAATATGGTATCACACCAGAGCAAGCAGATAGTCAACCTAATAGACAAACGATTGGTGGAAAAATAGCGGACTTGATATTCGGCTTTTAGATGCTTATCGACGTAACAAAGAGATATTTATTGTTATTTCCAAGACTATATATGTATAGGCCTTATAAGAAAAGAGTGAAATCGCTGGCGGTGTTGATACATAGGTAGCTTTACAGTGTTGAACGTAAATTGATTGAAGATTCTATGAGCGGTTGTTTGAGTTAATGATCAAACCTCTAAGCCAACCATTCTCGCGCTTCAAATCACCAACTTCCTTTTCTAATTGTTCAACCCGACCTTTGTACTCGTTTGCGGTTTGTTCGAGTGCGGCTTCCCTCGCCTTCTTCTTAACTCTGAATCTGGCGCTAGCAGCGGTGTTCCTACGACGCTTGTCCTCTTCGAGTTCTCTCTTAGCGGCGGTTTCGGCATCCTTGTGCTCCTTTTCAGTGCGCTTCTTGGCTTGCTCGTAAGTTTCACCATCGCGTTGCTGTACAGGTGGCATAGGAAGCTTCTTAAAGCGTCTTCTACGGATAATCTTGTCCTCGTTATCTTCCTCGTCATCGAGCGCTTCTAATTCTTTTGAGTTGATAACAGGTGCGGGAGTCTCCTTAAAGAGATTGCTGAGTGGATCAATCTGTTGTGCAATTGTACCCGGTGGAGCTGCTGACTGTATGCCAGCTAAAGCAGCCTCAAAGTCGTACTTTTGACGCTTGTTTGAGTAGGACTTTGCGTCCTCAAAGCCGAAGGCTTTTGAGTAGTCCTCCTCTAAGCTTGCTAATTGACCACCAGCTGCGTTCTCTGGGCTATCAAAGTCGAACTTGACGTTTGCCCATAGATCAAGCTGTTTTGTGAGTTCATCCGGTTGAATTGGCAAACTGAGCTCTTCATGGGATCTAGAGATAATTCAGTGTCTATATCATCACATCAGGGGATACTAACGTCTGAGTAATTTCTGGGTTATTGGGGCTAGTGTCTAAACTGGTTGGTGGACTAACCAACCAATTTAATGGTGGTAAACTTGATGGCATCGTCAACGTTCAGAATAAAGCCGGCATCGAGCCGATAGGAAGCTAGATCGATTGCGCAATAGAAATTTGATATTAGAAATCTTAAATTTTTTATCCAATAAAACTAGTTTTATTATCATAGTATATTTATTCATTCTACAATCCAACTGTCAAATTTATCGCTATGTCTCATGAGTCAGCATTCCTGTATATGGAAATTTCTTACTAAAATTACTATATATTGTATTTTATAGTATAAACGCAACAGTAAACTAATGTACTTCCTATACATACAACATTCGTCTTCGAAATGTCCGTTATCGGTCGTATCTCCTTACTCAGAGCCGATATAACCAAACTAGGGGACGTAGAAGCTATAGTAAATGCCGCCAATGAAAGTCTCCTAGGAGGCGGTGGTGTGGATGGACAAGTGGGTTATCATTCATTCTTGCTTATCTAATATGTACCTTAGATACACAAAATAGCTGGTCCGCAATTGCTGGAAGAATGCCGGACATTGAGTGGCTGCAAAACTGGTGACGCTAAGCTCACAAAGGGTTACAATCTCCCAGCAAAATACGTCATCCATACTGTTGGGCCTCGCTTTACCAACAGCAACCGCGAGGAACTCCTGAGAAGTGCCTACAGACGTAGCTTAGAGGTGGCACACCAGAATGGTATCAAGAGTCTCGCTTTCCCAAGTATAAGCACAGGTGTATTTGGATATCCAATAGAGCAAGCGAGCGTAGTCGCTATCAAGACAGTCAAGGACTTCTTAGATGCTCATAAGGAGGTGAGTCGTTGTTAGTTACATGGGAAGCACCCTCACACTGCCTAGATTGAAAAAGTCACCTTTGTTCTCTTCTCAGAGGGCGATCTTAGTGTTTATAAAGATAATTTGAATGCTGTATGAATTTCTAAGTCGCGTATATTATGATGAATGGTTTCTTTCTAAGACCTGTTTTAGATATTTCAGCACTTCTCGCTATTGTCTTTCTCGGAAGCTGAAACGTTTTCTTGACGTTGTTGATATAAGCCTAAAATGCATTTATATACCATTGCTAAGGATATCAAGATAGTCAGTTCAACGTAGCATCGTTCGTATAGCATCATCGTGTATCCTATCAAAATGAAAGTATATAGTATTCTATTGTACTTGGTTTCGCTTTTTAATTTGCTTATATCTCCTCCTTCTGTGCTATCATATCTGCGTAAATCCCTGCACACTTTCTCTTCTCTATGATATCGCATCTGAGCGTTCGGTAGAAGATCGTGGTTGACTAATAAGAATAATATCCGTTGATTCATCCAAATGCGTGGATAGTTCAATTTACCCCCACTTACGACTTGTTCAGCTACAGCCATCAGCCATCATCACACTGAGAGATGAACGACAATTCAACGCTATCAAGAAATGAATTTGATAGCGAGTTGCCACCTTTAGGAGCTACGCGTTGCTATTGGGTTTTATTGGATAGAAGCTTCAACTTTGTCTACTTGGATCCCGTGCTATCTTCTCATGTGGGCATATAACTTAGAATATAAAACGAAAGATTAACGAATATTCATAGATGAAATATCAAGCTAATCAGCTCATAGGAACGAGTTTCTATAATTATTTACACCCCGCGGAAACTGCCCAAGCAAAGGAGGATATATCATCGATAATAGAGTCAGAGGATATCCACGGTTCAATTATCAGAGTTCGATTCGTTAGATTACCTTACATTAGAGTTCAACTGGGTTCAACTTCACCTGTACCTTCTCACGTTTCAGCAATGTGTGCCGATCCTTCGGATAGTACTTATTTACCAATCGACATCGTTATTAGCTCTATACACGCGGGATTATACTTATGTTTCTTTCACGCTGTTATTGATAAAAATCCCCTCTTGAATAATGATCAAGGTACAGTTTGGACTAATTGGTGCCACACTCCAGTTTTCAACGAGAATCATGTCGAAATTCTCAAGCAGTCAGTATTAAACTGGTCAAGAAACCACCCACCCCCGTTGCAAAAGTTCATGATTCCAACACGTATTTTTCAGATACTCAGGCAGACGACACAAGAGAATACAAAGTTGGGATTAAATCAAATAATTTACTCTTGGCCGCCATCTACTGGTAGCACAGGTGAGGGTCCTTATGAAGAATCATCATTTGCTTCACTTATGAGTGAAATATCAATAAACCCACATACGGCGAATCAGTTAAGTGGTGCAGGTACATCTTGTACTAGAAGATTCAAAGCTAAACATCAAACAAGGTGTAATGATAACCTATATGCCGTTCAATCAATGTTCGTACCATACGGTGAAATTATATTCGCATGTTTCATGATAGAATATGAATACCCAATACAATCAAGTAGACCTTTATATCCTACAGCATCAGCATCAGCAGATAACAGTCAAGAGACTACGACACTTTTTGATAGCACGTACGATGATAATTCGATTGGACTTAGTCAGAGATATTATCAGCAATCTTCACCATTAATGCAAAATGAATGGTCAGGCTATTTAACAGCTCCAGCGACTGTTACCACTCAGGTACCAGTTAAAGATGAGTTTGCACAGACTCATCAACAATTACCTCCTGCATCCTCGCAAGTGCAAGTTAAGGATGAATTCGCACAGCAGTTACCGGAAGCACCTGGTGTCACTCTGGAAGATGACTTTGTAGGAGCACCGTTGGTTGCATCTAGTCAAAAGGACGAAAAGCAGCTTTCTAATAAGAAAATTAAAACCAATTCAGATAACCTCGCTTGCTCAAGTTGTGGTACTGATAAGAGTCCTGAATGGCGTAGAGGACCATCTGGTAAGAAGGATCTCTGTAATGCTTGTGGATTAAGATACGCACGTGCTATGAGTAAATCTGATAGTTCGTCAAAGCGAAGAAAGAGTGATACGAAGAATCCACCGAAGAAGAAGAAACCAAGTACTTCACCTAATCCTCCACCTAATAACAATTTAGTGACAGAGAATTCACTTGGATATCCACTCAGCCTTACTCCATCCACCTTACCAAAACAAAATTACGTACCTGCAAAGCATAGTGATATACCATTCAATTTTGATGGTTATTTTGCCAAACCACCACAATTTAAAACTTCACCTGTTTTAGGTAGTGGTTATGAAGATAGTGTTAGACTGTATAACCAACCCCAACATAATCCTTTAACACATCAATTACCGCCGCAGCAACGACATCTCAATTATATTGGCGATTCGATTTATTCTTCTCATTCAACTAGTAACAACGCAGATCAATTTCAATTTCATAATAATAATGTCAATAATTCAAGTAACGTTCATCAATCAACGACTACTTTCATTCCATGATCTTCTTGTCTTTATAATTCAATTTGTATTATGTTGTTCTTTTAAATAATTTGTTTATGATATTACTGTGAATGCAGAAAACTAGAAAATAGAATAGAAAATAATATTATACGAGACGAGAGATATTACAAATATATAAAACTAATTCAGGATTTGAATTTGAACCTTCTACTTCGCTTCACCAATTCCTTCAACGACTTCACTATGATGATCATTTTCATCAACGTTCTTGTATTCCGCTGGTTGATAATTTTTAGGTTGTTCACCAAATACCTCAACAACGGCACTAAACGAACGTGTTCTAACCCGTTTTGATGTATCAATTGTGTCATTTGAATGTACGCTATGAATTTCATTATTTTGTGAAGATTGTATATTTTGTGAAGAATGTAACGTATCGTTAGAAGTAATAAATGAACTATTAGGTAAATTTGGTGGAACTAATGGTGTACTCGTTCTGTTATCAGGTGAGTCACCTCCACGTAAGGCTTCTTCGTCATCTACTCTATGATGACTATCCTCACTATCGCTATCTATTGCCCTTTGAAGGTAATTACCATGGGTTTCATCACTACTATTGCTATCTTCGAATGCAGTAGTAGGTCTCCATGCTGACATTATATAATCATCATCAGTTTCACGCATATGTGAAGGAGCAGTATTAAATGACAAACTATAATCACTTGGCGTACCCTTTTTAGCATATGGTTTTTGTGGTGTATCGAGTTCTGAATGTCTATCAAGCATAGCTTGAGTAGAAGTTGTATTCGATACTGCGCTGTTAGCTGCGCCCCTATCCATAATATTCTTCTTCTTTTTGCCAATTGATGATATTGCGCCCATCAATCCTGATTGATGCGTTGGTGCATCTTCAGTGAATGGTAGACCAGCAAATAAACGCAAAAGGCCTTCCAAGATTTTGGTTAATATGATTACCAATGCGGTTGCAAATACTAATCCTTGTATCACGAATATAACATAAGTTACCCAACCCGCTGCAACATAATTTATGTTTACCTTTTAGTTTTACCATTAGTAGGTTCTACCGAGAAATGCATTACACTTACAGCTGGACAGAGTACGATAAGTAATGCACTCGTTATAACCCTTGCGACGGAATTCAAGAACGTAAGTAAACCCATTTGAGCGCCGTATCCCCATGGAGACCAAACTGTCATCATTAATAAACCTGCTGCTTCAACTACTAAAATAATAACTGATTGGGCAGTACCTGACGCTTGAGCAGCTCCTATAACTATACCTTCGATGAGGTTTTGTGTGAAGAAAAATGCCCAAAAGAGATGACTACCTGGTCTGAAGACACTATACAATGGACCTAACGCGAGAATTGTTCTCGTCGCATCATATAGCTTCAAGGTGGGTGTTCTACTAACTCTAATGAGGACGTAAATTGGGAAAGCCAAGCCTAGGAACACAAGCGCAAGAGCAGCAAAAGCTAAACTAACTTTGGTTGCACCGTCATTATTTAATGATAATTGGTATACTGAAAGGATTATAACCGGGAAATGGAAAAGCAAGAGTAATCTCAATAAATTTCCTTGAAGAAGTTTCCAATGGAAGCCACCACTGGCACCTCCCAATCTCATCTCCCATATTGCTCTCCTGAAACCTGATCTAGCATTATTGTTATTATTTGAATACTTTGTCTGGAATCGTTTAAACGTTGAGGAATCATTAGTTTGTGGTAAAGTCAAATCTTGTTCTGATTTATGTCTATTGAAGTTGCCGTTACCAAGGACACTAACATCAGAAGCCGTGTTTGTCATTGATAATCTGTTAACCAAACTGCGATCTTCACGACCCTTATTTGCGTGTCTTTTCCAAAGTAACATACCCATTGAATCAATAGTCCACAAAAGTAAACTTACGACAATCAGAACGGCTGCTATTGCCAAAGCAAGTGCAACTGAGCATCCAAACAGATCATCCTTTTTTAACCCTATAACCTGTGCTAAGCTGTCTAATCCAGCTGCGTGACTAACATCTCCATTGTCTAGTAGGTTATTTGGTGCATCGCGGTTCAGATATAGAGGAGATGTGCTATTTTCGAATAACAAGGTATCGAATGGCGAAGGTATTGATAATTCTTCAGTAGCTAGTGGATCAACATGATCAGATGTTGTTAATGAGACATCTATGATTTATTAGTGTTTTAATAATGTTTAACAATTACTTACTAAACAATAATGAAGACCAGACGAATTGATTAAAGAATGGATAGGCGAATGAAGGCCAGTTTACAGCTATCATACCTAAAACTGCACACCATTGGGTGTGTAAGATGATATTTCCAACCGAGGGACTAACGAAACGTAATAAACCTGGTGTCGTACTAAACATCTGACCGGATATACCACCAATTACGCTGGTTTCTAGACGTTGTCTACCTGCCCACGTTCTAACAAATTTCGTTGATTTAGCTTTACGATAAGCTGTGCTAATTCTTGCTATAGACTGAACAACGAAGAAAGCGATAGCGATTGAAATTGGAATCCAAAAGATTAGTTCATAAAACCATCCATCTGGGTAATAAGGAGTAAATGGAACATCAACGCAAGCTAACTCCGTTGCGGGATCGGAAGCATCGAGAAGACGAAGTGTGTTCACGAGAGTTGTAAGTGCGTAAGGGTGGTTATTAAATTTCGCTGGGTCTGGCAAAGGTGTTGCTACACCGATTGCTATTCGACCTTCAGGTGCAGGACAAGCTGGTTCATTAGAACTGGAATTTGCGCCCAAAACGTGGTCACATAAACTAAGTGGTTGATCGTATAATTCGAAAGAGAGCGCACGTGAATGAACTAATAATGTAGCTAATCTGTCCGTAGAGCTATTTGTCGCGGTTAAAGGATCGTTTAAATCGCCAATTAAAATTGTCCGTAGGATATTCTGGCCAACAGCTATGTGTTCTGTGGATATAGCAGATTTATCTAATTGAGTATATACGTTTGATATATTTATTCTTCGTTCATCTGGTGATTGTTGGTATCCAGACTGGCAGTTAGAAAACGGAGCTGACTGCGGTTGAGCTAGACTGAGAGTGTATAGTAAAGTGGATATTAGTAACAGTCTGAGTGAATTCATTTTTGGTATCTTCACATCAATCACTTGGTGGTAGCTAATTAAGCTGCGTTCGCGAGAATGTGAGGAGATAGTGCAAGATTAAGGGTATAACATAGTATTAGATTAGCTGTCTATGGTACATCTCTCGTATTTTTCTTTATACATTGTCTAAATTTCTCCTCTTCCAAATTGATCGCTGTTTCAGCACAGCTAATCTATGGACGATATTATGATATCAGATAGTCCGCCAATAATGTCTGGAATGTTTATATCTTACATACTCAGCTGTCAATAATTCTTTTACTCAAACCATGACGACCTCATTACTGGATCTGAACTCAATTCGCTCAGTTCTCGTTAGATTGGAGGAAACAATCATCTTCAATTTAATAGAGAGAGCTCAGTTTAGTCATAACGAGCGTTGTTATCAACCAGGTGCATTTGCTGAGGAGTTACCAGATTGGAAAGGGAGCTGGCTTGACTGGATTCTCTTGGGCACAGAGGAATTTCAAGGTAAATGGAGCTAGCTAACATTCATACTTGCTAACATCCTCACAGCTAAAGCTAGACGCTATCAAAGTCCGGATGAATACCCGTTCAGCAACCCTAAAGACCTTCCTGAACCGGTACTTCCACCTCTTGAATATGAGAAAATATTGCATGAGCCAGCTATTATAAACGTAAATGATAAAATATTAAAGTTCTACACTCAAGATATCGTGCCTTCGATCACTAAACCAGCTGATGATTTGAATTATGGATCGACAGCAACAAGGGACGTAGAAACCCTCCAAGCAGTATCTAGAAGAGTACACTATGGTATGTTTGTCTCTGAGAGTAAATACAGGGAGAATGTCGAGGTATTCAACGAGGCGATCAGAGCTAAAGATGTCAAGACATTGGAATCGCTGATCACGAAACCAGAGGTAGAAGCAGCATTGCTCAAAAGATTAGAGAGGAAAGCAAGGCATTACGGACAGGATGATACTGAAAATGGTAGCAGACATGATATGAAGGTAGATCCAGAGGTTGTCGTTAGAATGTACAAGGATCATGTCATACCGCTCACGAAAGTGGTCGAGGTGAGTGATATCGATTTCGCTCAAACATTTAATTAACGATATAAATAGGTTGAATACCTTTTAAAGCGTCTTTAATTTGTAAAAGTAATTTATTCTATTTTCGGAATTTCTGACGCGTTGTATAAGACTACCATGATCAACGTCAGTAGAATAACACAGTTGTTCCCATTAAGGGGAGCTATTCAATGTAGACAATTTAGCCAGTCATTTCCTGTATTTGGTGTGTTTATTTTCTGATAGCCGTACTAGATCCTGAGTTAGACCCCACAGCTAGCACGAAATCAGCAGTGAAAGACGCGGATAAGGAGAAAGCTAAAAAGCAGAAGGAAAAGGAGAAGGAGAAAGCTAGAAAGCAAAAGGACGCGATGAAGACTAAGCTGAATCCACCAAAGCAGGCGCCAACTCCTTGGCAGCTCTTCTTCACGGAGGAATTAGAGAAAGCAAGACAACAAGGCAAAGTTGAAATCGGAGTTATCAGCCACTCAGCTTCTGAGTTATACAAGAAGTTGACAGATTCTGAGAAACAACCATACATTGAACAATCTAAGCAACTGAGGACGAAACAAGCAAAGGAGTTTGCTGACTATATCAAATCACTTCCATTAGATCTTCTTAAAAAGGAGAATTCTATCCGTTCGAAGTTGCGTAAACAAGGTAAGAAGGGCGGTGTACAGAGAATCAAAGATCCAAACGCGCCAAAGAGGCCATTAACAGCCTACTTTGCCTACTTGAAGGATCTTAGGGAGAATGAAAGCATCAGACGCGAAGTATTTGGTGACAGCGCCGTCAGCTGGATTGAGTCTAGCATTATTGAACAATCAAAGACAGCTTCTGACAAGTGGAAAGAGCTCTCAGACGATTTCAAGCAAACGTACAAGGATAGAGCTACAGAAGCAAAAAAGAAATATGAACAAGTTAAACATGAATACGAAAATTCCTTCTTGTAAACAATCGATGAACTTGCTTCAATCTTCTCAGACGAACAAGTCGAGATGGGGTTCGAATGAGTTTAAAATTTATTATTTGGTTTTTATTATAATGATACCTATCATTTTCTATATCCCTATAGATATTTCTAATATACGACACATCAACTACAGCCGATATAGCGGTCGTCTAGCGAATGGATGGCTTTTTAATAGAAAAATAGACCTCACAGACCAGCAATATAAATCATTCAGGAATAACCTCCGTCAGCTCGTCTGTATATCACTCATTCACGTGCTGATATCGAAACTAATAAAGAAGATAAACAAATTGACAGAATTAAATTGCGATTGGATATTATGTGTAGCTGTATTACTTGGTTTACATTCCTATCACTTTGTTTTTCCATTGGCTATCAGTATAGCCTCTTATGCACTCTCAAAGTTCCTGGCAGGGTACAAATACTTTTATGTGTTTATTTGGTTATTCAACATCTCCACTTTAGTAGCTATAGAATATTACAACGGTATATCCTTCGCATTAATACACCCTTCTCTTGGTTACCTCAACAGTAGTAAAGGCTTAGTCCGCTGGTATGTCTTTTATAAGATGACAACATTGAGGAACATTTCTTTCGCTTTGGATCTTCATTGGATGCGCATGAGCTATGGAAGAGTAATCAAACCGCTTCCGATGCGAAGTCTTACATATTCTGAAAGGAAAAACACTTCCCTCGAAGAGCAAGACTATGGCTTATTTAACTTTTTATATTACGTCTTTTATCCTCCACTCTATCTAGCGGGTCCGATTATGACCTATAACGACTTCATTCATCAGTCTTACTTGCATTTCAATCGCCCAACAATGGATTACACCTTAAAATATGCTCTACGTTGCTTATCAACATTCTTGACATTGGAGATTAGCTTGCATTTTATATACGTAGTCGCTATAAAAAATACAGGCGCTTGGAGAAACGACACACCATCTCAGATTGCATTGATTGGTTTTTGGAATTTGATAGTTGTTTGGTTGAAGCTGCTCATTCCGTGGCGTTTCTTCAGACTATGGAGCTTGGCTGATGGGATTGAATGCCCGGAGAATATGATCAGATGCGTTGCGAACAACTACTCGACGACTGGTTTTTGGAGATCATGGCATAGGAGTTTTAATCTGTGGATCATACGTTACTTGTACGTCCCACTTGGAGGTGCGAAATATGCGGCTTTAATTACACCCGTTATCTTTGTCTTTGTTGCGCTTTGGCATGATCTCAATTGGCGCCTTCTCGTTTGGGGTGGACTTGCGAGTGGAATTATTCTACCAGAGCTTCTTGCGACATATTTGTTACCCCCACATTTGGTGAGTTACTTTTGTGAATTCTTTTAGAACATTTTACTGACAGTGAATAGTATAATCATAGGTGGTGGTACAGGCACCTCTGTGCAGTCGGTGGTGTGCTCAACATACTTGCACTTATGGGTGCAAACCTCGTAGGCTTCGTACTGGGAATTCGTAATACGAAGGATTTTCTCATCGATTTGGTTTGCACTGCTGCAGGATGGAAATTCCTAGCTGTCGCACTACCATCACTCTTCGTTGGCGTTCAAGTTATGTTTGAATTACGGGAAGCTGAGAAGCGGAAAGGCATTTACTTGCGTTGTTAAGTTTTTCGATATATATATCAATTTGTATTATTAATGCATAAAAACAAGTCATCGGTGGCACTTTAATGTGCTAAATCAATTATCCTCATTTGTGCATATATTTTAGCTATCTAAATGTATTCCCCAGCTGAAGGATGTTGTCATAGGGTAACGAAGGTAACACATTGGCTATTTCATCATAAAATTGATGGCAACTGAACGTTTTTGAGTCTATGGGTGCAAGGGATTCAATTGACAGATTATTGCACATGTCTTCTATGTTATCTTCATGCAGATTGGGTATGACGACATGGCTGAAAGTTGATATAACCTGTTCTCACGGAGCGTCTACTCCTTATACTAGAGATATCAAGTAGCAAATTTTGAAAGATGACTAAATGTAACACCGACTGTTCGTAAGTTGGTCTGTTTATCTTACTTTGTTTGCTAAACAATCAACAGTTCATGTGGTCCAAAGGAGACTGCAACTTGCAAGTGTGCACCAGGTACCTGTGTAAGTATTTATAGGCGATCTTATAGGCAGAATGTCTGATACACTTTACAGACCTGTGCAGATTGCCACAACTCAGCCCACCACAAAGAAGTAGGTGTAACGTAGTAATACGAATGCCATACTAAACTCACATCAGTGCTCTTGCGGCGGCTCAGGCGACAACTGTGAATGCACCCGCGCTGGCAAAGCGTGCACTTGCTAGAGTAACATCTGGCATAGAAAGCACAAACAGCATTTTGTAATTATACTTTGTATTCATAGCTGTTGAAATGTAACTGTATATTACGAGAGACATTTCTTTGCTTTGATTGACATCCCGACCGTCCCCGTGTCTTCTCTTTGACGTAAAGGGGATGGCAGGTATTACTAAAATTATAGACAGCTAACAATACTCTCCGTAAAGAAACCAGACCGAAAAAGACAACTGACCGTTCATAGGTTGCCTAATGTAGACAAACAAAGGAGATACCCCAACTAATTGGCATTCCGGGGATCTGAGCGTGTATAATAGATAGCTATACATTAATTTATAATAAAATAATTCTATTTTCCCTATTGTTTGTTTATCAGCCCATTTTAGATTCTCCCCAACCAATTCAAAGAATAAAGTGAGGCCAGCTCGCTTGAAGCTCTTCAACCAAATTCAATAAAATAAAATAAAGAAAAGGGCAAATGTCTATATTGAACGCCGCCAAATCGCTCGTAGGAATTGAAGAGCAACGAACTCTGACGGTGCAATCGTCACAATCTCGTATCGGTATCCCTGTATCTAGAAACGTATGGTGGAAAGCGGAGATATTGCGTGAGAACTTCTTGCAATCTACTCACTCTCAATTGGAGCAAGAGGAGAATTCTGAAGATGACTACGCTCAGCTTGAATTACTTAGCAAGTTTTTGAAGTGAGTCGCCATGTTTTATTATTAAGTAACTCGATATTAACGAGATATTTACACTAGATACGTCGCTACAAGTGATCCAGATGAGCAATCTCTTTACGTACTTCAAGCATCTCTCGTTCACTTTCATCAAGTTCATCTCACCAACATCGACGTACACAACTTGACTGCAAAGTTGGACGCTGACTTGCGCAAGCTTGTTTTATCTGCTTACTTCAAGTCAAAAGCCAGCTTGGAAGCTGCTAACTTGGAAACTCCAAAATCTCCAGCTGCAGCCCTTATCGAGCAATCACTCCAAGGAAATGCTAACGTATACGCACTCTTCGGTGGTCAAGGCGCTAACGAGGTATACTTTGATGAATTGCAAAACCTTTTCGACATCTACCAACCATACGTCGAAGATTTCTTAGCACAATCATCCAAAACACTCGTTGAGTTAGCAAAAGATGCTACTAACAATGGCTCTGTTCATTTCAGCCAATCTATCGACGTTATCAATTGGCTTAGAAATGGCGATAAACGCCCATCAGTCGCTTACTTAGCATCTATTCCACTTTCACTTCCACTTATCGGTTTAACTCAACTTGTACAATACCTCGCATTTGCTTCTGCTTGTTCCCTTTCCCCAGGTAAATTAAGAGAAAACATCAAAGGTGCAACTGGTCATTCACAAGGTGTTATATCCGCCGTGGTCGCAGCCGCTTCTGATTCTTATCAAGAGTTCACTAATAACGCTTTAAAAGCTCTCAAAGTTCTTTTCTACATTGGTTTGCGTGGTCAGGAGACTTTCCCAACTCTCTCAATTGAACCTGCTTTAATTGAAGACTCCATTGAAGGTGGTGAAGGTGAACCAACTCCTATGCTTTCAGTTTCTGGTTTATCCTTGAGCGTTTTAGAATCCTTCGTCAACAAAACAAACGCTCATTTGGCTGATTCATCAAAGATCTCAGTCAGATTGTTGAACGGTCCAAAGAACTTCATTGTCACTGGTCCACCACGTAGTCTCTACGGATTGGTCACTAACCTTCGTAAAGTTAGAGCACCAACTGGCTTAGACCAATCAAAGGTTCCTTTCTCAAAGAGAAAAGCAGTCTTTAACGCCAGATTCTTAGTCGTTGGTGTTCCATACCACTCATCCTACCTCGAATCTGCCACTCCAAAGGTTATCAACGATGATTTAGCAAATGAAGAATTATGGACACCTTCAGATTTGAAGTTAGCTGTATACCACACCGAAACTGGTCAAGATTTACGTGAACTATCATCTGGCTTGACCAAGTCCCTTGTTAGCCAAATCTTCACTCAACCAATACATTGGACAAAGGCAACCGATTTCCCTACCAGCGCAACACACGCTATTGACTTCGGTCCAGGTGGTATGTCAGGTATTGGTCCACTCACTCAACGCAACTGGGAAGGTCGCGGAATTAGAGTTCTCATTCCTGGTGCCAACGGCAAAACAGGTTCAGAGATTTACGACTCATCCCTCATCAAGGAGGAGAAGTGGAATGAAAAATTCCAACCTGCTTTGGTCAAGACAAAAGATGGCAAGATTCACCTCGACACTCCATTTTCAAGACTTCTTGGAAAGCCTCCACTTATGGTTGCTGGTATGACTCCATCTACTGTCAAGGGTGGCTTCGTTTCAGCCGTTCTTAATGCTGGATACCACATTGAATTAGCTGGCGGTGGTCACTACAATGCCAAGATGTTACGCGCCAAGGTTGCTGAGATTCAAGACAATGTCCAACCTGGTAATGGTCTTACCTTGAATGCCCTTTACATCAACCAACGTCAATTCACCTTCCAATTCCCATTATGGCAACAAATGCGTCAAGAGTAGGTGGACTTATAACTCTAAAGTCTATTACTAATTATTCACTTAGGGGTCTTCCAATTGAAGGTTTCTGTGTTGCTGCTGGTATCCCATCATCAGAGAAGGCAACTGAGATGATCACCGCACTCAAAGAGTCTGGTATCAAGCACGTCGCCTTCAAGCCTGGTTCAGTTGAGGGTATCCGTCAAGTTGTCAACATCGCATCTGCCAACCCATCCTTCCCAATTATTATGCAATGGACTGGTGGACGTGCTGGTGGTCACCACTCATGTGAAGACGTTCACCAACCAATTATACAGACTTACGCTTCAATAAGACAACACTCTAACATTTCTCTCGTTGCTGGTTCAGGTTTCGGTGCAGCTGAAGACTTCTGGCCATACTTGACTGGTGACTGGTCATTAGAGTTCGGCCTTCAACCAATGCCATTCGATGGTGCTCTCTTTGCTTCACGTGTTATGGTTGCTAAGGAAGCACACACTTCTGCTTCAGTCAAACAGCTCATCGTTGATGCTCCAGGTGTTGATGACAAGGACTGGGAAAACACTTATGATAAGGAGACTGGTGGTATTTTAACCGTCCGTTCAGAATTGGGTGAACCAATTCACAAGATCGCTACTCGCGGTGTCAAGCTCTGGAGAGAATTTGACGACACAGTCTTTAATCTCCCACGTGAGAAGCGTGGTCCATGGTTAGATTCCAAGCGTGATTACGTTATTGACAGACTCAACAAGGACTTCCAAAAGCCTTGGTTCGGTGAGAAGGCTGATGGTACCGTTGTTTCTGACATTGGTGACATGACTTACGAAGAAGTCACCAAACGTATGGTCAAGCTCCTCTACGTTGGTCACCAATCACGCTGGATCGACTTATCACTTCGTAACCTCGTTGGTGATTGGTTGAGACGTGTCGAAGAACGTTTCTCAGCTGTCGATGGTACTGAGAAGATCTCTATCTTACAATCCTACAGCGAACTCGATCAGCCAGCTGATTTCATCAATAAGTTCTTTGATGAGTACACTGGTGCCAAGGAACAACTTCTTGCTGCTGAGGATAAGGCTTACTTCTTAAACATCACTCAACGTCCAGGTCAAAAGCCAGTACCATTCATTCCAGTTCTTGACAACTCATTCGAGGTTTGGTTTAAGAAGGATTCATTATGGCAAGCTGAGGATATTGATGCCGTTGTCGATCAGGGTTAGTCAATGCTTCTAGTTTTTAAATCAGCTAACTCAATATTTTAGACCCACAACGTGTCTGTATTCTTCAGGGACCTGTTGCTGCCAAGCATTCCACCAAGGTCGATGAGCCAATCAAAGAATTGCTCGGTGGAATCGAAGAGCAACTCGTCAAGAAGCTCCTTGAACGTCGCTACAACGGGGACGCTTCAAAGGTTCCTGAAGTCGACTACATCGGCGCTCAGCCAGTCAACGAGTCTTCTACTCAACTTGAATCCTACAAGATCATCTCTACTACTGAGCAAGACAAGCAAACTTACCAAATCTCGGACAGCCTTCCACCTACTGAAGAATGGTTAGAGAGCCTCGCTGGTAGCCAAGTCGGTTGGTTCAGAGCTTTAGTAACCACTCCAATTGTTGTACAAGGCAAGGGTTACACTACCAACCCAATGAAGAAACTCCTTGCTCCACGTCGTGGTCAAAAGGTTGTCATTGATTTGAAGAACGGTCAACCTATTGGTGCTGAATTCTACGGTGGTATTCGCTCAGCTGGTTCATCCGACCCAAGCTTCCAAGCTGTTAAGATCTCTTACAACGAGTCAGCTGGTCGTATCACTCTTGTCCTTTCTGAAGAACGTCGCGGTGAAAGCGTCCCACTCACCTTCGAGTATGAGTATAAGCCAGCCATTGGTTACGCTCCAATCCATGAAGTTATGGAAGGTCGTAACCAACGTATCAAGGACTTCTACTGGCAACTCTGGGAACTCGGTGCACCAACTCAACTCAATGTCCGTGACACCTTTACTGGTCCACCTGTCACCATTGACGCTGCTACTGTTGAGAAGTTCTGCGCTATCATTGGTAACGATGGTGAAGCATTCAAATCAAACAGAACAGATGAAGTTCAAGCACCAATGGATTTCGCTATCGTCACTGGCTGGCAAGCTATTATGAAGGCCATCTTCCCTAAGGAGATCGATGGTGACTTACTCAAGCTTGTTCATCTTTCAAACGGTTTCAAGTTGGTCTCAGGTGCTCGTCCAATTGCAGTTGGTGATGTATGTTCAGCAGAGGCTAAGATTGTCTCCATTGTCAACTCAGACTCAGGCAAGACTGTCATGGTTAAAGGTTTCGTTATGAGAGATGGTAAACCAGCTATTGAGGTTTCATCATCTTTCCTCTACCGTGGTAAATTCGAAGATTACGAAAACACTTTCGAAATTATCGACGAATCCCAATACAGAGTCGAATTAAAGAGCGACTCAGACGTTGCATTGCTCAGATCAAAGGAATGGTTCCAATGGGATGATGAATCAAAGCCACTCACTGTCGGTACTTCACTAATCTTCGACGTCCAATCAGAGCTTCACTATGGTAACGCTACCTCATACAAGTCTTTGAATGTTTCTGGTCGCGCCAACATCCGTAACCAATTGAAGGAACTCGTTCCAGTTGGTACCGTAGAATTAGAATCTGGTTTGACCAAGGGTAACCCAGTTATTGAGTACCTCAGACGTAACGGTAAGGTTATCAGTGGTACAACACTCTTTGAGAATGATGGTTACTCACTCACCAAATCATCAAACCCATCACTTTACGTTTCACCATTCTCAAACGAATCATACTCAAAGATCTCTGGTGACTTCAACCCAATCCACGTTAACCCATACTTCGCTGATCTCGGTAATTTGCCAGGTACTATTGCTCATGGTATGTATGGTTCAGCTGCCACTCGTAAATACGTCGAGACTGTCGCTGCAGACAACGTACCATCACGTGTTCTTTCCTACCAAGTCACTTTCGTTGGCATGGTTCTCCCAGGTGATACTCTTGAAGTCAAGCTTCGTCACATTGGTATGGATGATGGTGCTAAGATTATCTCCGTCGATACCGTTAATCAAGATGGTGATAAGGTCATCTCTGGCCAAGCTCTTGTTGCACAACCAACCACCACTTACGTCTTCACTGGTCAAGGTTCACAAGAACAAGGTATGGGTATGGCTCTCTACGAATCATCAGAGGCTGCCCGTAAGGTATGGAACGCCGCTGATGATCACTTGGGTGAGGTTTACGGTTTCTCTATCATCGATATCGTCAAGAACAATCCAAAAGCCAAGACCATTCACTTTGGTGGTTTGAAGGGTCAAGCTATTCGTCAACGCTACATGGATCTTCGTTATGACACTACAGACAAGGAAGGAAATGTCAAGACTCTCCCATTGTTCCCAGACATCACTGTTCGTACTAGTGACTACACCTTCCAAGCACCAAACGGTTTGTTGTTCGCTACACAATTTGCTCAAATCGCTCTCGTTGTTACAGAGAAAGCTGCATTTGAGGATATGCGTTCAAAGGGACTAGTCCAATCAAACTGTGCATTCGCTGGTCACTCACTTGGTGAATACGCTTCATTGGCATCTATCGCCGATGTTTTGCCTATCTCATCACTCACTGATGTCGTCTTCTACCGTGGTTTGACTATGCAACGTGCTGTAGAGCGTGACGCATTCGGTCGCTCTCAATTCAGAATGATGGCTGTCAACCCATCACGTATTGGCAAGACTTTCGATGAGAGCATCTTGAGAGAAATTGTTGACTCCGTTTCAAGACGTACTCAGCTCTTGCTCCAAATCGTTAACTTCAACGTCGATGGTCAACAATATGTCTGTGCTGGTCACTTACAAGCACTTGAGACATTGACTAACACTCTCAATTTCATGAAGGTTAAGAAGGTCGGTGAATTTGTGATATCCTGTTATCATATGCTAATACTATTCATAGATCGACATTTCTGCTCTCCTCAAGCAACTCTCAGTTGAGCAGGTCAAGGCACACCTCGATGAGATTATCGATGAGTGCTTCGGTACTGCCAAGGCAAAGGCTGATAAGGAAGGTGGATTCCTCACTCTTGAGCGTGGTTTCGCTACTATCCCACTTCCTGGTATTGACGTACCTTTCCACTCCCGTTACTTGTGGGCTGGTGTCATGCCATTCCGTACTTACTTGTCTCAAAAGATCGATGCTAAGGGTGAGTCTTATTATTCTTGATGTCCTTCTCCCGCTAATAAGCTCCAAAGATCTCAACCCTGACATGCTTATTGGCAAATACATCCCTAACTTGGTCGCTAAGCCATTTGAGATTTCTAAGCCATACATCGAGATGATCTACAACCAAACCAACTCACCTCGTCTTGAGAAGGTCCTCTCAGGTTGGGATTCAGAGAAGTGGTCTGCTCCAGAGAACAGACAAGTATTAGCCTACACCACCCTCGTTGAGTTGTTAGCTTACCAATTCGCCTCACCAGTCAGATGGATTGAGACACAAGATCTCTTCTTCACTCACTATAACTTCGAGCGTTACGTTGAGATTGGTCCTTCACCAACTCTCTCTGGTATGGCTACCCGTACCCAAAAGCTCAAGTATGAAGGATTGGATACTGCTCAAGCCATCACTCGTACCATCCTCTGTCACGCCAAGAACCAGAAGGAAATCTACTACGAAATCGAGGATGAAGTTGAAGAGGCTGCAGCACCAGCTGAAGAATCTGCTCCAGCACCTACACCAGCCGCACCAGTTCCTACCCCAGCTGCCGCTGCTCCAGCTCCAGCTCCATCTGCAGGTGGTGCCCCAGCTGATATCCCAGATGAGCCACTCAAGGCAACTGACACTCTCCGCATCATCATTGCTCAAAAGCTTAAGAAGGGTGTTTCCGAAGTTCAACTTGGCAAGTCAATCAAGGATCTCGTAGGTGGTAAATCCACCCTTCAAAATGAAATTCTTGGTGATCTTCAAACTGAGTTCGGCAACGCACCAGAGAAGGGTGAAGAGCTCCCACTCGATGAGCTCGGAAGCGCTCTCAACGTCGGCTACTCAGGATCTCTCGGAAAGTTCACTGCTGGTCTCGTCTCTCGTATGGTTGGTAGCAAGATGCCTGGTGGTTTCAACTTGTCATCAGTCAAGACTCACTTGTCCAAGACCTGGGGTCTTGGCCCACAACGTCAAGAAGCTGCCTTGTTATTCGCTGTCACTATGGAACCAGCCAAGCGTCTCGGTTCCGAACCAGAGGCTAAGCAATGGGTCGACTCTATCGCTCACGCTTACGCCGGTCAAGCTGGTATCACTCTCACTACTGCTTCCGCTGGTGGTGCAGGTGGTGGTGCAGCTGCAGGTGGTGTCACTATCTCTAGTGAAGAACTTGACAAGTTCCGTGCCGAGCAAAATGAATTTGCTTCTCATCAAGTCGATGCTTACATGCGTTACTTGAACCGTGACCCGCGCGCTGGTCACCGCTTGCATGAGCAAGAGAAGCAAAATGCAGCTGCTCTCCAAGATCGTCTCGATGCCATCGCAAGAGAGCACGGTGATGCTTACATCAATGGTGTTATGTCTTCTTTCGATCCACTCAAGGCTCGTACTTTCGATTCATCATGGAACTGGGCTCGTCAAGATGCATTGGCTATGTTCTACGACATTATCTTCGGTCGTCTTACAACTGTTGATCGCGATAGTAGGTGTATCATTGGATATCAATATTTTTTTTTTGCTAACAAACCTAAAGTTACCTCACGTTGCCTCAACATCATCTCACGTGCTGATCCAACACTCATCGATTACATGAGCTACTACATCGGCAACGTCAACGTTGAGCTCGGCCCAACCTACAAGCTTGCTAAGGAATTGGGTGAGCAGCTCCTTGAGAACTGCCGTGAGGCCGTCAAAGAAGGTGAAGGTCCTAAGTACAAGGATGTCACCTTCCCAACTGCTCCTCATACTGAGGTTACCGCTAAGGGTGACATTGTCTACTCTGAAATCAACAGAGAGGACGTCCGTAAGCTTGAGCACTACGTCAAGGAGATGGCTGCAGGTGGTAAGATCTCTACTCAAAACGTCAACCTCGACAAGGTTCAATCAGATGTCGAGAAGCTTTACGAGTTGGTTAAGTCACAGCCACAAATCTCCGAAACACACAAGACTTCAATCAAATCACTTTACGATGAGGTTCTTCGCTCTCTTGGTCGTCCAGCAAGTATTCAAGCACCACCTCCACGTACTCGTCGTTCATCTTCACAATTCTTGCGTCCAGAGGTTTCTGAGAATGCTACTGTCCACGATGACAAACTTCCATTCCTTCACCTTAAGCGTAAGGTTGGAACCAACTGGCAATACAGCACTAAGTTAACTGAGATCTGTGAGTAACTTTTTGCTTCATTGAGTTTTCTAACGTACATATAGACCTTGACATCCTTACAGAGATTGCCACCTCTGGTACTACTTTCAAGGACAAGAACGCACTTCTTACTGGTGTCGGTAAGGGCTCTATTGGTGTAGAAATCGTCAAGGGCTTGATCGCTGGTGGTGCTCGCGTTGTTATCACCACCTCCCGTTACAGTCGTGCTACTGTTGAGTACTACCAAGCAGTCTACCATGAGTGTGGTTCACGTGGCTCATCACTTACTGTCGTTCCATTCAACCAAGGTTCCAAGCAAGATGTTGAACAACTTGTTGAATACATCTACTCAACCCTCGGTATGGATCTTGATTACGTCCTTCCATTTGCTGCTCTCCCAGAGAATGGTCGTGAAATTGATGGTCTCGATGACAAGTCTGAACTTGCCCACAGAATTATGTTGGTTAATGTTCTTCGTTTACTTGGTGCTGTCAAGGCTAAGAAGGCTGCTCGTAACTTCGTTACCCGCCCAACTCAAGTCGTACTCCCACTCTCACCAAACCACGGTCTCTTCGGTAACGATGGTCTCTACTCTGAGTCTAAGATCTCTCTCGAGACACTCTTCAACCGTTGGAGCTCAGAAAGCTGGGGTGACTACCTCTGTCTTGCTGGTGCCGTCATTGGTTGGACTCGTGGTACCGGTTTGATGAGTGCTACAAACATTGTCGCTGAAGGTGTTGAAAACCACGGTGTTCGTACCTTCTCTTCAAAGGAAATGGCATTCAACATCCTCGGTTTAATGCACCCACTTCTCTTCGACATTACCCAAGTTGAACCAATCTGGGCTGATCTTAACGGTGGTATGGACAGATTACCTGATCTTGCTCAAATTTCCACCAAGCTTCGTCAAGATCTTCAAGCCGATGCGGCTCGTCGTCGTGCTATTTCTGCGGACAACTCAGCTGACTTCGCCACTGTTAACGGTGTTGAAGCTGAAGGTCTCTACAAAGAAGTTAAGGTTGCACCACGTGCTAACTTCAAGTACGGCTTCCCAGATCTTTCTAAGCCAGAAGTATTCGGTGATCTCGGTAAACTTGAAGGTTTGATCGACCTCGATAAGGTTGTTGTCGTTTCCGGTTTCGCTGAAGTCGGTCCATGGGGTTCAGCTCGTACCCGTTGGGAAATGGAAGCCCGTGGTGAGTTCACCATTGAAGGTTGTATCGAAATGGCTTGGATGATGGGCTTCATCAAGCACTTCGATGGTCGTCTCAAGTCTGGTCAATTATACGTCGGTTGGGTTGACAGCAAGTCTGGTGATCCAGTCGATGACAAGGATGTCAAGCCAAGATATGAAAAGCCTATTCTCGAGCACACTGGTATTCGTTTGATTGGTAGGTTTACTAACCATACAATATTTACTTTTCTAACTTGAACCTACAGAACCAGAACTCTTCAAGGGCTACGATCCAAAGCGTAAGGGCTTCAATCAAGAAATTGAGCTCAACCACGACTTGGAACCAATAGAAGTCTCCGACGCTGATGCTGAGAAATTCAGAAATGAGCATGGTGACAAGGTTGACATCTGGCAATCAGAATCAGGCGAATGGTCAGTTAAGCTCAAGCGTGGTGCACGTGTTCTCGTACCAAAGGCATTCCACTTTAACCGTCTCGTCGCTGGTCAACTTCCAACAGGTTGGGACGCTGGTCGTTATGGTATCCCAGCTGACATTGCTGCTCAAATCGACCGTACTGCTCTCTGGTCACTTGTTGCAGTTACCGAAGCTCTCGTCAATTCTGGTATCACTGATCCATATGAGATCTACAAGTATGTGCACCCATCTGAAGTTGGTACCTCCCTCGGTTCCGGTATGGGTGGTATGGAAGCGCTCTCAGCGATGTTCAAGGATCGTCGTGAAGAGAAGGACGTCCAAATGGATATTCTTCAAGAAACTTTCATCAATACTGTCGCTGGTTGGGTTAACTTGCTCCTCATGTCTTCATCTGGTCCAATCAAGATTCCAGTTGGTGCCTGTGCTACTGCTCTTCAATCTCTCGATATTGCATGTGACACACTCCTCACCGGTAAAGCTAAGGTTATGATTGCTGGTGGTTTCGATGACTTCTCTGAGGAGGGTTCATATGAATTCGCAAACATGAAGGCCACCTCAAACTCTGAGACTGAATTCGCTAACGGTCGTGAACCAAACGAGATGTCAAGACCAACTACTACTACACGTGCTGGTTTCATGGAATCACAAGGTACTGGTGTACAAGTTCTCATGACTGCTTCAACTGCTATCAAGATGGGTTCTCCAATTCGTGGTGTCATCGGTTTCACTTCCACTTCATCTGATAAGGCCGGTCGCTCAATTCCAGCACCAGGAAAGGGTCTTCTCAGCGTTGGTAGAGAAATCCACTCTGACGTTCCAATCCCAACTCTTGACATTAACTACCGCTCAAGACAAATGCAATTCCGTCGTAAGCAAGTCTCCGAATGGTTGGATAATGAACTCGAATTACTCTCTGAGGAATTCGCTGCAATTGAGAAGAGTGGTGGCAAGGTCGATGAAGCTACTATCAAAGCAAGAACCTCATTCTTGGAAGAAGAAGCTGAACGTCAAGAGAAGCAAGCATTGGCATCATTCGGTATGCTTGAAGGCACCGACGCACGTATCGCTCCACTCCGCCGTGCGCTCGCTGTTTGGGGTCTTAAGGCTGACGACATTGGTCTCTGTACTTTCCACGGTACATCTACCAAGGCCAATGACAAGAATGAGTCTGAGACTTACAATGAACTCTTCAAGCACCTCGGTAGAACTGAAGGAAACGCTTGTCCAGTCATCGCCCAGAAATGGCTCACTGGTCACCCTAAGGGTGGTGCAGCAGCATGGATGTTCAACGGTGCTGTCCAAGCTATCAACGATGCTATCATTCCTGGTAACCGCAACGCTGATAACATTTCCGCTGAGATGCAAGCCTTCAAGTACTTGGTCTACTTGTCTAAGTCAATCAAGGTCGATGCTATCAAGTGTGGTATCTTGACTTCATTCGGTGAGTTTCATTTGGTGTATCTAAGGCAATTTACTAACATATTCAGGTTTCGGACAAGTTGGCGGTTCATGTCTTATTGTTCACCCAGCATACCTCTACGCGGCTCTTAGCCAAGAATCTCTCGAACAGTATGCCAAGCTTAGAGCTGACCGTGAGCGTGACAGCTACAAGAAGCTCAATGCACACATGATCCACAACAACCTCGTTCAAATTAAGGAGACTCCACCATTCGCATCAGAAACAGAAATTCCAGTTCTCCTCAACCCACTCGCACGTACTGAAAATGATAACAAGGGTTCATACTCGTGAGTGTTTGAATAATTAGTGCTGAATTCGTCTAACAGATACATAGATTCCCAAAGAAGCTTAATGAGAAGTTATCATACAAGACTGGAAACGCTGGCGTTGCTAGCGAGATGCTCAAATCAGTTGATGGTGTTCAAGGTGTAGGAACTGATGCAGTACTTATCTCAGCTGTTCCAGTTTCCAACCCAACATTTGTCGAACGTAACTTCACAACTGGAGAAGTTGCATACTGTGAGAAGCAACCAGACTCAAAGGCATCATTCGCAGCAAGATGGGCAGCTAAAGAGGCAGTCTTCAAAGCACTCAACACTAAGGGTAAAGGCGCAGCAGCATCAATGAAAGAAATTGAAGTCGTTTCATCAGAGACAGGACCAACTGTAAAGTTACACGGTGACGCAGCCAAAGCAGCAAATGAGAGAAGCGTCAAAGAGTTCAAGTTATCACTTTCACATTCAGAGGACGTCGCAATTGCTCTCGCGTTCGCACAATAGATGATTATTTTATAAGTTTAGTTAGTTCTCTAGGGTTTATTTTTTTCCTTATGTATTTTTCTTATCTATTAATTAATATTTCTCTCTTATATTCTTAGCCAGCTAAAATGTGTATAAATTTGGTAAAATACATGATTGTTCAGGGAATAAGAATGTAGAAAAAAAATCTTTAAAAGTTCCATATTGAGTTAATATCAAGTGAGAATGGTATGTTTTACTTTTTTAGAGAACAACTTTGCTATCATCGCCAGCAACGAATGACATACGCGATTGCTGTGGTGGATATTGAGCGTAAGACATAACTCTTGACTTCCTGTCTATGATCTTTTTAGCAAATTCTTCATCTTCAAAGACAGTAAGATAGCTGCTATTACGCTGATCATGTTGTGAAGTCGTTGAGCTCTCTTCTTCTACGATTGGTGATACGGCTATAGGTCTAACTGAAGTGGGTAAACCTGGTGAATTAGGATCGATATTGAGAGGGAAAAATGAAGGTGGTCTTGGTGAAGCTGGCAAACCTCTCAGGTTCTTTGCCTTATCGTTAAGCTTTGGTGGTACTTTCGGATTGCAAATCTCAATCCAGCTTGCTCGAACGTTTGACAAATCAGGTTTAGATTTATAGACGCTTTCCCTATTAGATTTGAAGGTAGATAATGGACGAAGGTTGTATGTGTTTCTATGATTAACCGCTACTGATTTCCTTACGGAGTCGATGTCCCCACCAGTATCATCGAGATCTTCAACGTAGAATTCTTCATCTTCTGCTGGTGCAACGATAATAGAAGTTTGTAACATAGGGGGTGCATCGTATTTAATGAGATAAATAGTAACTAGTATAATTGATATAGCGGCTAAAACTGTTAAAACGACTGTTAGAGTAATATTTAATGAATGTCCTGCCATTTTATACAGTTTATAACTTCTTTTTTGTTTTTTATTTCATACAGTGATCTTCGTCGTTAGTTGCAAAGTTTGTACTCTACGGTGATATATACAATGGCGGACAGAGATGAACGTAAAATAGTGCGATTGGATAAGGAGAGAACGCATAACGTGCGTCTATACATAGCTATTATAATAGTATTCTGATAGCTCTATAGGTGCATTCAACTGACTTCCCAGGTAACTACCCAGGAGAGAATTTAGAGTGGAATTTAGAGGCTTTCAAGAAGGTGAGGTTGTTACACTTCAAACTATCACCTACTAAACTATCCTAAGAACTTAACTACCCACGTTAATGCCGTCGCAGAAGACGAAATTGAATTCGATTTAATAGGCGTTGATCCTAGCATAGCAAATGCATTGAGGAGAGTTATGATAGCTGAAGTACCAACCGTCGCAGTAGAGAACGTCTTCGTTTTCAACAATACATCCGTTATGCACGACGAAGTTATGGCACACAGACTTGGTTTAGTACCTATTTTATTCGATGCTGAGAGACTCGAGGAATTCCAAAAAGGTGACAGTCCAAACGATCAGAATACAATCGTTTTCACCCTTCAAGTCGCTTGCACCCGTAAAGCAAAAGTTGCAGCAGGCGAGACAGATCCTGATAAAATATATGAAAACCACAAAGTATATTCAAAGGATTTCAAATGGGTCCCACAAGGTGGTCAAGCTTCTGACCCACTTTTCACCGATAATCCACCACGAGTCGCATATCCTGAAATTCTCATCACTAAACTCAGACCTGGTCAATCGATAGATTTGGAATTACACTGTGTCAAAGGTCTCGGTCAAGATCACGCTAAGTTCTCCCCAGCTGCTACCGCCTCATATAGATTATTGCCTACTGTGAAACTTCACCAACCAATCAAGAGTGAACATGCTGAATTATTTGCTAGCTGTTTCTCTGAGGGCGTTGTAGAAGTCAGAGAGAACAAAAAGGGTGAAAAGGAAGCTCACTATGTTAACCCACGTAAGGATACTGTATCAAGAGAAGTTTTAAGACATCCAGAATTTGACGGTGTCGTCGAACTTGGTAGGATAAGAGATCATTTTATATTCAACATTGAAACAACGGGTGCTGTTAAATCCGTAGATATGTTGCCTAGATCTTGCAACGTTATCAAATCGAAAGTACAGAAAATTAGAGAAGGCTTAAACACAATAGTACATGGCAAGCAAGAAGAAGAAGAAGAGAATGCAGATGAGCAAGACGAACAAATGGAGGAATAATTTTGTTGTTTCTTAATCCCTTTAGATTTTCTTCACCTTCCTTCTTGTACCATGATGACATTTATTTATTACAGATTGAATAGAAGTTTGATAGCCAGTAGAAGTATTAGAACCTACAAGAGTGCTGCCACTAGCGGTTCTTCTGAACATGGATTTGGTTTGAGAGGTTAGTAGTGTGTGTCGATCTATAGACCCATTTTGACGAACGAGAGCAGGAAATGGCGTAAGGACAAGCAAACATCAAACCAGAGAAGCGTTGTTCAATCTGAATAGCAAAAATAGACAAGATTCCAATCAGAAATTACCTTCATTTAACAAGAACTATGTTGAATTCACAGAATCAGTTAAGAGTTTTACAGGCTTGACACTAGTAGATGGTTTATTAGAAAGTATACAGTCTATAATAGGCGCTAAAACACTGCCAACGTCAATACAATCACTCTCTTTTATGTCACTATTAAATGGACGCAATAAACAGAGTTTGTTAGCTGCTGAGACTGGAAGTGGCAAAACATTCGCATTCTTAATCCCACTCATACACTCCTTGAAATCAACCGAGGGTTCGTCGAAGAAGACGAAACCTAGAGCTATCATAGTGGCACCAACGAGAGAACTATGCCGTCAGTTAACGTCCCAAGTAAAAGCATTAACGCATAATGCAAAACTTAAGAGTACATATGTACACAACGCTGAAGATGGTCCATTTGACAATGACGACGTTATCGTAGGAAGTCCAGAGCAGTTACTCAAATTAGATGACGGATTTGAAGGTGTAGAATGGCTCGTTATAGATGAAGCTGACGCATTATTTGAAAAAGACTTTATCGCATCAACTGAATCACTGATTGAAACTATACGTCGCGTAAGAGGTAACAATGTCAATCTTGTTATGAGCACTGCGACAGTAAATGAGAAATTTAGTAAATACTTGGACGAGACTTATCCGAAAATAAATCGCCTTATAAGTCCAAAAACACACACACTTCCACGAGCTTTGAAAGTTAATTACGCACCATACGTCAGTGGTAATAAGTTAGCTGATCTCAAGAACGCAATAAGTGATTCAATGTACACAGCGGGTGTATCAAATAAATCAAGGAATTCGAAAGTATTGGTATTCGTTAATACAAACGATAGAGCGGAAAAAGTTTGTGAATATTTCAACGAAAAGGGACTTAAAAGTGCTGTCATGACTAGTATATCTAAGGGTAGATCTAAAGTATCTAACAGACCTATAAAGGAGTTTCTCAGAAATGCTGAACATACTCCTGATTCACCTCAAGTTTTAGTAACGACTTCACTGTTAGCCCGTGGATTAGATTTTGGTACTCATGTTCAGAATGTCTTTATCGCTGAGGAAAGTGGTAGCACTGTTGACTTTTTACATGTGAGTGATCTGCAAAACTTAGTCTTCTCTCTAACTCTCAAATAGCGCGCTGGTAGAACTGGTAGAGCGGGTGCCCAAGGAAATGTTACTGTAATGGTTCCTAACAAAAAGTACCAAGATATGACGAAGAGGAGACGCTAATTGCTTGTATTATTTATTGTTATAGAATTTTGATATCATAGAATATCTTCCTAATATTTAATAGGCTATGCCTATTACCGGTTAACTATCCACAATCATGATAAAATTGCATCACTTGGAAAACAGTAGAAGTGTTAGAATACTCTGGGTATTAGAAGAACTTGGAATTGAGTATGAATTGAAAACTTACAAAAGGTTACCTTCTGGATTGGCCCCACCTGAATTGAAGGCTGTTGACCCACTTGGACATGCACCTATCCTTGAGGATGACGGTCATACCGTAGCGGAGTCCGGTGCTATTATAGAATACCTCGTTGAAAAATACGGTGGTGGAAAATACACCAACTCTGATGACGCATTTTGGAAGCACTACATCGAGGGTTCCTTAATGCCATTCTGTGTATTCAAGTTAGTCCTGAGTAAAGGTATTGAATCTATTCCTTGGTACTTGCGTTCAGTACTCGCTGTTGTACCTCGCGCAATTCTGAGCCAATGGGTTGATCCAAATCTTAACAACGCGGTTGAAATCGTTGACAAACAATTGAAAGGTAAACAAGGATGGGCTGTCGGTGGTGATGTGGATGGGAATCCAACTATCGCTGACTTCATGTTGGGATTCACCATAGATGTCCTTGCATTTGGTGGTAGATTAGAACATGTTGGCGAGGGAATCAAAAGCTACGCTGAGCGTTTACAATCATATCCATCTTATAAGAAGGTATGTTATTCATTAAATACATAATGAAGGCTAATAATTACAAAAGGCTATCGAAAAATCAGGCAACTATCGCTATAAAGCCTCACTATAAAGCTAAGAAGAATCGGATAAAGGAGATTGTGTAAAGTCATTAGAATCATTAGTAATTTGATCTTTTTGTTTCTCTTGTAGACTCCTTTTTGGTGGTGATGACAATGCAGATGAATTTGATGAATTTGTTGGCGAGAATAGTTGATTAGATGCTGATTGAATATCACTGAATATGTAATCATTCGGGGATGCTGCTCTAGGTAATATACTATGATTCGTCGATAAAGGCGATGACTGTCGTGGCTTGGTGTTTAATTTTGATTTTACCGGTTGCTGTTCTATGATAAGGGAATCTCGAGAATTGGAAAATAATAACTCACGCTTATAGCTAGGTTGTAAACCTGTTAACTGCAGACAAATCCAGTTTTGAATACTTACATGTAGTTGTTGTTGAAGCTGGCGTAGGTGTTGGTTTTGACACTTTGGCAGGCTGTCGGTTGTTAGTTGATAGGATAACGAGAAAAATAAATTACAGACTTGAGCATTTCTAGTAGCATTTGAAGAATTTCTAGATGATAAACGTGACCCGCCGAGTCCTAGACAATTGTTCAAATGTGGTGCATATCTATTGGAGGATATTTGACGTTTACAAATTAAACACTCAAAATTTGGATTTTGCAAGTCGCCAGTACCTTTTTGTATACCACAATAATCGAGATTATTAGAAGAATTTGATGGATTATTATACAGTAGCTGATTTGATTGCTTATTTTGAGTTGATTTTGTATCTAAGATAATTTCGAAAAGGATATCGCCAATTAAAAGCTTTGTCAGTTCATTCACTGTATCCTCTGACATTTTATAGTTCTCTGACGCTTCTCAATGGTCTACTATCTTGGGCGTTAACGTCATCGAGTGGTAGAAGCGAAATATTTTTCAATTTTTTATTTTTTAGTTGATTATATGAGAATGATAAGGAAGGATGACTAGCGTAGCTTTCTTCTATTGTTTTTGGTATACTATCAATGTACTCTTGATACTGTTCAGGCTGATCCAGCTTTATCAAGCAGCGAATAGACAAATCGAAGAATTCCCTATTGTTTTTTAAATCTAATGCCAGTAGATTATCGAGACACTCCTTGTAGCTCTTTTTATAAAAAAGCCAATTCAACTTGTATTCAAGTGCGCTACTGTTGAAGTTGTCCTTATAATCTAAAAACCACTGTTGACTAATTAGAATTGCAGGCTGATAATCTAACTACCTACCTCTTTGTCAAATACTTGGACATTGTCTTTGAATGAAATCAGACTCTTCTCATAGAGTTGCTGATATCTGTCGACATTTTTTGTAGTCTCAAATAAATCATCGTCTATAATCCAATCATCCATCATCTTGAATGTTATTGATAAAAACTAAAACTGATATCACAAATTTAAATAAAATAAAGAAATTTTTACTAGAAATATACAATCATATAAAAGATCCCACTAAACCAAATTTCAATAATTTATTGAACGATTTCATATTCAACTGTAATCTGCACTTGAAGACATTGGCAAAATTACGTCATCGATATAATCTCTTAAATTCTCAATACTTGGTAAGTCCTCGTTACTATTAATTATGACGTCACTTTTTGACATCAATAAAGGACTTAAAGAGCATTTCACATAATTATATTAATGATCTAATCACTATATCAAAAAGGCTTGACGGTATTCATTTGCCCGTAACCTCAACAAACTCACCGTTTGACCACAATCCTTATCAATCCCTCTCAGATTACCTCTCTTTTGATGATTACAATGATTTTATTAGGGGCATACAACTTGATTTGGATAATTTACAAAGTTGCTTACAATCTTCGAAGAATCTGATGCGATGTTTGGATATCGTTGTACATCAACAGTACCCTTCTTACTCTGAATTGGTGGAGTTATCTCAAGAATATACGTTTATCAATCAGTGGCTAGATATATACAAGTCTACAATTGAACCTTCAATAGATGAGCACTTAAGATCGGTTGAATCGCATTGGAATCAACTTATTGACGCCGAATCGAATGATTTGACAGAACAAGAGGAAATTATACTGACACAAGATGTGGAGGAGCTTACGTTGATCGTTAATGAATCTCAAGAGACTCTCGCGGAAGCTGAGATAATGCAGAAGCGCTCAGATAACTTGCAAGCCAATTTTGAGAGACAAGTCAACTTTATACAGGATCAATTAAATGAGCAGCAGTCTATCAATGTGACTATCAACGAATCAATCGAATTAGAAAATGATATAGAAATCTATTTTGATAAACTCTCAAATGATATCAAATCAAGACTGAAGTCATCTCAGGAGTTGTTCAATCGGTGGTCTAACTATCTGCGAATGAATGAGCATCTATCTGGTGAACTCAAACGTCAAGAAGATATTAGAAAGGAGATTGAACGGATCAGAGTTGATGCCAACAATCAGATTCAGAATCTATACAACCACAGTCAAATAAAAGCCGATAAGTTTTGGAGAGAAAATGAAGCATACCTTCCAGCCAATCTAGTTGAGACTTTCAGAAGCAATCTAATTCTACAGCTCGACTAGATTTTGCATATACCATGTCTTATTATCACATCTAAGTTGATGAATTTATGTTATTATTATTGTATTTTACATAAATTAATAATGTTATGCATTTCATACTATCTATCAGTGAATTTTGAAATAAAAATTTTCCATTTTGAATTTCACTCGTCAAGTAATTTTCAGTGACTCGTTCTCATCTTGACCATCTACAGCCAACTTTGGCTAACAGATTGAGCGAGAGTGATATAATAGTGACTATTGAAACTACTTATATCACTCTCGCTATTGTTAGTCTATTGTGAGTCTAGCTGTTTATATCCAGCAACGCAGACGCCGAACTTCCATGATGTCTGTATGATAGGCCTGATGGGGCTCTGCCCCTTGATGTCAACTATAAAGAGAACGACAAGCATATGTCTGAGAAATAATGGCGTTTTTGCTGTTGCTGGTGATATCTTTTATGTCAATTTGCTAACATAGTATTCAGGATATCGCTCCATTGTTTTATTGTTTTATTATCATAGTCAATGTTAATGCATGTTATATATCAATAAATTAATCTATCTGTTTCGTTTCTTTTGCAGTATAATCAAAATTTTAACCGACCACGCTCCAAATTGAGGGGTCACTCCGCCATAATAAATACCGTCTGACTGGCCAGCTCACTATTGTCTCGCTTAGAGCCGCTCGCTTGTTGTCTGCTGATATCATATGTCGATCGTTACTGCCCCATTTAGTGTTAAATTTATATAATGTAGTATGAGACTATTTGTATACAATGTTTTAGCTCCATCAGTTATGTATCTAAGAATTCGTGGAGCATTTCTTAGTTTTTCCTATTCTCTTATCAATGTTGTTGATAAGCGACAGTGACCATCAAAAAAGAATAGATGGCTTCATTTTCTTCTGCTCAGAGGATAAGGCATAGCTTTATTAGCTACGATGATGAGTAAGTTTACCTATCTATTCACTCAGTTCTTCGTTGACTGACAGCCCCAGCAATCAGGATTTCTCTGTGGGACCTGAGAATCGTGCAAAAACGGCGCACCTGGCAGATTTAGCAATGTCAGATAATGAGTCTTCTAACCACGATGAATTGGAATTCGATCAGTCCGATTCACCCCCGCAAGAGTATCCCTCACCATTCGACACTCTTCACGACAGTGGAATTACTTATAGACCGCAATCAACTCCAGACATAGTTGTTAATGATTCTACTCCTCTACTATACCACAGCAATGACTCATTTATATCAACAAACAAACAATCAACCGGCTTTATCTTTAAAGCAACAATGCATAAGTTCTTCTTGGACTTTACATCTTTACTCCCTGCGACATTTTTAGGTTTGATGTTGAACGTTATTGATGGTGTCTCTTACGGTCTTATCGCTTTCCCGCCTGGTAAAACTTTCAGTGGTTTCGGCGGCGACGGTGTTTCAATGTATATGATTACTTGCATCGTCGGTCAATTAGTTTTTAGTTCAGGTGGTAGTATCTTTACCGGTGGCAATGGCACAATGATTATAGAGACTGTTCCATTTTTTCACATTCTAGTCGATATCATCGAAAGAAATACTAAAGACACTCATGAAATTATCGCAACTACTATGATTTCATTCGCTTTGTCTAGTATTTTCGTTGGTTTGACTTTCTTCTTGCTCGGTAAAATGAGATTGGGTTCTTTCATTGGATTCTTCCCAAGGCACATTCTTGTAGGATCTATAGGCGGTGTTGGTGTTTTCTTGATAGAAACTGGTTTAGAAATCACAGCTGGTTTGAATAACGAAGGCTTTTCCTATTCTTGGGCAACGTTTAATCATTTATTCACCAACTTGCGGGTCTTCACACAATGGTTTCCCGGTCTTATTTTAGCAATAGTTCTTCGCACACTTACTCACTTTTTCACCCATCCTTTGGTTACCCCAATGTTTCTCGTTTGCATCCCGATCGTTTTTTACATAATAGTCTTGTCAGCCCAATTACCATTAGACAAATTGCGCGATCTGAATTGGATATTCGACGTTGGTGAAGGTGCAGATGTACCCTTCTATAGATTTTACACATACTTTGATTTCAGAGCTATCCACTGGAAAGCAGTCGTTGAAACACTCCCAACTCAACTAGCTCTGGTTTTTTTCAGCATTCTACACGTACCATTGAATGTTCCAGCTTTGAGTGTCAGCTTGGATGTAGATAATGTCGACCTTGATAAGGAGTTAGTGGGTCATGGTTACTCTAACACATTGGCTGGACTGTTTGGTACATTCCCAAATTACCTCTGCTATTCAAACTCCATTTTGTTTTATAGGACGGGCGGTGGTTCAAGGTTATCAGGGTATATGTTAACATTCGCAACCTTCTGCATTATGTTGGTGGGTCCTGGTGCCATCTCTTACATACCCGTTATGGCAGTTGGTACACTCATTTTTGTCCTCGGTATCGACCTCACAAAAGAAGCGGTTTGGGATACGTATGGGAAAGTAAACAAATTGGAATATTTCACGATTTGGGTCATTGTGATATCAATGTCATTATTAGATTTCGTCACTGGTGTAATTATTGGTATCATTCTCGCTTGCTTGTTCTTCGTTGTTCAGAATGCACGTAGAAGACCAGTGAGAGCTATCTTCAACGGTCAATCTTTGAAATCCACCGTTAGAAGACACGCTATTCAAAGATCATTCCTACATAGGGTTGGTAAACAAACTCAAATTATACGTTTACAAGGTTTTCTGTTCTTTGGCACTATCAATGTGGTCGAAGAGATGACAAGAAATATGTTGGATGCTGCACAATGGGATAGAAATCCACTGAGATTCCTTATACTTGACCTTAGTTTAGTCAGCGGTGTTGATTTCAGTGCTGCTGAATCATTCGTCAGAATTGCAAAATTACTCATTGCGCGCGATGTAACATTAGTGTTGTGCGGTATCGAATCACCTGATTCCAATGTTGGTATTGCGCTAAGGAGCGTAGGTTGTTGGTCAGATCGTGATGAATTTAGATTGGAAGTCGCGAAAGATCTCAATGATGCTCTTGAGTATGTTGAAAATGCATACCTTCGTGGATTATATTCACATCCTGCATCACATAAGAAATATCAAGCGTTGACAACTACCGGTGGTGTTGATTTCCCTCAAAAACACAAATTAGCTTTTAGGTTGTCAGGAAGTATGTCAACATCTCCTCGTAATAATCTTCTCCAGGATGCTGCTACTTCTACAGAAGCTATTCATCAAGGTCACTTACATACACGTAACGAGGCCCTTAGTGCAACATACCCTAATACAACGTTCAGAAATGTTTTCGAAGATGAAGATTGTGAAGGAGATGAGACGCCAAGGGTGGCATCGTATGCAGATAATCTTAATAATGCGAGTGTTGAGCAAAATCATGCTAATCAACACCCCCAACCGCTCAGTTTAATCATCGGTACCTTCAAAACGTACACCGATGCACATATAGACTTCTATAGACAACTTGCACCATACTTCTCACCCCTACGACTCGCTCCCGGTGATCTCCTTTGGCGTCAGCATGAAGAATCAAATGGGTAAGTTATGATGTCTATTTTCAGGAAATTCTAATGACTTTTTGGTAGATTTTACCTCATTGAAAGCGGTATTCTTAAGGCTTCTTATATGTTTGATGGTCATAATTCACCCGTCGATGAAACGATGCTTACTGGTACAGTTGCTGGTGAAATTTCTGGTGTATCGGGATCAAAAAGGAACTGTACAGTTGTTGCAGAAACAGAAACAATGTTGTGGCATTTATCACACGTATCTTTGCAAAGATTAGAACAAAATAGACCTGAAATCCAACGTGAAATGGTGAGAATTTTACTTAAGATCGGTTATGATGAAATTGTCAGTTTGACATCCTATTTGGCTGCTGGATTAGCATAGAAACTGTTTAGTATAAAAATGCATAGTTTATATTTTTTTATATTTTATTTTTTGTTCTACTCCTTGTACAGACGCTATCAGCACAAACGGGGACGGGAACGGTCGATAAAACAAAATCTACCAATTTCACTGATAAATCTTGCCCAAAGTGTCGTCAAATAACTCACAAGGTCAAGATCAACGGCCTTCACTATCACCAACTGATAGACCAGTTAAGAAGCTAAAAGTTGAACCGCAATCGTCGTCTATTATGATGGCGAACTCACAATCGTCTGATAGGGGCGTATCCTCACACTCTAGATACTCTAACAAATCTGCTATGTTCTTAGGCCACTTACACACCGTCTTGAATAGCTTATCTGCATCACCATCACCAATTCCGCTAGCACCTGCTATCAAAGCTGGTAAACTGCCTAGTAACGTTAGTTTACCACCTTGGTCATTTGATCCTTGGGAAGGTCCACAAAAGGTTTGTTGATAGTTGATTAATAGCGCCAATTAATTACTTTATAGGATGAGCTCATGGGTGCAATAGAGGACCATATTTCTAGATTAGCAGAACGTCTCAGAAAGGCTGAGACCATTTCAGCCGCTTTCCTTGCTGTACAAGCACAAACCCAAAATCCATCAAACAACAAAGATAATAAAGATAAAGACGCACCATCTTCTCACGGCTCAGATGATAGCGAGAACAACAAGCAACCTAACTCAGATATTGAACAACAAACTCCACAACTTTTACCTCAACCTTTACCACTCGATCCAAATAACCCGCTCACGGATTTAGCTGGCGCAGCAGCCACCGCACTTTCTTCGGCATCTTCTAACCCGGATAGTCTCACTCAGTTTGATAAATCTCAATTGGCTCACCTTCCACTTCCAAATCCATTAATGTTCCTTGCTAACCCGATAGATCCACATGAAACACCGATCGATCCTTCAGAGGAACTCAGGTTATTAAAAGCTCAGGTACAAGATGTAGCAAGAGTCTGTAAGGCTGTTGCAAATGGTGATTTATCTCAAAAAATTGTCGTTCCGGTACAAGGTCATGTTATGGTCGAATTAAAGGATATTATCAATTCTATGGTTGACAGATTGCGCACGTTTGCTACAGAGGTAACTCGTGTTTCTCTCGAAGTCGGTTCTCAAGGTAAACTCGGTGGTCAAGCTGTCGTTGAAGGCGTTGATGGTACATGGCGAGAGCTCACTGATACGGTAAATAGTTTAGCTGCCAATCTCACGAATCAGGTCAGATCCATTGCAGAAGTTACGAAAGCTGTTGCTAAAGGTGATCTCACGAAAACTATTGAAGTTGAAGCTAATGGTGAAATATTGGAATTGAAAATGACAATTAATGGTATGGTTGTACAACTTAATCATCTAGCGGCAGAAGTCACTCGTGTATCTCTAGAAGTCGGTTCGCAAGGTAAACTTGGTGGTCAAGCTGAAGATAAAGACCTAGAAGGTGTTTGGAAAGATCTAACGATTAACGTTAATCGAATGTGTACAAATTTGACAAACCAAGTGAGATCTATAGGTAGTGTTACAACGGCTGTCGCTAGAGGTGATCTAAGTCAAACTATCAACATTCTAGCTGAAGGTGAAATGGCTTTACTTAAAGATACGGTAAATGGTATGGTTGGTCAATTACGAATATTCGCTCGAGAGATTTCTAGAGTATCTCTTGAAGTAGGTACTCAAGGTAAACTTGGTGGTCAAGCCGTTGTCGAAGGTGTTGAAGGTACATGGGCTGAGCTTACTCATAATGTTAACAAGATGGCTGCAAACCTTACCTCTCAAGTCAGAGAAATTGCTCAAGTCACTAAATCCGTCGCTAAAGGTGATCTTACCAAGACTGTTGATGTTGATGTACAAGGTGAAATTCTTGAACTTAAGCTTACAGTAAATAACATGGTGGGTGGTCCTTTTTCCAAACGAGTATTTAATTTAACATGAAATAGGTTGCTCAATTACGTACATTTGCTGCAGAAGTAGAACGTGTCGCTCGTGAGGTCGGTACGGATGGTAATCTTGGTGGTCAAGCTGTTGTACCAAACGTTGAGGGTACATGGCGACAACTTACAGAATCTGTCAATCACATGGCTTTGAACTTGACTACTCAAGTCAGATCTATCGCAGAAGTTACAACCGCCGTCGCCAGAGGTGATTTGTCAAAGAAGATTGATGTCGATGTCAAAGGTGAAATCTTGAAGCTTAAGCAAACTGTCAATGGTATGGTTGGTTCATTGCGAACATTCTCAGATGAAGTCACAAGAGTTGCAAGAGAAGTAGGTACTGATGGTAAACTCGGTGGTCAAGCTAGAGTTGAGGGTGTTGATGGTACATGGAAATCGCTTACAGATAGTGTCAACACCATGGCAGCTAATTTGACATTACAAGTCAGATCAATCGCTGAAGCAACGAATGCTGTAGCTAGAGGTGATTTGGCTAAGAAGGTCTCTATTCAATCTTCAGGTGAAATTCATGAATTGGTACAAACTATCAACAGTATGATTGATCGATTGGCTGTCTTCGCTACTGAAGTTACCAGAGTTGCTAGAGAGGTCGGTACTGAAGGTAAACTCGGTGTACAAGCTCAAGTTGACAATGTTGATGGTACATGGCAAGAAATTACTCAATCCGTAAATACCATGGCTTCTAACCTTACATCACAAGTCAGAGGTTTTGCACAAATTTCTGCAGCTGCTGTCGGTGGTGACGTTACAAGATTTATTACAGTTGAAGCATCAGGTGAAATGGATAGTTTAAAAACTAAGATTAATCAAATGGTTTATAACTTGCGAGAATCTATTCAAAGGAATACTGCAGCAAGGGAAGCTGCAGAATTGGCTAACAGATCTAAGTCTGAGTTCTTGGCAAACACATCGCACGAAATTAGGACACCAATGAATGGTATTATCGGTTTAACTGGTTTGACATTAGAAACTGAATTAACTAGAACTCAAAGAGAGAACTTAATGATAGTTGCAAACTTAGCTTCATCTTTGCTGGCAATTATTGATGATATTCTTGATATTTCAAAGATTGAAGCCGGTAGGATGTCAGTCGAAACTGTACCATATTCATTAAGATCAGTCATTTTCACTGTCTTGAAGACATTAGCAACTAAAGCAGCACAAAATAAATTGGATTTAATTTATGACATCGAACCACATATTCCAGATCAAGTAATTGGTGATCCACTTAGAGTTAAACAAATTATAACAAACTTAATCGGTAACGCTGTCAAGTTTACTCAACAGGGTTACATTGCGTTATCTGTTGAAATGGTTGACGTACCACCAAATGCCAACGAAGGTGCTATTATGTTGCAATTCTGTGTAGCTGACACAGGTATCGGTATTGAATCCGATAAATTGGAAGTTATTTTCGAAACTTTCGCACAAGCTGATGGATCTACTACTAGAGTGAGTTCATTAAGTCCATTATCAAATAAATCTCATAATATTACTTAGAAATACGGTGGTACCGGTCTTGGATTATCCATTTCTAAACGACTCGTCAATCTGATGGGTGGTGAAATGTGGGTAGAAAGTAAATATGATCAAGGATCACAGTTCTACTTCACTGTTTTATTACAAGTAGAACACTTACCTTTATCATCAATCAAGGGTAAATTGGCGCCTGTACAAAATCGCTGCTTGCTGTTTGTTGATTGCAATAAAGATCAGACTGGTGTTGAAGATGTATTCAAGGAAGTTGGGGTACACTTGATTAAGGTACAATCCGTTGAAGAAGCTTCAATTAGACATCCACATGCCCCAATTATAGATACAGTAGTCGTTGATTCATTCCAAGTTGCAGAAAGATTACGTGAAGTTGATCATTTGAGGTACATTCCAATTATACTATGTGCACCATTCATACCAAGATTAAACTTAAAGTGGTGTTTAGATATGGGTATAACGTCATATGTTGCAACGCCAACGAATGTTCAAGATTTGGGTAACGCATTATTAGCAGCATTGGAGACATTAGCATTCCAATCTGCTGATACTGATCCAAAGGAGCATTACGACATTCTTCTAGCAGAAGATAATGTTGTTAACCAAAAATTAGCAACCAAATATCTCGAACAATCTGGACATAAATGTGAAATCGTTGGTAATGGTGCTTTAGCAGTTGAAGCATTAAAGAGTAGAGCATCGTCAGATAGAGCTTATGATTTAATTCTAATGGATGTTAGTATGCCTGTTATGGGTGGTATAGAAGCAACGACAGTTATAAGACAATTGGAGCAAGAGTATGGATATGAACGCACACCAATTATTGCTTTAACAGCACACGCTATGATGGGTGATAGAGAGAGATGTATTAACGCAGGAATGGACGAATATGTTACGAAACCATTGAAGAAATCTGATCTTCTATTAACAATTGCTAAAGTTGTTAGGGAGAGAACTTCAACTCAAGCTTTGATTATGAGTAGACCAGGTACAAATTTCAATCAACCTAAACAATCGCAACAGAAGCAAATCACGATGGGATAGGCTTCCTTTGTTTTGATTTTTATCTTGTGATTCCCATTGTATACCTATTTTAAAGATTTTTTCTACTATAAGATTTACTCACCTCAATTGTACTTTTTCTGATAAATTCAATCAATATGTCATATAAATTGATATTTTATTGCCCAATTAAGAATACTTCAAATGTATTAAGGGGTATTTTTGATAAAACTACTGCAGGTGGTATAGGAAATTACACTGAATGTTATTTCAAAACAAAAGGAGTCGGTAGTTTCAAGCCATCATCAGAGGCGAATCCACACATTGGTGAAGCTAACAAAGCTGAATACGTAGAAGAGGATAAAGTGGAGCTATTGACTGGTGGAGTTGATAACACTAAGAAGACGGTAGAGGTGTTGAAGAGTGTACACCCATATGAGGAAGTGCGTTAATAACTACACTATAGTCATAAACCATTAATAATCTATAGGTTGCTTATGAAGTCTACAGAATAGAAGATTTCTGAAGTGCAGGCCAATCAGAGAATGTGTAAATAAAGTGAGAGATTAAAATTGTGTATCAAAATACTTGTTATTCTAGAATGCTTTGTCTGTATCTGGAGTCTCTTGGTTGTAGAAGCCGCCAAGCTGTGATATTTGTGAGCGAAATAGCAAACGATTAAGGAAAGACTAACGAAAGGAACCTTTTGGAGAACATCCTAGGGATCGTTAGAAATCTATTAGATACGTTATATGATACCAACCTCTTTGAACTGGAGTAAAACGTAAGCTACCGATTTGAATTAAATAAGAAACATACCTTTGGAACAGGTGACAAGAAGAATGAACCGAATGATCCAATACCGACACCCCATAAAGCGAGTGAAGGTGCCCAGTTCTTAGCGAGCTTTTGGGATATCAGGCTGATCCCTCATACGATGAGCCTACTCACGAGAAGGTATGGTGCAGCTGGGTTAACCCTGTTTATTTTTTTGTTAATCCTTTCTGATTATTTACTTATTTTTTTAAACTAACATTTTTATGATTTAGATAATAGTCAAACGTAAGGCTTAAACAAACCAAAGCGTATATATCGAAAATAAAAAAATTTTAAATAAACATACTTCACTTAAGTGAAGCAAAAGTCTTCATAGCTGATGTCAGAGCTTCAATTTCCTTTTCGTAATTTTGTATCTTCTCTTGGTTATTTTGTTGAACTTGTACAGAAACCTTTTCAGCGTATCCATCAATTTGAGTTGCTTTTATCGTCTTTTCGAGTGTCATCTTTGCTGCCTTCTCCTTCTTTTCGAGTTTAGTGAGTTCTGCGTCAATATCTACAAGACCTCTAACTAAAACATGAAGATTTGCGTCAACGTTAATTGATTGAACCGCACATCCAACTGGAATTTCAGATGAGGTTGTTACGACTTCTAATACCTTGCAACCCTTAATCAAAGTCTTGAGAACTGCTAATTGAGATTTGAAAATCGGCGCTTTCTCTTCAGTAGTTTCAATGTAGGCTTGAATGTTGTTGCCTTGAACGTTGTAAGCTGTTGCAAGTGATCTTGTTGCCTTAATTGCACCGTATGCTGTTTCAAAGTCCTTGGCTTCTTGTGTAAATTCAAATGCAGGGTCCTATAATGTATGAGTATTGTTTGCAATTAAATGAATAAACTCACAGCCTTAGGGAACTCAGTAAGTGAGATAGATTCTGCGTTGTCATTTGGTCTGCGTGGAAGATGTTGCCATAATTCTTCAGTTACGTATGGCATGAATACGTGCATCATCTTCAAACCAGCATCAAGAGCAGTGTAGAGTGTGTTTTGAGCTGATCTACGAGATTTCTCATCTGCATCTTCTGCAGTCAATGGCTTAGATGCTTCAATGAAGACATCACATAATTCGTACAACCAGTAGTTGTAAATAACTTGTGTAGCGCTCATGAAGTTACGGTTGGTGAGGTCTTGATCGAGTTGCTTAGCACAGTAGTTTAACTTGGAGAGAATCCAACGTTCAACTAAGCTCTCATCACCTGTTGGTTTGGCACTAGCAGCTGGGGTCCAACCTTCTGGGAATTTAAGCATAGCGAATTTAGTTGCGTTGAATAACTTGTTGCAGAATTTTCTATTGCTTTCTACCTTTGAAATCTCAAGGTTAATATCACGGTTTGATGCTGTGTATGCACAAAGTGTGAATCTGAGAGCATCTGTACCACATTGTGGAATACCCTTAGGGAAATCTTTCTTTTGGCCATCAAGTGCTTTCTTTACTTCCCTTGGATCGAGATTGCTGTCGTAAAGTTGTTGGTGAAGTGCATCTAATTCACAACCTTCAATAACGTCAATTGGGTCAATAACATTTCCTAATGATTTTGACATTTTACGTCCATGAGCATCTCTAATCATAGCGTGAGTGAATACCTCCTTAAATGGCATTTGGCCTGTCAATGTGATACCAAAGAAAACCATTCTAGCAACCCAGAAGAAAAGAATATCCCAACCAGTTTCTAACAATGAGTTTGGATAGAAGTTCTCCATATCCTGTGTCTCATCTGGCCAACCCATAATTGAGAATGGCCATAAACCAGAACTGAACCATGTATCTAAAACGTCTTCATCTTGTTCAAGTGTGTATGGTTTACCATTTGCAATCTTTTCAGCGCGTTCCCTTGCTTCCTCAAGTGTACGACCAACAACCCAGTTTTTGTCATCTGATGATTCTTGTTCTTGACCTTCAATGTTGACAAAGTAAGCAGGACATCTGTGACCCCACCAGAGTTGTCTAGAGATACACCAATCTTGTTGGTTTTCTAACCATCTGTACCAATCACCTTCAGAGTGTTTTGGTTGGATAGTCATTTCACCAGCTCTAGTTCTCTCAATAGCTTCTCTTGACATATCTTGACAGTTGACATACCATTGTGGTTTCATGATTGGTTCAATAACATCACCTGATTTAGCACAAATTGGAATAACCATCGAGTTGTCCTTTGTATCAACGTAGCTACCAATTTCCTTCAACTTTTCAACGATAGTTCTACGAGCATGGAATCTTTTAACACCCTTGAATTCATCACCAGCATTGGCATTGAATGTACCATCGTCATTAAGGATGTTGATGAAAGGTAAGTTGTGACGTTTACCAACTTCGTAATCGTTGAAATCATGAGCAGGTGTAATCTTAACAGCACCAGTACCGAAAGCAGGGTCAACGCATATATCATCAACAATGATTGGAATTTCTCTATCAACGAATGGGTGTACCAATGTCTTTCCATGTAAGTGCTTATAACGTGAGTCTGAAGAGTGGACTGCTACGGCTGAATCACCAAGCATAGTTTCTGGACGAGTGGTTGCGACGATAATCTTCTCATCAGAACCTTTGACTTGGTAGGAGAATGAAGTGAGAACACCAAATTCAAACTTCTCTTTCTCGTCATATCCTGGTACATTGAGAAGCGTTCTACCTGAAATTTCTTTGCTGTCGAGCTCAAGGTTTGAAAGTGCAGTGTTCATTCTAACACACCAGTTGACTAATCTATTTGAACGGTAGATGATACCTCTTTCACGTAATTGACAGAAAGCTTCAATAACAGCCTTTGAAAGCTTTTCGTCCATAGTGAATCTAACTCTGTCCCAATCGTATGACGCACCAAGTCTTCTCAATTGGTTGGAAATACGCATTTGATATTCTTCCTTCCAATCCCAAACTTTACCTAAGAACTTTTCTCTACCGAGGTCATGTCTAGTTTGACCTGAGGACTTCCAGAGACGTTTTTCAACGACAGATTGAGTTGAAATACCTGCGTGATCATATCCAGGGTTCCACAAGACTGTCTTACCCTGCATTCTATTCCATCTAACGAGAGTGTCTTGTATAGAAATAGTTAAAGCATGTCCAATGTGCAAACTACCGGTGACATTTGGTGGTGGTGCTGGTACGACAAAGACTTCGCCGATTGGTTTACCGTCTGCGTCCAAAGATGGCTTGAAGAAGCCCTTCTTCTCCCACCAGTCATACCAAGCGGATTCTACAGCGACTGGATTGTAACCACTGGCCATTGGCTTTGTTGTGTCCTTTTTATCACCTTTTGGTGTCATATTAACGAAAGCTTCTTCTACGGGAGCTTCTTTTGCTGGTTTTACACGCTCCTTCTTTTGTGCGGCTTGCTGTTGCCATAATTGCTGTTGTTGTGCTTTTGCAGCCTTCTTTGCTTCAAATTCTGCAGCCTTTTGAGCTTTTTTAACTTTAAAGACTTAGTAATTGAATGTTTAAATAAAGCAATAACGCACTAGCAGATTTTGTTAACTCTTTTGGTTGCTCTGTCGACATTTTAGAAAATATCTTGAATGTCCTTTTGAGCATTCACTTTGAAGAAGAAAGTGGGAGGCTCATAAATTTAAAATGGTCAGTTTAGCTTTACAGTAGGATACTTGTTGAGCAAATATATAGACAGCTTTATTCAATTTTCAATCGCTATTACTAGTCATTATTCTGTTGATATGCACTTGTGCTTATATAAGGGCAACATTCACTGGTTTGATTGATAAGAATAAGACTGGTGTTTTAGGTACATTCTACAAATGCGCTAGAATTGGTGAGTCTTCTACTCTCTACAGCACACATCTGACGCAATATAACAGGCGAGAGACTATCACCCTATGTTGCAATATCTGCTATCATAATGGCTATTACTTTATGTACAATCTAAACTTTATACCTCGTTGACGACATATTGAAGAAGTTCTTTACTATCCACACTTGTGCACAACTCATTAATATAACAGCTAGAGTTTCAAATATAGCGTATGATTTCAGTCTTCTCTTTGTTGAATTGACTGTCGAAATGTTTCTGTTCTCTCTGGTTCTAAAGTACCTCTGATTACGCTGTAAAGTGGAGACTTGACCTTGGATCTTATATAAACTGTCTTCCAAACTCTGAGTCGAATCCTGTAAATACTTTGTTTTCTTTGGGAGTTCATGTCTAGGTTCTGACTCTACTAGGATATCAAAATCGACCAATTTCTCCTCCATTGAGCTCAATCTATTGTAAAAGCAGAATTTGTATTCACCGTAATGATTTCCAGTGAAGATAAAGTCACCTTGTCTTTCCTTTTCGCCATGTACGACAACATTCCCTTCTGGGTCAATAACTTCCCAATCGATATCAAAATTTCCACCTGATTGTACTGCAAAGTAGAAACCAATCTTCTCTCCCTATATTTATAGTTATAGATTGATATAAATATCCTCAAATAGACTGACCTTCTTATCTACATTAGCATAAAAGCAAGACCGCTCTGCAGCCTCAATCGTGGTAGTTAATGCGGATGATAAGACTACACTCAGTGTAGATATAATAACTAAAAATGCTGCTAGGTATCTCATATGATGATGGTAGGACGTAAAGAATGTAGAGATGCTTAAATATAAAGATATTTAGAGAAAACAAAAGATATTTATTTATGATTATGTATTTATATTATAATATAATATTACCCAGCTTCTTTATCTCCCATCATGTCAAGTTCTACACAACCAATGGATGTAGACAACAGCAAGAAAGCAAAAAAGCCTAGATTTCAAGTTAAAAAGGTAAATGTAGTTATAATATATTGTACATCTCTTAATATCTCTTCAGTGGAACGCAGTAGCATTGTGGAATTGGGGTTAGTATTATACAACAGTCATGATAAACTATTGACAAAATAAATAGATATAGCAGTAGATAACTGCGCTATATGCAGAAATCAGATTATGGATTTATGTGAGTTTATCTAAATAAGATATACTCCTTTTAATAACACATACAAAGGCATAGAATGTCAAGCTAATCAAGCATCTGCTACGACGAATGAATGCGTCGTCGCTTGGGGTATTTGCAATCACGCTTTCCACTTCCATTGTATATCACGCTGGCTTAAAACCAGACACGTATGTCCACTCGATAACCGTGACTGGGCATTACAAAAGTATGGAAAGTAACTCCTTTATTTATCAAACAATCTGCTTGCAATGACGAAATTATGTTTATACAATCAATTTATTACATTAATCACCAAATGGTATATCCACCATCGTTGATTATAGTAGCACCTGTGATGAATGATGCCTTGTCGGAGAGCAAGAAGATTGCACTAGGAGCTTGTTCAGATGGGTGACAGAATCTACCAAGTGGTGTGTTCTTAGCTTGATATGACTTGATTTCTTCTGGGTGATCCTTCGTTTGATCGGTGTTTACGTAACCAGGTGCAACGGTGTTAACACGAATCTTGTGTTGAGCCCATTCACCAGCGAGACATTTTCCAAGGTGGGTGACAGCAGCCTTTGATGAGTTGTAGAATACTTGCGTCAATGCTTGATTTGGTGCGCAGGTGTTATAAATTTCACCAGACATGGAAGAGATGATAACGATTGAGCCCTTTTCAAACTTCTTGTTAACCCACAATTGTGCTACTGCTTGAGCGGTGTTGAATACACCGTAAACGTTAACGTTGTAGATCTTGTCGAAGTCTGCTCTAGTCAATTCAAGAGCTGGTCTAAGTTCAGCGACACCAGCGTTGGCAATCAAACCGGTAACTGGACCAAACTCCTTGTCGACCTTGTTGACGACAGTCTTGACGCTTTCTTGATCGGTTACGTCACATTGGAATGCCTTTACTGGGACATTGAACTCTTTTGAAATCTTAGCAGCTACTTCGTCTGCGTCTTTAGCTGATCTGTAAATGATTGCTACTTGAGCACCTGATTCTGCTACTGAGCGACTGAGTTCGTAACCAATACCGCGGTTACCACCTAGTAATTGATTAGAATGATAATATAAGTCTACTTTTACTTACCAGATACGATAACGGTTCCTTCAAGTGCGAGTGATAATGGCATTTTATTTAAAAGTTGAGTGTTCGAATAAAAGAAAGTTGCTTAAATTGCCAACGAATTGAATCCAAGTGGAGTACAGTAACGTCACAGCTGACTTAATCTAGGGTTATAAATCTTAATTGTACTTGCATATCCTTCTATTTACGTTAATATCTATTTTATTCAGTTTCAGTATAGCTGACGTTTTAAAGCTTATAACGTCATCAAGCTGACTTACAGTTCTACTATATCCAAAAATAGCGAGTTTACCGAGCTGTCATTATTAGTTGGGCTGTATGATCATTTTTATGTAATTATACTTCCTAACTATATAGAATGTTATCGCTCCGACAATCTCCGTCTGCCAATACACACAAATTGAAAATATATAAATTATTCAATCGACTTTCCACATTATATTACGATACAATCACGCCTGATGATATACTGCACTTAAAGAATAGATAATTTGAGAAGCCTATGATGCCCGCGTCTAGATCAGCCAAGAATAAAGCTCAGTCTCGAGTTATGCCGGCTTGTCTGAGAAACATTCAATGTTTATACATCGACATATAACGTTCATGGGTGTCATTAATCTATACATTCATGAATTAAACGCTTGGGGTGCGCTCGGTAAATTAACTCACACCGTTCCTTAAATTGTGACAAATCATTGACCGTTAAATAGCTCATATGAGATTACAAGTATACGGGGAGTGCAAATTTAGTGTAGAACTATGCACAACTTCAATCGAGTTCATTATTATTCAGTATAAAATTTGGCCGATATGACATAAACATATAGAATTTTTCAAGTTGCAGTTAATCTGCACCAATAGGGATGCATTAAATTATAAAATTTGTTTGAATGTCATAAGCGCTATTAGTAGTTAGAGATATACATCTTCCCGAATTCAGGATTGCTAATTGAGTCAGTGCGTCTTTTCAATTTTCTGCTTTTTGTCTGTGATACTGTGATTTAAGAATTATTGATCTAGCCATTGGAGTGAGCCGTAGTACTCCACTTTCTCCCCTGTCTCTACTGCGAAGATCTATGTAACTAGCTGTAGGTATTTGGCTAATTGAACGCCTATTTGAGGTAATTTTTTGAGGGTACTTTTCATTTTTATGAAAGCATACGTTCTGTTTATTTGTATTACATTCAGTTCTAATATAAATTACATTAAAAAGCATTTTTTTGTAATATAGTTGTCTCGCATTTTTTCAGGGCCAGAATTTGGCCGTCCTGATTCAAATCCGGTCTGGGCCCATAGATTTACTCCAATTATTTTGAACAAAAGTTTGTTGTTTGTTAACAATTTAGTCCTAATAAACTAACTATGGATTTCAAGTCGACAACTTTGAATGGAAGAAGAAGCTCAGTAGAAACTGTCAAAGCGTACACACTGAGAAAGAAGAGCTCACAATCTAATATGAGCATTGGTAGTTCAAACAACTCATTCAGATCCACTTCATCGTCTTCTTCAAAGTCAATAAAGAGTGTCGTCGTCAGTCCACCAAGGTTGAGCTCAAAACATTACGGAATCTCATCACGGACGAATACACCAGATCCATTCAGTTCAACTAGTCAGACTAGCTGGTTTAGTCCCGAATTTAACCTCTAAATAACAAGTAGAGGAACAGTGTCCACATTCCTTTTGCATCACAATTTCGATACCCTTGTCAATACTCTGCATATGTATTTATACAATAAATCGTTAACATAGTTTACAATATTTGCTTACTTGTGGTAAGCATCGGCTGATGAAGAGTACATTCCTGGTTTATATACGAACTCTGGTTCTGAGATTGCTGGATGACTGAATGGATTGTTGTCATCATCGTTGTCTGATACCCTATCGTATGGATTACCTGGTTCAGGTTCAAATGGGTTGACAGTTCTACCTGTAAGTGGTGCGCTACTATCATCGTATGTTCTATTAGATGCGTCCGATTGGTAAGTCTCCTTTGCATAGCCATAACCAGCCTCTTGATCAGCATCTGGAGCTTGAAATGGTGGATCTCTAGTTCCACTCTTCCTTCCACTCTTCTTAATGAGGTTCTTGTTGTTAAGCATTATCTCAGCGATTGAACCCATCCAACTGAAGAAAACGACCCAAAATAATATAGATGCAGTCTTCTTTGTTCCACAGAATATAGGCAATGCATCCTTAAAGTCATCACCTTTACCCTCATTTGGATCATCATCTGGGTTTTTACATCCAGCCGTTGTGAATGCTGAACCTGTGCTAATCGCGGCCATTAAGAGTGAAATGAAAACACCAACTCCATTTAAAACCCATGCTGATCTGCGTTCTCGAAGGAATAAATCTGCATTCTAATCATTTGTCAACTGACGCGTCAAGTTTTATGTTATTTTGACTCACTTTTGCCATGTTCTTTTTAATGTATAACATAGGTATAGTGAAAAGAATAACTGAGAGAATGAAAAATAATAAGCTAGCAGCTATCGATAATCTATTGAATTTATTAATTAGCTATTCATGCTAAATTGAGACAACCCACCCTGACAATCCTGAAGGTCCAACATCCCATTTAGCCTGAAAGCCAGCAGTAGCAGCCCACATGATTAGACATAGCATACTGCTAATCATCTGACAACTTCTTATTATTATTGTCACTAAACTCATTTTGGTATCCTATTAAGGTAGGTTAAAGGTCAAACTAATTCGGTATGAAGGCGATTTTAGACTAACTCTATTTGACGAAATTGGTATTTCTTGATAAACTTCAGCTTTACTATCTCCCATTAGTACTTCTGAAGGATTTGGTTGCGGTGGTTCCAGCTTTGGTTTAGGTTTGAATAGATGCTTTAGTCTGATTGTGTATTCTTCAAACATATCTATAATTACGCGTTAATAACGTTATAATCACGCGTTTTATTTATCAGTTTACCTTTTTTTACGCGTTGGTAGTTGAGTCTGAAAACCAAGACGCGTCGTCAAATTTCTAATCCACGGCCGCCATAGAAAAATATAAATATACAATAATACAAAAAGGTACAATAAATAAATATATAATATTACTCCTGTATGTCACCTTGTCCAGTCCATTTTGATAACCAAATCGGTTGCTCGAGTTCGACTGTTGAATTGACGATCGATTCGGCAGAAGGCGGTGCAACGAGGGACGGCAGAGGGTGGCTAGTCTGTAGCTGATGTAATCTACTTATCAATTCATCTCTCATACTTGTCAATTTCCGCAGGTAATCAACCGCTAGTGATATTGTCAGAAAAGTGATGTAAGAATATCTAAACTCACTACTATTTAAAATAACTAACTCAGATATTGGTCCACCAGGTGCGAACTCCGGTTCAGCACTTTCTTTCTCCTTTTGTTGTGCTTGTAGAGGAATCCTACCCGGTCTGCGTTTAGATTTCCTCTCCACCCTGTCTTGTAAATCTGGTACAACTTTCGTGAGCTCCTCATATCCCAATCTAATCATGTTACGCCTTTTCTTCTCTGAACGTATATGATTCAACTTCTTCTCCTCAGCTGTGAGATTGTTCGTATTCCGTTTATTCGTAGAATTATTCTCTCTATTGTTAGCGCTTGTTTCTGAATTTACATCAAATTCCGCCATCGTTGTAACTATTCAAGCTCTTTATTGATAACCACCAAGATAAGAAATTTGAAATGGTGAGATAATCTGATAGAAGACTATTACACTATCTAACACACACTCTCAGTTGTTCTTCTCGGTGTTTAAAACTCTCACAGAACAGACGGTGACGGGTGAGTATGCGTAGAGTCAACCCTGTCAGTAAAACTAAATGTAGATCCTCACAGTTGAATTAAAGAATGACCTTTGTTTGATTGGTACTTTGAAATCAGTTGATCAATTCCTTAATATCAAATTAGACAATGTTAAAGTACTCGATGAACAGAGGTACCCTCATATGGTTAGTATATACACTTATATTCAACTTATTCACTAACGATGCACTAAGATGGCTATCAAAAATACTTTCATTAGAGGCTCGGTCGTTAGATACGTTCAATTACCATCAGAATCAATCGATACTCAACTCCTTCAGGATGCCACACGCAGAGAAGCAACACGCAATTAAAAGTATATATGTATGCATTTATAAATAATAATCTAATTTATGATAATTCAACCGACATTCTAATACCCATACAGGCTAACTCTGAAGCCAAATATCTCAATACGTATGGTACGGCAACGACGTCCATATTTCCACCTTTACCAATATTCAAATCCTTAGATAATGGTAATATTATATCACCCTTACGTTCAACTTGTCTGACTTCACCGTCAAGCTCTCCTTGATCTTTCTCTAATTGTGCTTGACGACATACACGACAGTATTCTCCAGTTGGTCCTTGTGGGAGTTGTGAAGCTGCCATATCTCTCTCGTCGGTGTATCCGAGTGAGATCAAGCTACCACAATCTCTACATACCCATGTAGTTGAGTAATCTGAGCAGTTCATCAATCTATCTTGCAACAAGAATGATGTACCGTGAGCGATAAGCGCATCTCTTTCCATTTCTCCTAATCTAATACCACCATGACGTTTACGACCCTATAATAAATCAATTAGCTTTGCCGTTTCTATATGACACCCAAACTAACCTTAATTGGTTGACGAGTGAGTTGATCAACAGGACCTAATGTTCTAACTTGATACTTGTCATTAACCATGTGTCTCAATCTTTGATAGTATACACATCCAATGTAGATGTCTGCAGGGAACTCTTCACCAGTTACACCGGAATACATTGGCTCATTTCCATGATAGTTGTAACCAGCGGACTTTAATTGTTCACCGAAGTATTCAACAGGCGTATCTTTTTCATTGAAGTTGAATGGTGTACCATCTTGTGCCAAACCGTGGAGAGCACCAGCTTTACCTGCTATAGACTCAACAAACATACCGATAGTCATTCTAGATGGGAAAGCGTGTGGGTTGATAATAACATCAGGTTGTAATCCAGATTCTGAGAATGGTAAATCAATCTTTTTCCATCTTTGTGACATAACACCCTTTTGTCCGTGTCTAGAACTGAACTTGTCACCAACAACTGGAGATCTAGGTATACGTATCTTGAAGTGGATCTTTTGAAGTTCAGTATCACCACCATCAGAGCCTAAGAGACGAATTTCGTCGATGTAGGCATCTTCATCTCCTTTGTATTTTTCTACCATTGTTCTGCCGGTAGTTTCATCTATGTAGGCGCAAATTGGATCACCAGATGTTACTTTAACTCCTGATGGAATGATACCATCATCATCTAAAGTTTCTCTCCATTCTTGCTTTGCGTCAACACCCAAACCGAAGTGTAGAGTTGGTGCTGATCTTGATTTTGATGCTCCTCTCATTTCGCGCAAGTCTACAATTTGCGATTTGTATACAGTACCATAACCGAAACCTCTCTCATGTGCTGATTTGTTGATAATCATAGCATCTTCCATATCATAACCTGTGTATGAAAGTACGGCGACAATGGCATTTGCACCTTGTGGGAAGTTATCCATACCGTAATGAGCGTGTAATTTTGGTCTGACTATTGGCGTTTGACCATTTTGTATTCTATACAACTTATTATCGGTTCTTCTCATGATTGCAGTTGAAGGTGTACCCATAGTTTGTTTAGCCATTTGACATTGGTACATATTTCTTGGTGATTGGTTGAAATCTGAGAATGGAGTCATATTTGCGACTACTGATAAAACGTTTGTTGGTGTGTATTCAACGTGTGTAGAAATTCCCTTTTCAATTTCTTTTGGTACACATGCTACATCCATGTAAACTTGCTCGAATGAACCGAGATGATCTAATTTACCATTAGCGAGGTACTTGACAGGTCTCATCATTCTAGCTCTTGAAGTGAACAAGTATAATCCAGGGTATTGTCCACCTTTCGATGAAGGTACCAAACCAATTTCCAAGTTTAATGGTACATCGTGAAGCTTCTCTGTCTTCCAAATACGTAAAGCCTCAGCCATATGTTTAACATCTTCTGTTGAAGCCCAACCGATGATTCTACCATCTAATTGAATTGCAACGCTATTTCTTCTGTCTACTGTGTTTACAAATGGTTGAATCATACCCAAACTAGACAATAACGATGGAATATTTGAAGCGCTCTCCTCTAAGTTCTCTGTTGTAACTTTACATGACCTTGAAAGGTGATTGAGCAAACCACATGGTGCACCATCTGGAGTGTGTACAGGACACAAGAAACCCCAAGCTTCGGGCAGAAGCTTTCTAACAGCTGTTGTCTTTAATTCTGCAAAGAAAGCACCTCTATGTATACACCTAAAGTGTGCGAGATATCTATAAAAGTTAAGCTTTTCTGCCATAATTGTGAAACCAGTAGCTTGTTGCAAATCTAGACCAGAAGGTGAAACTAGGTTACCAGTTGCTAAGAAGTAATTGAGCTTTTGACCGATATCAAAGTTAGTCCTTTGTATAACCTTGTTGACATATTTATCATCGCTGACGTTGGCTGAGCTTACTTGTCGTCTAAGATCTTGTCTAATTTGAGCAGTTGCTGCGATAAGACACTCATCTAACTTCTCCTTGATGATCTGTCCATATAAGAAACCAGGCATGAGTACTTCGTGAAGTTGAGGAGAATCTGGATTATCAGGACAACTTTCACCACTAACTAATGAATAAAGCTTTTGTAACATATAAAGCAACATTCTGTATTTATCTTGAGGAGATTGGAGATGAACCAAGATACACCTATCAATGAGGTATTGACCAACTTGAATATCAGTCCAATCTTCTGGGCAACCTAAAACTACTCTGAACTTTGAGCCTAAGAAGTGCAAACATTGTTCTCTGGTGTATAATTTGAATGGCTTGAAACCTCTCAATAACAACTCAACTCTATCAGTTAAGAAAGTGTTATCGTAGTCCTTTTGAATGATACCTTCGAAAATATCTCTATCAGAAGCAGAACTGAGTGCTTTTAATACCATTACGACTGGAATCATGTACTCGTTCTTTCTCCAGGCAAATCTGAGTGTTGCACCGCCGTTACTGAGGTAATGCATGGTGTTTGTTGCGGCGGTTTGATCAGGTCTAACGCAACGAATTTGTACACCGTATTCAGTGTATGTTGGACCTCTATTAGCGAAACTAGGTCTGATAATTGAAGTTACGTAATGTCTTCTTGGTACGACGAGTAATCTCATCAGTTTTTCATTACCGTTGATAATAAAGTAACCACCCATTTCGTCAGATTCTTCGTGCTTTTGAACGAGTTCTGCGGATGTCATCTTTTGAAGATTGCATCTCTCAGATCTGACCATAACAGGAACTGAACCGCATTCTCTGATAAATTCTGATTTAATTTCACCATTCACTTTGACTTGTATTTTTACGCTCATACGAGATTTGTAGGTCGTTAATCTCTCTCTAGCCTGGTATAGTGTAAGAAATGAAGATTTTTGGAGAGAAGAAACATACCTCAAATGGGAAGACACGTCTGTCTGTAGAGTTCTTATCCTTGTCGAGTACCATTGGTTTCGCAATCGTGAGTTGTGTGTATGTTACTGGAGAGATGTATGAGAATATGGAGAGATGGAGAGTATATACTCACATTCCAACCTCTGCTTATCGTCTATAATAACTCTTGAAGGTATATCTCTCAATGCTTTATCTAATAAACCTTCTCCACCGTTTGAATCCTTAAAAAGCATGTTGAAACTGTCTACGTGCGGCTTAACTAATTCCTGTAGAACAGGATAGTTTGTACCCTTATTTGAGGGGTTTTTAAATGTTCTCTCCCTCTCTAAGGTATTGAATGACATGGTAGTCGTCCGTTAAGAAGATTCTTCAACAGGGACCTCCATGAGGATAGCAATTTTACACCCAGATTTAGGTATTGGTGCGTATCCTATCATTTTTATTTTATTGTCTCTTATTTCTCTTTATAAGGCGGGGCTGAAAGGTTGATAGTCGATGCAGCCTACAGCTTACAAAGTAGAGGGCACACTGTAGATATATTCACAAGTTACCACGATCCAAATCATGCATTCAACGAGACAAAGGATGGTACACTGAGAGTCCATGTCCTCGGTGATTGGTTTCCTCGTACGCTTTGGGGGTATCTCCATATCGTCTGTGCGATCATACGTCAGATTCATCTGGCTATTATGCTGGCTATATCCATCTCTCTATCAAAGATTATCGCACCTAGTTTGGCTTTCCATGCTTGGCATAGACCAACACAACGATACGACGTAATATTGGTCGATCAGCTCTCTGCAGCTATACCCTTACTTAGAGTATGGCTAGGTATTCCAGTAGTATTCTATTGTCATTTCCCAGATAAGCTCCTAGCAAGTGGTTCGGTAGCACCCGTTAGTGGTGACGGAAAGATCGTCTATCCTGCCAGAATGTCTAAACTTAAACAGCTTTATCGCATCCCTATGGATTTATACGAGGAATTCTCTACTGCCGATGCAGACGCTCTCATCGCAAACTCTGAATTCACTAGTAATGTCATCCAAAACACGTTTCGAGAGGTTGAACAAACGCCGATTGTCATATATCCATCAGTTGACACGAGTGATCTTGTAGGCTCAGCTGGTGAGCTGCAAAGGTAAGGTATTCATTATGTTTTAATGACTATATTTGACGCTCGATTAGTCGAATTTTCCTCTCAATAAACAGATTCGAACCAAAGAAAAATGCCACTCTGGCTGTAGAAGCCTATGCTAAACTTGTCGAAGGTCTTGAACAGTCTGAGAGAGACTCTTTAGCTCTCGTCTTGGCGGGAGGTTATGATGCCAGGCTGCCATCAAACGTCGACTGTGTCCAAAACCTTGAAACTTTATGCAAAAACCACTCACTCAGTTACGAATTCATTGACGATACTCAATCAATATCCTCAAAGCAACCAAAAGACGTATATTTCATGCTAAACATCAATACACAAACCAAGAAGACGCTACTTAATTCACCTTCCACCCTTGCATTACTCTACACACCAACAAATGAACACTTCGGTATCGTACCAGTTGAAGCTATGGCATGCGGAAAGCTTGTCTTAGCAACTAATACGGGTGGTCCAGTTGAGAGTATTAAAGATGGTGAGACGGGATACCTCCTCACTTCAGATCCCTTCAAGTGGTCGCAAAGAATGAAAATCCTCTTGCTTCCATCAAATCAAGAGAAGATCATTGCGTCATGTAAAGCCAGAGTCGACGAGTTATTCACGTTGCACAAAGCTGGCGAGAAATTCGAACAAGTACTAGGCGGTGTTGTAGGTCACGGTCTAAGCAACCACGGTGAAAGAGGTATGTTAATACAAGGCACAGTATTCATGTTCTTGGCAATGACTTTTATCATCTATATTGTTGGTTTCTACTGAAAAATTGTACTACTAGTTTAATCAATGTATGTTTAATACAAATGAGATGTCTTTAAGAATACAGCTAATCATACACTACTCAATTAGTTTAATCCAGATTCAAAAGAAAGGTTATTGTTGCAGCTGCACCCAAGCTGACGCCTATAGCACCACCTATTATGCCAGCTGTGAGGCTCTGATTGTAATTCGATGGCTTTTCAATCCTCTTCTCAGTCATCTTCTCCGTCATCTTTTCGTTCATCTTCTCAGTCGTCTTTCTCGCCTTCTTGAGTTTGTTTGACTTGAGTTTAGCGGATCTGAATGCATCCTTACGTTTAGCGACCTGAAGGCGTTTGTAGATAATTGCATTCTTGAATGATTGGACCTTTATTTGTCTCATGGAATTGTCGATTTTTTCGAGAGACCCATCGTGCTCGGCTATTATGCATTCTAACTCATTCAATCGTTCGTCAAGTTCCGAATCTACGTTGTTGTCAGATTCTTTACTGTCAGAAGCATAGTCCGAAGCTGTATAGCCTGGAGCAGGATTTAGTACACTGGAAGGCTCGAAGAGTTCTGAATCATCAGAGAGTTCACCGCTGTCGACTTTCTCGACCAAAGGCTTCTTATTGTCACTTTGTTTGTTGCTGGAAACCTCCTCGATATCATCGCTGTCCATGATATCACTGAATCTAGCTGAAAATGAGGTTGAACGGAAATCTGGCTCTGCCTCGACTGTGAAAGTCATTGGTTTGTATCTACCACCGTGTGCTTGCAAATGCTTAGCTAATTGCAATTTCACACCCCTCCCAATTTCGAGCGGCTCATAAGGGGTAATCTTGCTCGGCTTTCCATCTTTGATAATGTATGAGCCGTGCAAACTGCCTAGATCTTCGTACATGACTAAGTATCTGTCCAGCTGTAGGACTTGTGAGAGGACTCATCGCGAATGTCGAGCGACTCACATAAATCTGTCCATGGTTTTTGGAAATAGTCTTAGACTGGGGATAGTCTTTGAAAAGCTTCCTGCCTATTTTCTGATTATCGGAGATTGGTATAGTATCCCCTGATTCCAGTTTCAATTTCAATTCCATCGTTCGAGACAAAGCAATTTTCGGTCAAAGCAATATAAATACAAATTATAATACAAAATTAGTCAGCTACACATTGCTGATCACATATGCTTGACTTTAACTTCTGACCTGCTAGCTCAATATCGTAGAACCTGAGGTCATTGATAGAGTGTGAAGTGGCGATATCATTCAGTCTTCCGGTCTCAACGCCCTTAGTCCTCTCCTGTTTGAGCTTTTCGAGTTGTTCATCGAGATCAAGAGTATAACTTTGTCTGATTTTCACCTCACGCGTTGGTTTTGGTGGACTTTCTGGATAGACGATTTCCTTGGTTATACTTGTCGTCGATATTTTCGTCTTAGTTTGGAACCTGCCTGGTTTGTCTTCAAATGTTGTTACTTCGGGTGTTCGTGGACTCCTTGAATTAGTCGTTGGCGAGTAACTCGATTTGCGTTGATGGAAAGTAGCGCTCGCAGATGGGATTCGCGGTCTCGCTTGATGCGGTTCAACGACTGGGAATTCCTCCTTCAATTCGCCCTCTTCGCCGTCGTCGTGATCTCTCGTGATGACTTCTCTCACGCTGCTGGGAGAAGGCAGGGGCGAGTCATAGGACGTATTAATTGGTGGTGGTCTGTGTGTGTTATTGTAGTGGTGCGAATGGTAGCCATCGTAATCTCTGCCAGCTGTACCTCTATATCCACCTCTACCACCGCTGTAAGGCTTTCGAGAGGGAATGTACCGCGGTGGACTCCTAGGCGGTCTGCTCCTACTGAAATGGTCATCACGCCATCCAGGACTTGGTCTATAAAACGGTCTTCTGTATCCACCACCGCGATAGCCACCTCTGTCATATCCACCTCTATCACTGTATCCACCTCTATCGCTGTAGCCGCCTCTGTCACTATAACCTCCTCTATCGCTGTAGTAGCTGACTATCAGCCAAAATCTCTAAAAAGATGTACAAACTCACTTGTATCCCCCACCATAGCTTCTAGGACCTGGTGGCGGCCTCCTATCATAGTCATATCCTCTGTATCCCCGTGGCGGTGGAGATCTCGAATTATTTCTGCTGTTCATCGATGATGATTGTAATGAAGAAGGCTATATTCTATTAAAATCTAATTACAAATCTACCAATTCCTTTACCAATCTCCTGGAATTTCCTAGTCACGTCTTCTAGTTTTACCTCCTCAACTACGTTCCATATCGAGTGTTGCCTGCAGAATACCAGCAGATCTTCGACGTCTCTAGGACAGCCAGCAGACCATCCTACGGATTATTAGACCTTCTAGAGTGTCCTCTACAACTTCACTCACCCTTTATTGTAGCTCTTTTCATTAACAATGGTATAACTGGCACTTTAAACTGCAGATCGGCTGGTTCCGATAACATTATTACTTCTGCTTCCATAGCTAGGCCACCCTCGATAATCTTCGATGCTGTATCGACGTCAGGAGAGGTTGTCAAGAGAAGATCTACACCCCCAGGACCGTATCCATATCCATACGGACTATCAGTATGTTCCTTAATCTGATTGACAAAGTTTGGATCTTGTCGACTGATAAATGCAGATGCTCCTAACTCCTCCGCTTTTGATTCTTTCTGTTTTGATCCGCTGATAACTATAGGATTCATTCCAAATGCTTTAACTAATGGGATTGCGATTGTACCAAGTCCACCCATACCTATGATACCCACATTGTTGCTATTATATTATTAAATACATAATCTTGAAAATTTTGACCCACCCTGGTTTACATTTCGAGCTATTTCTAATAGCATTGAAAACAGTTAATCCAGCACACATCATCGGCGCTTGATTAGGATCTATATCTTTTGGCCATGGTACGAGAGCTGTATAATCTGCATTCACGTATTCGGACCATCCACCATGTCTCGTCAATCCAGTCGCATTTGCTAGTTTACAACCAGTGAGATAGCCTCTTCTACAATTATAGCATTCTTTACAATATCCGCTAAACCAGCCTAATCCGACTCTTTGGCCTGCTTTGAATTTCCAAGGATTTCCATCATCCATTGCACTCTGGATAGCATGTACACCTTCGCCGATAGCTTTAATCTCGCCTACAATTTCATGACCTGGTGTTAGAGGGTAGAATGCCCCGTGATGCATTCCTACTTCATCGCCTAGGCAGATTCCGCAGGTGATCACTTTTAGCTGGACTTCAGACGCCCTCAATGGTTCTATATCCCTACTGACAAGCTTGAGTCCTTCAGATGCCTTTTCTGAGACGATCGCTTTCATCGTATGAGAGAAGGTTGTGATGTCATCACTTCGTGGATCAGCTTACAAGTACCCAATAAAACATGTTTGATTAACAACGATCATGATCACCCGTATTACAAAAGTAAACACAAGATATTTAAGCACTTCCATTCGTGCATTAGCTAACAAGCCAGAGGATGTAGAATCACACACAAATTCACCCTGGCAGACGTCGATTAAGGAGGGCCAAGCGACGAAGGAATACCCTGGTGTGAAGCCATCTAATGAGGCAGATAAACAGGCACTTGGCTCTGCTGCTGCTGATCAAGTTGGTGGTCAACCTAATGGACATACATCAGCGGGTGAGACACACGATGTACCGGAGCCAGGTCTTAAGGATAAATTCAAGAAAGCTCTCGGTATGTCCACAGAAACGGAGAGTAAGAAAGGAAGAACCTATACGACATTAGCACGTCAATTTTCATCAACTAGCGCGGCAAATAAGGCGCCAAATGAACCTAAAGAAGAGACAAACAATGAGCAATCTGGTCATATAAACCACCGCAGAGCATCAGATAGCCAACCATTGCATGGTGCAGATGCAACAGGAAAGCCTGCTCGTTATAGTGACGCAATTGCCAATGAGGAGGGTCTTCATGGTCCAGCCAGAGGCGGATATGTGCACGCCTTGCCAAGCGCAGAAGCAGAAAGCCAAGGCAAATCATCAGCTTACCCAAGTAATGATAGTGTCGTCACTGAGAACTACCCAGCTGCAGATTTAGACAGAGTAAAACCATCTGGTGCTGCTCCAGGGTCAAGCACTGTATCTCATCAAATTCCAGAAAGTGTTAGAGAAAGTGTGACTCGAACAACAGATCCAGATGCTTTAGGTGAGTGGTTTGATTTAACGATTATACCTGCTAAAACACTCAGGATCTAGCAATCGTCTGAGACATGGCCAAGCGCCAGGCAAGGATTTCGATGGGGAGGGTTCTCTGATGAATGATGTACCAAGAGAGAGAGTCGAACCAAACACAGAATTGGGTAAACGTGGTGTAACTCTCCCACCACCACCACGCACACAAGAGGAACTCGATAAATTGCATCCAGGTAGGAAGAATCCACCAAAGTGATTTATATGATCTACGCGACCCAAAAAATCCCGAATAATTCTATAAAATATTGATAAATACAATTCTGTTTTGATAATCTACTGCTTTGGAATCTCAACCTTTTCCACTTGCTCAGCAACGCTGTCGATTGATTGTTGTTGGAAGTTAGCCGCTGACGCTTTTGCTTTGTTCTTCTTGGCTTCATTCTTAGCTTTCTTCGCTTCTTTCGCAGCTGCAGCTGGATCGATAGGTGGTGGGTATGCAGCTTTTTCAATTGCCTTGAACTCAGCATCAGATTCAAATGTATTTCTGATTGGGTCAAGGAGGGTGTTGATTGCTTCTTCAACAGCCTTTTTAAGGTCACCTGGGTGGACTGCCTTGTTTGCGAAATCTTCTTCAAGTTTTGTGTATTCGGTGTAATGCAATGAACCTCCGAATCTTTCTGGACGGGTGACTGAGTATAAATCTTTCTCATCAGCACCTTCACCAACGAATGGTGATTTTCCCTTAGCTTGTTGCTTGTATGCAGCAATTGGGAAAACAACGGCCTTCAAGAAGGCCAATAAACCATTTTCTTCAATGTTACCTTCCTCACAGAATGCTAATTTGATCTTCTTCTTGACGTCTGCAGCCGAGTCCAAGAAATCAATCTTTGAGTTTGGATCTGAGGAAGACATTTTTCCACCTGCCAAACCAGGTACCATTGCATTCATAAGGTGGGCCCTCTTGGCATAGCCGAGCTTTGGTAATACGGATTCAGCCATAACGAAGATCTTTCTTTGGTCTACACCACCGAATTGGAAATCACAACCGAGATGCTCCTCATCGAGGGCTTGAAGACCAGGGTAGAGCATACCGGATAAAAGTGGAGAGCTGACTTGTTTGACGACCTCTGCACCAGCTTTCTTTGCGTCGTGCTCTGTCGTCATAGCAGCCAATCTGTAATTGTCCATCGAGTATTGAGGGGTGAGTTGGTAGCTTGAACCGACGACGAAAATGAGCTTATCGACTGGTACATCCAAGCTAACAAAAATAGCTCTCAATAACTTTGTGTAGTACTTTACTCTGTCCTGTACCAATTCGAATGGTGCTTTCATGTTGTCTAAGAAAGCGTGGATGTCTGCTAACAAAATCTTGACTTCTACGCCGGCTCTAAGGAAGTCTGCGATTTTGACGAGTGGTACAAAGTATCCGACATGTGCTGTATCTGTTAGAGAGAAGTTTTGAACTTTGTGACTCTACATACGTCTTCCTGTTGGTGCACTACCTATAAAAACGAATGATCAGATTATGAATACTGCATATAACGAAATACACACCCCAGTAACATTTCAATTGCTCAGCTTTGCTCAGCTTCTGCTTGATAATATCACCGCCGAGTACTTCTTGAAGTGAGCGTGTTATTAAATCAAAGCGTGCGTTCTGTTCTTCGTTGAGTTCTATAGGGATTGATTTATCCGTCATTTTAATTTTTACTCTTCGTCGTATCAATTCAAGAGCAATTACGTGTTTCTAACTAACAATCATTATGACCGCAAATTTCACATCCTGGGGAAGGTTAGTAGATTATATAACTTTAATATCCGTTAACGTATTCTATAGACCCTTCACTGATGCAAAAATGGACATGTATGGTGGAGATATTACACAAAGATATCAACTGGGAGCCCAGCAGCTCGCAGCAACTTCAGACAACTTTACGGAGGGTGTTCAAAAGACTCAGCAACCTATCGTCACCGGTACATCCGTTATTGGCTTAAAGTATAAGGATGGCATCATGTTAGCAGCAGACAACTTAGCTTCATATGGTTCTTTAGCACGCTTCAAAGATATCCAGAGACTCTATGGTGTTGGTGATAATACCGTTATCGGTGCTGCAGGTGATATGTCAGATTTCCAACACGTACAACATGAATTAGAATCACTCTTCATTGACGAATACTGCAATGACGATGGTCACACTCTTGGTCCAGCACAGATATACGAATACCTCTCCACATTGATGTATCACCGTCGTAGTCAGCTTAACCCGCTCTGGAATGCTTTCGTTGTTGGTGGTGTAGACCCTAAATCCGGTGAAAGTACTTTAGCATACGTTGATTTATTAGGTACAACCTACTCAGCTAAAACTATTGGTACTGGTTATGCATCCATGATTGCTATCCCATTACTTAGAAGATTGGTTGAAGACCGTGAGGAACCACCTAACGAGGAGGAAGCACTTGAAATTATCAAAACTTGCATGAAGGTCTTGTTTTACAGGGATGCTAGATCACTCAATAAGTTCCAAGTCGCTAAAATTACCAAATCTGGTGCAGACATCAGTCCATCAATGTCTGTAGAGACTGAATGGGGCTTCGCTGAAGGTATTAGAGGTTACGGTGCACAAACTCAGTAAAGATATAAATAACTGTATTACATTTTTATTACATCAAACGAACTTAAAATATACTTATCAATATTTCGTGCTTTGTGACTGTGACAAGTAAAACGAAGATCCCATTCCACTTTGCTGACTGAGGTATTGAAGACTGTTAACACTTGTGAAAAGCAATAAAGGTAATCCTGTTACTGATTTCTTAGCAAGCCAATCCAAGAAGGTAGCCCTGATGTTTAACTTCGGATTGTCGAGAATACTACCTTTTATAGCGGTATTCGTGAGTGGTCCAACGTATCTATCTTTCTTTGGGATATCCATCACGTCTTGCAATTCAATTAAAAATCGTTGTGTGAGTGCTATGAATTTCGGACTGAATGCAATATCACATACAGCTCTTAATGATAATTTGTACTTTTTCCAAGGCACACTTTCGACTTCTTGTGCTATTTTTTCAATACTGTAATCTTCAATTCCCATCCACTCGCCATAGTCGGATACTGTGAAACCTTTCATACGATATAACATTTCAACAGCATTGACAACCATATGATTAAAGCCATCCAAGAAGTCCGCTGGATATGGACCTACATAGCCATCTGCATGTAATTCATTGTGTATTGTCATTACTTCTCTCCAGTAGCAAATTTGACCTGATGTACGAGACGTTATACCAGCATCCCCACCAAGTAGAAGCTCAAAAATCAAGCTTATATCTGGTAACCGCAAGTTAAATTCAGATACATTCGCAACGAAGGTAGTTGAAGCTTCAAGTGAATCAAGTATTAGATGCTTAATTTCTATGTTATCAGGATATTCCTATCATTAAAAGTCAGAGGTATTGAAACATTTTGATTTTATACCAACCATTAGCAACTTAGTGTTGTAATTCTCAACGTAATCAACAAATTGTGAAGCGACAGACAACCAGTTAACATCATCGGGAACTTCTGCTATGATTTCACCACTTGGAGGGTCAACAGATATCCTTGTTATAAAAATATACCTACATGCCAGACCTCCTCGCACGCATTGATCTCCAATCGTATGCGGACCATCGCATCATAATAGTATTGTAGCACTGTACCAACCGAATGCGGAAGTCAATTGGTGCACTGAGACTCTTCGTTTCTAGTGGCATTATAATATACTTTGCAAAAGCTGGAGAATATGTCAGTACTGTTAGTCGGTTAGCAACGAGACTGACCCTCGAATGTCCTTGGAGGGAAGAAAGACAATAGTTCAAAAATTTCATTTTGATATAATCCAATATCCCAATATTTGATAACTAACAATAGAATATCTTCCATTATAGGGAGTAGTTCCTAAACCACTGAGAAACGCCATGCAGATTTCATAATGACTTACCTTAGTATAACGAAAGAATTCGATCACACGTTGTAAGATTTCTTGACCTGCACTGTAGCTCTCTGGAGTTATAAGCGTATCGAAGAAAATTGTTTCGAATAAGTCTGTCAGCCATTCTTCGACTCTTTCAATAGCATCATCTGTTTCGTGTGAGTAGCGAATGAAATGATGAAATTCAACCAACCCGTCGTATTCGCAAGGAATGCCCATGTCATATGCTTAGACTGGAAGAGAGCAGCATTTTGGATAGGCAGAGTTAGTCTATCGAGATTACGACCAACAGATTGGACAGTAGGACAATCAGCCAGCGTGATAACATTTGAATGATTGTCAAACGTAGTTGTGGAAGGTATTTCATATGCAAGTCTCTGTTTCTTTCTACCAATTTGTAATCTTTCACGAATTGGTAAGGCTGTCTCGCCTGCTTTGCGTTGTTTCTCTTCTTCAACAAGCTGTTCATGCTCCTCTAATCTACCATCTCTAATTGCTTGGGCTTTTCGTTTCCAATCCTCATCTATCTGGAACTACTGTTAGAGCTATTCAAGACATTCAAGCATGTTCTTACCCTGTACGATCTTTTACCAGCTGCAAGACCAATTCCTGGTGGGATGCGAACTGGATAGAACGTCCTAAATTTTTGTATCAGACCAGGGAGCGATGGATCCAAGGGAAAACGCGTTTGGAGTGTCAATACAGCCGACACTCTGTATGGTCGGACATGCTCACGACGCGTAAGCAAAGCTATCAAATGAGGAAGGTGTGGCCTTCGAAGCACATTAGATTGTTCTGTGATGTTTATATTATCACACACCTGAGTGATTCCACCGAGAGTCGAGCCCAGAGAGCATTATAGAGATTATTGAGCGACCGTCGCGCCTGATCGTCTAACCAATCCATTACTATAATGAGCCATTTCAATGCAGCTGCTTGCACGCGTGTGTCGACCGGTTTACCAGGCTGCACGCCTAAGGAACCTACTATAAGCTGGACAGGACGGCATGGAACTTCATTAAGGGGGTATAGCATAGTAAATAACTTAATACTGTATCCGCTCACTGTTGTGATGATCAGATGAAGTCTTCTGAGTTATCGCAACCTACGCAGATCACCACTGAGTGCGAGTTCAATAGCATCTGTAAGGTCTTCTGGAGAACAACCTTCTCTCCCTATCCTGCTCTCCAAAGCTTCAAATGTTACTTTTATGGAATCTCGCTTTTCTTTTGTAGCAGATGAGCCATCTGGAGATAACTTAGAAGATAGATTACTAATATGCACTTACTTACGTCGCCTGAGATCTTCTAGTAGTGGGTATATACTGTCGAGATTTTCATCTCTCGGTGAGCTCATCTTGGTGGTTGAGATATAAGAAGTTTAGCGCTGAGATCGCGAGATTTGCTAACTGATAAGAGAAGGAATGGATGCATTCATGGTGGTTATACGGTATATCTACACCTTCAACTCCCTTCGTCACTATCGTGGGTATAAACAATAAACGCGGGAAATAACGCAGAAAAGCAAAAAGGAACATATATAATGCATTAACATACTCATATAAAACGTATACCAACGGGAGTGATTAAAAATAACGCGTGATATGCCTCTTGTGCAATAACTTCCATTATCTACGAATTTGGAATATGAGCGGGGATCTGAATATGGCAGAGCAGAGAGAGCAAATGGAGCAGACGGAGCAAGCGCCATTAAAAGTTGGTAAAAGAGCAAAACAAACGCAACAATTAGTACAGATGGCCTTGAAACATATCGTTGAGGGATGGTCATATGATAATTTCGAACAATCATTTCCCGCGATTGCTAAGGATTCACCGGAATCACTTTCTAGTATGCGTGACCAAACGAAAGAGCACTTCGAGAAGAGCGTATCTACAAGTATAGACGCGCTTCACGACCGCAGGAGGGTCGTACAAAGTCTGAACAGCCTCGATGAGATGTTGGACAGAGTGCAGAAAGCAAAGAAGGAGAATCATAAGACTGCGTTTGGTATGAGTTTCAAACAACGCGGCGAAGCGTGAGTGGACCACTCTTTTGCAATATTCTCGTTAAATGTAGTACAGTTTCGCAAGCGATCCATTCCTAGCTGTGAAAGCGCGCAAGCATGCCGTTGTACGATCAGAAACTGAAGAAGTTGATAGGAGGATAGCAGAAGCCAGAGGCGAGACAGAGGAACTGATCAGTAAAATAAAATCTCTGGACGCTGAAGAAGAAAAGTATGACAAGGAGAAGTCTGAACTTGGAAGGCTACTTAATGTGGTACGTTTCCTTTCCAACTGTCTAACAATGTTAACAAAGAACACTACAGCTGAATGAGGCGACGAGCAACATACCACAGGATGAGATGTCTGTCGTGCAGTCTGAACTTAATCTCGTAATCTAGCTAATATAGTACATTTGTATTAATAACTTGTATAATCTTAACAATCATCATCGATATGCTTGATATCTGCGAAATCGTACACAAGGGTGAATATCTCTGCGTATAGTAATACAGTTTGTTAATATATTCAAAGGTGGCGCTGTCCTCTGGTCTAGATCATTCACACCTCAGGCTGAATCTGATATGCAGAAGCCGAATTCACCTACGAACCATATATTAAGAGAGGGTGTAATAGAGGGTAGACTGACATCTACTCCAATTGATTATGAAGCTTACACTGTACACTGGAGTTTAGAAAACAAGCTCGATTTGATCTTCGTTGTGAGTTCATCGATAGCGTAGCTAGAACAGCTAATGGTATATTATAGATAGCATACTCTAAAATGATACAATTGAATTATGTAGAGGAGCTTATCGAGACTACTAAGCAGTTATTTGTCAGTCTATTCAAACCACTTATTGAACAACTCGTGAATTCATTGAGTGGGGGTGAACCACTCAACCAAATGGAGTCTATACCTTCATTATTCAAGGGCTGGGATAGCGTATTTGACAAGCTCTTAAAGGATATTGATAGTGTGGGTTGTTCCTATCATTTATTGTCACACTAACATCCGTAAAGAACAAGAAACAGCGCGCAAAGTTACAAAATAACAAAAAGGCTGCAAAATCGACACCAAAGGTTGAGCAAGGTATGTTCCACGTATATAATGGTAAATGTCTAATCCACGATAGGTGAAACACAGTCAACAGAAAAGGTAGTTGATGCAAACGAGATTGCGAAAAATGTTGAAGCAATGAAAGCACGCTTGAAAGCCTCATCAAACACGAAGAAGGCCAAGGCAGCCCCAGCAGCCGACCAAAATACAAAGAAATCGAAAAAGGAGATGCGTAATTGGGGAAATAAAGTTACATCCCAAGAGATGTCAGCTTTAGACTTTTCTTCCACATCCAATGACAGTGACAACGTCGGAAATTTGGACAACCTGGTCGACAAATCAGCCAAAGGAACGTACGATGAGAGTACTGGAGTTTACAATCTAGCGGAATACAACAACGACGATGAAGATGAAGATTTGCTAGATATCGATATTCCCGCTTTGGAAACTGAACAACCGCAACAAGACAGCACATGGGGCTTCCTCAAAGGATTGACCGGTCTGACTGGTGGGAAGACGATCGACAAGGCTACAATCCAGCCTGTACTTGCCAACATGTCAATGTTACTCATGAAGAAGAACGTAGCTGCCGAAATTTCTGAGAAAGTCTGTGCAAGTGTTGAACAACAATTGGTTGGTCGTAAAATTGGTACATTCACCACTATCAAAAGTGAAGTAAAGAATGCACTCAACAATTCTATAACTAGGATCCTCACACCAAAGACATCCACTGATATTCTTTTCGAGATATCTCAAAAGAAGAAAAAAGCTTCATCAAAAGGTGGAAATGATCCTTATAGTTTGGTGTTCTGCGGTGTCAATGGAGTTGGCAAGTCTACAAACCTCAGTAAAGTCTGTTATTGGTTGTTGGAAAACAGGTTGAATGTTTTGATTGCTGCATGTGATACCTTCCGTAGTGGGGCTGTCGAACAGCTTCGTACTCACGTCAACAATCTTGATAACCTGAAGTTAGGCAGTGGTGTCACTTCTCGCATTGAATTGTACGAAAGAGGATACGGGAAAGATGCTGCTGGAATCGCAAGAGATGCCATTGCTTATGGAAAAGAGAACAAATTTGATGTCGTTCTGATCGACACTGCTGGTAGGATGCAGGATAATGAGCCATTGATGAGAGCATTAGCCAAGGTGAGTGACTACGTATCGATGAAGTTTTACTAATTGATCTCTAGCTGGTTTCTGTCAACAAACCAGACAAGATTATCTTTGTTGGTGAAGCACTTGTAGGAAATGAAGCTACAGACCAGCTCGTCAAGTTCGACAGAGCGCTCAAAGATCTTTCGTCTTCTGCGGCTGTTTATGGAAGGGGTATAGACGGAATGTTGTTAACGAAGTTTGACACGATTGATGATAGTGAGTGCCCTTGAATCAGTTTAATTGCAATCACTTACCTATATTGACAGAGGTCGGAGCTGCGTTGTCGATGACATATATCACTGGTCAACCTATCTTCTTTGTCGGTTGTGGACAAGTAGGTATTCACCCAATTTACAAAAGACTACTAAGCAAAGTTCTACAGACATACACAGATCTTCGCCAATTACGCGTACCGCATATTGTTCAAGCATTGCTTAAGGCATGATTATAGAATAATAAATAGCATGTCTCTATAACAAAATAATAGGTAAAATATAATAAATTATGCAACTTTCTTTTGTCCAGTATAACCAATTCCGACGCAGCTTAGCATGTACTCATCGTCATTCAGAGGTTTTATTTTGAAAGTAACACCAAGAACATCTCTCAAATCGCGCATAAATTGTATAGTATGAGGCGTGAGCTCACCCATTCTGCATTTACTAACATCTTCACTACCTAAAGACATCAAAAGGAGTACCAACCATTGATGTGATCTATCGACGGCACCCTTGTGAGAGATTTCTTCTAATAAACCGAAAGCAGCTTTCTTTGCTATATCCTCTGGGGTTGTTCCTGGTTCAGATACAGCTTCTGCAGTATGTAAAGTTCCAGTTGTAGATTCAGCAACGAGTGTGAGGGCATATCCTGGGGATTTACCGGCTTCTTCACCTCTATAAACATCGGTATATAAGTAAATATCAGGAATGTATCTATTTAAGATACTCCTGCTCGCTTCAACCATTCTGTTTGACAACTGTGGGCTAACTCTGACGGAATGTGCGATCCCTCTGATACGCTTTATGCGACCTTTATCGCTGAAATTGAGAGTTTTGATTTGACGGAGAGTTGGACAGCTGAATGAGACTTCACCACCACCTAATGGTGCAGCGCCTCTCTTTGTAATTTTGAGCTCTAAACCTTCTGATATACCGAAGAGAGTGAGGTGCGGTAAAGTGACAGTACGAAGAGTGTCAGCGCTAATGTCTACGCCATCTGTTGTGATACCCTTTAATGTTAAATTCAAGGGTTTCTTGAGGAAAGGAGCTAAAACCATGATTGATTCCAAGTACCAACCGATTGATTTAGAAGTTGAACAGTCGTGTGTAACTTTTCCACCAACTAATGAGCCTGGCTGATATAGTATTGATGTACCAGTGTACGAAATTTCGACGGATGAGCCATTTGTGATCTTCTCGAGTAACCTGAGAAAACCAGCTTCGTAATCTGAGTTGAATTAGTTGATGATACTTTAAAAGAGAACTGCTATTCACCTCTTATGCCAGGATTGTCATCCTCAGCTCGAATAGCGTCTATACGTATAGGTCTTCCTATCAGAGTAGATAGGACCAATCTCTGTCTAAAGAAAGTGTGACCGGTGAATCTAATCTATTAAATAGCTTAATAGTGTCCTTTATATAGAAAAATACAACATACTAGCGATTTCGACATCGACGGACTCTATCAAAACAACATCGATGTGAGCGAGTGAGAATATTAGAATGAAGAATCTAAAATTCTGAATAGGATATCAACGAACAATCAGAATAGTGAAGAGGTTGTCAAACTATTCGAATTGATCAGCCAGCTCTCTGAACAGCTCGGTCAGAATAGACTAGCATGTCATAGTTTACAGCAACAAGCAGATGAGCTCAAAGTGGGTATATAGTAGAAACGCACACTCCATCTTATAGTTGTATAGGAACAAGCACTCCATACAGTATCTGGTTTCGCTCTAAGGAGATACAATACAGATATCACAAAAGAGCAGTTCGAAATGGAATGTGAAAGGATGAATGCTCACTTAATGACAGAAAACCAGAATCTACAATATGAGAATAGACAACTGACTAGTTTGATGAAGGAGTTTGAGTCTACGGTTGATATTATTATGGACAAGTTCAGAATACAGTCATACTCGACACAGCAGCACGAGCTGAGTCTGGTGAGATACTATGAGGAGCTACTAGAGCAATCAGAGGAATCTATGGAGCAGAATAATCTTAATTTAGAGTTGAATTACAGCAATCTATTCCAGAGGTTATCAGAGCTCGTCGTGAAAGCTCTTAGAAGTCTAGAAGGTGAATCTGAAGATATGGAATATAAAACACGCATCTGCCAACTTGAAGAAGAAAATAGAACACTTAGAACACTCCTGGGGCTTGCCTTAGAAGACCAACCAGCTAGCCCAGATAAGCAAGATAAGCTACAATTACCAAAGCCACGGTCATTTAGAAGGAAGGATGACCATATACCAACAATCAATTGATTTTATTGTAAATTATATTTTATCGATCTCTTGATCCAGAAATGTCATCACTGCAGCATCGAGTTGCAATAGAATTGAGCAGAGAACTAAATCTAATAAACCCTAATGAGTGAGCACATATATAGATGTATAGATCTCTCATTTATATACTCTAGTTTACTTGCATCTCGCGTTATAGACCTTGCTAAACAGAAGCCACACGACGATTTCATCAAATGTGAGCATTTTAATAGATATATGTAACACCACTAAATAATGACGCAGCTGCCCTAATGTTTGGTAAATTCAGAACAGAATTCTTGTCGAATCTCCACACAGAAATCAGCAACGAGCAACCTACGAGAGTAACCGATAGCAGCGATACACTCCTCCCCGAGCAACCTAAGAGAGGTGGTCTCGTCACCTCAGGATCTAAGCATCAGTTCAAGAAACCATCATCCCTGGGTTTAGATAAACTAGCAGCAGCCAAAAGAGAAGCAGCAAAAGAACAAGATGGTCCATCAAAGAAACTGAAATCTGATGACGAACCTACGTTTAAGGTACCCTCAAAACCATCATCTTCCTCGATTAGAACGAGAGCACCAGATACTCCTTCATCTGGAACTGGTCTTTCAGCAGAAGCTAGTCGCAAATTGGATGAATATAGGAGAAGAAGGAACCAACCAGCCTACTCAAGCTCAAATAACGAATCCTCTGATGGCTCTTCCAGGAATCGTTTCGATGATTTCAGGAAGAGATCGAATAGATACCAAGATGAAGAAGAGCGTAGACGCAAATACGAGAGAGCAAATTATACCCCAACCCCCGGATACAGAGACAGAGGTTGGGAATCAACACCTAAAGCCAACCGTAGTAGAGGCTGGGATGCAACGCCTTCTAGGGATGTTGACGAGGGTGTGGATGTTAATGTAGACACGAAAGAATACGAAGATGAACAATTGCGACTAGACAGAGACTGGTATTCTATTATGGGTGAAGAAGGCGGTGTAACAGGAGATATGGAGCACAACCCTTTTGCGATGTATGAAGATTTGGATAAGCAGAAAGAAAGCGAACTCAAGACAAAGCAAAGAAAGAGGATGTCAGCTAAGCAAATCCAATTCAATGCCGACAATGAAGCTTGGGAGACTAACAGGATGGTTCAGTCTGGTATCGCCTCAAGACCTGATTTGGATTTCGATTTTGAAGATGAAAATGAAGCGAAGGTGCATGTATTGGTGCATGATCTCAAACCACCTTTCTTAGATGGTAGAATGGTATTCACTAAACAACTTGAACCTATCAATCCACTCAGAGATCCTACTTCTGATTTGGCGGTGTTTGCAAGAAAGGGTAGTGCCTTGGTCCGAGAAAAGCGTGCACAAGCTGAAAGACAGAAGGTATATTACCGCTTTTACAATACTAAGATCATGCTGACTTTCATAGGCTGCTGCTGAGGTTGCCTCGATAGGTGGAAGTCAACTTGGTAACATTTTAGGAGTCAAATCTGAAGACGATCAAGTCGTTGATGAAGGTGAGTTAAGTTTTCTCGCTATAATGGATAACGACTAACCAAAAAAAAGCTGAAAAAAACAGCGCTCGTGAACTTCAAGAAGGTGAAAATGCGGGCAAAGGTAATTCGCAGTTCGCTGGACATATGAAAGCACAAAACCAGACGACATCTTTTGCTAAATCTAAAACTATCAAACAACAGCGTCAATTTCTTCCATCATTTGCATGTAGAGAAGAGCTAATGAACACGATAAGAGAGAACCAAATTACTGTCGTAGTTGGTGAAACGGGTTCAGGTAAGACCACTCAATTGACACAATTTTTGGTCGAAGATGGATATGGCAAAGCTGGTATGATTGGATGTACCCAACCACGTAGAGTTGCTGCAATGAGTGTTGCTAAGAGAGTTTCAGAGGAAACGGAGACTGAATTGGGTAAACTAGTTGGATACGCGATTAGATTTGAGGATTGTACCAGCGCTGAAACCCAGGTCAAGTATATGACTGATGGTGTCCTTCTTAGAGAATCACTCAATGAAGGTGATTTGGATAGATATTCAGTTATCATTCTCGATGAGGCGCACGAAAGATCTCTATCTACCGATGTGTTGATGGGATTACTCAGGAAAATTGTTACAAGAAGGCGCGATTTGAAACTCATAGTGACGTCAGCCACTATGAACGCAGAGAAATTCAGTCAATTCTATGGTGGTGCACCATGTTATACTATTCCAGGTAGAACATTCCCGGTCGATATGTTCTTCAGTAAGACTCCTTGCGAAGATTACGTAGATAGCGCTGTGAAGCAAGCACTTCAAATTCATTTGAGTTTGCCTCCTGGCGATATACTCATATTTATGACTGGTCAGGAAGATATTGAAACAACATGTTCTGTTATTGTTGAACGATTAGAACAGCTAGATAATCCTGATCCGTTGTTAGTTTTACCAATTTACTCTCAAATGCCAGCAGATTTGCAAGCAAAGATCTTTGAAGCCACTGAAGATGGCAGAAGGAAGTGTATTGTTGCTACCAATATTGCTGAAACTAGTTTGACGGTCGATGGTATTATGTTTGTCGTTGATAGTGGATATTCTAAGCTCAAAGTATATAATCCTCGTGTTGGTATGGATGCTCTTCAAATTACGCCTGTTTCACAAGCGAACGCAAATCAGAGGATGGGTAGAGCTGGTCGTACTGGTAGCGGGTGAGTGTTTTGAAATTACCGATGCGTCTCTAACAACCATGAAAATAGATTTTGCTACCGATTGTACACAGAAAGTGCATTCAAGAATGAAATGTTCCCAAATACCATACCCGAAATCCAAAGAACAAACCTTTCAAACACTGTTTTGCTCTTAAAGTCACTCGGTGTGGCTGATTTGCTTGAATTTGACTTCATGGATCCACCACCACAAGAGAACTTGATACAAAGTGAGTACTTGAATAATTGTGGTGCCACTAAATTAATTTTCTTTATTCAGGTCAATACGAATTATGGACATTGGGTGCATTAGATAACACTGGTCAATTGACACCACTTGGTAGAAAACTTTCAGATTTCCCTATGTCACCATCTTTAGCAAAAATATTGGTTATTTCAGTTGAATACGGTTGCTCACAGGAAGTTTTAACTATAGTTTCAATGTTATCCGTACCTTCTGTTTTCTATAGACCAAAAGAAAGAGCAGAAGAGAGTGATGCGGTTCGTGAAAAGTTCTTCGTACCAGAATCTGATCATTTAACATTGTTGCATGTATATGCACAATGGAAATCTAATGGATATAGTGATACTTGGGCTACAAAGCATTATCTTCATGGACGTATATTAAAGAAAGCTAGAGAAGTTAGAGAGCAATTAGAGGATATAATGAAATCACAAAAGTTATCAATTGTAACTTGTGGAACTGATTGGGATATTATTAGAAAGTGTATAACTGCAGGATATTTCCATCAAGCTGTACGCGTTAAAGGTATTGGTGAATATCAAAATATTAGAACTGCTATGCCTTGTCACCTTCATCCAACTTCAGCATTATATGGTTTAGGATATACACCGGATTACTGTATATATCACGAATTAGTACAAACTAGCAAGAGTTATATGCAATGTGTTTCAGCAGTTGATCCGTACTGGTTAGCTGAATTAGGTGGTGTTTTCTATAGTGTCAAGGAAAAAGATGCTACTAATGCTGACAAGAGAATAACGAGTAGGGATTTCTCAAGAAAAGCTGAATTAGAAATGCAAATGTCACAAGATAAAATTCGTTCTGAAAAGGAGAAACAGAAGGTGAAATCTGTTGCTTCAACACCGAAATCAAGTATAGCTACACCAGGTTCGAGGTCATCATTTGGTAGAACTCCAAGACAAAAAGGTAGATTAATTTAGATATAATTTGTATAACTAGTATTTATGTTATTCATAAAAATCATTAACATATAATAAACTGTGAAAGAAAAGTAAAACTTCAAAGTTTAGTTGCAGCCTTGTCGGTCATATCATAGATGTTATCGATCGTAGATTTGTAAAAGTCACGCACAACATTGCGTTTGACTTTAAGTGTAGGCGTGAGTAAGCCATTATCGATTGTGAATTGGTCATTGACTAAATGAATAGCCTTAATGCGTTCGAATCTAGAGATAGTAAGTCAGTACTGTAGTTTAAGAAATTAAATCTCTACTAACCCCTTCAAACCTGCCTTGTTAGACGCTGCCTCAATTTCTGAAAGGATCATATCATTGATCTTTTTATCTTTAATCGCATTGTCAAGTGAAACACGATCTGATGGATCACAATGAGCAATCTTAGCGAGCTCTAATGGATCTGGAACAACTATAGCGACGAGATATGATCTGAGACTATCAGCATGAACGCTATAGAGATGTGAGCTAATACCAAATCAACGATTCATAACTTACTAAATCTGCAATATTGTTGGACATAAAGCGAACGCTCCCTCCAATTTCTCAATTGCGATATATTCACCTTGTGCTAATTTCACAATATTCTTCTTTCTGTCGATAATCTTGAGTCTACCTTTGTCGTCAAATGAACCAATATCACCAGTTAAGAAGAATCCATCCTCAGTGAATGATTCTCTTGTCTTTTCTTCATCTTTGTAGTACTCTTTCATTGAGCTTTCTGATTTAATGCAGATTTCTCCTCGTGGACTTGGTTGATCACTTGAGTAGTAATTCATTTCTGGTACATCCATTAATTTGATTTCAAAGCCAGGTACGACTGGACCAACAGAACCTGATGCACTCGGATCATCTTTGAGAGTTCTTACGCAAATTGATGCTTCAGTCAAGCCATATCCTTCAACTATCGGTATACACAAGCTAATTTTGAGTGTGTCAAGTACTTCAGGACTAATTGGTGCTGATCCTGTAATAATAAGCTTGATTTTACCGCCAATCACTTGTCTGATCTACAAGTTATAAGCAATAATTCAGAATAGTTACTCATAACGAACCTTATTGAAAACAAGCTTGTCCCAGAAGATATGTGTAGGATCAGCCGTTTTACGTAGTTTGTCGAGCTTTGTAGCAATACCACGTTTTAGAAGTGAACCTTTAAGACCAGGTAAATCCATTTGGTGTTTGATGACCGCGTATATTCTACAACACGATTAACAATCGGATACCAAATACCTAATCACTTACCTGTTAAGGACTCTTGGAACAGTAACCATCATTTCAGGTTGCATGATTTGTAAGTCTTCCATTAAAAGTGTAATATCACCTGTAGTATATGCTATAGGACTCATAAGGACAATACTAAAGAATGTTAGCAAATGATGTTAAAAACGCCACAGATACCTACGCTATAAACTCAAGCGACCTTTGTAAAATATGTGCGAGTGGTAAGTAACTAGCGAGTAACCATCCAACATGGTCTTTTTGTCCAATACACAATGAAATTATGTTCTTGGTCATACTAACATGAGTATGTACCGCTCCTTTTGGTCCTATGGTATGTTAGAAATGCACTTTAGTTAAATGATATACGTACTGCCTGTAGTACCACTGTGTGTTCAGTTAGTATTACATACATTTACCAGAATCAGTTCCTTACGAAGTGTATGAGATTGTGAAAATATCGTTAGGCCTTGGCGGTATGTGTGGATGCTGATGAAGTGATCCAAGCTCCTCGACTGGTGATGATGTTAGACAATTTAACTAGACAAACATTATCTCCTACTTTCAACAAGATCGTACACCTGGACATTGAGATTATCGGCCCAGCGTTTAAGTACATCAGCACGATTCAGCTGTCCAGGTATGCGTGCATCAAATTTAGGTGCACCTGGCTCATCAAGGCCGTCTAAGACAATAACAGCCTTAACAGTTGGACACTTCTGGAGAATCCTATAGAGCCCAGGCAAATGTGATGAAGTAGTGAACACAAGCTTGATTTCACTGTGGTTGATGACATATTCGACACTATCATTACCGAGGGTATCATAGAGTGGTACTGATATGCGTGAATAAGCGTGTAAACTGAGGTCAGCAATTTGCCATTCTGGGATGTTCCTATTAGATTGAGAGGATGAAAATGATTAAAACGCACCTGGACAATTCTTGGACCATGTACCTGCAGCCCAACCAGCATGATTGGTGTTTGCACCAAGCTTTCCCTGGTTAACAAGCTCTGAAATACCTGAACCTAGGTTTGTGCGACGCTGTGCGATTTCTGCGTATGATTGATATTGATAGTAACGCTCATAACGGCCTTTGGATGGGTTATATGGCCTGTGACCCAAGAAATTCTTATCAGCTGCACGTGCGAGGGTGTACTGAAACAGGTCGTATGCCGTTTGTACGCCTACATCTGGACTTGGATTCTCCCCCCATAAGGCTGCACTTATCAATGATGTCGGTCTTAGAAAGATGAAGTCACCTACCGTCTTTGTAGATCGCGGTTGAGTTCGACGTTCCAGATCCTGGTAGGGTCTACAGTAATTTATCAGTATTTTATAATGTAAATACTAGGATCTTACTGTAGATTGAAGACTTCTGTCGCTGGTTCTGTGGGACAGACATGAGCACACAAGCGTCTATATAGAGAGAAAGACTTACAATGGATATGGAGTTGCGAGTGACATGTATCTTGTTATCTTCCTGCTATTCGTGAATGTTTCTCTCCAAGAGAACTACTCGTTGATAACCGAAACCGCTTATTAATAAAATAAAATCACAACGTTATTTTATACAATGATTCATCAACAAAGCTCTTATTCTCGTAGCAGCTATTAACCCAATCAATACTAACTAGTTTCCGGTATCTTGGTCTATAATCACTGGTCAGCCGACTTCATGTGCCTGAAACACATTCCTTACTGTTTAGTCCTGTCGAACAACTCCTCAACTCGGGCCTTGTCTCTTGAGTCGATCACAATATGCGTCAACATGTCATCATCTAATTCTCCAATTTTACCACCGAGGTTTGTTATCCGGTCCTTAACTACCGACCAGCTGAGTAATGCCTTAGATAGAAGATGTTGTGTACTACTCTACTTACTCTATCTCAGTCGTTATGGATGGCCTTGGAAATAGATCATTTTCAATCGCATTCTCGTAATCATCAATGTAAACAACACTGGTACTTTTTATTAACTTGTAACCATGTGAAGCTTCTTACTTACACATTCAAAAGAGGGTTCTCAGGTTTGTCGCTACCCTCTATTGATACTTCTTCAATTGGAACAGAGGTATGCGTATTATCAAGATCCTGTGACTGCTCTTGCGATGACTTTTCGTAGTGTTTAATAGACTCGACCTCTGCATCCTGACCTTTCAATTCATGTGGTTCAGCTTCGTGTTTGACTTTCTTGACAGGTCCGTCTTCATGATGTGCATCACTATCAGAACCACTGTCAAAAGCATTATCATGACTCCGCCTCTTTTCATCTTTCGAGACCACCCTCGTTTCGTGCAATTGCCGCTTTGTAGTTGGACTTGAGGTTGCTAGATTTTTTTCATTATGTGATGTGGCATTTTCATCGACATTCTCTTCTTTGACTTCTTGCTTTATAAAACTAGGTGTACTTATCTTTTGAGATTCTTTCACATGCTCAGGAGAGGCTTGTTTCTGGGTTGCCGTAGGTATTGACTTGTTATCATCACTCTCATCAGACGAATCAAATTCGTCCGTTTTGTTAGCTTTGCGTCTCGTCGCTGTACGTGTTGTAGACGTCTGTTTATACTCTGGTTGTGTTTGTTGCAAGGGTGACGATACATCTGCCTTAGTGTTTGCCATCTCTTCAGCCGCTTCTTCCTGTATCGTATCATCTATATCAATATCATTGTCACTTTCGTTTCTCTCATTTTCTGTGGCAGTATCGGAATCAAAGTCCTTGTCTTGCGCGGAATCAGCCTCACTATGTAATGTGGGCTCTTCCGCGAATTTCAACTCGTTAATTTCGCCAACGGCGTCTTCATCTATTTGACCTTGAGACACTCCGGGAAGATTTCTACCTTCAGGTGTGACAAAGAAGGGTCGGAGAGTGTTCAATATTGTATCTCTATCAGTTGCACATTCGAACACCCATTGGGATTCCCCATCTTTACCTTCCAAAGGTATGATACAGTTGTGCTTAACACAATCAAGTAGCCAATTAGCAGATAGAATAGAGCGTTTTTGGGTCTTCATTAACTGTGTAACCTGTACAGCTGTGTATGTATTATTAGCTTAGATAGCAACATAAACATTTCCATACCTGTAGGTTTCCCAGCGACTACCAGTAGTGGTTCCGGGCAATCCTCATCATTGGGTATCTTTGATAATATCATACCTTTCCTTTCTGAGACAAGGACGGCGAGATCTGAAACTTCGAGATCATTTGTGCCATTGAGAATACCTGTTTGGTTATGAGAGAACAATAGATGTTTGAATGTACAACTCACGGAAAGCGCAGCCTTCAAACAGGTTGCTTCGTACGTTGTCTTTTTCGGCCCGCACGTTAGCAACAGCACGAGAACTGATGACCTGTTTTTTCTTCTGGATACTGTTAGAATAATAGTTTTGGCCTTGCAAATACCTACCTTTGTCGGCTGAGCTCGCTTTTTTTCCCTTATTTTATCTTCTGTTTGCTTCCTACGCGACGATTGTATGCCATCTCTCATAGCGATCATATCTGTAATTGTTTATTAATTTCGATAAAATAACTAAATAAAAAACTTACCACTATACTTAAACATATTGTCAGGATCAACTGGATTCTCGCGCCCATTGCCTTTGTCTAATCTGAGACGCTTAAAGCGAGGGAATCTGTACGTGTATCCACAAGGATAATTTACTTGTACTTATATTAGACTTTGAATAGTTGGTGTGATAGTCTAAACGTACCAGATCGGTTGATATCACTAGCTTTGATTTCGACAACGAAGGAACTAACAGAGAATGTAAGTCTATTCCGAAGAAAATGATCTTTTACGCACTCTTTAGGGTCAATAATAATGTCTGGCGTTTCATTACCAATCTCGATACCAGGGTATACAGATGCAGGGGTATATTTCCGTGTTTCACTTTTGCGAAAATGCTGATTAATTAGTTCCAGATCCATCGCAGTGTATCCCGTACCGACACGGGTGAAGGTAAGGAAGCTATATGTGTAAGCGGACATAATCCAAGTGCATAGACATACTCTGGTTCATCTGTTTCATGTCTATCATCGACCAATGCGCAATAAAGAGTTGATATCGTACCATTCCTGGACGCAGACCAGTTCCCTCCTATAACGAGAAGATCAGCAGTTTCTGACATTTCATCAAAATAGTCTGGTTTTAACTTTGCGCATGGTATGAGAAAAAAAAAGAAAGAAAATTCAAACATGCCCACCTTGATCCATTGGTCTGAACGTCCGCCATATTCATACAATGATAGTGGTGATTTAACCACTAGCCCTTCACCCTTTGATATGATGATACGTTCGAGTGATTGCTTCAATTCATCAGCTTGGGTGGCTTCCCATCTGGAGACATGTTCTATTCTTGTAGAAATTGGATTAAATACGGTCTTTCCAACCTTTTGGCGCTCCTTAAAGGGGTATTTAGATATGTCTTTGCCATTGACCCAAAGTACGTCGAAGACTATGACTGAAATGATTGTTAAGCTCTAAAACGTGCGACTCCTATTACGCTCACAAACTGGATGTATATTAATATCGCCTTTTGCAGCTTTCTTGAGTGTACCAAATGGTAGTATCGTGTCGACTGCTGCCGAATATGCCAACATTTCACCGTCGAGAACAATCTCGTCAACACGATCGTCGAATGAGTGATGAATATGTGGTGTAAAAGAGCCTTCTTTGGGGTTTTCACCATACAAGTATGTGTAGTCTTTAGCATTCCTATAGATATTGTGAGAAATGTTTGTAACAAGCACTTCAATACCTCACCTGCTCCAATACTTGTATTTGGTACCTTTCTTGTGTAACTGAATGCGTTCACCATCCATCTTCTCCTCGACTACAAAAGGTACACTTTTGGGCATCTTCTTTATGATTTGAGGAATAACGTTACGCTTGCATAACATTGGTTGGAAGACCTGAAATAGCTGCACACTTGAATCATTATCATGTAATCTGATGGATGGATCATATAGTTTATAAGCCACGGTGCGAAGATCAGTCGTGACTTCAAACAAGCTATAGGCGTCACGATGAAAATGCGACAATATGGAGCGTTCTCGAATGCTTATTTTGAGATTCTTTAAAAGAATTCTCACCAGCCAGAACTGTTCAGTCGTGTCACAATTTCTTGCAAATTCCTTCATAATGTCTTTCTTTTGTATGCTTGGGTGTGTCAATATAAGTGCACAATTCATGTTCTACTCACAAGTTCTTCGCCCTGGATAGCTGATCAAGCTTATCATTGACTTCATCAATCGTGAATTCAGATTTGCGCTCATAACTGACTCTGTTCTTCATGACGTCAACAAGAACACTGGCAAAATCACCGCTAACGAAGTTACCAGCAGTGGGTGCCTTCCAACTGAGTAACCTATGGCCGTCTTTATGATCCTTAGATAGGGCGAGTAGTTCTACGTATATCTTAGCTAAGACAGCTTCTTTTATACCGAACATAGACCTCTCCCTTTCGCGTTCAGGTATCATTAATCTGAGTAGATTGTAGAAATCATTGCCAAATTGTTTGCGATGATACTGACGTAGTGTCAACGAAATAGGGAGATAAGGAAATGCTCACATCGAATAGCTTTTCTAACTTTCTACTACGCTTAAGAGTATCCTTCTCTGTAGATATATTATCAAAGAAAGATACCAATTGGTTGAATTTCATAGATCTCCCGTTGTTTGTAACAGATGGTGGCTTTTCAATGCCTGTATAATCAGCGTGCCTTGCAGCCTCTTTCTCTATCTGTATAATCTCATTCCTATCAATTTCTGCTTTATTTGTTTGATATTTCATCGGCTGAGATGATGAACGCATCTCTTAGAGATACTTCAATGTCGACTTCTAAAAGATCGCTAGAGGAGACAAGCTCACAGCCAAAAAAGGCTAGATTTCTTAATAACGATAAAGATACCCAGGAATTGGATACAACAGACGATCTAGAGTACAAGAAGGAGAGAAAAGGTGCTATCAAGAATGAAGGTTACGAGTCAGACAGTTCAAATGAGGGTGGCGAGTCTGTTGTACGCTCACGTACTAAAAAGAACGACGACGATGACGACGACATGTTTGGCGGCGATAGCGACAAACCAAAGGAAGACTCAAAAAGTTCAACAAAACCCTTAGAATTGGGTGACATCGAAGGTCAGGAGTTTGGTGGACTGGGCGATAGACAAGCAGGTGAAGATAGCGAAGGTTACAGTTCTGGTGATGCTGAAGATGAGGAAGCTGAAATGGGAGGTCAACTTTCAGCTTTCAATATGAAGGAAGAAATGCGGGAAGGTCAGTTCGTCGATGACGGTACGTACGTCGAGAATACACGCGATCCACATGCGATGCATGACGCCTGGATGGACAATACCGATAAAGCATCAAGAAAACGTATTAGGGAGGCTCACAAAGAGCGTCTAAGGAAAGAGAAAGAAGAATACGAGCACGCACAGGCATTGAATGCCCAAGGTGGCCGTAAAGAGGAGACCATGATTGCTCTGGCTGAGATGACACAACGCGGTGAAACGGTATTGGAAGCTCTCCAGCGTTTAGGTAAAGCACGGGAAAAGGTGAAGAAGAAAGGCGGTGAAGAACTTAAAGAAGCAAGCAAAGATGTCGAAAAGTTTACTGAATTAGTTAATATTATGGTCTCGCTCGGTGTAGCTGAAGTTTATGACTGGGAGCATGAACAGTTCGTGCGGAATGTGAAACGTTCTGGCTACGTAAAGGACGATTGGGTACCATCTTCATATAAAAAGGAAGACGATAGCCAAAACGTACAACCTGACACATCAAATGACCCTCTCTGGGAATATAAACAGACACCCACGTATATTGCTAGCCTTCCAGCAGCTGAGCGACCGGTCGAAGTGCAGATATTTGGACCATTTAAGCAGACAGACTTGTTTAATTGGGTAAAAGGTGGTTACCTTGGTCCAAATGGGTCGTACATCAAAGTACGTAGTGTAAATGGTGAGTCTCGAGGAGACTGGAAGGATTTCCAAGCCACTGGATTAATAGTGAGTGACATACACACACCTGTTATCTCATAATAACTCTTCAATACAGTAAAATTACAACTTTTGTATTCTATCGAATGGGTATACTATAGCAACACCTTTGCCCACTAGCAAACCTAAACTAATTTGACCATATTCACGACTATCTATCGAATGAAAGGCCTCGTCACCTTGAACATAACAATGCCCTCTATCGACATAGACACCATTGACTGTATCGCCCCAAAGACCCTTTATACGTTTAATGGCTATCTTGCTAGGGTCATTTGGCGGCCTAGCGAGCTTGAGAATGAGAGTTTGATAAAAGAAGACACCCACCGTATGGCAACTATGTCACCGACTTTATAATGACTGAATGGCAACCACTTGTTGAGTATGAGATGATCTGAAGACAGTTTATTGCTGTCGGGATTAAGCGTAGGCTGCTCTCGCTTAGATTACAATATAAAAGTCGGGTTATACACACCTGCATCGAGCGACCTCGTATGGAAACTAGAGAATAGCAATTGTGTACAAAATAATAAGAGACTGACAAAAATCCTAAGAATTTCAATGGACGTATCTGTAGATTGTTCATGTTACCGTCCTTGTTTTGAAGTTCAATGTGGTGGAAGACGAGAAGTTACTGGCGTCAAACAGCCAATTTTGCTGCTGCAAAAACTCCATACAGGTGGATTCACTCTCTAGACGTAGTCTATGCATTAATATCCCAATAGGCAGCTTCAGATAGGCCTTCGCAATGATGGAATAAGCCAGATGCCGGAATTTGTCGACTAGGAGGAGCATCATACTCTTTTGATATCCAGATAGACTGTCGATTAATTCAAAATAACTGTGGTAGTTGCAGTCTAGTATACAACGTCGTAGCTTCTGTACCAGACGATCCGTTGAGTGAATAACAGAATTCACGCGGTTGCTAAGTTGGTTTATCTCAAACAATTGATGCCAGACGTGGTTATTGTCTATCTCGGACAGTCTAGTTAGTGCCAGTCTAATCTCATCATTGTTCTTGCACCGTAGCGCAATATCAAATGACGTCTTATAAACTACACCCGAGTTAGAGAAGAACGCGGTAAAGAAAAAGATCCACCTTTGACTGCAAATTTATCAGACCTGTTTGTCGCTATCAATCCCTGTCTCAATTTTCTCAGCGCAATCAAACTGTTGTCCGCTCTTTCACCGTCTTCAATCTGCACTCAATTAGTAACATCTACGTGTTGGGAACTAACATACACGCTTCAAAATGTATGAATAATATTTCTCTTGAAAGTCACGCTTCTTGAATTCAGTCTGATCGCTACGTGACAAACTTCCAATCTTATCCATTTTCGTTGTATAGTATCAAGGATGCAACTATTGATATAAATCTGTACAAATGGCGATGTCAGCTATATATTCAAGGAAATGCTACATAATTGCAATTGTGTGTCTATCAGGCAAGGCCATTATGATGAAATTTCTTAATTTGTTGGCAATGACAACTATACATACAAGATAACTTCATCATGTTGTTGTTTTCTTCAGAGTTATTATATCTCGAGTTGGAAGGTTGCGAATTTCACTATCTTCTCGTTTCTGTGGACAATTCCTCATATTTTCTTATCGAAATGCTCGTAGGCGATGATTTGATTGGGAAGAACATCCTCTTTGACTTGGGGTAGCAATTCACAGCTTCAACGTCAATAACTACAAAAATGAGGACCCTGAGGTTCCGATTATGGGTGACTTGAGAGGTGTATATAAAAACACTCCAGCCTAGCGCCACAGTTTCGTAAGGAAACTAAAATGCATTATGTTTCATCTCTTGAGTGTATGACTATTGATCTATAAGTGCTCCTGTAAGAGTGAAAGCTTTGTCGTCACAATTGTGGTTATTTACATTGTGAAATAGTCAGCAGTGACTACTTCATCGGCGCTGAACAGTATGGCCCAACTAACTATGCTGACTGGGGAATTTATGGCTAGGAATGTTTCTATAAGATTCGTCAAATTTTCACATTGATTAGCGTAGCCTGTATTGTCAGAGTAATCTAGTTCGATATAGGTATTACTGTTGCGACATCATTAATGTATGTAAAACATAAAGAAGTCACGTAATTGCGTCCACTTCAAAAGGGTTTTATAGTAGTGTTCAACGGAAAAGACTCAATATCTAGAGTCTCTGTAAATTAAGAGACAGCTGGCACGTTTTCTTGAGATAGTGTTCTAAGTCTCTTTTATATGTCGTATAGGGTTTGTCGGAAAATGTTCTCTATCTAATTTGTTCAAATTCTTGCATGTGAGTGATAGAATGGGTTTATGTCTTCATAATGATTATAGCAGGATATATACATCATTTGAGAGACTTTAAAATCTTATCGGCATTGTTGTTGAAGTGGGAGTGTGGAGAAAGCAAAACAAGGAGAAATTGTAATTTGTTGATGGCTTGATTTCTATAAAGAAGATTTACTTCATAAAGATATATCTAGGTATTACTAATACCAACGCTTGATTCGTTATTTATCTGTGATGATGTAACACCATCCACTCAGCCGAGGGGTAGATAGTGTAGATATTGCGAAATACAATAAAGGCTTATATATTTCAGCTGCAATTTATGCCAATATGTCACCCATGCTATCTCATCGATTCCTGTCAATCACTCCTTACACAACGACGATCAAGTAAGTGTCTGTCCATATCGGGAAATATACAACTTATCCTCTATAGTGCTGTGGGAATGGTTCAAACTACCGAATATACCACAGATTTCTCAGTTACCGAAGGAGATCTCTAAATCTCTTCTTGATTATCTACTCAGATGGACAGTTGGGAAGTACATCGACATCGACAACGCACTTGCAGAGGATGGGATAGATATATACAATCGTAGGCTCAACACCACCGTGAGTTGTCCTTATCGGTTTGACATCACCTAATCGGCAATTAGTCCATCAACAGTCACTTGACATCTTTCCCAATAGAAACTAATTCAGCAAGTTTAGGAAGACTATCAATACAAGTACCTTGGTCAAATCTATTCAATGATCCTATAAACGTCGTCATCGAGGACCTCCATATCACCTTTCAGCCTTCAACTCGATCAGATACGACGGATGAACCCGGTATCACAGTTGATGATCTCACTGAGCAGTATATCGAGAACCAGGATATCGTCATCCCTGGCTCATTTGATGCACCTCCAGCTGCTGTCATTGATGCAGAGTCACCTAGTAACCAACGGACGCTTTTGAAATCATTAATCAATGCAATATTAGCAAAGTTAAGGGTTAACCTCAAATACACCTCTATTAAATTCACAGAGGGAGTTTCAGATAACGGTTTCGATTTGAGGATTGGTTCCCTTGATTACGGCGATGTTGATTTAGACACACAGGAGAGGAAACTCAAAATAGACGATATTGAAATTCATTCGTGTGGGGCACCGCCTGATCAGTCTTCACAATCACAAATGTTTATGAGTGCTCAAGAAAGCTTGACTTTACAGACACAGCAGAGTCAATGCATACTCAAATTAATAGATGGCATTACTATGAAATTATGCAATAATTCATTACCAACAATTGAAGCAGACTTTGGTAGAACGCTCGCGGTACTTTATCCATCAACTATATCGCTAATTTTAACTCTAATCGAAGCTTTCCCACCAAAAACAGAATCTTCAAGTAATGGTGCAGATTCCGTAGATAGCAATGATATGTTTAATTTGAAAGCATCACTGAAGGAATTGCGCGTTTTATTATTGCTAGATGAAGTGAATCAAGTGATCAATGAGAGTGATTTATGGAATGGTGGAGATGAAGCGCAAATTCCTGGTTACTTTCTGGATCTGAATGCTACCAATGTTAATATCAAGTGTACGCCTGAATGTAGCCTTTCCGTTGGAGATGCAAGTATTTTAGCTAATGACTCGGTATCCACATCTCCTATTTTAGTTTTTGATGAGGCGATTGCCCAAGTAATCAATGAGGAGTTTCCAAGGATGTCAGATTGGCTAGCTGAAGATGATGGTGTCAATATGTTTGACCACAAATCGTGGAAGTTATTGGACAGACAGACTAGCCAATCTGAACCACCAGCTGTCACTATGACGAGAAATGATGTAAAGCTCTCTCCAGTGCATTTCTTCGTTGATCTGGGCATTATAGAACGATTCTTTGGGAGCGACCTGTTCAAAGCACTAGATTTCACGACGAAAGATCATAGGCATGATAGTGTAGTTAACTCTCTACTGACGGAAGCAGAGAAACAGAATGATCCTAGTCTGTCTGAGGTTCTTACACCTTTACAGAAGGTTCCATTCTTGCTTACAGTCAGTGCACTAAGGATATCTGTTCGTTGTCCGCCACCGCTTGGTCAACAGTCATTGCGATCTGGTATATTAGCAATTGATGCGCGCTGTTTGAAGCTCACGCCGAACAGCACGAGTACTGATGTATCGGTAGAATGGTCGAATGTCAATTGGTTAGATGCGAGACACATCAGGGAAAAAATGCAATCAATAGCAAGAATACGTGAATCACGTTTCATTATAGAAAAACGTAAACGACAATCACCAAAATTGACATTTAATGTACCGTTTATCGAGCTAAAATTCAGGAAGAGGGAGGTTATTGGATTGCAATACTTGGCGGACGATTTCGCTCAATTCAGTGAAAGATTGAAATTATCTGCAAGTGGTACAAGTAAGAAAGAAGACGTGATGCAATCTGTTGTCGAACTAGTGAAAAGCCGGCTTATCGTAGCGGATGAAACATCTACGTCAGCGTATGTTGATGATTCAATGGATGATTTCTTTAGCGCCGAAGCGAGTACCCACAAAGATGCTGCATCGTCTCTTGTTGATGACACAGATATTGATATAAATCTAGAAGCTGGTATGTCACTACAACTTACTAAAGCTTGCTTATTGACATATCTTAGGTACATACACCATTGATGTACCAACTGTGAACCTCAACACTGGAGAAGAAACAGGAGATTACGCTACGATAGTTGCTGATGCAAGAGCTGTTACCTTATCAGCAAAATTTGGAAACAAAAGTACGAAGGTTTGGACACATTTTCAAAAAGTTAAAGGTTGCTGACGATGATGTCAGAATAAGATGACGTTGAGAGTAATTGCAGCTATGCTTACTGTAGGAGAGCCTAATTCTGATAAAATTATCGAATCTATGAATGTAGGTAACCGCTAAGACATTAAAATCCAAGCTAACATTCGTTAAGTTCAATGATAGGCCAGCTCTAGATCTTAGGTTTGCTACGTACTTATCGGAGAAATATGTGAAGTCATCCACAGCTGATGTGGTTCTTTCATCTATCGTCTTGAACAGCAATATGCAAATGAATTCAATCACTAGTTTGGCCAAAATGCTGGAAACACCACCAGGCGTAAGTGTATACTACATAGTGTAATTTTAATAACACACTAAAGGTCTTCGAGAACGCGATACCATCTGATGTTACCACTCTGACCGTAAAATTGAAAGATGTTTCCTTTAGGATCTGTCCTGACGTTTCGAAACGGCGACTTGTAGTGAATTTTGGAAACACACATTCTCAGTTAACATTAAGACCTAATTCCCAAGCCAATACTGTCAAGATCGTATCTGGAAACACTTCTGTCCATCTAATCGATGATGTGACACAGATGTTAGATGATAAGCGTGATGAGGAAGGTAGTGATGTTTTGGTAGACTGCTTAAGGAATTATTGGAAGGTGCATAAATGATTTTTGCATGATCCTCAGCTGACCCTTATACAGACAAAAGGATACGTACATATTGCAGAACTGGTAAAGCTCACAGCTAAAACCAAGCTTACAAAGTCACAAGAGGAGCCTAAAATAACAGCAGATATCTTTTATGCTGACACGAGGGTGGGACTCTGTGCAGATTCTTTATCAACTCTCATTAAACTGCTTTCCGATGTCTCACCAAAATCTTCGGGGACATCGAATGATTCTTCGATTCAATCCAATGATGATAAAGATCCATACACCAACCTACTAGCAAGCTTGGATGAAAGTGCATTCAAACAGCTTCCAGATGCAATTGTTGCGGCAGATTTAGTAGATGATGATATACCCTCAAACCAAGAATATATTTACGAAACAACTACGCAACAACAAGAGCGATATCTCAAAGAGCAGACTGTAGACTTTGACGCATTTGAGGAAGGACTCACGCCATCAAGTTCTGATGATTTAAGAGATAACGTCGATGATTACATTATACCAGCTACATCGCAGCCTAATGAGATAGTAAGACAATTGATACCCGATGCAGTAATGCAATCAAACTTTATTGAAGCGTTGAGGAACAAGTTGGATGGTTCGGTTAAAGTAGCAATCAAGCCATACATGGAAGTGCAGTTACATTCCGCTGATACATCCCTACAGCTATTCGAAGGATGCGACTGGCCAGCAACTCGACATAGGATAGAAGAGGAGCACAATAGAATACGTAAGAAGCTAGTAAAGTTTAGACAACTACTGGCATCTGGTCAGCAAGCAGATGGTACCGAAGAGGAGCTTTCTTTTGATGTCTACGGTGCTTATAATGTTGGAATCAGTCAGCATGTGAACGGCAACGAAGAAATACTCAAAGCAATTGATGAAGAACTAGGCGATGAAAGCGAATGGCAAACGCTAGTTACCCCTACACATTCACGCAGACCATCAGAGAATACTAGCACACGTCAGGCTGATTTCAGAAAATCACTTTACAGATCTAAAGGACCTTTTGTGGAGATCACAGCATGTGGTGTTAAGTCTACTATGCAGAAATTCGAAAAAGAAGAGAAGTCATCTGATATTAAATTGTCGATCAAAGATGTCGAGATCCTTGATCGAAAACAGAAATCGAACTGGCGGAAGTTTATGACTTCACTTGATAAGGATCTGCGAGGAAATGTACGTGAATCTGAATCCAACATGGTGGAAATAAGCTTGGACACCCTTCTCACTGAGGGTGGTGAAGAGGAAGTTGCCTTACATAGTCATGTCCTTCCATTGAAACTAAACATGGACCAAGATGCTTTAGATTTCCTCAAGAGATTCTTTGCATTCAAGGATGACACTGATGCTAATGGTGACGTTGAAAAAGGACCATATATACGTGAGTGTTCATTACATATTCTCTTCCATAGCTCATTGAGTATAAGGTCAAGCTATTGTCGATCCAGTCGAGATTAAGATGGACTATAACCCAAAGCATGTCAATTATGCTGCTTTGAGGGAAGGAAAGACCATAGAATTGATGAATTTTTTCCATTTCGACGGATCTGAGATAATTTTACGCAAGATGATGATCACTGGGGTGAGTTCAACAATATATAAGTTGTGTAGACTACTTGCTAACAAAGATGCTAGATAACGGGATGGTCGAAACTGTTTGAGATACTGCAGGACACGTGGACGCCCGATGTCAAAGCTAACCAGTTGTCTGACGTCGTCTCAGGTGTTGCACCAATCAGGTCCTTAGTTAATGTTGGAAGTGGGTTCGCAGACCTTGTTCTTCTTCCAATAGAGCAATATAAACATGATAAGCGAATAATTAGGGGTTTGCAGAAAGGTGGATCAGCTTTCGCAAGGAACGCTGGTATGGAAGCTTTGCGAATGGGAGCAAGGCTTACCAACGGTACACAAGTCGTGCTGGAGCATGCAGAGAGTATTTTAGCCGGTAAATCGTCGGAGGATAAGTTAACGATGGAAACAGTAGATGAAGTTAGCGAACCTATGACATTGCGGCAAGGAATGGAGAGTGCATATAAATCGTTAAACAATAATTTAAATGAAGCCGCGCAAACTATATTAGCAGGTGAGTTTGTTCTGCCTATGCTATCTGATTGATCTAATATACATTGAAGTTCCGATGGAGGTATTTGAAAAAGGAGAGAAAAATAAGCCAATTATAAAGGCAGTTCCAATTGCCATACTCAAGCCTTTGATTGGATTGACGACAGCTGCTTCAAAGATCCAACAAGGATTCTTGAATAAGTATGATAAGAATGATTGTAATTAATTTAATGAATTTCTTCGATCCCTAATGTATATGATTAAGCTGAGCACATACATCGATCCTAAGAAATAAATATAACTCTTTGGGAGACCGTCTTGTTGTCTGGCGAAGGTAGCACCGTAGAAGAGGATGACTGATATGAGAATGACTTTCAAGAGCGAAGCAAGTGGATTGTTAGTCATTATATTTACAGATTCTATCACGTTGGAAAATTCTTTCATCCTCTAGAGTGTTTTATAGGAAGACATTCAATCCAGGCTTGTCAAGTCAATGCGTCCGCAGTAGCGTAATGTCAGAAAGATAAAATTTGTTATAGTACAATCTATTAGTAAACACTTGGTATATTCTTCTTGTTCTGTTACAGCCACTTCAAAAGGTGGTATTCGATGTTGAGGACGAGATTGACGACTGCAAAGTTTATTGAGGACGCTGTTATCAGCTGTGAAAGGATGTGCGGTAATTTGCAGCTTGTGATGGTTTGATATACATGTAAAACTGATGTGCAAGCGATCGCCACGTAGCTGCTCATCCATATCCTTCTCCGAAACCTTGTTTTCGCTATTGCTTTGTGATTTTTACGCGTTTCGCCTTCGAATTCTTCAGGATGGTAGTGCCTCATTACAACTTGGCTGTCGTTTTTAGAAACCTGAGTTACGGCTATTTATATGAGATCGCTTGCTGTAAGGTACCAGGATAGTGTCAATTTAGATAAGCTTTCATGGATGTATTTCTAAAGTTTATTTATTTATCTGTTCGTATCTTATGTTACATATGTCGCTATGTCTGAATAATGTATCTTGAGCTTATACTGCATAAAGCCAAGTTATCCCTCCACATATGTATAAGCTAATTAACACCGAAATTAGTTCCAATATAACTTCTAGACATGCGAAAACAGTAAAATATGTATCTTTCTTATTTTCATTTAGAGAACACTACTTCATGTGAATCAACTTTAAATATAATCACCCGGAGTAAGTTAGTTACAAATTAAATGATAACGGCACGATATTTTAGTAATATACGTATTCAAATAATGAAATGTCCACTAGTAATTCATTATTAGTTATTATATTCCTTGGCCGCCACTTAAAGTTTTATGAAGGATGCCACTAATATTACCGATGGGGCACTATGAGATCGTGTCTGACAAGACAGGTGTTGGATAATTGAGGTGTCATTCTTCGATGTATGCTCATTATGACATTTGACATGTTATGACTATATTTACGTTCGTTCAGAGTATCTGTTTCTGGGAAAATCTTCAAGCGAACCCTTAGATTGACATCAAAGTTGTATGCAGCCGGTCCTGATAGACCGGTCCACAATTACTGGACCTAAGTATACACAACATTAAGTTGCTTATTCTTTGATTATTATGGCATGCTCGCACGTGGATCCACAAATAAATCATTATAGCTGAGAGAAGCATTATACTTATAAATATGCGTACGAAATCCATACTGACTGTAACTGAGATTTCTATTTAATCAGTTAGAGCTAACACCTATTCTTCAGCTCCTTCTTTAATGCATATATCTACGTCCACATTCTGAACCTTCAACTCTACCCATACGACAAAGAAAGAGAAATTGATCATGTTATAATAAATATACAAACAAGCTAACAAGATAGATTGAATTTATTTTATAGGAAATGTTTTGATTTTAATTTCTGCATCATGTTGAATGACTTTCTACATCGCAGCGATTTTTCAGACCCGCGTTTTATTTTGATCAATACCACAATTGAACCGTTAGCTTGGGATAAGCGACGGAAAGCGCTAATTATATTCATTTAATGACACAACAACCATTGCGTAGGTTTGAGTTACTTTTTGATCTCAACTGATGGCTCTTCAGCAAACTATCTATCATATTCGCAAATCCTGGGACAGGATGTATATACCATTGTACAGCTACCACAGACCTACTACGGACCTTCTATCCCACTCGGTGATGGCTGGAGTTATGGTGGTTTGAGTTCTCCTACTGCAAGTAGTACAAGTACGAGCAGTACGTCCAGTAGTAGCACGAGTACAAGTACAAGCAGTAGTACGTCAAGCAGTACGAGCACTAGCACTTCTTCAACATCGTCATCGTCTTCAACATCATCATCCAGTTCGTCTAGTTCGTCCAGTTCGACTAGTTCTCCAGAACCACCAATTGACAGAGGTGCAGGCACCGATACGTCCAAAGTAAGTGTTTATTTTGTTTGTTTGTTTGTTGCAACTAACGCGATATAAAACAGATTCTTGCTATCGTATTACCCGTCGTACTTGGCACGCTGCTTTTGTTATTACTTTTACTCTTGTTGTTATGTCTGTTGAGACGGAGGAAGAGACAGAAAGAGATAGAGGAACGTCAATTCGAAATAACTCCCTTTTTGGGCACACACAAAGCGCGTCCTTCTGATGCAGAATTCACACGAGATAACAGTAACTCATTTTCACGCACATGGACTGCTTTAATGGGCAATAAATACTCATGGGGATCAAAAAAGCAAAACAAATTTACTACTATTCCCCCACCACACAGCCGAGGCTTCAAGACAGATCTCTCTATCGAGGAGAAGATCACACCAGTGCAGCGTCAGCTTTCAAGTTCTCATTTGGCTGTGGCAGATCCGAATGCACATAGGCCAGCATCTAGGATGCCATCTAAGAGTAGCATCATCACTTATGATAACCAATCGCAGAAGTATACTTCGCCATTAGACAAGATAAGGAAAATGCGTCTGTCTTTACTTAGCAACCACACTGCGAATGATAATGATGATGAAAATGACGGTCCTTCTACAAGTGCTGGTATATGGGGATTAGCGACGAGTGTCTTCCCAAGAAGATCAATGAGACCACAGCCACCACTAAGTGGAACAGTTGGAAAGCGCGTCAGCCCTCATAAGCGACAAGATAGTGATGCATATTCAGTCAGCAATGATGATAGCAGTAGCTCAACTAATCCTTTTTTCGCATATATACCTACTCCAAGGATCGACGATTTCTATGATACTAGCATGAGTACTACCAATTCGAAAGCCTTTACCGATTCTAGTAATGGTGGGAGTTTCCATTCAAGCAGTCCAATTCGTCCGCCGTTTGCTTACAGGAATCATGGTGCGACACCTTCATCTTCACCTTCAATGTCGAGTTTATCTCAAATTACGTGGTTGAACACGGTAGAACGGAACAATAGTAACAATCCTGATTCATCAGTCAATTCGCCTGTGTCTGCTTCGTTCAACACTGCCACAGAAGGTTACGATAGCAGCAGAAACAGCAGTACGAGGTCCAGGAGCACGGTAGACAGTGATAACGGCAGCCGACCACCAGTATTCCCTCGTACAAGTGACACTGTCTTCGGTAGAATCATTGCGGAGAGAGAAAGCGCGCATGATTTTGGGCCTCCACGTAACGACTATCAACCAGTAATAGTTGAAGAAGAGGAAGACGAGAACACAACCCTTGACGAAGATGCAAGGAGGGAGGAAGCTATGTCTCTCAAATCCCCTAAATGGAAGCAAAATGCACGTAGTTTCCTCCAAAGAACACATTAAACTTCATAGAATCAAACGGACATTATTAATTATTCTTGTATTAGTTTTGTATTTCAAATATTATGCATTTAAAGCTTTCAAAATTGTTAAATCTGACCAAGAGAGGCCTTTGAGCATTCCTGGGCACGCTTTTCGAAAGCTTGACGAGCACCTTTAAAGTCCTTTTTGGTCCATTTCTCCATAGCGTCACCTTGCAAACCTCTACCGAAACTAAATGTGAGCGGTGGGAGTCTGATACCCTCCTTCTTGGCATATTTGTTGGCAGCGCTGAGGAAGGCTATGCTATCCGTATCAGAGAGTCCACCAGAAAGGAAGACAACACCTGGCATTGCGGAGGGAACTGCTCTCGATAATGCTAGAGCGGTTGCCTCGCCAACAGCATCAGCTGTAAGGTTCTTGCGCTCGTTGGTACTTGCGCCTGGTTGCACAAATGAAGGCTTGAGAAGCGTGCCTTATTGAGAGTCAGGCATGAGTATTAGACTATAGTATACATACCTTCCAAATAAACACCATGGGCTGCAAGCTTTTCATATATCTTAGCTATGACCTTTGTATGAACCTCTAGTGAGCGTTCGAGGGACGCGTCCCCTGAGAAATCAAGATCTGGCTCAACGATAGGGACTAAACCAGTAGATTGACTGACAGCAGCCATTCTGGCGAGTGAAGTAGCTTGAGCATCGATAGCAAGCTCAGTAGGGAGAGTAGATGAGTTGACTAGTATTGGTGCTCTCCATTTAGTGAATCTCGCTCCTTTTTCTTTGAATAGTCGACAACGGCTAGTTAGGTCATCCAAACCCTGAGTGAATACTTCACCATCGCCTGCGCCTGGAAGTGGTTGTCCGTCGGTATCGATTCTCACGCCAGGAATGATACCTCTGTCAGCCAAAACGCCAGCTAGGTTGAAATCTACCAAGGTTTCCTGGTATAGGATGCATCCTGAAATGTAGTCTGTTGGTAGAGTCTCATATAAGCATTTACGCCATTCATAGCGTCTCTGCTTCTGTTCGTCGTCACTGTAGTTCTTCTCTACGCCCTCAGCTGCAGCTAGTCTGGCTGATATTGCCTCTGTAGTTTCGTCGGTTGCATAGATACCTTTACCTTGCTGAACTAAAGCGTGTGCTGTATGTTTCAGCTCGTCATTGAAATCTGATTTGATGGATAGTTTCGCAAATGAGTAACCTTGTGTAGACATGATGATGGTACTGTTAAACGGACACTATCACTGGCTTAAATATCATTCCATATGATCCGGTGCGGTGACACACTATTTGACCGAGTGTCTACTATGACGGCGAATTGATAGACATAATACCGATAATGATAACTAAAGGATAATTCATAATATTTTATTTTAAATTTATCTCAGTCGGTTCTTAAATCCTGTGAGCATCTTTGAGCGTCTTTGAAAGGAAACGTTACTGAGCCAGCGATGGCGTCGACGAGTAGACTACCAAAACCGAGCTATTATTACCCAATAGACGAAGGCAGTGAATACACCCCTGTGCCAGAGGATGATAACCCCGATGATGAGGATTATCAGTCTCTAGGTGTACCTGTTTTTGAACCAACTATGGAAGAGTTCCACGGTTAGTATAATTATCTCCGCTGTTACACGTAAGCTGAAAAATCCCTAGACTTCTACGACTACATCAAGCGCATCGATAGATACGGTATGAAAGCTGGAATCGTCAAGGTTATCCCACCAAAAGAGTGGTTAACAACCCTGCCTGAGTACAATGCAAAGAATCTTGATAAGATAAAGATCAGGCAGCCGATAGCCCAACACATGCTCGGTAGATCGGGTTTATACAAGCAGACAAACGTTGTAAAAAGGAATGTTATGGGCGTACACCAGTGGGCATCTCTAGCTGGCTGTGGTCCGCCTGCTAAATTCCAATTCCCGGCACCAGCACCTCAATCAAACGAGGATTTGACAAACGAAACAGGAAGAGTGACGAGAGGCAGAGGATCAACAGCGAAAACTAAGGAAACTACTAGAGAGCGCAAGCGTAGGAGAACATCCCAGAAATTGGAAAATCAAACTGATGACGCAATTAAATTGGAATCAATTGAGTTCCCTTCAGATTCAGAAACACCCCAACCTTCCCATTCAGCACATTTAGCAGAAGCTTCTCCAGTTTCCCATCAGCAGGATGACCTGAAAAGGTCTGCGTCTGAGATTTTTGACTCAGCAAAACCATCAGGCAAAAAAAGTAAAGCTGACATAGCGAACGAATTCTATAAGGATCTCCAAATACAAAATGTCTGGTTACCACAAGGCGCCCAGCATGAAGACTACAATCTAGAAGGTTGCAAGTATCTAGAGAGGTTGTATTGGCGCACATTAGGATTGGGTGATAACGAAGTTAGTTGGTATGGTGCCGATTTATCAGGTGAGTGACTTACACAACTACATTAACAGCTTTAACCTTGAACAGGTTCCTTATTCACATCTAAAACGAAGAGCTGGAACGTGGCTGATCTGCCATCCTATTTAACAGAGTTACTCCAAGAGTCGGGAGTTGGTACAAAACTACCAGGGGTCAACACACCTTACCTTTATTTTGGAACATGGAGAGCGACATTCGCCTGGCATGTTGAAGATATGGATCTATACAGTATAAATTATATTCATTTTGGAGCACCAAAATATTGGTATACCATACCACAGAAGCAGAAGAGGAAATTCGAGCAAGTTATGGCAGCTTTATTCCCAGGTGAATCCAAACATTGTCCTGAATGGCTCCGTCATAAATCATACTTGGCGTCACCCCATGTTCTTGCCTCGCAAAACCTCAAACCATCAGTACTAGTGCAGAAGCAAAATGAATTCGTTATAACCTTCCCGCATGGTTATCATTCAGGCTTTAACATGGGATTTAATTGCGCGGAATCTGTCAATTTTGCGACTGAGGGATGGAAAGAGTATGGTAGAAAGGCACGAGCATGTACATGCGTTGGTGATAGCGTTAAGATAGATGTTGATCAACTTTTAGACCGTATTGAAATGAAGAAGCAAGAGATGTACACGGATGATAATAAACGCGCAGAATTAAAGGTTGTTAATGAGACGCTGAAGTTACAAAAATTACCTAATGATCGAACATTCACCCATGTTCCAATTGGCGAATACTACATGCCGCTAGTTGCTCCATCCACAGAGCAACAAATTACATGGATGAAATGGGCAGCGACGCAGACATTGGATATACAACATCTCGTTATTCAAGTTCCTTGGATGCAGGAACGTGTACAGCTGACTCTAAGATCTACAAGCGAGAAAAAGGAGCAAGCTCAGCAGCATCATCAACAAATCCAAGCACAGAAGATGGTCCAGAATAGTTATCAACCATATCACCATGATGCGACATCCGAGAATCATTACCTTCCCATGGAGAATCGGAGTCTTTCACCAACAGCACCAGCGTTACATCAACACAATCACATCCTGCCTATGGTAGTTCAGCAGCAGGTACCACAAGCTACAAACCAAGCATTACTACAGCAAGCAGCACATGACTCAGCAGACAGTCTCTCTTCAGTACATCGAATAGCATCAGTAAATATTGCAGCACAACATCCTAATGGAGAATTATAATATCTTGTTTTACTATCAAAGATTATACAGCTGATTTAATGAACTCTTAGATTTTGTATTACAATTGAGTTTATATATATATGTACATATATTTTTAAGAGTGTGAAAATAACTATACATTAAACTGTAACAATGTGTAAAAAGTAATGAACAAGATATGACCAGTGCTAACATTAGAACTAGGAATACAAATGGGCTGATGCACTTTAAAAGATAATTGCGTATGCTATGTAAAAATCTTGAGGTAAATTTGCTAGATGTACAGTTGAAGTAAACGTTTACTTGCATAAAATGGAAACGTAAGTTGGGCGTTAGAAGGACTGGGTAAGATATGGAGAGAAACGAGATCATCAGACACTATCCGAATGATCGTTTCTGTTCTTGTTGCGTTTGAGTAGGTTTGAGAAGAAGTTCCTACTGTGACTTCTACTGTTTTCGTTACTATCATCCTGAGATATGTCATTTGTGTTGTTTTCGTTCGTGTTCTCATTCGTGCGTGCTGTTACGCTCGCGTCTACGTTCTGACTTTCTACGGCAGCGTTTTGACTGCTATCATTGAGGTTCTCTTCAGGCTGCACCTCTAGATGCTCCTGAGTGTTAGCCTCTGCGTCTTGACGTTGACGCCGGAATGGAGATCTTATCATGGTCCTGAGTGACAGCAATGATGCTTGACGTCTATTGGCGAGGTGACCTGTAGTCAGAGGTGGGAAATCGCGTGGATCTGTAATGTTGGCATTAGAGCTATCATTACTCGTGCTAGTCTCGGCTGTAGTTGGTCTATTTGAACAAGATTGTACAGTCTGAGCCCGGAAATCTTGTCGACACTAGGTTTATGATTAGTAGAGCGCTTGCTGAAGATAACAACCTACTAAAGGACATGCGCCTTGTACATCAAGCAACCAAGGATCAACACACTTAGCATGGAAGCAGTGTTTTGCATTACATGGCAAAATGCGAAGTTGTTCGCCTTGTTCGAAATCTTCGTAACAGATGGAACAACTACGGGGACCTTCGCCGTCTACCTCTTTAATTGGTTCTTTAGGTGACTGGTGTGCTGAACCACTATCATCACCATGGTGTGATTCTCCCATTTCAATGTCCCTAGCCTCATCACTGTTGTCTGCTTTATTACTTGTTCGAAGTTCATTGTTGAAATTGACGAGGGGAAAGGTTTCTAAGATCGCTCTGGCAATTCCACCGGCTCGCGTTTGACCTCTATCTTCTACGATGACAGTCTGGCCGGAAAGTGTATCGAGGACTTCCCTTCGGGCTGGTCTCTCACCATACCGTTGGGGGTTGCGTGCAGCTCTAAATGCACCGGAGAGAATAACAATCATGAAGAGAATCGTAACAACTGCGATAATAACATATAGGACTATCATCGCTAGGCTTGTATTGCTCGGTTGGTCTTGATTGTCTTGAGACCCTTCGTCGACTGGTCCCGGCTGGCTGGGTGGCTGTGTGGCGTTATATGCCGATAGCGTAGCAAGCAAGTACGGAACCCGCATTGATGGATTATCCTCTATAGCTTTTGCTGTATCGTTTATAATTTGGGAATTATACCAGTAGTATGTGCTATTGACGTCAAACCTAATCCGATAAGCACGTCCACATTGTAATAGATAAGCTGACTCACTGATTGTCGATTAACCGGGCGGAATCCCTGCTGCTAGTTGCGAATACGTCGATAACGCGGTTATAAGTTTGTAAGAAAACAGGGTTTATCTCGCAGCGCTCTTTCGTCGTAGTGTAAAGAAGTACAGCTCTCGCGCCACGATCTGCAGCAAATGAGAAAATATCGTAGTCGTCCGTTGAATCGGTTGAGTTACTATCACAACTGATAAAGGCCAACCAGGGAGATTGTGTATAAGATTGTGTAGTAGCATTTTGCTCAGAGAAATGTACGATAAAGCCTGATGTAGTACCGTTTGTGTCCTCGCCTGACATTTGCAAACTTATCGAATCGTCGTTGAACGATCTGACGTCGCCATAGAGTTGGAGATGGGAAGACTTGTCAGTATCTGAGCTGTAGTCGTGATCTACAGCGTTTGCGGGTATATAAGCGTATACTAGGACTAATATCGCTATCAATAAATAGAGAATTCCTACAACTTTCATTTCATCTCTTCGAAGTTGACTATCAACCAGTTTCGCTCGAGATGGAGCAAAGGTAGGTGCTAGATAAAAGATATACCGTCGTCTAATGCCCATAAGGCGTAGAAATACAGTTGGTGGGCTCCTACTGTTCGCATCTCTCAATCATTCTCACATCTCTAGATTGGGTGCAGGACTCACTCGATCCAGTGAATATACCAGCATATTTACTCCCTCTATCCAGCTGGCTGGTATTTCTCGCAGTCGGCCTCTCTATTGGTCTCCTCAGCGGTCTGGTATCTATGGTGACAGTTTGGCTGGCAAACATAAAGACAGGACGATGTGTAGATAAGATCTGGCAAACATCCAAAATAATGTGTGATAGTTGGACAAAGTGGACAGATTGGAAACTGCTTAATTACAGTATATACGTACTCCTATCTGTTCGTCTTCATTCGTTTGGTTATCAGACAACTCATACGCATAATTTTTAGGTTATTTTCGCATTTATAGCGGCATTAGCTGTGAAGAAATTAAGCAGTAGAGCAGCAGGGAGCGGCATCAGTGAAATAAAATGCATTATTGCCGGTTTTGAGAACAAAGAATACCTGCGATGGCCGGTTCTACTTGTCAAGACATGCACGTTGGTAGGTGTAATGACAAACGTACGCTTTAGTATTAAGCTAAATTCTTAGCCATTTGCTATCGCGTCAGGTTTGTCGATTGGTAAAGAAGGCCCATCAGTTCATGTAGCATGTTGCGTTGGAGAATTAGTCGCATCACTATTCCCCTATTTTCATAAGAGCAAATGTGGGTCTTCTTATTGTCATGTCCTCTTTTAACAAAGAAATCCAAGTGAAGATGCGTGAAATTCTCATTGCAGCGAGTGCAGCGGGAGTAGCTTGCGCATTTGGAAGCCCGATAGGCGGCGTTATATTCTCAATCGAGGTAGGCTTCTATTTGGCTGATGGCCAAGATCTATTAACCCAGTAAAAGGAAATGACGCACACTTATACGACCAAAATGATATGGAGGAGCTTTTTCTGTGCTCTAGCCGCTACAGCTATGCTATCTGTAGGCTATAAGAAATACAATTTCATAACTCATCCTATTTAGGCTCTCAATCCATTCCAAACGAGTGGTAAATTAGTACTGTTTCAGGTAACATACGACAAGAACTGGCACTTCTTTGAAATAATTTATTTTATATTACTAGGCATATTTGGAGTGAGTTTTTATACTACCTCGCGACTTTAACTCATTATAAAAGGGACTATTTGGTTCGCTTGTTATCAAACTTAACATGCTTTATGTAGGATTCCGGAGACGACACCTAAGCGAAAATGGTATCAGCGAGGCTGTTATCCTCGCACTAATAACATCCGTGATCTGCTATCCGAATCCATTCCTAAGGACGGATATGACTGAGAGTATGTCTATCCTTTTCCGAGAATGTGGGGGTAGGGAAGAAGAAGATTTTGGAGTCTGTGACAATGACAGGAATTGGTCGACAATAAACAGCACTCTACTTGCTACTATAGTACGTACTGTGTTGCTAATTATTACCTACGGTGCCCAAGTTCCAGCTGGTATTTTTGTGCCTTCTTTGGCGATCGGCGCAACGTTCGGAAGACTGGTTGGTACTATTTCCAAAATGCTTTATCAGGCCAATCCATCATTGGGTATTTTCTCTGAATGCAATAATGACATGAACTGTATAACGCCAGGCACATACGCATTATTGGGTTCTGCTGCTACTTTATCAGGCGTGATGAGGATATGGGTCACCGTTCCTATTATTATATTTGAACTGACTGGTGCATTGACTTACATTCTACCAACTATGATCGTGCTGATTACTACAAAAGCTATATCTGATTTCCTCAGTGGGGGTGAAGCTGGTATCGCTGATCAAATGATAAAATTCAACCAAATGCCGGTCCTTACCCGTGAGGATGAACATTATTTCAATGTTGACATCTCAAGTGTGATGACGCGCGATGTTGTCGTGATTGAGGAGGAGATGCTGGTCAGGGATGTCGATAGTGTGTTGTTGAATGCACACAGTAGATACCCAATCGTAAACAATCGCGAGGATATGAAGTTAGTGGGATACGTAGATGCTGGTATCCTTTCGCAATCTTTAGCATCCATTCCAGGATTATCACAGCAGGCTGTTTTGAAATTCAGTAACAAGAGGACGATATTCGACGCAGACGCAGAACCAGACCAAGCAGAATACAATCTGAATGATACAGTCAATGATATACCAATGACGATATCCCCGACAACAAGCTTAGACGTCGTCATGAAGTTGTTCAAAAAGATAGGACCGAGTGTGATCCTGATTGCCAAACAGGGTGTCGTCGAAGGGATTGTAACCGTCAAGGATGTCCTACGAGAAACAGAAATGATAAAAGTTGGTAATGAAAGAGCTATAAGTGCGACTAAGGCATCAATAACGGAAGATTTGATTGACTTTTGGAATAAATTCAAACAGAGACTGATAAATGTACAATTGTAATAAATATCCGTATGAGCATATGATTCTATTGATTAACTTTGCCGCTTCTACCTTCTCTCTTCTTTTGCTTCTTTCGTCTACGTTCGTCTGCTTTGGACTTAACAGCTGCGAGACGCTCTTTCTCTTCTTTGATCTTCCTCCTCTCGAGAATCTTAGCCGTGTGTTCTTTTCTAGAGGTCTCAGTCTCAGACTTCATTTCCTTCTCCCGGGCTTTCATTTCTTTTAGTCTGTCGTCTCGCGCTTTGCGATCGTTAAATGAGGACCTAGTATTTGGTGGCATGTGATTGCGATGGAATGGATCAGATTTCTTATCCTTATTTATCGCATTCAGCGTCGATATCATTCGAGTAGTTTGCTTTTCTTCTGAAGAAGACATGATAGCAGATAATCAAGGAGTATAAAAAAATAAATGCGTCAAATCTATACAAAAAATAATATTTAATATCCTAGTAACGCTCTTTTTTCTTTAAGCAGGTTGAATCCCCTATCGTAAGCCCATTTGGGTGTTTTCGACCACTCCCAGCGCGGAGACTTGACATTGTATGCATCTTCTTCATTTGTATTCTCACCTATAGCTGCAATCATATCATCCGTCATATCAAACTCGAGGGGAAATGGCCATACTTGTGCTTTACGAATGTCTGACTTGCTATCCCGATGGAAAGGCTCTAATAATCGTGATGGAAGAGCTTCACTGGATGGTAGCGCAAAACAGTGTGCAACTACATGCGCCTGGGCTTCCCAAAGACTGAATGGACGAATGTTCTTCTGAAGTCCTATAAAAACAAACGAAGGATCGTGGAGATAGAAAAGTTGATGTATCGATATGTTCTTCACACCTGCATATCCTCGTGCACATTCAGGTAGGTCCTCTTTGAGTCTCTTTTCGGATGGTATGACATCAGTTATTTCCCTCGCTTCAGGGCGATCATCTAACACGGGATGAGAACTCCATGGTGCATCACCAGACTGCATGAATGGAAACATGTAATTGTATCCGGTCGCGAAAATAATTGCATCCACGGATGTCTCCACTGCACCGTCAGTGAACTCAACCCAGTTCGTACCAACGCGAGCGATAGCGGGTAATTGACGTATACTCTTGAACCATTCGGGGGCGTCATCCCACGCTGGTGGGCCCATACGTGATGATTGCAAGACTGTTGTGTATGGTTCTCGACCATTTTCCGCTGGTTCGTACGGTGACTGTACATTTTGCGGTGCATGATTTAGCCAGGCCAGTTCTCGCGCGACATCATATCCTGAACTACGACTGCCAACGACGATGACTTTCTTTCCTCGAAATGACAAAGGGCCACGCCACCAGCGAGAATGAAAAATCGTTCCCTCAAAGCTCCATAAGCCCTCTGTGAATGGTATGTAAGGATTTGCGTAGTGTCCTGCAGCGTTGACTATCATGTCGGCCCTGTGTGTTTGACTTGAACCATTGTCAAGATCATCAACTGTAATTTCCCAGCGCGAATCGAGAGGTGGCATACAACCTTTACTTCCCTTCGCAGCACCAGGACGATGTCGCACCCGCGTTACTCGCTGCCTGTAGGCGACCAACTCCTCCAGGTGGTGCCTCCGAGCATATTCAACTATGTATTCCAAAACTTTATTGTGAGATGGAAACGTCGCATCGGGTATGTCGTCCCAAGAGTCGTTTCGGAAGCTCATGAGGTCGACTGGTAGATTCGTCCGGAGAGTTGGATAAACGGGTGACGGCGGAACTTCCTCAATCGCTGAGAGTGTATTTGTCGATTTATCCATGTTATTAAATGATATTGCTGCATGTGGTGTACCATACTTGTCAAACTTAATGTCTTGTTGTCTTGGATTGTCTTCGTAGTTCCTTTATCAGTTTAGCTTACGTTGGAAGTAGTAATAAGACATACCATATCCCACCGAGGCTATTCCTCACCTCGTAGAGTGTCACCCGAGCCTTACTCCGTCAGCGTTGATTGATGACGCACTATTGACTTACCTTGGGCATACGCTTGAGGATCTCATGGGCAGACGTGAGACCTCCGAGGCCTGATCTAGTTAGAAAACACAGCTACGCGCTATATACACTGACCTGCGCCTATGATAGCTATCCGTGGCGATTGTGTCATATAGTGGCTCGATGATGAGCGTGGATAAAGAAGAAAGTATACGATGAAGAATAGACTATTCTACTATAAAAACTACTGCCATACTAAAAAGTCTCCTTTTTACTAAGAAGTAGTGTCAGAGCGTGAAGACAGGATGGAGGGAAGACAGCAGGAAACGAATAAGTCTTTACTTCTATCCTCATAGCGTGTTATATTAAAGATTATTTTCAAAAAATACTTCAAATCACCCGCCGTCTTCTCTCTTCTACTGTGACATTCTCGAGCGTACAAAAAAATGGCACAAGCAATGGGAATGGGTCCAGGTGGACAACCAGTGATGGTAATGAGTGCGTGATATTGTCTATATCACCCAAAATATCTCACATTTCACAGATACAGCAGGTCCAGAGAGACAATCTGGCCGTAAAGCCCAAATTTCAAATATAACAGCAGCAAAGACAGTATCAGATATTATTAGAACTTGCTTAGGACCTCAATCTATGCTTAAAATGATTTTAGATCCAATGGGTGGTATTCTCCTTACAAACGACGGACACGCAATTCTACGTGAAATCGATGTAGCACATCCAGCCGCAAAGTCCATGATTGAACTTAGTCGTACGCAAGATGAGGAAGTAGGTGATGGTACTACCAGCGTTATCATTTTAGCCGGTGAAATTCTCGCCCAATCTTCTGGTCTTCTCGAGAAGAACATCCATCCAGTACAGATCATTCAATCATACAAGCTTGCTCTCGCTGAGGCACTCAAAACTATCGAGAGTATTGGTCAGCCATTGAACATCGATGATGAGAAGGAAATGTTAGCCTTGATCAAGACCAGTATTGGTACTAAATTCGTACAAAGATGGTCAGAACTTATGTGTAAACTCGCACTTGATTCTGTTAAAATTGTCGCAACATCTGCCAAAGACAGCGCAAACAATGATATTAAATCAGTCGATTTGAAGAGATACGCCCGTATTGAGAAGGTCCCAGGTGGTGATGTTGAAGACAGTCAAGTTCTTTCTGGTTTAATGGTCAACAAGGACGTTACACACCCAAAGATGAGACGTAAGATTGACAACCCACGTGTTATCCTTCTCGATTGTCCATTAGAGTACAAGAAGGGTGAATCACAAACAAATATCGAGATATCAAAAGAAGGTGACTGGGAGAAGATCTTGGCTATTGAAGAGGAACAAATAAAGCAAATGTGTGATCACATTTTACAATTCAAGCCTGATTTAGTTTTAACTGAAAAGGGTGTTTCAGATTTGGCTCAACACTACCTCGTGAAATCCAACGTCACCGCATTGCGTAGGCTGCGTAAGACTGACAATAACAGAATTGCTAGAGCTACAGGTGCAACTATTGTTAACCGTGTTGAAGACCTCAGAGAAAACGACGTTGGTACAAAATGTGGTAAATTTGAAGTAAAGAAATTAGGTGATGAGTACTTCTCATTCCTTACTGAATGCGTTGATCCAAAGGCATGTACTATCCTCCTTAGAGGTCCGTCAAAGGATATATTAAATGAGATCGAAAGAAACCTCCAAGATGCTATGTCAGTTGCAAGAAATGTAGTATTTAACCCACTTCTCGCACCTGGTGGTGGTGCAACTGAGATGGCAATCAGCGTTGCTTTGAACACACTCGCAAAATCCGTTCAAGGAGTTGGTAGTCTTGCTGTCAAAGCAGTCAGTGAGGCTATGGAAGTTATACCAAGAACACTCGTCCAAAATTGTGGAGGTAATACCATTCGTACATTGACAGAACTCCGTGCAAGACACAACAATGGTCTTGTCAGCCATGGTATTGATGGCGATCTTGGTAAGGTTGTTGATATGAAGGAGTATGGATTGTATGAGTCAGCAGCTGTCAAGATTCAAACCATTAAGACAGCAATTGAGGTACGTAGTTTAGTTTGATATTTTGATACTTTTTTATTAACAACAATCAGAGCGCTAGCTTACTCTTGCGTGTAGACGATGTCGTTTCTGCCAGAAGACTTGAACAAGCTGGTGGTGCGGGTATGATGCCACCAGGTGAAATGGCCGAGGGAGCTGAGCAATAAGGGTTTTCTTTCTTTTGTTAAATAGTCATAAATGAAAAATGGTATATCAGAAAATGAGAAATAAGAAAAGAATTACAATTTGTCATGTCATTAATTCCAAGGTTGCGATATGAGTAACTGAGTCGTAATCAGAGCTTGATACTTAATTTTTGGATCTGGGTGTTGAAGTAATTCCATTATTTTCTGCTTAGATGAGCTGTCGACGTAGGTTTTCGCGTGATGAATGAACTTCAGACATTGGGATATATCGTACAGAGTGATATGTAAAATCTGTTGATCTTCAGAATCAAGAAGTGAGAAAAGTCTATTTAAACCCCAATTGTTATCCTTTAAGAGAGCGCCTGATTGATTCTTCCAGAAATCCTCGTCAGTGTGTACAGGTGACCACCTTAGCAAGCCAGACTCTAATTCTGAGGAGTACTCATCCCAATTTGAAATGCTTGCGAATGAAGATTGTAATTGTTCTGTTATAGTGTCCAAATCGGTTTGCAACTCAGCATCATTCCACCTACGACTACTGAGGTTGTTAAGCGTCGGTTGTATAGGCAAAGCTAAGAATGTTGCGAGTGTTGATTGCTTGGAATGCTTGAGTAAGTTTACAAAGATTGCCAAAACTAGTCTGACTACCTTTTCCTTGATAGAAGACCTGGCGAGTTGGGCCAAAGGGGGTATAATTTTGTAGTCGGAGTTGATCCTAGCAGAGAGGGACTTGTCAAATGTGAGCAACCAGATTGAGTAGATGATGTTATAGTTTGATTGGATGTTTGAGTTGTTAAGCTGCTTGAGGAGGACATCTAAGTGGTCGTATATGAAGTGTTTAGCTTGCTTGTGGTTGAGAAGTTGGGTGAGGATCAGTGTATAGAAGTCGAGTTCGTTGTCGTCGTTGAGCTGTGAGAGTATGACGGAGAGAAGCTTATCTAGAGTAGAGTTTTCGAGATCATAGATGATAGTGAGTAGTTTTATTGTTGACATTCTAACATAGCTATCGTTTGTGTCTAGTAAGCCAACAAGGAGTGGTTCAAATCGTGGCAAGTTTGAGCCATCGAGGGCGGCGAGACGCTGTAAATTATAAAGGGAATACTTTATAACGTCTAACTTGTCAATATTAGCTAGTAATTTGTAGAAAAGATTGTAATAACTAGTGGTATCAGCGTAACCATCGAAGTCGTTCAAGTTTACTAGTAAATTGTAGTCGTTATCGTCTATAAATTGAGATCTCTTATAACCGATGAAAGGAATTTCTTGTTTTTTGTAGTCCAAGTAAAAATTCTGAATTAGATTCATCGTTGTGAGTGTACAAGGAAGATGAAATCCTCTTTGTTAATAATTAGACCTGCGTACTTGAATTTTAATAGCGAATTTAAAACGCAATACTTCAAATACCAAAGAGATCTCCATCAAGCACTCTCTGGTAACTTCAATAAAGATTTCTACTATCAACCTCAGTCACTCTCACAGAGGGGATTCATACAGAGGGAGCATCAGAAGCAGCTAGACAAGTGGGGATATTCCATCTACAAAGATCAGCAGCTGTCTTCTCAGAACGAGATCTCGGTAGACGAGAATACGAGAGAGATAGACGACTCAGTAAAAAATATAGAGAGGCGTGGAGAGAGATCGCTGGTGTTGGTAGACGAGAAGAACGCGATACCAACAACGACAGTAAATCCAAAGGAGTCGCTCGACCAGGCTGCCTTGAGAGCGGGATACGAGAAATTCGGCAGAGATATAGATTTATGGTTGGTTTCTAAGCTACCAATCGGTGTTAATAGAGTGGATAACATAGACGTAAGTCCAGATCTCCCGATTCGTTCATATACTGACTAAACAGACATACACATTCATGAGCTACATACTAAATGGCAAACCAAACAGTCCAGCGAACTACCTCACTAAGGAGGAAACGTCTGAAAATTATTTTGTTGATTTAATCCCTTATAAATAAATGCCCTTCGTTTGAGTGAACCATCATCTTATATACAAAAATGCTTAGACTCGCTCTGAAAACACCACTCAGCCGTTTTGGTAGCCGTTGTAGGTTTATAGCTTCTTTTTTTACTAGCGATCTCTAACTTATCTCTCAATAGCCCTTCATCTCACCAGCAGAACCAACGAATTACAAAAGTTCGCTTTCCCAGCGTTAGTATTCAATTTATTTATTTGCTTTATTAATAAAAGAATAGTATGTCACCAACTATGACTGAAGGTGGTATCGCCTCATGGAAAAAGCAAGCAGGCGAATCTTACAGCGCTGGCGATGTTCTCTTAGAAATTGAGACTGATAAAGCTACTATGGACGTTGAAGCACAAGACGATGGTGTTTTAGCAAAAATTATAGTCGGCGACGGCAACAAGGCTATCCCAATTGGTACCCCAATCGCTATCCTTGGTGAGGAGGGCGACGATTTATCCGGCGCAGACGCACTCGCAGAGCAAGCATCCAGCGAGAAGCCAGCTGAGCAATCAGCTGAGAAGTCAGAAGAGAAGCCAGCTGAAAAGCCAGCTGAGAAATCAGAACCAGCACCAGCTACTCAATCAAAGGAATCCTCAGCTGAGCCACAAGGTCCACGCCAAACTATTGCTGCTACTCCAATTGCACGCAAGTTGGCTCTCGAAAGAGGTGTCCCCCTCAAGGAACTTAAGGGTACCGGTCCAGACGGCCGCATCACAAAGCAAGACGTCGAAAAGTACAAGTCTGCAGCTCCACAAAAGCAATCCTCAGCTCCAGCTGCTGCTACCTACGAAGATATCCCAGTTTCAAACATGAGAAAAGTTATCGGTCAACGTTTGTCTGAATCAAAGTCACAAACTCCTCACTACTACGTCACCTCAGACGTTGACCTCTCAAAGCTTCTCAAGTTGAGATCAGTTTTCAATAACGCAGCTGAATCTGAAAAGAGAGCCAAGTTGTCTGTTAACGACTTCATTCTTAAGGCCGTCGCAATCGCATTGAAGCAAGTCCCTGAAGCTAACCAAGCTTGGTTGGGTGAAAACATCCGTCAATACCACCAAGCCGATATTAGCGTAGCTGTTGCAACCCCATCCGGATTGATCACACCAATCATCAAGAACGCTGGTGCTAAGGGTTTGGCTGAAATCAGTGCAGAGACTAAGGCTCTTGCAGTTAAGGCCAGAGATGGTAAGCTCAAGCCAGAGGAATACCAAGGTGGTACTTTCACAATCTCAAACCTTGGTATGTTCGGTGTTGATAGCTTCACCGCTATTATCAACCCACCACAAAGCTGTATCCTCGCAGTTGGTGCTAGCTCACCAAAGTTAGTCTTGGACAACACCACTGAGAAGGGCTTCAGAGAAATTCAAGCACTTAAGCTCACTTTGTCATCTGACCACCGTGTCGTTGATGGTGCTATCGCAGCCAGATTTTTGGCAGCACTCAACAAAGTTCTCGCTGATCCCCTTTCATTGATGCTCTAAACTTAGGTCTAAGTTTATAAAAATAGAATAATACTCTTTCATTTCCTTTTGTCTTTTCTTTAAAGTTTAAATACATATAAAAATACAGAATTATAAATATCAGCATTATGATTTGCATATTAATCTATTGACGTTGTCTCTTTGCGATTGGTTGGTTCTGCTCGTCTGTTGCTTCCTCGACGAAATTGAATGGGGGTGGTGATGATGATTTCTTTTCATTGGTGTCTTCATTCTTAGTAGGTGGTGTCTCATTGTTCATATTATTCAATAGACTGTCCAGGTCTAAATCATAATTCTTTATCAAATCTGACATCTCCTGACTATCGGAAACATTATGAGAAGCGTTTAAAATTTCATTTGCTTGTGATGGATTTAAACCGATGTTGTTGACGACGTTGTTTATAGATTGTTGTAATGCATCTAAATCGTAAGACAAGTCGTTCAACTGATTACGTTGTGTGCCAATTTGATTTTCATTTAAAGAACCAACTTCATTATTTGGTAAATAACTCGTTGGATTGTAGCTCATATAATCATTACCATTTATCAGTCTCTGTGACGTCCTAGGTGATAACAAATTAGCGAATTGTGATAGATCTAATTGATTTGGAGATATTAATGATTTAGAATTGTCAAATCCATCCTTATTAGGTTCTGGTATGGTTATTTTTGGCTTTTGGTCGTTCAGACTGCCATTTGAATCTACAAATTCAGTTCCACCGGTTGCCGGAGAAGATTGAGATTCTGGACTTATATGAGTGAACCTAGAGATATCCTCTTCTGCGTCCTTATCACTTGATTGGTTGTTCAACATTAAATGTTGACGCTTTTTAGGGATGAGGGCCAATTGCATGTCACTGTCTTGTGGTAAATCCTCAAAAATGTTAGTTGAGGCATTTGCGGGCGTAATATCTTGGGCATAGACTTGGCTAACGAATTGTAGGAGCTTTTTTATTGTTTCTTCATTATGTCTGTGCCTTTCTCTCGCTGCTATGGCTTCCTGCCATAGACGTTGATTCGAATTCTGAAGTGTGAGTAACGCGCTGCTTATATAGGCCTGTTGTTTTTGGATTTGAGTAAAACCGGCCATTATTGTACCGACATCAATTGTCTGATTCGAGTGGCTGCTCTGTGGAGCTGAAGTCGAAGGGTCTACGTAGCTAGTAAGCTGCTGCTCATTCTCAGCCTTAATTCCAACGCCCTTCTTCTCTGTAGATACCTTCCTGTGCACTTCTACTAACAAATCCGGCTTGTTTTTCTGGAAGTTCTCGTTCGTAAATTCCCAAAGCTCCTGCGTGCTTGAGCCATCTGATTGAAGGACTCCTTGATGTACGTGTGGTACTTTATTGAAACCGTACATATTCAATTGTCTGACAAATGAGCTGTAATTCGAGTGCTTGAAGTACCTCGGCAAGACCTCCCTAGCTAATCCTTCTGGGTTTGGTACAAAGAACGTGTCTCCTGCATCTGACCAGTGTATGTACTTATCCGTACTAGCGTCATTCACAATTCTGTAAAACTTTATCAGATCGTCCGTTATCTTAATAAATAACTTACGAATATAACTTATTTATGAATGGCGGAATCTTTAAAGCCCTGGCTATATTTCTATCACTTGGCATTAGATTTTATTTTCACACTATCAACGCTGTAGACTAAGCCGGGGGGAGTGATAGTCAATCTTATCCACGCTGAGTAATTTAAAAAACCAATAAAAAATTATGTATATTCACTATTAAAAGAACAATTAAACGAGCGTGATTCCGTAAGGGTAGCTTCTTATTAAAAGTATACGTGTTTGCTATTTCTTGCGTACAAATTTCGTGATTTCTCGTACTTCAAAGGCGAAAAGGCGTTTCAAATACGTGAACGATCAGCAAATGCATCACGAATGTGTTGCTTAAGCCATTCAGGTACCTCTTCAAAGTTGAAGTTATCCACTGTGTCAATAGCACCTTCTTCGATAGCTTTCCTCCAGTTCCAGTCACTGCCTTGCTCACCTTTGTAGGCCCAGAATGAGGATCCTGCTAACGCACCAACCCACAAGCTTTGTTGGGTTTGGTAGGTGTATCTCAAGCTGTCGACATCTTGTTGGTATGGTCTGGCATTTGAGTATTCACCGACAAAGATTGGAAGATGGAATGAACTTGCTTCAGTGGCGAATTTTGCGATGTCATCTGCGATACTGCTGTCACTTACTTCAGATGGATCGTCATAAGCCCAGTATCTGTGTACATCCAAGGCAACATTTTCACCATTTGTGAACATATCTGACCACTTGGCTGGACCAAGGAAGGCGTCACTTGCGATAAGTGTAAAACCAGCTTCGTTGACAATATCGTAGGATTCAACAGCGAACTTCTTTGTTGTTCCAATTTGGTCAGCATTTTCTGGCTTGATTTCATTTGCGTTTTCAATTCCGGCAATTTGACATTGGGTGTCCTCTGGAAGACTCTTGACGTAGTCAACGACAGCACGGACTGTGTCAAGGCCTCTTTCCCAGTATTGATCGGTTTGAGTAAGGAAGTATGCCTCACCTAATCTACCAGAGTGTTCAAGTCCATTTTGTGATCCTGGGATTTCGTTAGATAAGTTGAAAAATTTACCAATGACTCACCTGGAACAGCGTGAATATCAATAACGGCATGAAGATCATAATCGGCGAGGAGGTTGAGTATTCTTGTGAGCTCATCCTTTTGCTCTGATGTAGTTGGGTATGGTTCTTCACCTTCAGTGCCGATGAATGCATAGAATGGTACTGGTATACGGACCATGTTGGCACCATGTTCAGAAATATATTCAAGATCTGATTCTTGGATATAACCCTCCCAATTGGTTCTCATCTCGCTTGCGCATTCTTCAGTACGACCAGCACATTGTGAGTAAATATCACCGTTGTATGTGATACCATCAGGATGTCCCATCCAAGACCATTCTGGGATAAGCCAGTTACCGAGGTTTACTGAAATTGCAGGCTTTGATCCCCACCAGTCCCATTTGTGACATTTGCCATTGTCAAGGTTAGGTGGTTTCAGATCGTGATCGTCTGGTCTGTCGCTATCTTTCTCGCCATCCCAGTTATCACCATCATCCCACTCTTGGTCACCTTTATCACCATTCCATTTATGTTCATAGTCTTCACCTTCGTCCCAGTCCTTGCCTTTGCCTTCATCTCCACCCTCGACTGGGAATGTTGGGCCAAGTTCTGGTGCATCTGATTGGAAATCATCACCATCTTCGAAGCCTGGGAATGGAAGCCCTGCGCCATGTCCACCGTTTCCAATTGAAGGGTTGTACCCGTGCCAAAGTTGATTGCTTACGTCTGACATTGTTATAATATTAAGCGAGTGTGATAGAGGATATATCTAACAAAGTTATATGTACTGGTAAAGGAAAAGAGCTCTCCGATTTCTGTTTTGAGCTTTCTTCATTTTAGTCTCTTTTTAGCATTCACGACTGGAATGTAAACTACGGTGTTTATTTAAATATTCATTCTTATTTAAGGTCTAGAACAGTTTGTGCCGCAGTTTCATGCATTTTCTGGTTTTTTGGGCTGGTTTCTGCACTGTTATTGGCCGTGTCTCTGAAGACAACATCGGTGAAGATTTTCTATTCAGCGGAGTGAAGATTCCCCCCATTCTAATCGCCGAACCTATGTAAATGGAGGTCGGTGGAGTGTATCGCGTGCTGCATATTTTCATAGTTCGGCCAGTAGAGTAAGTATATGATTCACTAGATCGTCCGCGTAGAATGTGTTTTTGATATTCAAAGTAAACCTTTGTAGAGCATTATCGATTAAACCGTCTTAAAATATCTCCGCTAAATCTCAAACACATTGTTCAGTTTCATAATGACGCACCATGGTCTTCCTGGAGAATATTACTAACACCTGTCAAAACATACCAACTAGATACGTTATTAAATAGACGATTTAATTGTAGAAATCAGGCACCTCTCTGTCAAAATCTGACATGATCATCGTCCGCTAATTAGTATAGCAAGGATTGTTGTCTTGAATAGCTACATTTAGGTTGAAAACTATAGGAGGAGTGTACAAACACCTTGTATTACAGAAGGAGACAGAGAAGATGAAGAAAGTGACAAACGGGTTACCAGATACTGAGCTAGAGCATCGTCCTCAACGAGAATGTACATATCCCACAGCAATAGTTATATTTTTTATCAATTGGATTGTCAATTTAAGCGCAGATAGATTGATATTCGCTGTTATACCCCTAGGATGGACGATCGCCGGAATAGTTACGACAGATCCACTCAAATACTATGTTGCAGCTGGATGGGTCATCTTATCTCTAATAATACGTGCAGTATACGTTTTCATCATTTTCATGACGTCGTTGGTAGCGAAACTCCTCAAGCGGTGGCAGTGTAAAACTAGCAAAGGATACCCCTATAGCATTGTTTAGAAAGCCCAACTTAATTTATTATTCTAATATACTAGAGACAACTTTGTTTATCAACGTCATAATAATCCATAGTATGCTGTATATAATCTACTGGGCCAATATTATACTTGATTGGTGATGTAGCCATCTGCTGTGGTGCGTATTCTATACACAGCGTTGGAGCTGGAAATCGCGTGATATTTTTATCAGTAGGTCATCTTCCTATCTCTATCATTTACTGTCATGTCTAATTCGGGAACTGCTGAATTACCTGCTAGTCAAGTAGGACAATAGCTATTTTGCTACAATTTCTAATTAAATACAGCAATCTACTTGGTCTAGCTTCGTAAAAGGGTTGGCATCTTGGTCAGGAGACCTCTCCAGTCTAACAGCTCCATCGTAAGGTTATATCCGTACGCATTTGGTAGTATTTTGACCTCGCCTTAGTTTTATTTTGTCTCCTACCTCCCTCACTGAATTTCCAGGTTAGTCAACTATATTGTGATATCTCCACAAGTCTGACGTAGCGCTCTAGCATATTGGTGTGAGCATCCTGAGTAAGTAATGCAATTTTCAGTTATGGCAGTCTCTTATTATTGTCTACAGTGAATTCGCAGCTATCTCATCTGGAAAAACACCTGAAGAACGTGCTAAATTGGTTTTACGCTGGTTTATCCTCACCTTAAAGTGTCAATACGCTACCAGAAATGAGAAGATGGGGTCAGAGAAGAAGCCACTCAATCCTATCCTTGGAGAGACCTTCTACGGTTCTTGGCCGGATTCTAATGGACGCGGTAAAACTGATTTGATTGTCGAACAAGTTTCACGTCAGTGTATTGTCATGTTGTCTGTTTAATGTTAACAAAGCTTCAGATCACCCCCCAATCACGGCTTACTACATTAACAATGAAAAAGCAGGTGTCTCCCTGGAAGGTCACTCAGGTCAGAAAACATCATTCAGCGCTCCTTCTATTGTAGTCAAGCAAGTTGGTCACGCAATTATTACTGTCAAACTCGAGGATGGCAATGCTGAGGAGTACCTAATCACCTTACCTAGACTCAAAATTGACGGTATTTTATACGGTAAACCATACATTGAGCTCACTGAAGTAAGCTACATTGTTGGCTCTAATGGTACCTCCGCTACCATCGACTACAAAGGCAAAGGTTGGCTCTCAGGTAAAGCTCACTCTTACAAGGCAACATTGACAAATGGATCATCCACTATTTCACAAGTTGAAGGTCAATGGACCGGTTTAGCTAAGGATTCCAAGGGTGACTTGAATTTCGATGCACAAATGCCAAAAGAGGAGGTCAATGTGAAACCAATTGAAGAACAACAGCTTCCCGAGTCTAGATTAGTCTGGAAGGAAGTTGCAGAAGGTATACGCAACGGCAATTACGATAAAGCTGGAAAAGCAAAGTCTCAAATCGAGAACGATCAGCGTGCCAAACGCAAAGACGAAGCTGCAGAGAGCAAGAAACATGAGTTGAAGGTGGGTGTTTAGCATTTGCTATTGAGCCTTGAATTTAACAGTCCATAGCACTTCAACCAAATCGCTTCAGATGAATCCTACGCGAAACTCATTAAGCAAGTTTCAAGTACTTTGCCTCCAACTGAGGAAGGATACAAACTTAAACGCGATAATTAAAAAGTCTAAAGTTCGTGTAAACTAGAGTTATCTTATTTTTCGTTTCTCACTTAAATGTCATCATGTCGATTTTTCGACTCAAATTGAGAGCGAGAGTTGTGCAGACGACAATTGTTATTGTACTTCTTATTGTTCTAGGTTATTTCTCAATATTAAATAAGAAAGATACAGAGACGAACAGTCGACGCATACCAGAGAAGACAGATAGCATCAGAGCGTTTGATAAGCTACCTTATGATAGTTTAGACCAACATTGGACGATATTTAGATCTAGGAATCCACCAATAGCAATAAATCAATTGGAAGATACGCCGTTGACGTATCAGAAGTTAAACGTCACTGAGAACTTCCCAGTACCATCTGATTTTAAACCTAAGGAGTCACCAGTTTATGAGCATGATACACTTTCTCATGATGATAATTCTACATCACTAAATTTACACTCGTTGTTGTATAAGTCTATAGCACCGCTTCAGTATAAGTTTGGCGGACAAGACAATAATGATGAGACAAAATATAGACAACAAATTATACAGAACGCATTCCTACATGCTTGGAATAGCTATAAGAGGAATGCCTATGGTTTTGACGAGATACATCCTCTCACTGGCAAACCATTCAATAGTGATCCGAAGAAATACCAGAGGTCACCATTCAATGGATGGGGAGCGACGATAGTGGATAATTTAGACACTCTCCTCATAATGGGGTTGCAAGATGAATATGAAGAGGCTAGAGAACGTAAGTGTTCTTTCTGCTGATTAGAGATTAAACTAATACCACCCAACAGATGTCAACCGGATTGATTTCAACTACGTACATAGCCCCTCTGGTGAACTTCCAACGTTCGAGACTAACATCAGATACCTCGGTGGTTTACTATCAGCTTATGACCTAAGTGGTGATCCTTTGATGATATCTCGAGCAATAGAATTGGGAGATATACTAATGAACGCATATAATACCACTTCGCACATACCTTCAAGTGTCTTAAAACCTAATTATCCACCAAATGAAGAGGATTATACCATTTTAGCGGAATCTGGTAGTATGATTTTAGAATTCACGAGACTTTCAATCATAACAGGTGATTATAAATATTTCAACGTCGCACATAAAGCACAATCTGTTTTGTTTGGTTTGAAATCGACAATTGCCGGTTTATTACCAACACATGTGAGATTAGACAAAGAAATATCACAAACACCACGATCGGGTGTCTTTACATTAGGAGCACTCAGTGATAGCTACTATGAATATCTCATAAAGTTGTACAGATTGGTTAATACACAATTAACACAATATTCGCAACATTACGTAAAAGCAATAGATTCACTCAAGGAGTACCTAATTTTGGATGTACCATCAAACATAGAATCCTTCGAAGATATTACAGTATCTGGTGAAGTTACTTCACTTACTTTAGCACAACATGAGAATGAAGGTGGAAAAATATTACCAAAGTGGGAACATTTAGCTTGTTTCTCAGGTGGAATGTTCGGTTTAGGTGCTAAAATACTTAACAGACCTGATGACCTCATGCTTGCTGATAAGTTAGCATCTGGTTGTTTCGATATGGCTAACAACACAATTACTGGTCTTGCACCGGAATCTGCAATTTTTGATCTTAGCGAAAGAGCTTCAAATGTGGTTCATAGAAAACCTCCTGAAAAACATAGACCATTTAGGTATAGGTCTATGTCAAGTATTCATCTCGGTAGACCTGAGATTATAGAAAGTCTTTTCGTCATGTATAGAATTACGGGTGATGCAAAGTGGAGAGAAAAGGCTTGGAGGATGTTTACTTCTTGGGTGAGTGCTTGCATCTCTTTGAGACTTTATTTGACAACTTTACAGGCAAGGCATACCTATGCTCCTCATGGGTTTTCAGCTATAGAGAATGTCGAGACTGAGCGTGTTTACAAAGTTGACAACATGGAGAGCTTCGTACTGGCAGAAACTCTCAAATATTATTATTTGATATTCTCAGACCAGGGTGTCATATCATTAGATGATTATGTCTTATCAACTGAAGCACATCCATTTAGATTATCGAAATCAATGCCAGAGAAGACATTTGATTTCCCTGAACTCACGTCTATACGAGGTGAAGGCACAGATGTTCAAAAATACCTCAAGTACCTAGACCAAACACGGCCGAAGAAGGAAGACTTCTTTAAATCTTTTTTGTGATTTAGATAATGTATTGTGAAAACGTTATTATACAATTTCTTAATATTAATATTACACTAAAAGACCTTCGAACCTATCTGGAAAGAAGACAGGTGCTAGCAGGGCTGTTGTTTTGTTAGTGACGATCAAAATTTTGAGAATATAACTCACTCCATATATATATGAAAAAGCACAACCAGGCGCTTATCATTCTAACCCACATGGCCGCAGGTGAACGACCAATTCTTATCAACTCATCACCATTCTCGTTTTCGCTACCTGATTGGATTTTATTCCAATCAGTGAGCAACATCGAGACGTACATCGCGGCAAGAATGAAGACAACGTGGAACCAGCTGTAATTGTACTTTGTACCGCTCTTTTCATCATCATTTTCATTCAATTCACCAGCATCATGATCTTCATCTTCTTCTTCGGCAGCCTCTGCGTCATCCAGCGCGGAAGCTGGTAAGGAGCCAGCTTCAACGGCGGCCATGAGAGCTTGTGTGCGGATATTGTCAGATTGTTTAGGTTGGCTCGATACAACATCAGCATTATCATTCAGAGCTTCGTATTCACCACCAGTTATCTCTACCCTCTTCTTATTCTTACCTACGAGTGCTTTAGATTGCGTTGCAGCTCTCGTAGTCGAATAAGCTACAGCTAAGAGTGTGAACAGGGCACCAAGAACGACAGTAGAAGTATGTGATGCGAAACTTCCACCACCAAGTGGATTACATTCCGATGCACCTTCTTCTCCTCTGTTGACAATAGCTGATGCTGTTAAGTATGTACAATATGCTGCAACCATCGATGCTTGTGCCAAACCTGACTTTGGATTTGCATCTTGAACTGCTGGGTGAATGCAGAGGATTGTGATAGCTACAATCAAAACTGAATGAATGGAGAGGAAAGTGTTGTTAAGTGTGCAAGAAGATCCTGTGAAGAATACCAAAAGGAGTATGGTGAATGTGATTGAAGTGATATACATTCCTAACGTGCTGCCTAGGAGAATGTACTTCCAGGTATTAGATTCTGAGTCTTCCCATCTATCAAGGCAGGTCTCTGACCAAGTGTGTGCGAAATCAACCAAGAGGACCAATCCAACAAGGATGAAAATCGATGCCCCAATCAAAGCTAAATAGTTGGACCAGAAGATGAAAAAGTCGTTAGGAATTGCAAATGAAACAACAATAAGTGATATCCAGAGCATGAACCTTTATGTAGTTAGTAATAATATCAAAATTGAGACATAGTTGCTCACTTTGGACCCCACCAGCTGGATATGCGTCAGATAAGCGAGAAATTGCATATAACAGACCCACCCATTTTGTATAGATGCTCTATTAGTACGTGTATCCTTCACGCCTACTAATAACAATCCCAAAATCGCGTGGAACAGTGATAAAGCAAAACAGAACCTGTGAACGGCTAACACACCGTAGCATTTACCAGAAGGACAATCCATCTTAAGGTAGTCATATGTGAGCTTCTCGAGTGCATGTATCGCCCATCGCGTCCGCATTAGCCAGGCGAGTAGAGAGTTGATGGTGAATATAATGCTGTAGCCGATCCTGGTGGCTACAGAGGAGTTGCAATTGCATGATCTAGGGTGGTGCGTTAGAGCGTGTACTCAGTCATAGGCTATAAACTGACTTGAACATCGCTGATAAGGCGGTGGAGGTGCAACAGAATGCGAGAGCACCTACACAGCTGGAAATAATAGGACTAGCGAATCCAAGGAATGGAATAGCGGGTAAGCAAGCCATAGTATGTCCTTTCTAAATTTCACTCTATGACGTTAAATTTCAAGAAGCTCAGGGTAGCGTTTTGAAGTAAACGACCATGTCAGCAAAGTTTGAAAAGGTTAAATTTAGTAATAATTTGTAGTAAAATAATCTAATAGCTCGAATAAAGGCAGTTTCTATCGTCAACTCACTCCCTAAAGAAGGACCAGTCCAAACGTCGACTGACCAGAAGTTGAGAGTGAGTGAGAGCGCGTAGACGATGCCATTTACTAACAAACACTCAGTTCTACGCTTTATTCAAGCAAGGTAACTCTTACTCCCCTTACTACCCCTATACACCCCCAACTCACAAAACAAACAGCAAAAGAAGGCGACGTCAAGACATCTCGCCCAGGAATGATGGACTTCACCGGACGTGCAAAGTGGGACGCTTATAAGTCCGTCGAGGGTATGTCACAAGAGGAGGCTGCAAACAAGTATGTAGAAGCTTTGTTAGAAATCCTCAAGTCAAATGACAGTGAGGAGTCAAAGAAGTACATTAATGAGATTGAGAGCGCTTAGATTAGTGTAAATATATATTAATATCCTTGATGTCTAGTTGTATGAAGGTGGTGGGGGCAAATTTGCAGCTCTGTCCGCTGTATTCGCTGTGTTCGATGCAGTGTATGAAGGTGGTGCAATGTGAGGAGTGGCAGGTGTCCTAGCTACCGCTGGTGGTTCTCTAGGTGGTGTGTATCCCGGTGGTCGGTTAACATCGGTGTCGTCATCCATATCGTCAAATTGCCTCTGTGCGCTTGAAAAGTGATTATCCCTACCAAAGTAGCGCTCATTTATGAAATCAATAGGCGACTGCCCGTGTGCATTACCAACGTCTATCGCTGTAGCAACATTCGGTTGTCTAAGGCGTGGTAGACTCTTCTGCCACTCCTCGTACTCTCTTTTCCTTCGTCTTCTCTTTTTCTCAATCTGCAAAAGCCAGGCAAATATAACCAAGGCAACTAATATCAATATGATAACGATAGGCGCTGTAGACTTTGCGTCCCTCCGTTCTATCCTCCTTCTCACGGGGGCCATGGTTGTTGATATACAAGATAATAGATATAAGATGAGATTATAAAGACTACATTCTTCGTTTTACATTTCTTAAATAATATACGTCATTAAACTTCCTTGTACGTTGCTTGAGGATAGCTGGATCGGAATGTCAGTTTCTGTCTCACGAGTAATTTATCCCATACTTTGGTGGTGGATAATCTCCCGGCGGCGGCCCAGGTGGTGCATTATAGCCAAACTGTCCCTGTTGTCCTTGTTGTCCTTGTTGCTGTCCGTCGGGGTGTCCTTGATAGTAGGGCATTTGCGGTGCAGGGTAGTTTTGTTGATAAGGCGCGTACATCTGTTGCTCGTACGCTTGACCTTGTTGTTTAAGGTTTCTCCTACGACGACAAAAGCACAGTAATGAGAAAAGTGCTATTAAAAGTAGTACACCAACTGCTACAGCTACACCTACACCAATCCGAGCACCGCGTGACAACCCGGAACAGTGATATCTTACGCCGACCCAGTAGCAATTTCTAGCACTCGCTAGTTCTATCAATCCTAACACTAATATAATGTTTGATAACATGATTGATTGAAGCCAAGAACTATAAAATACACCGCATTATAATAATTTAATTACAAACTAGTCCGAGGTTTGGACTTTGGAGATGTTGCTTCATATTGCTCAAGCACTCTATAGACTGCTATATCCTCGTCCCTTAGTTTTTCTTCCTTCAAGACACCCTTTTTGATCCAGAAAGCGAGTGTATCCTGAACAATAACACTGTTGGGCGCCTCTAATTGCTCTTCAATATCCTGCGCTGTCATCTTTCCTCCTGTAACTCCTGTTAACATCATGCCAAGAAATTTGGATACACTTACCATTTACAGCGAATAAGTCAATCACTGTTGCTTGGAAAGGTGTTACATCTAAATTCAACGTCCTATCTTCTAGATCTAGTGTTATTGACACGTTTCCGATCTGCGGTATCCAGTGTAAACGCTTATCTGGCTTGAAACGAGCATATGCATCCTCGTACTGTTTTCGATAGCTAGATGGATTATTAAAAGCACACTTATAATTTAGGGCCACTTACGTTTGCATCTGTTCTGTCAAGTTGAATGAGAAATCTTCAATTTCAGGCCAGAATTGACGTGAGACAACGATTGGTCGAATGACAGTCTAGCGTCTAATTAGTTGAGCTTCTGATTGTACACCAAGACAAACCTCTATCTGCGACCTGATGTTCTGATCTATACGCTTCGAATCAGCCACATCTTTCAACATAACTTCACAAGCATGCAATGTTGTTTCACCAAATTTGAGCTTGAGTATTTCAATATTGCGAATCTAAAAAGAGACTTATGAGATTTTGAGAGTGAGTGGTTTAGGACTCACTTCTTTCTCTAGATTGTAATCTTTCAAAGACATCAAACGCTGAGCAAGCATAACTTGAAGCTCTTCAACGAAGACCTCCTTCGAGTCGTAGATACTAACAAGTGTAGAGATAAGGTCTTTGCGACCGTCGCTGCGAAAGTCTATGATTTAATGTCAGAAAGGCATAATCTGCGGTTATCTGCAACCCACTCGGACCAGCATCGATAGGTTCGGGTTCCCAATTTGGGTCTTCCCAGTCAGGTGCATCATCATTTTCGAGAACAATTGGCGCATTATCCTGAGCATCGCCTTCTTCGACTAGTTCACTCTCCTCATCGACGAAACTTGCAACTATTGAGCGGATCGTATCGGGTCTTTCGCGGAGATACTTGCGTATTGGCTCAGCTACCGATGCTAGTAGTACGCCTGTCGGATCAATGATGAGTAGACACTTTATTGTCGATATGTATTGTGTAAGGATGAGCTGCGTTGATGCACCAGCATGTAACAAACGACTTTCATTCAATGTCTTTAGTTGCTTCACAAGGTGTGAGCGATATTGCACTCTCTCTAAGCAAGTCTATTGAGTTATTAGATGTTATTGTTTCAATAATGGGAACACACTTTTATGTCATTGATTGCTGCTGTTGAATCAGGGTAATCAACTATAATATCAAAGAGCTCTTCTATTCTGGAATAATTCAGCTTATATCCTATCTAATTATCACTTCACCCACCGCATTTCGCAGAATTTCTCGCATGCAAAAAAATCAAAACGTTGTAGCCAAGTATCTGCCCACCGCTTGACGGGTTCTTTAGACATGATAGACTGCATTTTAACAGATATTCCACCGTATGCTATCCATTTACGTAAGTTATCCAAAACAGGTTCTTCCCATTGTCCCTTATTAGCTAGGACTTCATTCTCAATCTCATCGTAGAGGATCTCCGCCGAGAGCATCTCAGTGATGGCTTGTGCCCCAAATACATCCAACGATGGTACCGAACTCGACGTGTCATCAGAAAGTACCTGTACGAGATGCAAACGAAGTGATTTCGCAAGCTCGACAGGAAGCGTCGCGAATAGCTGATCGTGAAATATAGTTGTAAGTTCATCTGCATTCTCATATCTAGCGAAGTGATAAGAGAGGTGAGATGGTATGTGATATAACTCACGCTGGTATGTTCCGCAATGGCGCTTCCCAGGCCACGTAGTAGTCTACCAGTCTCTGGGCTACTTCTGGAGCTAAACTTGAGTCATTCCTAAGCTATAGGAGTGTAAGAACTTGCTAGTCAATTTCAGCAGCGAACTTTCCTCCCATTGGGACAATATTGTACGTATATCAGTCGTGATAATACTGAAATTTGCCTCTACGCGGCCTGATATCTTATTAGAACACCTTATAATGCTTATTTTCACTTGCCATAGTAATGCTCGAGAAGGTGTCTATCTAAGTTGGCGTTTGTGATATTCTCGAATGCGATAAGCGGTATATCTTGCGTTTGTTGAGTTATTTGAGCTATTTTATGGTTATCACACACCTGGTTTGATAGTATCCAGTGATGCTGGCTCAAGGTAAGTGGTGACATCTTCCCATGCCTAGATAAGTATCAGATTAACGGTGGGAACTAATAGTTAAACAAATAGTGCATACTTGAGATATATCAAACGATTCACTCAGTTTATTCACGTGATTTAACGCATTCTCGAATGCGAACTGTATATCAGCCATCGTCGTTAAGAAGGAAGTCCTTTAGCAACTGACATATCAATACAGCCATAGACAAGCAACTTATATCTTCTAGAAAGTACAATGGATAAAGCTCTAAGTTGGCAAATCAAGACATTCGGAAACGGAGTCTATAAATTAATACTACAATAAATAATCTATCAATCAAGCGAGTATCCATCTGCCATGAGAGTCTTTCACTTGCTCCATCTTGACAGCTGGCAACTTAATCCCTCTTCCAGGACCGAAGAATGGTTCAACGATGACTTCCTTCTTAGTCTCACTCGACGCGAGCTTAGCATTAAGTGGGACATCAATAGGTTTCGAGAATCTGCACATATTTCTACCTAATTTGTGCAGCCATGATGCTTCTATCGCGGTGATGCCCTTCATATACGGCTGGCTAGTTTGTATAATCTCAGTGTAAGTTATAAATCCAGGTGGTTCGCCATTAAAAATGGTCGAGCTTGGGTGTATATAAACATCTTGATCAATCCCAACCGCTTTGTAGGGTATATTGCGACACGACTGGAATTTTTTCCCACTGTTTTCAGTCTCCTCGACCAGATCTTTACGTACTGCGACTTGCTCAATGAAACCTGCTGCGATTAACTGCTTAAGCACCTTTTGTTGAGTCTCGTTTGGAGGATTTAACTTCGGAACGAAGTTCGCATCTACATTTGGGAAAGTACTTTGGATGAGGTAGCTAATCTGGGCACGCAGCTTGCGAATCTCTCCCATGGCTTTGCTGCGCAGGAAATTACTCTTGCAGAATGCCTCGCCTCCACCAGCATATTCATAAGCTCCTACGGCTGCCAGAACTTTGAAGAGATCGCTCGAGTGATTGCCCAAACTGGCGAACTTCTGGTGGGATTTGAAAAACGCTTTACGCATAGCCTGACGAACGTCTTCACTATCGTCGTCGTTCATTGTCGCTTTGAGAGCTTCCTCGTGGATGAAGGGATCGCCGACCGAGAGTGCGGAGACAATGGCTATCACGTAGGGTAAGCATCCATGCTGGAAGCCGGTGACAAGCATCTTAGCGAAGCGTGGAGTGACTGGGAACAGACTCATGCTGCGTCCCAATTCTGTGATTTTAAATCTACTCTTCACTTGAGAGAGTGCCGTGTCTGTGAGCGCTCCTAAATTGAGTAACATTTTCTCAGCTTTGTTGAGTCCGATTACATCTGGTGGTGTAGGGAATGGGAAGTTGTCAACGACATCCAAGTTCATACTCTTCATTTGTAAGACGACACCTTCGATTGGCATTCTGAGGATTTCTGGTTTGGCAAATTGCTCAAAATGGTTCTCAAATACAGCTGATGAATATAGTCTGTACGTGTGACCAGGACCTGTACGACCAGCTCTACCAGCTCTCTGGGCAGCTGATGCTTTGGATACCCAAGATACGTCGAAACTCTGCATACCATTTTGTGGATTGTATGAACGCTTTTAAGGATATGAGTATGGGACGTCATGAAAAGGAATTACCTCACCTCTTTGGCTCTACCAGAATCAACGACATAGCGAATACCAGGGATAGTGAGAGACGTTTCAGCAACGTTTGTCGCAATAACGACAAGTCTGGTACCCTCTGGAGGTGGCTCGAAGACCTGCATTTGTTTTTCTGACGGCAATAGCGAATAAAGTGGTAAGACATGCATCGCACCTACTATTGTTAGTTTCATGTAAATTTCTTCAAGATCACTTACTCGAGGTTTCTTCTTCAACTGCCTCTTCGAATCCAGACTCGTCTCCAGAGTCCACTTCCTCATCCAAGTCGTCGTCTATATCCAGAGCAGGGTCGTCGTCGTTACCAAAATCAACATCCTCGATCTCTACATCACCTGCGGCAGGATTTGATGAACGTAGCTTGTTATTTGTTGATTCGGATTTGCTTTTCGTTTTCTTTCCGAAACGTTGTCTCAACTTCTTACAAACTGTCTCTATTTCTCCTTGACCAGTGAGGAATACCAGTACACCACCCGGTGGAAGCTTCTTGTGTATTTTTATTGTCTTGTTCATAGCCTCCTCGACGTAATCCGGAGTCGTCTTCTTAGAGAAGTGTATCGTGACAGGATGCTGACGAGCCGAGACATTGATAACAGGGGGTGTTTGTTGGAATAAGGCCTTGTTCTCTGTAAAATCCGAGACTCTTAATGTAGCAGACATGATTATCAGACGTAAAGGCTAATGTAGTTCAATGAGTGATTTCTAAATAAATGATTGTTTACTCACTTGTATATCTTCCGGATTCTTTTTCCAGCGGTTATTCCGCAATGACACTACTCTTGAAAGTACACCAATCAGAATATCTGTGTTGACACTTCTTTCATGCGCTTCATCTACAATGATAACCGAATACTTTGTCAAAAGGAAATCATTCGCCAGCTCCCTAAGTAAAACACCATCCGTCATGAACTTTATGGCTGTCTCTGGGCTAGTATTACCGTCGTAACGGATCTTGTAAGCAGCTTTTGGTGAACCGACGCCGAGTTCTTCACCAACACGATTAGCCATGGAGACCGCGGCAACTCTTCTTGGTTGCGTAACAGCAATCATTCCTGGATTTAAGCTTTGTTTTGTACCAAACCCACGCTCATAAAGGAATTGCGGCAACTGAGTCGTTTTACCTGAACCTGTCTCACCACAAATAACCGTAATTGGGTTCAATAGAACAGTTTCAACTATCTCTTGTTCCAGTTCGACAACTGGTAGAAGCAATCTCGATGTTTGTAATTCCTCACTTCTTTTTATTGGAACTGTGCGGACGATAGATGCGTCATCTGATTCTTGCAGAAGTGAGTGAGATGGCAGTTCGATTTTGTCAGCTAATGCTCTCTCTGGGCCTGCTGACTTTTTGTAATGCTCTGGTATTTGGGTCACAACCTCGTCAACCTTTGGCTCTGCATCATCGTTCATCTGTCTCAAAGCCCATTCCTTGAACTTCTGACCTCTCTCTGTCTGTGGTTCTTCCTCATCGCTTCTATCATTTTCTGACATCTCTTCATCTTCGCTGTGGTCTTTATTGTCCTCATCATCTTCCTCAGACTCTGAGGCTGAAGAGTCGAACGAAGAGTCTGACTCTCTTTCTGATTCTGCCGGTTCTTCTTCTTTCGAAGGTATCTTCCAACCGCGGGTCAATGCCTGGAGATGATTAAACTATTATGCAATCTCAAAGGAAAGTAACTAACAGGAATAGTCTTTGTTTTCTTCTTTCTAGGCCTTATTACAGGTGTTACGCCGCCTGCACCAAGAGCACTTCCAAGCGTACTTTCAGTAGGCTTTTGAGTAGGTTGTTGCATCTGTGCTTTATCGTCCACAACAGCTGCTTTCTTTTTGGTTGAAATAATCCTCTCCTGTTCCTTTGTTGGTTCTGGCTTTGCGATAGGATGTGAAATTTCGTCATCAGAGTCATCTGAGACCTCAGAATCACTGTGAGATTGATCATCAACAGATTCAGCTGGTCCATTGCGGCTTCCAGCCTTCTTCATTGCAGATTTGACTGCTAAATGTTCAGAGAGGGCTATCTTATCTTCAGCAGTATGTTGCAACCTGGAACCAAGATTAGCAGATGATTTGAGGTAAGCTGCATCACTAGCTGATTGAGATTTCCTGTATCCGTCAATACTTGAAGCCAATAGTTGTTATTTAACTCACGAAAGTTTGTCAATCAATTCCTTCCGTTCTTCCTTTTTGAGTTGGCGTGTCTGTATGCTATATTAGAGTGGATGTCCTGGGTGTATAGACAATACTGACGATAAATGCATCCAATCTCTTGCGCTTCTTGCTCGATATTTTGCCTTCCTGCTCAGATTCAAGCTAAATTGTTAGAGATAGCAATGTATAAGGGAATATACACACCTGTTTACGCATTTCTAACTTTCTCTCTTTGTCTATCTCCTTCTGTTCCTTCGTTTTTGGTACTATGATATCTGTATTCGCATCGCCGTCACTATCGCCTGCTTCCTGGGAGATACCAGCCTTTTTGCGCTCTTTACGCTTAGAATCTTCCTTGAGCTTATTCAGTCCTGACTGTCGCCCCTTGGCGTTGAACCTGTTGCTTCTATCTCTCGCCATATGATCGTTCTTAAGAACAGTCAAATATCTCGTTATTCCTGGCTACGATATAAATAAAAAATGGCAGAAACTCCACCTTCTGCGTCTACACCGACGACGCCCACGAAATCTAGCGCTCTAGCAAACTGGCTTCCACGATCTCGGGCTCCCACAATCTCAAATGAGGATCAAACAGCAGCGGAGAAAGATAAGACTATTACACTGGTATCCGATCCCGTATATCGCAAGTATGCACAGTCTGTAGATCGCAGCTTGAACGCCTTTCTTGATGTACAGGAATGGGCAGATTTCATTGCATTCCTAGCCAAACTGTTGAAATCAATACAGAGTTTCACGCAGTACAATGAAATTCCCCATAAACTTATCGTCTCCAAGCGTTTATCACAGTGTTTGAATCCTGCCTTGCCGACAGGTGTACATCAGAAAGCACTCGAGATATACGACAAGATATTTATTATCATAGGCGTAAGTATTCTACTTTATCATATGCATCTCTAATCCACACCAGTTCGAGGGTTTACAACGTGATTTACAAATGTGGTCAGCTGGATTATTCCCCTTCTTCCAATATGCAGCAATGTCTGTTAGAGTGAGTGGTATACTCTATCTATATCCCGTATTGACACTTTCAGCCCGCTGTATTGGAGCTCTACAAATCTCATTACTTCCCATTACGCGCTAATTTACGATCTATAATGAAGTCTATCACTCTATCACTTTTACCCGGCCTTGAGGAAGAAACAGGTGACTTCTTTGATGAGGTGGGGACGCTCTTTACGCCATTATATAATACTCACACACTCTAGGTTCTGTCGATGTTAGACTACCTCAGCAATACTGTATCACCAGATTACTTCCTTCAGAACATTTCACTTATTCTTCTTACTTCACCAGCTTCACGCATACCAGCTCTCAACTACCTCATACGCAAGATGCCAACTCTCAATACGGACGAAGACGTGATATTCCACCTCAACTCGGACGCGAACATACTCGTGCGAGGTATTTCATCATCCTTGATTGATACAGACATGTTTGTACGGCGCTCAGCTCTCGACCTGCTCAATTCTGCATTATCCATCAATGGTCTCATCCTACAGAAGTATTCTAAAAAGGATTTTCAAGTCGACTTAAGTAGAAATGCCTGCAACGTTGTTCTGAGGAGGGATATCTCGTTGACGAGACGTTTATATTCATGGTTACTTGGATCGAGTGATGTCAAAGAAGTACAAAGTGAACACTTTGAAAAGTTTAGCTTGCCATTGATTAGGATATGGATGCTTTCGGATATGAATTCTACCAAGTCATTCGATAGTCGGCCGTATAAAATATTCATTTCTCTCTTGGACAAATGGGAAATTGGCAACAATTTGACAGAGAACGTAATTACAGAGATTATAAGAAGTCTCAAGTATCACCTAGAGAATGAAAATGATAGTGCAGACGTAAAAATTATCACCAGCATGGTCTTGGAAACTGTTGATATACGCTTACTCTGGAAGGCAATGAATGAACAAATTACGGTAGAATATGGTGGTCAATCGGACCTGTTCGAGTCAATCGATTTGACGTCCATGATCATTGACAACATTTCACCTAAAGATGAAGAACATGCCCGACTTCATTTCCCAGTTCAGTTGGTCAACAGTCTAAATTTGGCTTACACAGATCAACAGTCTGAGAACTCCAAATTAAGCCTATTAGAACACACTTTATACCTCACTCAGAAATTGATCAGTCATATCCCAGACGATGTCTTCGGAAAGAATGCCAGTTTGGTCAAGGATGGCCACCATTATACATCCGATTGGGAGAGTATCGCCAAAGCATATTACACATCTAATGAACATATACCTCAAGTAGACACACCTGACACACTGTATGAAGCGTCGTTCAGACTTCTCATATTAATCACTTCTTCATGGGGTCAAGAACTATCTGACACAAGCGCTGTGAAGGTTAGCTATGATACCTTATACAAATTGATACATTTAAGGAAATCCGATAAAATACTGAGTGGGAAATGCAGAGAGTTGATCAGTGGATGGTTTGAAGTAGCTATGAAGTTCATATCAATCTCGAAAGATTTCGAAACATTAAAATCACTGATTGAGTGCATTTTGATTATCAGAGAAGCAGGATTGGAAGAAGACGAAATGTACCTCAAATGGATGAATAGAGAGGCGCACGAAACTCTTCTCAAGTCACTGCTCAATCATATAAATCAGGAGAACCCAACAAATCACTCATCAGTCGTCGCTTTAATGCAAGACATTGAAAAAACCACATCACGCAAGCACATTAGCTCTCTTCTTTCTAGTAGGTTATATGATAACAATCTTTCCGCTCGGATGGAAGCAGTCGAACAATTTGGCATCATATACAACTTAGTGGAATCATCGGATATACCAGTCTTAGACGTCACAGTCCCTGTATCGAAGTTTTTTAGTTATCAGACTTTCGGGAATGCAGATGAGATGCAGGTAAACGCTGTATGGCTGAAGAACAACTTCAAAAGTTCTAAACAATTAGCTAGTACTTATATCTTTAATGTTTCAAAAGTTGATCAATATATGAAGCTTGTCAAGCGATCGGATGTTCACGGAAGCGAGGTTGAATGTTACGAGTATTTCCAGAACTTTGATCAAGAGATTGTGATATACAGTCTCCAACAGTTGTTGAAACTTAGCGAGCACAGCGGTACAGCATTTTGGAGACAGTTGAATACTGAAAAGCAAGACGTTTTACTTTTTGAGCAGCTATTAAAGTGAGTTAATAAGATTCTTCGGTAGGAGTGGTACTGACGTTTGTAGACTTCTGAAAACTGAGCCATCTGAAATTATAAAAGAGACTTTGCAACCAGGTAGCAAAGATGTACAGATGGCCTCTATGAGGCTATTGATTGAACTCATAAGTAACTGTTCCATGGCTTCCGATAAATACATGGCAGCTGCAATTACTATTTCCAACTACTTAAACTACCATTTGCACTTCAATAACCTGGATGTCCAACCAAAAGCCATTGAACTTTTGACTGCCACTCTCGAACATTTCGACTTCAATGATTTAGATGATGTTAAGGATCTGGGCTCATCAGTTATCAAACTCTTGCACGGGGCAATTTCGACAGCAAGTTCTCAGATGTCACTGAGACACTGGCTTGATATGACAGTCCTCCTGGTTGAAGACTATCCATCTCTTATTCGAAACCACAAGCTTGAAGCGGGATACATAGTTTGCGACAAACTAGGCAATATGTTGGATACGCTCGATTTGTCTGAGAACATTCCAAGTCAAAATGACCTATCATCTATATTGGCCGCATTAGATGTCATTTTAACGTTCAATTTGGATGATTTATACTCATCATCTTCGACAAGCCACGACATAACAATCATTAATCAAACAATGACGCTAGTCAGATCCACATTCAGGAGATACACGAAGTTGTATTTCGCATTACAGGATAGAAAGAACAACATCTACAATATGCTGATAGCTCAATGTCAGCAGAACATTTTCAACTTGTTCGATAAAAGGCCTTCAGAGATGGTTGATTTGGCAGTTGAGCATCATCATCAGGAGAATAACGTCTCAGCTCTTTTGGAGTTACTCAAATTGTTCTCAGATAAACCTAGGCTGCTCGTCCACATTTTCTGCAGAAATGTAGGTCTTAAGACATTCGCAGGACATGAGAAACCTCGATCTATGTGGCTGAGTGATGCAGTTACACACTTGCAGCTCTTCCAGAGTCTGGAAACTTATTTGGATACACTTGATGTCAAAGATGCGTTGCAATCTTGGGTAGCTTTGCAGCCGTTTGCTCGCGAGTCTATCATGTCTACCCTGACAGCGCAGCGCAAAGCCTGTATATACCCTACTCTTAGGTACGTTGAATGTTCCTATTGAACAATGTGGTAACCCTTTCCGTAGATGCTTGTATAAATTTGGTGTACAGGTCTTCGTGGCGCAATCATCTCTCATAATTGAGAAGAGAGTTCACCAGGACTATCAAGTAGGTGTCATAATGATAATAGTAACATTTTAACGAATGAATTAGGATATTCTACAGAGATTTGTCGAATCTTGCATACTTTTGAGTAGTGGTACTTCAGATACCGGTACATGGGCACTTCGAAAAGCGTTGGCTGGTTTAGATGTCACAAACGTAACGGGTAATAGTGATTTTGCGGACAATACCACGAGCAAGGCGGACGAGGTTGACGACAACTCCTTTAATGAGAATATGATTGAGGTGAGAATGTCACTTCAATCCGAATTTACGCTAATCATTTTTTAAGATACACACGTTCATTGCCAAAGAATTACTTGTCAATATCTCAAAGTTGATAACAACGACTGAGAAATTACAAAGTATAGCTAACAACGTGTCTTATTATATTGTTGCACCGGTGCTCAAATCTCGATCAAAAAATTTCAACAGCACTTCTCCTCTAATCGTAGATATGCTAACTGAAATGACCAAACTTCCACATTGTTCAAGATCTTGGAGAGGTTTGGTCAGTGATGTATTCTATGACAACAAATTCTTCACGACTTCTGCATCATCGCAATGGAAATACCTCGTCAACGCTCTCATGTCAACCGATAAAGACAAGTTTGCAGATCTAGTTAGTAGAGTTTCAAGCGCACCCTCAACCAACATATTCGCAAATAGAGAATATGAATCGCTGACGAGGGCTCTTAACTTGCGCAGACTTAGTTTCGCTATCTATGCAGGGGATCCTGGAAGCTATATGTCACAGTTGACGATTGTCAAAGAGAAGTTAGTCGAAGTTGTACGCAATAATGCCATTACACCAATATCGCAAGCGGAGGTGTACTTATGCTTAAGAGTCTTACTCATACGATTTAAAAGTGACAATTTAACAATGTTTTGGCCAATTGTTATAACGGAATTGTTGCGATTATTTGAAATCATCAAATCAGCACAGACATCTGAACACTCAGATTTATTGTCATTGCTTTTGAGCGCTTGCAAGTTTTTAGACACTCTTCTAGTTTTGCAAAACGAGGATTTCCAAGTATACCAGTCACTCTTTATTACTGATACAGTTGATGCCAGTGCCATAGGAGACCATCAAGGGGGCATCATCGATCAGATATCGCAACTATTCGGCAATCAAGAGAAATTCGATGGGCAGTTCTCTCCTCAGCTAGAAAACACTCAGCGTCAGCCGTTGCTCTTAAATGTCAAACGAATAGAAAGTGTACAAGACTTGCAACCATTCTTTAGCTGTGTCAGTCATGTAACGTTCAACAACGTTATAGACAAACAAGAGGTTGATTGGAAACTGCTGGACAGGACTATTGGAGGTGATTTTTTTGATGAATGAATGTATAGTGTAATTAATATTTTTGATAATACTTGAAAATAAAGCGCGGACAGTTAGGTTTTTTACGTTGATAAATAACAAATAGCTCGAAATTGATTGAGGATAAGTTGTATGTTAACCCGTCTAAATACTTTTGCGCATTCTAGTCGTGTATCTCCAACTCATAAGTGACGTATTGAATGCATATTGGTAGAAAATAGCTGTAATAAATACAATAATAGTTAGAATATCTTATTTGCAAACATTGACGTTTAAATTTCCACTAAATCGTCTCTTGATGGTCGACAGTCATAAAATGGAACTACCCCCAGGAGTTTTAGGCTTGTTTGTAACGGAGTTCAAGCCTAATGTTGGTAATAGCATAGTATGGAAATATATGAACCCATGTGAGTTGCTGATTTCTCGTGTACATCACTAATCAACACTCCCAGCCAACGATAACGATCCAGATTTGTACGGCATAGAGTACACATCTATGCCTTCTGGAATGCATCTCATGGAATCGGATGAGATTTACTTCACGACGAGAGATTACAATCACGGTATCGCTATCTATAGAAAGATATCATCGACGGAGGAGCAAGAACGTGGCGTCAAAATGTTCTCAGTGGGTTTGATAACGAGCGATACATACGTACCGTACAATTATCTCCCTGAACTCGAAGAGTTGTCGCTATACTTGATGACGAACCCACCGTCAGACGATCTGCCAGTGATGTTCTTTGCGCCAATTCAGTCCTCAGATTATTCGAAAATAATACAGCAATCACCATCACCAAAAGCATTAGCTTTTCTGTTGGATCTCCTCGGTCCATTGCTACTCCTTTTGTTTAGGTTTTTGCTCGCAAGGAAACGCGTCGTCGTGTTCTTCCGTCCGACTGAAGGCAGAGGTGTGGGTTGGATAAGCACAGCTCTGGACACGCTTGCCAAGATTCTTAATGAAGTTGATGATGGCGTAAGCAACCAGACGAGGACTAACATTATTGGAAACATTGGCTTGATCGATCTTGATCGTTTGAAGGACATAGAAGGTGGTTTTGTGGCATGTGAGTTTGATTCTATAATGAAAAAACACATTTGATGAAATCCTAGCTACTACTGACGCGTTATTATTGGAGAAACCACAAGTGTATGATGCAATCATTGATTTGTCACCGAAGGTCAAATATCCATCACTTTATATATCCCAGAAACAAGGAAATGAAATGCTTGTCAAGAGACAGACCTACACGTTAGGCGATTTATATATCTGGAGACAGTTAAGGAGCAGAATAGACTCTCAAACACTGGTCTCATCGCCCCCTTATGGCTTGATAGATTTGATTGCTGACATCTGGAGCTCTCTTTTTGGCATAAAGAATAGTATTCATATACCATCACCAGCATCAAGTGATTATCATGAAGAGAACGAGGATGAAGATGAAGATGACGATGAGGAAGTCAGATTGTTTGGAAAGGCACTCAATCCAACGCCAGCTATAACATCCTTCATGAAGAGCTACTCCAATGCAATTCTTGCAAGTTTGCTGACACTGACACTAAAACCTGATCACGATTACAATTCAAATGGAAATGTCAGAGATGATGATCACACACATCACAATGAAGGTGAAGAAGGTGAAGAAGATAGTCCACTCGAGTTGACAGCGTCAGACTTGTTGTCGCTGGGGCTATCGCCTCTAAGCGACGTTGACAGCATAATAGCAAAGTCAATCTCGAAGACAGAGCTAGGTAGGAATGTTCACATTTCAATAAGTTGTGCTTGGTCAGTAGCATCATTTGTACGCCGTCAATGCTTGAGTATTGGATGGATATGATTTATTTCATGATTTTTAACAAGGGTAACTAAAATAAGAACGAATAATTGAAAGTCTGTATAATCCCATTAAAGTAGAAAAGTTAGAAGCTTCAAAAAGGAAGTTTAATTTTTATTTATTCAGGCTTTTTTGAGATGAACAACATCATTGGTGTGAAGAGCTTCTTTTGACCACCTTCGACGAGCGCATCAGCAGCTACCTTGAGTGATTCACCAACATCGAAGGTACCTTTTGGTACTACACCGACCTTTTCGAGTAATTTTACACCATTTTGGGTGATGAATTTACCGAAGTTTGTCATTCTCCATACTGTGAAAACATCCCACAAGCTTTGACACTTTCTGATATCACCTTCTAATGGGTAGTACCATTGGATGTCGTCTGGTCTGTCTGCAAGATCTTCCTCGTGAAGGATTTCGAAACCAACATTCTTCAATGCGTTACGAGCATTCTCAATGTTGCGCATTTCTGGAATACCATCACCGATTTCGATTCCGTGAGCGACTCTCTTGTGATCTGGGTTACGTGGATCCCATTCGTCAGTCATACACCACTCGCTGGGTAGAGTTAGACGTGAAGGAAATAAAAATTTCAAACTCACTAAACACCGAAAATTCCACCTGGTTTAAGGATCTTCTTGATCTCACCATAAACACCCTCGAAGTTTGGTGCGTGTACTGTAGCCTCGATCGCGTAAACAGCATCGAAAGAATTTTCACCGAATTGTTCAGACAATTTCATGAAGTCACCCTTGACGAATTCGACTTGGTTTTCGAGGCCAACCTTTTGTGTGTACTTTCTTGCTCTGGAGACTTGGAAGGCGTTGTTGTTCAAGCCGACGATGTTGGCGTCTGAAAACCTAGCGATTTCACGAGCTGGACCACCAACACCGCAACCGACATCTAATACCTTCATGCCCTTCTTCAAGCCGATTCTTGAGGAAAGATAGTGTTCGTGTCTGGCCAAAGCTTGATAGAAACCTTCTCCCTTGTAGTATCTGCAGAAATGGAAGGAAGTACCCCAACCATACTCGTATAATTCAGTAGCACCATCGTAGTAGCCATTGACGACGTCCTTGTAAACGTCTAATCTGTTTTGACGATCAGTCTCTGAGTCGTTTGAAGCGTTCTTTTGCCAGAAATTATTGTAGTTCTCAATACCAGCGTTTGAACGCTTTCCATCGTCGAGTTTGTTGTAAGTTGAAGACATTTTAGTTGTTTATAAAGAAAGAAGGATTTACCCGCGTCTGAGAGCTTAGACGAGCTCATCATGTAAGAATCAGCCCATAAATTGCAAAATAATTTTAATCGTTTATTAGGAGTAACACTATAAACATATATCCTCTGCAGAACTATACGTTCACCCAACGTGAGGCTCAGCCGGAAGAAGATGCCAGGTATTTCCCTGATAACAGACGAGAAGCTAATCTAACGTTTTTGTTAGTGTCGCAGCCAGACTACAGAGATTGCAGAATAATTATGAGGATTTTGGTAGGTATTTCACCTCATAATACACCACTATTAACTTGTTTAAAGGTATGAGACGTACTGTTGAAGGTATCATGGTTGTACACGAGCATGGTCACCCTCACATTCTCATGCTTCAGATCGCCAACGCGTTTTTCAAACTCCCAGGTGACTACTTAACCCCAGGCGAAACGGACGAACCTGGTTTGAAGAAACGACTGGATGATAGACTAGCACCGCTCGATCCAACGATGTTCGATCCAGAAGACGGTGCACTCAATGAATGGGAAATCGGAGATTGCCTTGCTCAATGGTGGAGACCTAACTTCGAAACTTTTATGGTGAGATACACATATCTGGTTTACATACACACTCAACAGGCTTTTTAGTATCCATTCATCCCTGCACACGTGACAAAACCAAAAGAATGCAAGAAAATGTATGTCGTCGGCTTGCCTGAGCGAAGTGAGTGTCTTCTTAGCTCCTGAGACAGTCTAACATATCCTTTAGAAGTATTTGCCGTCCCAAGGAACATGAAGCTGCTAGCTATACCAGTATTTGAACTTTATGACAATTCGGGTAGATATGGTCCACAATTGGCGGCTATCCCGCATCTGCTCTCGAGGTATAATTTCATATTGCAATAACTTATCTATAAAGTGGTGATTACATAAAATGTAAATTATTTTTTAATCCTTTTTCTCCGTCTGTTCTTCTTTTTTTGGAGCATCGCCTTCTTTCTTTGGGACTTCTCCTTCTTTCTTCTCTATTTCTGGCTGTTCAGCCTCTATGCTATCTTGGTGCTTCTCCATCTCAATGCGGCTCGACTGCTCAGCCTGTATTCTCTCAAAGGCTCTGACAACTTTTGATTGCAAGTAATGACTGTATGGTATTGTGTCTGTCTTGAGCTTATTCGAATGACTTTTCCTTTGTGGCTTCTTTGGTGCCGCCTCAGCTTTTGGATCAACCTTTGGCTGTGGTGGGCTATTAACTTTAAACAGATGGTCGTAATTCTCCTTTATCTCCTCTAGACTAGCTTCTCGCTTAACGTTCAAAATCAAGTGAGCTTCATCGAGCGTCATTTTAAGTTGTTTTGTAGCTTTCTGTGATGGATTACCCTGTGGAGCATTTTTGTCATTAGATTGCTCTATTGGTTCATTCAAATCTGGTTTGTAGGTTGCGTTGGCGACAGCTTGTCTACCCATAGCAACGAAAGCTTTTCCAACCGCTCTACTAGCACCAAAAGTTACTTGGGCTATTAATTTTGGTAAATTTGACTGTATTTTGTTATTTCTTTTACTATTATAGCCTATCTAACTCACCATAGATCTTATAGATGGACGTCGAAGAGCAAGTGATAGACAAACTAAACGGAGGGATTTCGCTAAGAGATGAATTGATTGAGTTGGAATACAACAACTTTGATAAATTCACTAGCAAATTCAAGCAACTCGGACAATCGAATGACGAGTTGAAATCTCAATACAATCAATTGATAGCAAACTACAACGAATACAATAAAACAAACAGTCTGGCAGTCGATTACGAGGAGCTGTCCATCTTGAAGTCCTATAACGAATGGCTACTCGATTTGATAGTATTTAGCCGTATGCTCGACGATCTAGTAGTTAATTTCTCGCCAGACAAGTACCAGGCGGTTAGAGACACCGAGCTAGAGTTGCTAGGGAAGTACAAGAATGATTACATTAGCAAACTTAAAGAGAATAGCTTTAATAGGATAGTAAATGCATTGTCAGGGAAGTTATCAGACGATTTACAACAATTTGGTTACCCAAACAACGAAATTAAGCCTTTGGACTTATCAGTATATCCTAATTTCTCCCACAATTGGCATACACTTGATGACTTTGATAAGGTCACGAGTAAAATCGATAACTGTTCATACAAAGCACTAGTTATACAATCCCTCATCAACCCGATCAAGTTAAGGTTTACATATCACTTCGACAGCGATTCGTATACTAACAAACTCACTAAACCTGAATTCTACCTCAATTTCATCACAAGCAGCATCATCAAGCATAAAAGATTCGTATCCTCTGAGATTCAACATTTATCACCCACAACGGACACTCTGAGTACCTTCGTTGACCAAATAGCCTATCTCGCTAAAGACAAATTCACAAGATCTATACCCGCCTTACTGGATAATGCAAACTTGTTGACGCACACCGTACACCATTGCTTGAAATTTGATCACTTTATTCATTCTAATTCCTTATCTACGTCAACGAATATCACTAATGACTTTTTGAACAACAACGATTGGTTTAATAGTTGGTTGGACTCTGAAACCAAGCTTGCGAATCAGACTTTCCAAACTATTATCAGCTCTAAAGATGCTTGGTCGTTTATTCATCAGCGATCCTCCCAAGGTGACGACAGTGATGATGATTTAAGTTTGGAGAACAAACCATCCGTTAATTGCACAGTTTCTGCTCAGAGGATATTGGATTTAATCGAGACAATCACTGGTGAGTAACAATATATGTTGTTAATGCCGCTCAACAATCGTCAGATCGTTACAAACCTTTACCAGCACTCCACCAACAGGCCAGCTTCATGATTAAAGTCCAGCTACCTCTAATAGAAAAGTATGGTAGTAAACTCACTATGTCGTTAGACGCATTCGAGTCATACTCGTCTACATTCATAGCTGCTATGTCTAGTGTACCAGGGTCTTTCGGTGAAAAGCACAAATCTGGCCAGGATGATACTTTAGGCTCATCAACATTAACGAAACTAATCAAGATTATAACGAATTCTCAACACTTTTCTTCAAAGATATCCGAATGGGGTGAAGAGCCATTCTTCTTAGAGCTTTGGGAGCACTTCACGAGAGTATCATCTCAAGAATCATTCGAGAAAACAATATTCTCGGAATTGTCAACTATGTTTATCACCTTAGCTCAACGTGCGCAAGGGATTCTGGTCAGTCATACAACTTCCTCTGTGATGTTGTCATTCAATGAATATCTCAAATCTCGATTGTGGAATCTTGAAGTCCAAGCAGACAAGAATGAGTATAACCAGGAGTTGACGAGATCGTATAGTATCCTCAAGCACCATTTGGATAATATACACGAGAAGCTCTTCTCTGGCTCGAAGTTGATAACAAAGGTGTTGATCAAGCAGATTTCGTACAGCGTGAAAGGCTCAATTGAGGAGAGCATACTTGGTCTCCGTCAGCAATTCTCTCAGTCATCTAGCCAGCAACTCCTTAATGATGTTTTGAAATTCACCCAACTGAATACGTATCACGCAGAAGTCACTTTCAAAGCATTCATGCCAGTAATAGATCAACTCATCTTGCTTAGCTTGCCTACAAAAGCTACAGAGGATGTCTTTAAGGATAGGACACTATCGAAAGCAATGCAGTTCGCTTGGGAGGATGACTCAGAACCTTATAAAAAATGGTGTCGCCAAACGCAACTGAGTGATCTCTCCTTGGTGGGATGTATGGGTGATTTCAACGAGCGTGAATTTACAGTTGATCAGCTCAAAGCTCAGCGTCTGCTTCGTATGAGAGTTGAATGCTGGAGGTAGAACGCTTTTGTTATGAATACATATAAATATATATATCTGTAGTATCTTATTTGTCTCTAAAAGCTATCGCACTTCTCATAATAGAACGACCATCATCGTATACGGGAAAGAATGACGATTGATGAATTAAAGGATATTTTCCCACTTACAAAACCTTTACCGACGCCTTCAAATAATAAGTCAATTGCTAAAGTCATCGATTTACAGTTTGAAGAGGAATTATCGAGGAATCCTACCAACTTGAGAACTTGGTTCAGTTATATTGACGTTATACAATCAAAGTTGGATATTTTAACACCAATAGATGACGATGATAATCTTGATATAGTTCTAAAGGAGATACTAGGTCCCTTAGCGACAGAAGATAGACGTTCTATCTATCAAACACTCACCAGTATCTATGAGAGAGCATTGGCTATGTTTCCATTGAATTACCGCCTTTGGTTTAATTATCTCCTCATGCGCTTGTCCTTCTTGACTGGCAATATCACCGCTGCTGACATTAGTCAGTTGAAGAACACGCGAAGACGTTTAGTGAAGGGTCAGCCAATCGTTGATTTAGAGAAAGGTGATGAGAGAATACCGTGGAAGGAAGTATCAGAAAGTAATTATCTCGATGGAATCGTCGGTGAATCTGAATGGAAAGCCACTGCAGCCGTATTTGAAAGATGTTTATCCTGGATGCCATCAGTGAGTGTCGAAATTATTATTCATGGTTTATTAACATACTCTAGATGCCCCGTTTGTGGATATTATACTTGTCCTTATTGAGTAATCCCGCATGTCCTTCACGTTTGGCTCACACACACGCGAGAAGAACTTTCGATAGAGCATTACGTACTCTCCCACCATCATTACATGTTCGTATATGGCCATCATACCTCAACTGGGCGAAGTCAATTGGTGGTAATTGCCTCACGATCGTTTGGAGACGTTATTTGGCCGTAGATCCATATCCAATTGAGACTTACATCCAACTTCTGTTAAATGGTGAACAAGCATCTAGTAGAGCTCTTGAAGCTTGCAAATTACTACTCAAGTTGTCAAGATTGTCTAGAGAAAATCATTACGTTTCACCACAAGGCAAGAGCCCGTACATGTTGTTGAATGATTGGTTGGAAGTATGTTCAGAATATGCCGATGTAATTGGTGTAGATGTCGATCAAGCAACCGCCCTTAAACCACTTCAAGTTGGTGGAAAGCAGAATGAAATGGATAGAACAGAAGGTACATCCTCCGATCAACTAGTTAAATCAACTATCGATTCAAGCGCTGATGCAGACATTGATCCTTCAAGTTCTCAAAAATTGGATGTTGACTCCCTCGTTCGTCAAGATGGTTTGTCTATTTACAAGGACCAAGCCGGAAGATTATGGACTGGTCTTGCGACATATTGGATACGTAGGGGAGAATTCGATAAAGGTCGTGAAGTATTTGAAACTGCAATCGATTCCGTCGTCACAGTTAGAGATTTCACTCAAGTGTTCGATGCTTATGCAGAATTCAATGAACAACTGGTTACATCCCTTATGGATGCTTTAGCAGATATAGAAGATGAGGAGAAGGATGACTTGGAGAAGGAGCTTGATGATAATATGCAATCGTTCGAAGGGTTAATGGATAGAAGACCATTCTTGGTTAACGACGTTATGCTCCGTCGTAATCCTAACGATGTTAACGAATGGCAAAAACGTGTCGCATTGTTTGACAACAACGATGAAAAGATCGTAGAAACATACACTCAAGCTATATCAACTATCAAGCCGAAGCAAGCTGTTGGATTCGGTGATTTATATGCTAATTTCGCAAAATACTACGAATCAAAGGGTGATTTAGATAGCTCTCGTCAAATATTTGAGAAAGCTTCAGCCGTTCATTATAGAAGAATTGACGAATTGGCTGAAATTTGGATACAATGGTCTGAAATGGAGTTGCGACATGATAACTTTGAAGAAGCAATAAGTGTAATGCAAAGGGCAACAGTCATTCCTAAGAATACGAAGGTGGATTACTATGATGAGAGTATAGCACCTCAGAGGAGGCTCTTCAAGTCATTGAAGTTATGGTCATTCTACGTCGATATCGAGGAAAGTATAGGTACTACAGAGTCAACGAAAAAGGTATACGATAAGATAATGGATTTGAAGATAGCTAATGCTCAAGTTATCATAAACTATGCCTTATTCCTTGAAGAGAATGACTATTTCGACGATAGTTTCAAAGTTTACGAGAGGGGTGTTGACGCGTTCACTTATCCAGTTGCATTCGAATTGTGGAATGTCTACTTGTCGAAATTCTTGAAACGCTATGTGGGTAGTTTCATTATGGTTGATTTTGCTAATGAGAGAACCCAGGGTGGATCTAAGATAGAACTAGCTCGTGATCTCTTCGAACAGGCTATCGAAGGAATGCCTAGCAAGTTTGCCAAACCTATATACCTGATGTATGGAAAGTTGGAAGAGGAGTATGGTCTGGCAAAGAGGGCAATAAGAGTCTACGAACGAGCAACTCAAGCGGTATCCGACAAGGACAAGTTCGAGGTATGTTAAATAAGCAAAAGTCACTAAAATCTAACATGATTCAGATGTACAAGATACTAATCGCGAAGGTAGCCATGAACTTTGGTATGGCAGCTACGAGACCAGTGTATGAAAAGAGTTTGGAGGAGCTGCCAGACAAGGCTGCTATCGTCATGGGCTTGCGTTTCGCAAACCTTGAGAGGAAGCTTGGAGAAGTTGACCGTGCGAGATCAATCTACGCTCACACATCACAATACTGTGATCCAAGAATTCACAAAGACTTCTGGGAAGAATGGAACCAATTTGAGATTGACCACGGCAGCGAAGACACATTCAGAGAATTCCTTCGTATTCGTCGATCAGTCCAGGCATCATTCAACACCGAAGCGCATTATCTCGCAGCCCAATCGCTACACACTAACAAGGATAAGGAAGGCGAAGACGAAGAGGCAGCCAACGCGGACCCTATGGCCAATGTCGAGAGGGCGATCCCTGGGTTCGTCAAGGGACAGACACAAGCCAAGGTTGGGGCAGACGACGGCAATGAGCATGAGAATGCTGAAGAAGCAACCAACAATCAAGATGAGATTGAAATTGATGAAGAAGATATGTAAAATTTGTAATTTTCAAACTATAAATTATCCTAATTCTCCTGAAACTGCCTTCTCTCTTAACGACGAGGAGTTAACTGATAGATTTCCTATAAAGCTATCAGATATCTCCAGATATTCCATTAAAACAAATAATGACGAAATAAACAAGCATAATTAGAGTCAAGCCATGAGCCACTTTCTTCCCCTGTGTGGGTGAATTTGGCATGAAATTAGTGCGTCCGCCATATGGACTCTGAAATTTGTCACTTTTTGGAATATTTTTTGTATTTAGACCTTTTATTCATCTTTTTCTTCTCTTTGCAATATGCTATCACCTTTACATCTGGCTGTCTTTGCGTCTGGTGCAGCCATTGGGGCGGGAAGTGCAGCATTTTATGCGTCACAAACAAACAAGAAGGATAATCTAGCTGTTGCTCTACCACAGCCTGCGTCTACACCAACTATACCAACGAAATCGACGTCGATACACACACCACAGGATGTTATCAAATTTGGTTTTCCAGGTGGGAATCAGTTGTCGTTATATGCTCATTCATTTAACAACAATTAAGGTCCTATAGCAGACCTCGTTCGTCGTGAAGCTTATTTCACTGCTTATGATAGGTCGAAGAGACATCCAGCTTGGGTGGGTATGAACTATTATAAGGAATTCACTGATTGTCTTATAGACTGCCCAACATTTAACTCCTGCAAGTCTCGCTCGTGATCCAAAAGCACCAAACTCTGATAGGAAGAATAGTCAATTTAAGGAGGACAATAACATTCCTGATACTTTCAGAGCACGTCTCTCAACTTATTTCCGTAGTGGATACGATAGAGGACATTTAGTTCCTGCTGCAGATGCGAAATCATCACAGGTGAGTGAATTGTATGACTATGTCTCATCTAATAAACAAACAAGAATGCAATGGATGAGACATTCTATTTGACAAATATAGCACCACAAGTTGGGCCAGGGTTTAATCGTGAATGTGGGTATTATTGTTCCGTTTGAACATCACTAAAATATTCAGATTGGGCATACGTTGAGACATTCTGTAGAAACCTCACCAGAGAGTTTGGCCACGTATATATCTTCACGCTCCCCTTGTATCTCCCAGCACGCGATTTAGAAGGCAAATGGAGAGTCAGCTATCCAGTTCTCGGTGATCCAACGAATGGTGCACCAACTATAAGTGTGCCTACACACTTTGCAAAAGTTATAATGACTAGTAAAGATGACAGTCATCGGGATTTATCAATGGCTTCATTTGTTTTACCAAATCAAGCTATTGATGAGAGAGTACCGCTGACGCATTTCTTGCAATCTACTGACGTCGTAGAGAGAGCAGCCGGTGTTACACTCTTTAATGATGCAGTCAAGAAATCAGCTAACGATTTGTGCAAACGTACGAAATGTGAAGCGGTTGTTCGCAAATTCGACCAATTTGGTAAACAAATCGCTGGTAAATAGGCAAATAGACAAAATAGACACAATAACAAGTAAATACGTATAATTACAATAAAATGAATAAATTATTCTTCTTCTTGGGCTTCTTGTTTTAGATCTTCTTGTTGATCTTCTTGTTTAACGGACTTCTTCCTTGGTTTGCGCTTCTTTGGCTGGTTATCGTCTGCTGATGGTGCAGGAATCTTCTCAGCGATTTCGCTAAGGAAATCGAATTGTTCTGTCTTCTCAATCGATTGTTTGAGATGCTGGGCAGTCATTTTCTTAGCGCCTTTGTCTTGTGTAACTTTGAGTGTCTCGTCGACGAGAGCTTGCATGAATAGCTCCAAGGCCTTGGCTTATTTCTTGTTAGTGGGTTCATATAGAGCCTAGATAGTCTACTCACAAATCAAGACTGGAGTGGCTTGTGCTACCTTACCAACCTCATCATCCATCTGCATAATTTTCTTAATTCTAGCCACAGGGAATTTAGTATTTTTTTGTTTTTTTAATTGTATTTGCTGTTTATCTGATGTTGAAGCCATCTTGGTTGTTGATTTCAACGATCAAGTAGATGAATTATAGTAAAAGGAGAAGAGTAAATAATGTAACAGGTGGGAGTTGAAGGGCGTCTCTAACACAGTCTAACAACTATATAGAACAGCAACTTCGTTTATCTAAATTGCAAGCACTGATTAAGCAGCAACAGCAGCAGCAAACAATTGAGAAATGCGTTAATTGCAGGCGTAATTTTAAGTTCACGATGTCTAATGGTAGTATTTGTAATATGTGAGTAGCTCTTTACACTACAACTTTGCTAATTTCTTAGATGTAAATCGTTATCATGTAATATCTGCACTAGGAGGTGTTACGGCTTGATAAACAAAGAAGAAGTAAAAGAAGAACAAGGAGAACAGATTTCTAGGAAAAGATTACCAGAGTCTGAGCAAGATCAACTTAGAACTGGTTGTAGACGTATCATTTGTGTATTCTGTACAATAGAGGAGTAAGTATTGAGCTTTATTATAGTCATATTCTAATATATCAATAGTGATAATCAACAAATTTGTATTGATTGTCATGAATAAAATTTTATTTTCTGTCCCTTGAGTGTCGTCTACCAGGATGTCTGATAGCCCGTCGACTTCGCTGATACCTGTAGAGGATCTGCCGTTTGATAGGATAAATGACATCTTAGAACCAACTTGTTTGGATGAGAATGGTGATCCTTATTTATGTGCGTGGTATGCTCTTTTATAGATCCACACATCTCACAATAGTTACAGTCGACGCATGGATTGTTAACTTAACAAACCCAATTCAAACTAGAGAACTAATCAGGTTCGTTACCTTTATTTTACTTTCTTACTCCTTCCAACACACTTTAGATTCGCCATACATCATAGAATAGAAGACAGAAAATGCGAGAGAACAAAACACCTGAGAAGAATTCGCAAGGCTTACTCTCATCAGGGTTTAGATTGTGGTCCTGATGCCACAAACTCCACCCTCCCTGACTCAGGTTTGTTGTCTTCTCTTTTCTGAAAACAGCTAATTAGAAGGCTATAGACTTTTGTATTAGTGTATTCCTAGCAGAAGCTACTCCTGAACTCACAAAGGATAAAATAAAGCAGCTCTTATCAAAAACTAGTGATCAAGTTAAGGATTTGGATCCATATATCTTGAAAGTACCCGCTAGAAGGGCAACAACAGCTGAGGAGTACACAGCCTGTCAAAAATATTGGCCTGTCTCATTCACACCTAAGGCTCAATTCGTGAATGGCTTCACTTACGACTATTGGCATACTCGCAAACTTGAATGGGTTATGGAGGGTCTTGAAAAAGCCAAATACCTCGCTTTAGAAGCTCAATCCCGTGGTGAATTACCTATAGCAGCTCACGTCTCTTCCCCACCTGAAGAAATTCCTGTCCCACCGGGATACCCACCACCTACGCCAAATATGAAAGCATTAGGTTATGATACGCGTTCGACGACAGGAAATCCACTCAATCACGCCATTTTTAATTGCGTCAGACAAGTTGGCGAATTGCGTTATAGAGCCGATGCTGAGACAACATCAAACAAACGGACATTATCAATTTCGAGCGGTTTAAATGCTTGTCAAAACGGCGCTGAATACCTTTGTACTAGTCTCACATTGTTTAGTACGCATGAGCCTTGTATGATGTGCGCAATGGCTCTAGTTCATTCAAGAGTTCGTGATATTTACTTCCTCAAGAAGTCGTCGAGCTCGGGTGGATGCGGATCAGTTTATGGTGTTCATGAGATGCCTAACCTTAATCATCACTTTGAAGCTTGGTGTTTAGATAACAATCACCCACTCTGTGATGGTTTAGACTTGGATGATCATATTAGTCCTTAAGGATATCGATTTCAAGTTTATTTGTACTTTTATAACAATATATTGCATAGTGAAAATATAAAACGCGTGCACTGGTATAGGTATAATAAAGTTAAATAAAGTTAAGTTCTAAGGAATTTCAACAGTCTCCCTGCTGCTGCTAATGGTCCATCGGGACTCTTTGCGTCAGGCAGACCTATTGTTTTCGCTAGCTTGTCGTATTGCGCATTTGCGATTCTATGATGATGTTAAGCCGGTTTCTTCTATCTGTTTATTCACTCACTGTCTGTTGCGTATGAGAACAATCATTGTGGCTGTAACGGTTAATGCGAAGTTTAGTGACTGTTGTGTGGGAAATTAACTAGCTGATAAGAAGATCAAGGAGTGACATACGACGAATTTCAGGAATGTATTTCTTTCCTGAGTTGGTAATCTACCGCAGGAGTGCCATGCAGGAATACTGTCTATCTTGGACGACGTCCTAGTGTCATAGCAAAGTAGAAGCTGTCTATTACCAAATGGTTGACAAACTGGATCGTTTATATTGTCTTCAGGACACGGACGACAACTGTTCTACTTAAAATAACCCAATTCGTTTCTAATAAACTCACGAGTCTCGGACAGTACAACTCCAATCATTATCACCGTCTATAGCTTTAATAGTGGCAATAATTGCCATAATACAAATTAAAAATATCCTCATAGCTGAGTGATCTAGGAACGAGATGATGATTGTTGGGTGGATCAAATCTACACACAACTTGTGGAACGACGACGATCTAGTGATAAAATTATTTCTATGACACTAGAGAATAACAAGAATGACATCAACAATAATCTTAAATCTGCGAATGACAGACCGGTCGGCATGCGTAATCTGTGAGTGTGGCCCCGTCTTTCTGTTTTGATGAAATCTAAACTCAATATAGTACAAACACGTTAGTATACATATCATACTATTAATCTAGACATCTAACTACCTACAGATGCTTCATGAATTCACTCTTACAATCAATTTACACGCTCAATTTACTTCGGGATGTCGTCCTCCGGGACCCAAATAGCAGTGCAGAACAGGATTCTGACCTAGGCAGCAATTCAAATAACTCAAAATCACCCTCTCAATCTTCATCCGGCTCTCCTCCGACCTTTAGTGGAGTTTTAGACACACCAGCGATTAGAATTTGGAGAGAGGAGGGATATAATGATAAATTGAGGCTTACTTGCCACTTCTTTAATACTTTAAGAGACTTCTGGGAATCTAAGAAATCTCCTCTCGTCCCAGTGGACATCCTCAAGGCAATGGCTAGCAAGTTCGACTTGTATAACGATTTTGGACAGCAGGATAGTCATGAGTTCCTTCGTCAGCTCTTTGATGCTATGCGTATGGAAGAACTAGATGTTATCTATGAAAAACATCCAGAATATAAAGATGCCAAGAACAAGATAAAGAAGCTACGTCCTTATCACTATCAATCTGTTGGACCTACAACTTTCGTAGATCTTTTATGTGAGGGAATGATAGTCAACGTTATCATCTGCGCAACTTGCAAGCAAATCTATCACGTTTATGAGCCTTTCTTGGATATATCTCTCGCTTTACAGGATGAAAATAAGCATCCAAAACGCAGGGGATTCAGGCAGTCGGTCAGGGAGAGCATCCTAGGCAGGCCTGATATCAAAAGCGAGGAGCTTACGGTCGAGGATGTCGTTCTTAGCGACACGGAAGACGATGCACAGGAAAAGGAAAGTACGGAACAAAATGCTGAACCAAAGAAGCGCTTCTCATTCAGAAATAGCTTCTCTGTTGGTAGCACTTCTCGTAACAGCCAAAGAAGAACATCAGTTCTCGGCCCTCTGCCAAATTCACCCTCGCCAAGCCCTCACCAGACGCACTCACAATTGGCACCATCCCCAACTGGTAGTATGTTCACCCGTCGTTTGAGTAAGAGGGGAAAGAATAGACGCTTCTCAAGGTCGTCAGCCGGTGCGACTAGTGTTGAAGACAGTGACGAAAGTGGCGTCCGTAGATCAAAGCGCACAATAGAGGATAAAGTCTATACACAGAAGTTGTTTGGAGATCTTACGACACCATCAACGCCACAATCTACACATAGCGCAAGCATGACCGAGTTAGCTAATGAGCAGACTATGACGTCACCATCGTCGACGCCGTCATCTTTCAGAGACGGTCAATCGATACAAGCCGCAAATTCCCAATCGAGCGTTTTGGCAGCACTCAGACAGCCACCGCCTCCTCAGTCTAATGATAGTAGCTTGCCTTCGAGTGCACCTATGTCGGCTACACCCTCGTCAAACATCCCTAAAACAGGTATCGAAGATGCTTTTGAACGCTACGCTGGTATAGAAACACTCCAGAATGAGAATGAGTTTCACTGTCACGGATGTTGGAAACAGCAAAATGAAGTCCAAGTCGAAATGATTAGACGCTTTAAAGACTCTAAGAGAAAAGAATCTCACAAGTCTGTTCTAGGAGTAACGGGTATGACACCTCTCAAGGATGAAGTTAAAGAGCCCGATACTTACCAAGCTGAATCTGACGTTGACGAAGACAGCGACGCGGAAGACGACGACGACATTACAGAAAAGGATTGGAATGCCTTCTACGGGGATACAGTCGCTTACGTACCTAGAAAACAACAAGTACTCGGATCGAAAGCTCTTAGAAGGACTCTAATAGCTATCGCTCCACCTATTTTAGTATTGCATCTCAAGAGATTTGGAAGTGTGGGCGGATTCGCTTTGTCGAAGATATTCGACAACATTAATTTTCCTCTTGATTTAGATATTGGACCTTACATCGCTCCTGAGAAGCCAAAGGAAGGAAGGAATGATGACTTGAGTGGTGACGATGTAGATCCTACTACCACCGAAGATTACAAGAGGCTGGCTGAGATGGCCTTCCCCACCGCGTCGACCAAATACAGATTAAGATCTACTGTCAACCACTGTGGAAGGACGATGGTGAATTCGATTTTTATATATTGAAATTATACTAACGTTGATTCAGATCAGTGGTCACTACACTGCTTTCACAAGTCGTGAAGTTCAAGTCGAGGATGAAAAAATTCAATTGCAATGGTATTGGGCAAGTGACGAGACGATCAAACCAAAAACGGAAGAGCAATTCCTTCACGAGAGGTGAGCTACAGCTCGCTATTTTACTTCCTCTAACGAATCAAACAGTTTCAAAAACGACGATCAAAATGCCTATGTCTTGGTTTACGAGAGAATATAAGGAAATCTGAAAAATGCAAAATTATGAACAATTTTTTAGTGTATATATTCAAATAGATTAGAAATGTCCTTAGAACCGACAACAACGAATGGGTAGTTGAGTGCTATTGTCTTGCCATCATTATCGACCTTCGACTTTCTGATTTTGTTGAGTTCGAATTCGAGAGTGTTTTTTGAACGTTGAATGAGACTCTCTTGAGATTGTTTATCGTATTTTGTGAGAACGATAACAACTGGAGTGTTTCCAACCGCCTGAAGGAATCCAGAAAGGTGCTGCACTGACTGATTGAGATGTTTGTAGTCCATACAGTAAAGAACACGCTTAGCCGGAAGGTGTGTCTTGAGTGTATCGGTGCTGATACGCTCATGGCCAGGAATCTCAACTATTCTTGTTCCTTCATGATTAATAACATTTGGGATTGTTGACGCCCGACTGTTTGCTGAGGTATTCAATAAAGCGAATGTTATAGCTGTCTTCCCAGATCCACTTGGTCCCGCGAGGAGAATATCTTTTGGTTTCTCAGTTCTACGGCTGTAGATGAGTACAGATACTGTTATTTTATTAGTTTCCACTCCTTCTATCGTTTATTCACTCACTCAATATCGCTAGTAAAGATAATGCTACAGAGACGATGATCGTCATTATCGAACGGAATATAGAGAGATGAGAGACTATATACGTGAATATTTAGAGATAGATGATTGTTATACAATAAATCTACCATTTGGGTTGATATACGCGTTCATTTGATACGACCAACATTAACATCGAGAGATGTTGACAATTGAGCAGTCAACAGATGACGAACAGCTACAAAAGCTCAGGCGGCAGCTACAGAGTAAAGGTGTGTATCTCTCTACATTCTATACACTTTGCTGATGTACACAAGATGATGAGATACGCTCCCTGGAGAATCAGCTATTTATGGCTAACAACAACTATCACGATTTGGAAATGAACTACAAAGAAGCCAACTATCGCGTAATTCCTCACTCTTTTCTTGATATCTCATACTTACAACTCCATAGGCCTCCCGGGAATCTGAACGCGCTGAGACGAATGAGAAAGCATCTATCAAACACCTTGACGAGATAAAGAAGCTGAAGTTACAAGTTAGTCGCACTTTCTATTGCCATACTCCAGCTAATGATGTTTGTAGTTGGCGAACTATGAAACTACGCTTGAATCTTCTGAAACGCGATTACGCGGTTTGGAATCAGCAGAAAGCAGCCTTGAGAAACGCCTGACAAGCTCACAATCGAACGAGAATGCTATCAAATCACTCGAAACACGTTTAGAAGACTTGACGACGAATCTAAAGGATGCTAACACGGAGAAGGTGGGTATGCCTATAGATATATTGCCACTCTCACATATCATAGGCGCGTCTTTCTGAAAAGCTTATCGAGATTGAGAATCAACTCATGGCGTCAGAATCCCATAATAAGAAATTGAGAGAGGAAATTGACGATAATACTATGGCTGCTTCGTCAGCTCTCAATGCTTCAACTAACAGACGTGATTCGTTGTCTTTGAAGGAACTTCTCAATTCACAGATCGACAATTTGAAAGAAAAGCTGTCAAAATCACAACAGGATCTTAATTTGGCTGAAAATCAGCTCATGGCTCTCACACGCTCTTCTAAACGTGAAATAGACCAGCTTAGAGAGCAAGCACAGGAGGGTCTCGAAGCGCAGGAGAATCTCCAGACTGTTATCACTCAATCAGATAATCTGCAATCAGAACTCGATAAGAAGTCTATTGCCCTTGAGAATGCCCAGAATGAGGTTCGTCAAATACAGCTTCAGTTGTTTGAAGAGCAATCGAAATCTACATCCAAAACAAAGCAAAATCAAGATCAAGAGATGTCAGTATCAGAACTCGACAATGAAGTCGATACTCCAAATAGCAAAAGTTCTATTAGCATGTCTTCAAATTCTAAGCTTCTCGCTGAAGTTTCACGCCTTATGGCTATGATTCACCGTCTGAGAGCCGACCGGGATGAAAATCTCGGTAGAGCTCATTTCTCGGAGACTGAGTTGAAATTCTCACAGGAACTTCATCAAAAGGATATTGCAAAATTCGAGAGTGATCTCGCAAATCACGTCGAAACGCAAAATGAATTGACTGAAGCTCTCAAGGTAGCCCGGATTGCTTCAAATGAACACGAGCACCAAATTGAGAAGCTCAAGATTGATATTGAACAACTCAAACATGAAGCAAGTGAAAAAGTTGAAAGTCTCGAGAGAGCTCTGGGAGAATCTAAAGTGAAGGTGACGGACAGAGAATCAGTTGAGACATCTCTTCTCATTAAATTGGATGCTGCAACTTCACAATACCAAGACCTACAGAAAACCCTATCAGAGACGAAAGCTAGAGTCATTGAACTTGACACTGAACTGATTGCGTCGAAAGAAGAAGCTCAGGAAGCTAAAGAAGACCTCCAAGATTGGCAAGAACATCGTTTAACTTTACAAGAAGGTGCCGCTGGTACTATTGAAAAGCTCCAGGAACGTCTGGATGAATCCAGAGACAAACTTCGCTCTTTCGAAGTAAATTATGTCGTTTTGCAAGACAGCAACAAAGCTCTCTTGGAAGAAGCTGACAAGGAGCGCTTGCAATATGAGCAAAGAATTGATGAAATTTCTCATAAATTCGATCAAGCTCTTGAAAGTGAGCATGAGAGAGCTCGTTTTACGGATTCACGCTTGACTCAGTTAACTGAGATGTCAAACACTCTGAGGGAGAATTTCAACAACACACGTCTAAAACATTCAGAAGAGATACGAAAACTTCGTGATGAACATGCTATTGAACTCTCAAACATGAGGGATTCACATGAGAATGGTGTCGAAGATCGTAATCGTCAAGTTGAAAATGCTTTGCAATTGCATGAAGACCATTATGAGAGATTATTGAATGATACAAAGGATGAATTGAAGAATCTCGTCAAAGAGAGAGATGATCTCCTCTATCAACTCAGACAACATGATGAACATTTAGAGGAGATTCGAGCTGAATGTGTTGCACAAATTGACAACATTAAGAGAGAAAAACAAGAGGAGTTGGATGACGCTTGTCGTAGATTTGATGAAAGATTGATTGAAGTTGAGAGAAAAAGTGTTGAAGCGAACGCCAATGAAGATGTCCTTGGCGAGACGATGCTTGACGATGCTCAACATAAGGCAGAATATCATGAAATGGAAATCCAATATGAGCAACGTATAAATAAACTTGTGGAGGAAATAAACGCAGCCAACAACCGAATTCATGAGCTCGAGAACACTAATATTTCACAATCTCATGATACTTCTGCAGCAGAAACTACCGTCGGTAATTCCACTTTGAAGAACTTCTTTGATCAGAATATGGAGCAATCGGAGATATTACCAACCGCTGAACAAACTATGAATTCATCGGTCGGTGGTGTATCTTTCAATAATCTCTTCAATCAATCTGGTGAGAAATCACGCGAAGTGGTTGAGATTAATGATAGTAGTGACGATGAACAAACACCTGATGTATCCACAAACACTATCCTCGGCCGTGATGTAGCTCCTCGGGGTGAAAATCAAGATGCAGACCTTAGTATGGCGAATGAGAGCGTCAAGAATTACCTTACAGACTCTGTTCTCGGTAATGAAGTACTTGCTCAAAGTGAACATGGTTTGGCATCCAACCAGAATGCTGATAATACCGATGTAAGCTTTGCACATCTCTTTGCGGATCATCAACCTACCTACGAGGAATTAAAGAACCGCATCAGTGAACTCGAGCAGCAACTCGCCGAGGCTATTATGGAGCGCGACGAGAAGCTTAACAGGGCATTAGAAGAGAGTGAGCAACGTATACGCATTCTCTATGAAGAATTCAAGAAAGCTGAGATTGAAAACAATAATGCGAGTGACAAGAAGAATGATCACGAAGGGAAAGGAAGATTACGTGCAATGGCCGAAGTCATCTTCGTCAATAAGAATAACTGTAGACTAGCAACTCAACGCGTTGCTGTACTTGAACAACAACTAGTAGAAATTTCTAACCATCGTCTTGAACTTTCAGCCGAGATTGACAATATTAAGTCACAGAGAGAGTCTGAAGTACAATCTGAAAACCAGCAGAGAGTTCTCTATGAGAATGAATTGGAGCAGTTACGTCAAGATCGTCAAAATGATGGTGTCAAATTAGAAGAAGTTACGCATTTATTAGATAAGATTACTCGTGAATATGAGTCCAAGCAGGATGAACTTCGCAAGTTAATCGATAGTCATGATGTCGATGTTGAAAACCAAACACAGTTAATCAAGTATTCTAAGCAACAGGTTGATGAATTGACCCGATTACTTGAAGAATCTCAATCCAAATTAAAACACGTCGAAGAAGATCGCCAGAATGCCGATAACGTTGCTTATAATGAGCTTCAAGAGGTGCATAAGGAGCTACTCAGGGAGTTCTCCTTAATGAAGGAAGAACGCGAACAGTTTGATCAGCAACTCGATAGCTCCACTAAGCTTATCCAAGAACACAGAGGTAGGTATCGAATAATAATTTTGTCCTTCTACTAACAAATAATTCAGTTGAGTTAGATGCTCTCAATCAGAATGCAAGGAATGAACGTGAAATGCTCAATAGTCAGATAAGTGAGCTCAATGAGAGACTTGAAAGTGTAAGCCAGCAAAAGTTGCAGCTTGAAGAGAGCCTTCGCGGTGCTGCTGAGTCAGAGACATCCAGAAAGCTCCAAGAGGCTAACATGAAGTGGGAAAACGACTATGCTATGCAGTCAGAATTAGCTGAAAGACGTTATAATGAACTAATGGAACAATTGGAACAAGTCAGGAGCCAGTTCAATGATAATAACAAGCTCATCGAGGAGAGAGAAGCTGAAATTTCAACACTTAATGATGCACTCTCCACTCAATCGGCTGCACTCGAGGACGTTGGAAGGTTGGAAGCTGAAGTTGTAAACCTCAGTCGTCAGCGTGACGAAGCTTCTAACAGTGCTACAGAGGCGTCTACAAAATTAAGCGAATGTCATAATACCATCAAAATCAAGGAATCTGAATTGGAGGTTGCAAGCCAAGCATTAGCAGCTTTAGAGGATGAGAAAAACAGTCTGATGGATAAGGTATCCAAAGGAGATGTAACGGCTGATAGGTTAGTTTCCTTCTTCTTATTTGATACTTTTCTCATAAGTGACATAGCGAAGAACTCGAAGAGGCTCGTGAGCGTATCCAGCAATTGGAGTCTAGTTTGGAATCGGCCCAACAGATGACCGAAGAAGCTGAAGACAAATGTCTTGAATTGGAGAAAACCGTCAAAAAGCTTACCGCTCAAGTTGATCGTCTGAAAGTAGCAATCAAGGAACAGCCAAAAACTACAAAGGGTGGATCTAAGAAGGATGACGAACCGAAAACATCCACATCCACATCTACAGTGACGACCAAAGGCAAGAGTGTGACCCAGGCTGGTCAAACTAAGAAGGTAGCTGATGTCAAAGCACAAGAAAAGACTAGTGGATCACCACGTTCTAACGCTAAGAAGAGGGTTAGAGATGATGACGACGAAGGTGAAGAGCCTCAACGTAAGAATCCAAGTCAAGCTGAAGCATCACCTGCGACCAGAAGTCGCAAAAAATCGGAGCCATTATCAGGTACTCCTCAAAAGAGACCAAGCTTATTGAGTAAAAATAAAGCTTTCACTCCTAGAAGGCACGCATCACAGCCACACGCACAATCTAATACGTCTGGATCAAATTCAACTGAAAGTAGGGAATCTTCAACTCGTAGAACTTCACAAAGACAGCAACATCAATCTCAAATCAATGATTTGAGGGGTAGACTTAATCAGTTTAAGAAGTAATGATATGTACAGTTTATGTGTATTAAATAAATTTTATTAACTATCGCTCTCTGAGACTGCTCTTGAGGGATCAACCGATGCTACGTATGAAGGCAGATCGGAGCTCTCTCGTGCAGATTGATCATCTAAATCATTAACTTTCATATTGTCATCGTGATTTACGTCATTACTAATGCCCATTACTTGAGCAACATTAGATGTACCTTCTGAGTGTGTCCATCCTTGTTTCCTCTTCATAGCGTCATCTGATCTATCAAGGAGATTATTCAATTCTTCATCGCTAATTACCTTTTCATCATCAGCCACTGTTTTTACTGCAGAGATATCTAATTCTTTGAGTGCAAATTCAAGTCGTGCTTGTGTTGCTAATGCTTTCGAAGTTGCAGCATCTTGCTTAGCTGACTTCTTATCTTGTTTGAATTGGCCTTCAGCAATGACCATTGATTCTAATTTTCTCTTGCTTTTCGCGACATCCATCATTCTCTGCTCAATTGTGTTTTGTGTGATCAGTCTAAATATCAAAACTGGTCTCGTTTGTCCAATCCTATGTACCCTGTCCATTGCTTGAATATCAACTTGTGGATTCCAGTCGCTGTCATAGAATATAATAGAGTCTGCACCGACGAGATTGATACCTAAACCGCCTGCTCTGGTAGACAAGAGGAAGACTTTTGGTGCATCTGGATCATCACTTTTTTCATTGAATAATTCAATCTGTTCTTCACGCTCTTCTTGACTGGTGCTGCCGTCTAATCTACAGATATTCCAACCAAGACCATCAACGAGGTAATCTATAATGCGTCAAAATTTTCCAAAAAGTAACTGCAAGTTCTCACCCTCAAGTATATCTAAAAACGATACGAATTGAGAAAAAATTAGTGTCTTGTGTCCCCTTTGTATTAACTCTTCGAGTAAACGCATACAAAGCATCAGCTTACCAGATGCATTGACCAAGTCCTTCTGAATTGTCCTCTCGTTGTTTTCGTCAAGATCCCAATGGAAAATATACGGATGTGAACATATTTTACGAGCTTGCATAACAAGGTTCTCGAATTTCATCATACCCATTTCCTTTCTAGCTGCTGTACGGGCTGCTTCCATAGCGCGACGATGATGACTCGCTTTCTTTTCACGGAGAGCGCTTGCTGCTGCCTCGTTTATAATCATCTGTTCGAACTCGTCATCATCCATATCATCATCTCTTTCTGATATGTCCTTCTTGATTTTTTCGTCATCGTTATCGTCAATTGAGATAATCTTGTTATCATTGTTACCCTCTGCTTTGTCTTTCTTTGGCTGGTCAGCAGTATCTCCTTCTGTCCTCCTATACCTAGATGTACGGGGTTGGAGAACTTCTTCTTCTTTGTCCTCTTTGGGTTGTGGTGCATTTAAAGTACCATGTGTCTTAATATTGAGAATAGCTGATCTAATCTGACGATTGAGGATAGCGTCATAGACGGTTTTCTGCTTCTTTGTCAATGGAGCATAAAGTACATACTCTTTTTTAGGAGGAAGTGTCTTTGCGACATCTGCTTTAAGACGACGGAGGAGAAATGGTCGAAGAATTTCATGCAATGTCGTAATTAATTGGGCTGTTTTATCAGCATCCTTCTCTCCATTTTCGTCAACTTCATCGAAGTTAAACAATGTCTGGAATGAATCTAAATCATCGAAGAGCTGTGGTAAACAGAAGTTGAGAAGCGTCCAGAGTTCCCTAAGGTTATTCTGTAGTGGTGTACCAGTTATGATCAACCTGTTTGCACTGACAATCGTTCTTAGTTCTTTAAGAAGTTTAGTATCGAGATTACGTAATCTGTGTCCTTCATCAACGACAATATAGCGCCATTCAATGCTCCTGAAGTAACGGGTATCCCTAATGATCATCTCGTACGTCGTACAGATGATTTTCGGTCTGATATTTGCTCTTTGTTTGTACCTTGCAGGTGTAAAGAAACCGCGTTTTTTCATATCTTGACGGATCTTTTTACGTTTATTGGCATCACCATGGTACATTATGGGTTCTAACTTAGGTGTGAACTTGTTGAATTCTTTAATCCAGTTCTTGACTACGCTAAGCGGACATATGATTAGAAAAGGTCCCTTATTTCCATCTTCAATAAGTTGGGCTAAAAATGTGATAGTTTGGAGTGTTTTTCCGAGCCCCATTTCGTCCGCAAGTATACCAGAGAAACCGTTTGAGTCAAGCGTGGAAAGCCATTCAACCCCAGCCTTCTGGAAATCACGAAGTTCAGTACCTGAAACGAGTGCAGGTTGGCCTGGGTAATGAGTGATCTTTTCATCTTCATCTTCCTCATCTTCGTCTTCTCCTTCTGAAGAGCTAATAATGAAAGTTTCACGTTCTTTGTCGTTATCATCATTTTCATTCCTGTGGGCTTTACTCTCATTCTCATTTTCTTCCTCATCAGACTCAAGATCGTCTTTGTATTGTACCTTTTGACGCTTGTTCAAGTGTCTCACTGTGCCGCCATCAGATTCAACCTCGGTGGCATCATCTGAGGGTAAATCATCATTCTTATCTTCTTCTTCTTCATCATCTGTTATCACAACAGGGCGCTTTCTCGAACTCCGCCTGATAATAACCTCTCCATCAGCTTCTCGTTGCTTTAATCTTTCTCTCAAAACGCGTTTTTGTTTAGCTAAATGTGCTTCTTTACGCATTTCGGCTTCTCTCTTTATCCTATCATGTTCAGCAAATTTACCCGCCTGTCTAGATGACTTCCTCTGTTCAGCTGGTGGCTTAGGTGATGCACCTTTAGACTTTGTAGCTCTCGTAGATCTACTAGCCTTCGTTGCTGGTGGTTGTGGCGGTTCCGTAGTTTTTACTTCCTTCTTCGGTGCTGCTGGCGGTGAAATCGGATCGTTTTTAGACTTATCAGCTGGATTATTCATCTTCTTCTGTAATATCTTTGAGTATAACTCAGATTTTGATAGAAGTTTCATTAAAGATGCTTGTAAAGGCTATAAACGCGTTATCATTGTGACTTTAACGCGTATAGATAACTCACATCTTCTGTTTCTTCTTCATTTTTAACTGAAGACTTTGTCTTATCATTCTTGTTTAGTTTATCAACCATTTTGACGTCGTCTGGAATATTAGTACGATCGTCCATAATGGTGATCTTGAAACGACATTGTTGGAAGTAAACTGTGACGATCACAAATTTTTATGAATGAATTGGTAAGCTATTAGTTTATTCCTCATTACATAATGTTTATTATTCTAGCTACGACTTATTGAACGTCAAAGTTGACGCAACCGATGCTGAAATCAAGAAAGCCTATCGTGAGCTTTACAACAGCGGCTAACGACCCATACTAACCTGATAGGTAAATTGGCTCTTACGTCGCATCCAGACAAGAATATTGGTGACCCAGACGCTGAAGAGAAGTTCAAGAAGTTGAGTGAAGCCTATCAAGTTCTCAGTAACGCAGAGAGTCGGAAGAAGTATGACGATAATGGATACAGACTCGAGGAAACTGACCAATCATTTGCTGATCCTGAGAAGCTCTTTTCTGCACTTTTCGGTGGTGGGAAATTCGTCGATCTCGTTGGTGAGATTTCGATTGGTCAGGAAATGCAAGAAGCATTAAGAGAACAGGCGGAATTTGAATCTCCAGAAGAGAAAACAAGTTCAAGTCAGACAAAAATAGCCAAAGCGCAGCTTGTGAGTAGTGAAAATATTCAAATATGGGATCTAAGAATGTCTTAGCGGGCAATTGAGAGGGAAAAGCGAGTTGAAAGGCTTCTAAATAATCTTATTATGAAGGTAAGCTAATCCGAGTGTCTTAAGAAACAGCTCAAATCTACTTAGCTTTCGATACATACTGAAGCACTAGATTCACCAGAAGTCGACGCATCTTTCCGGGCGCTCTCTGAAATCGAAGCTGTTACTCTTAGTAAAGAGTCTTATGGCTTTGAAATGCTACAGGCTCTAGGCAGCGTCTATGTCAACAAGAGTCGAGCCTGGTTGAGTTCAAACAACATCGACTGGAGATCTGGTTGGGGTATAGGTGGATGGGTCCAAAATGCTAAAGGTCAATATCAAGTGTTTAGCGAGTCTATATCCACGCTCAACGCTGCAATTGAGCTGAAAAAAGCATTTGATGCACTCGCGAATGCCGACAAAGACGAGGTAACACTCGATGAACGGAAAGCATTAGAAGATGACGCTGCTGATAAGGTAATACTACAAATGAGTACTTTAGTATCTACTGACGAGTCTGTAGGGCCTCAAAGCCATTTTCAAAGGAACGTCCCTCGAAATTCAGTCAGTAGTTCGTGAAGTAAGTCTACCCTAGCTGTATCTATTTAATCTCAATGTTTTAGGTTTGTGATAAACTACTTTCAAATACCGACATCGATACCCTCCAAAGACGTGCCAAGGCCTTATTGATACTAGGCGAGGCTTTCACCGGCATAACTCGACATAAGAATATAAAGACAGACGAGTATGAATACCTCACACCGCAGCAACAGCGGATAAACGGATAATAGTACATTTATGATACTTTACAACACATGAATGAGTCATTACTACTAAATTAAGATTGTACGTTGGTATCTCTGGTTAAGCTACGCTTAATTGTAGGTCTACCTCTTTCTTCTTCCTCATTGCTTGAGTTTGTTTTCTCCTCTACAGGACTCAAATGGTGCATTGCTTGAGGCATTCCTCTTGCTCGTGATTGTGAACGTGACCTGCTTGACCTGTTGCGAGATGTTGATCTCGATTGCATTCTCGGACGCGCAGTTTCAACAAAGGAATGGTGGTGTTGTACACCACTGACCCAAGCATTTTCCAGAAGTTGTTGGATCAGCGGGCGTAATGAAGTATCTGGATCTAGACACATTTCGAGGACGGAAATTGCTGCAAGCTCATCAGCTTCATCTGTAGCTCTTAGTCGCGAGCGACTGCGTGATCGAGTGATGGATCTCTCTCTTGATCTTGACGCAGAGGTTAAACGTTGGTAAGAGCCGCCGAGAATTTTCATCCTCAAGCGTGGAACGAAAGCATCGCTAAACGGTAATTTTCCTGAGAGTAAAGCGTAAAGAATACAACCTAATGCCCAAATATCAGCCTTCTTCAACAAATCAAAACGCTTTTCGGTGTCTAAGGTTTGATCAGGTGGACGAATCAACTCAGGTGATGCGTAAGGAAGACTGCCAGTATCTATAGGCTGAGAAAGTGTATCGGCTTTTGACTGTGATAGACCGAAATCGCTGATAACCCAATTACCTGCGTTATCTAAAAGAACGTTCTCTAATTTCAAGTCTCTGTGCACGACAGAGCATTCGTCGTGAAGATAAGAAACACCCTGCGCAATCTGACTAAATATCGAGTGTGCTTTGTTCACAGACATCCCGTTGCTGAAATATTTCTTCACGTGATCAAGTAGAGACCCAGTGCATATAGGGGAGAAAGTAAGGAGGAAGCTGGAGTATGTAGAGTGGTGCAATAATGGGAGAATGTTCTGATGGTTAAATTGAGACCATTTCGTTACTTCGTTTGAGAGATCGCTGGAGTCTGACTGGTGGACGATGCGGACTGCTACAGCGGTGGAGGATGGCAGATGCTTTGCGTATCTAACTAGGGCACTCGATCCAGAGGATAAGACGGTACCAATGACGAATTCGTCTACGTTATCACCTTCGTCGAGTAAATTTGACTGGCTGCTCTTAGAAGAAAAACCTGTTAAGAATTCTAATGCAGGGCTAACAGGTAATTCTATTGGCTAGTTAATGGCGTACTACTATATGAACTGTAAGCTCACCATTTGCCATTTAACGTGGTAGTCACGATGTGAGAAGGAAATTTAAGATAGTGAGCTATTTGTAAACAACAATAAGGTTACTAAAGTTATCAGCTGCAAAGCCTGATACAGGCCACGGTTTTAAGCTTATTGCCGAACCATCACCCTTGGAACCTCCGTTGTCGACGAGAATACGGAATTATTCCAATAAACTTCTTCTTCTGAAACAATCATCACTTGATAAATGGAATCTAAACCTCTGAAGCGACTGAACAGCAATAACAACGCGTCTATCTTCGATAAGCTATCGACAGCAAACACTGTCAAAAACCGCAAAGGTGCGTCTTTTTAGAGTATATATACTCCTAATGCTAATATAATACACAGGACAGGTACTACCCTTGCAGATCCCTAGACCTCTTCGCTGATTTCGCATTTAGGTACTATCGAGATTTACAGTACTCAAGTCCGATCATTATCTTGCAGGAAGTGCAAAAACATTAGATATCTCCCTCCAAGGCGCCCCAAACTTCCGTAGACCGAAGGGTGCAGAGTCGATAGGCGTTTATGGTACTGCTCAACCAACAATAGCAGGTTTGAGGACGCTACTTACCTTATTAGGTGCTGCACCAAATTCCTCTCCTATGGTGTCTCCGAATGGCACTAACGGCTCACAAAATTCATCATTCAAATCAGCATCTAACACAGGCAAATCAAAGTCTGTATTCGTGTCCACGAGGGACGAACCGATCGTTTACATTTCTGGACGGTCTTATGTTCTTCGCCATGCAACAAACCCTAAACGCGGCATGCAGTTGAGCTATCGCGCTGAATCTTTGGAAGGTATCGAGGAACGCTTAAAAGCAGATGTGTTGAGTGAATCAAGAAAGTATGGCGATCTTATTATGACACATGAAGAAAATGCTGAGGGTGAAATTATACCAACTTGGTTAGCCGTTGATGCATCCAATGTACTCACACCGAGGGAACTCTGGCATTCATTTAAGAATAATGGCTACAACTTAGATTACCACCGTATTCCCATCTCACCAGAGACTCCACTTGAAGATAACTATCTCGATGCTTACCTTAGAGTTATGAAAGATAGTGATCCACGTGAAACAAACATCATTTTCTCTTGTGGAATGGGTGTCGTCCGTACTACTTATGCTATGGCTGCAGCGTTGATGGTCAGACGCAAACAATTGATTTCTCTAGGTGAGAAGGATCCATTCCATGATGTTGACTTATCAGAACATCTCAATGTGAGTTTGAATGTTTTTCGCTAGTTATTTAAACTAATGCACCATAGCCTTCTGATCAACGAGCATCGAATGTCCTCAAACAAGCTACTGCACAACATCACAATACCATGTCTTTATTGAGACTCACACATTTGGTTGAGCAAACGTTATTGTCAGAGGACCAAAGATCAGCTATAGAACTTCTCATCGAACATCCAAATCTTCTCGAAGACTTACGTGCTGCAAGTTTGGGTGACTATCATGTTGTTCTCAATATTATGGCTTGCTTGGAGCGTGGTAGTACATGTAAAGGAGTTGTAGATCATGTTGTCAATATGACAGACCATGTCGTCAACCTCCGTGAATCAATTTTAGAAAGTAGGTTACGTTCATCACTTACAAGAGTTGACGAGGATACTCGACAATTACATCTACTTGAAGCATTGAAATCGCTCGAGAGATACGCTTTCGCTGTTTGTTTCGCAGGTTATCTAGACGAATGTTCAGATCTCGACAAACCTTTCATCGAATGGTTGCAACAGCGCAAGGAAATTGGCAATATGATACAATTCCTTCGTCATAAAGGTGGTCGCCTTTTTAACTTTGCTCCGGTGGCCGATTTATCAGATCTCTCGAAACGTGCAGTCTCTCGTGGTGCACTTGACAGAACTGGTATAAATGCAACAGACCCATCGTTCGCTGGTGGAACTGTACTCGCTGATGAGTATGCTGAGTTAGTCGTTCATCGTCGCAATGGTATCCTCCTTAGATCAAGTACGCTATTGAAAAATGACATCTGGAGACAAACTGAGAAGCATGTTGCTTTGCCTGGCGCTGTTAACTTCAGAAGAGTCGCTGAATCGAATATCTATGCACTCGGTCAGCCTGACATAACAGCTATCGATCAACTTGTCGAAATGATTCGAGAGATGCAACCTAAATTGAAGCGTATCACTTGGATCAACCTAAGAGAAGAACCGATCTCATACGTAAATCAAGAACCTTATTGTCTTAGAAAGGAAGGATATTCCTTGAGAAACTTGAAAGATTTCGGTGGTATTTCCGCATCTAGATTGGAAGTACTTGAAGATCGTTTGAAAAATGATGTCGTTGCTGAGGTAACGAAATTAGACGGAAAACTTCTTTTACATACCGAAACCAACGATGGTAAAGTAGTGCCATTGTGGGAAGATGTTAAAAAAGATGAAATTGCCTCTTTGAGAGATATAATGGATAAGCGTCAAAATGAAATAGACTTCAAGCGCATTCCTATCACTTCGGAAGCCGTTCCAGATTTTACAGACTTACATGATCTCATGAATGTTGTCATTCAATCTGATTCTCAATCTCCGATCGTTGTCAATTGTCAATTGGGTAGAGGAAGAAGTACATTAGCCGCTGTTCTGATCCTACTTACTCAAAAGTGGCTCAATAAAAGATCACCTTTGGAACCACATTCTGGTTTGAAGAGACAACCTACCATCAACGTTGCAAAAAAGAGCTCAACACGCAAATCATACCAACCAATCAATAACCTTTTGAGAGTTATCAGAAGAGGATTGGAAGTAAAGAACATTGTAGACGATGCTATTGATGAAGCTGGTGACGTTTACAATTGTAGAGAAGCAGTAGAAGATGCGAGAATCAAGGCGGAAGAGGCTACTGACGAGACGACAAAACGTCAGTTCATACAAAAGGGTCTTATTGCTCTTAGAAGATATTACTGGTTGATCATCTTCCAATCATACCTCCAGGAAGCCAAACCAGACACGTTGGAGAATCTGCCATCTCTCAAAGATTACGTAGAATTCAGACCGGTTTTAAGGACATTTGAGAACGAGATCAAGAGTGGTGGATTAGAGTCATTGCATGCATTGAAGCGCGATGAGAACCCACCTGAGGGTAATGCCCTCTCGGATGAAGTAGAGAGAGTTGTCAGGAATAGAAATGGTAGAATTCTTTCAGCTCAAACACTCCTTAAGTCTGACTTCTTCAGTCAATTGCAAAAGATGAGCTTGCCGGAGCGTGTAGAAGGTGCAGCAAACTTCAGACGTGTTTCACTTTCACTTGCACAGAATATAGAATACTACAATACCTTCAACTGTGATCAAGTAAGCATTACCGAAACGGATAGAATTATCGTTGGTGTTGGTATGCCTTCTGGTATTGGTCTCAGGAAGGCTCTCGAAGCTATGAACGCGGCACCAGAAGGTCAAATAGAAGTTTCATGGACTTGTCTAAGAGAAGAACCTGTTATTTATATAGTTGGACACCCGCACGTTCTTCGATTGGCAAACAAACCACTCACAAACGTTGAAAGTACTGGTGTTTCAACTGAAGTTGTTGAAGCTATGGAAGATACACTCAAAAAGGATGTGATAATGGCAGCTAAAGATACAGGCAGAGTGTTATTACACGATGAGCAAGAAATATCTCCTGGAAATTACAAGATTATACCAATTTGGCAGAATGTTGAAGAATCTGATATTTTAACACCAAGAGAAATGTTCGAAGCTGTACAAAAGGAGGGATACAGCGTAGATTACGCTCGTGTCGCTATTACTGACGAGCAAGCACCTTTGCCTAATGCCTTAGCACAGTTGCAAATGCGCTGCGTTAAAGCTTTAGATAATGGTTCATCGATGGCCTTCAATTGTCAGATGGGTAGAGGTAGAACAACGACTGGTATGATTGTCGGCTGCTTGGTTTCATCTATATACCATAAATCGGGTGATCCACTTAAAGCTTTAGAAGAACTGCAAGGCGAGAAAGATGATCGTGAGGGCAGCGAAAATGAGAGTGAAGATGATGACGACTCGACTAACCCTCACATAAACGGTCAGTTGAATTAATTAACCTAACCTTATTTCTGACAGCTGCGTCAGGTGAATACAGATCGATTCTCGAGCTTGTGGGTGTATTGAAGCACGGAAAGAGGGCGAAATTACTCGCAGACAAGGCTATTGATTTGATGGAGGGCGTACAAAACCTCAGAAAAGCTGTGTACTCATATAAGTTGCAAGCCGAGGCACAAGATATTGGAACTCCGAAGCATGAAAGAGTGAGTAAAAAAGAGTACTGAATGATGAGCTAATAAAGAAATAGTTGGTGACAGTTGCATGCAACTATCTACACAGATACGGCGCATTAGTCTCCTATTCGAATTACCTGCTTGAAGCAGCTGAGCATGATAAGCATCTAAACTGGCTGAGCTTCCCTGGCTGGCTGGCTAAACACAAAGACGTAGTAAAAATAATAAAGCGTAGTTCATTAGAATAAAATATTTTTAAATTATTTATATTTCCATTTTCATCATAAACTCGCGACTTCCCTTGTTTCGATCAAAACACCACGAGCTACGAACGAGAAACCAATGAACAGTGGCGAAGGAGAGGATGTAAAAGCAATAAAAGCTAGTCTAAGATCCTGGTGGAAGAGTTTCGCTAAAAAGAAGACGGACTGTAAGTTAAATTACTCGGAGTAATTGTTCTGATTGGGTTTTTATAGCACAAGTACCCATATTTGGTATACCTTTACGTGAATCCTTGAGGAATGCCCACGTACAAATTTCTACAGCCGCGCTTGACAGCGACGATCACTTCGTATGCGGCTTCGTGCCCGTAGTCGTAGCCAAATGCGGCTTACATCTGAAGGAGACTGCGACCGAAATTGAGGGGACATTCAGAATTTCAGGCAGCGCTAAGCGTATGAAAGAGCTGCAAACTATTTTTGAATCACCACCAAAGGTAAATAAACTCCACTGCGTATAGGAGAATGAACTGACAGTTGAAAACCAGTTTGGTAAAAACCTCGAATGGAAAAAGTACGCTTTCAATAGTCACGACGTCGCTAGCGTCCTTAGGAGATACTTAACCTTAATGCCGGAACCCGTAATACCGCATGAATTCTACGAACAATTCAGAAACATTTTGAAGCAGAATGATAATGATGCTGATACGATATCTAAATTTCAATCACTCATTGTTCAATTACCAGGTGCCAATCAGTGTCTTTTGCTTTATGTTCTCGATCTTTTAGCAGTTTTTGATAGAAAATCTGATCATAACAAAATGAATGCTTTCAATTTGGCGGTTATTTTCCAGCCCGGGATTTTATCACACCCTTCACATGCTCAACAACCAGATGAACTGAAGGAGAGTCAGGAAACACTCGAATTCTTGATAAAGCACCAAGATCACTTTCTCTTTGCATTGACATCCAAAACGCAACAAGATCAATCATCAAGTAAACACCAGAATAAGGTACTCAATTCACCTATTTCCTCGAAAGGTGAAATTTTAATAACTCCGACTGACTCAGATGATGAGGATAATAATGGCTGGGAAGTAAAGAAATCCTCCAGTCTTACGCGATCAAAGACCTCCTATGCTAAATCTAAATCACCCAATAATCGTAAAGTTGCAGTCGATATGAGTAATACTTTACATCAACAAGATGTCAACATGGCAAGGAATAGTAATGCAGGCGATATTTTTGCTATAAATAAAGGTGCTAATATATCTAGGAGAGCTACCACTCCATCAAGAAGGCTAGGAAGCAATGTACCAGATAGCATGGCTAAAAGGTTTAGAGCAGGTGAAAGCTTATCACAACCTCTAGCTGGTACGAATTAGTTAGCATGTTTATATCTTCTCTACTCTAGTGTACTTTTATAATATGGCTTTGTTTTATATGTTTATGGTTGTTTTAGTCGCTATCTATTTCGATGACGTCGTTGGAGGTTCTCTGAACTTCCGCATTCCTCGGTTTAGCTGGAGATTGAACAGTCTCTGGCTTTATTCCTAAACGTTTATCTAATATATTGTCAATTATTTTTTCTCTGTTGTTTTCTAACTCTTCAACGCGACCACCTTTAAAAGCTAGTGACTGGGGCGTGAGTAGCAGCGTGCCGTGGAGGACTTGTACATTCTTGACTATCACCTTAGACCCTATAGCCGTTGTTGATATTGATAGATTTGGTATAGGCGCGTACTCGAACGCGTTGACTGACATTCTACCATCGCTTAGAACAAGTTTTATAGTATGTTTTTGCTCCTTATTATTTTTTAGACTGAGGGAAGATATACCAACATCTGTAATAGACTGTACTTGTAATAGAATTCCTTTGCTTGGTGTAGGGAATATACACTTGTTATGCAACTCTAATATGTTAGACGGTAAACCACCGGTTGTAGAATCTGCTAAATCTGAGTTTATGAATTGCAGCTGCGTTTGTTTCAGCAACTCCTGGTTGTTCGTTATACCCATATCTGATCGCAGATAATCTATACAGCTATCGAGCCATTCCTAGTTCATATTAAATCGATAATCAATTTAAAAGGTACTAACGTCATCTATACTATTGTTTTTATACAAATGCTTTATTTCCATGATCTATGATGGATGATCGCTTTCAAGGTGTTTACAACTAATCAAATTCGTTGTTACGTATCTCGAATAACATTGGTAAATACTTTATAGCTTCTTCTGGTGAAGTCCGTATGAACATTCCTTGAAGACTGGCCATACTGACACTGTAACCACCGTTGAAACCCTCCTGTAATTTGTCTGTGAATGATGTTCTTTCCTCATCCTTAGCGTCTGGATAGAAACGCGTGAAAAGTTCGTCGGCTTGCTCTATATTGGCGTCGCCGAGCAATTCAATTAGGTCAACTCTTCCAGGTCTAATCAGCGCTTTGTCTAATTTTGACAAATGATTTGTCGTCATGAAGATAATTCTTTCTTCACCAGAAGCAACACCATCTAAGGCATTCAGTAATCCTGAGAATGTCACCGCTGATTGGTATCCGTCTGCGCCAGTCTGTACACGCTTGTTGAATGCGGCGTCTATATCTTCCAAGAGGATAATGGACCTCTCTGGAGCATTAACTAAAAGATGATTGAGTCTGTCATCCGTTAATCCCTTCTCTGAGAGATTCAAAAGGCAGATGTTATACTTGAAGTGTCCAGCTAGTGCATATATGAAAGAGGACTTTCCAGAACCTGGTGGACCATGAAGAAGATATCCTCTTCTATACGGTATACCTCTCTCTGCGTACCACTGTCCTCTGTTTTGGAACTTATCTATGTCCTCAGTTACGCGAGACTTAACAGATTTATCAAGAACGACGCTACTAAGTTCACGACGTCTGCGCGGCTTACCGAATGGCTTCCATTCAATAGACCAGGACGTGTAGACTATTGTTTTCCCTTGAGCCTCTTGCTCGGCGAGTTTGCGAGATTCATCGAGGAGATCAGCGAAGAGATTACTATCTTTGCGTAATGTAGTAAGTGTAACTGTCTCCCATGGTGTACCCGACGTTAAATCCATCATTTTACCATCACGTTCTCTCTTTACTTGCATCCACGCGCCTTTGTATCTGAAGTAATGGGTTCCAGGTCCTGGAACTAAGCTGAAAGTGACATTATTTTGATCTCTATGCTTTTTCTCTGATGTTTCGACACTCAATTGATGGGAATATAACTTCAATGGAGCGTCTATCCTTGGTTGTTTGTTAGGTAAGGATGTTATTGTCGCTGTATCGCGCTTTCCCTTCGCCGATAGCCATTCTAAGAACCACAAATATGCTGGATCCTTTGAGGGTATTTCCAAACTAATCAAGAGTCTTCTCTGTGCAGCCCCCGCACCGAATGTGACACCACGACGTAATCCAGCCAATACGGCACCAACACCCTGGGATTTTTAGTATAAATCATATGTAAGTAAGGTTTAACCAACCATTAAACCAAATCCAGCTGAGAAGTAAGGACTGGGAATGAGATTATATAGCAGATAAGCTAACTATACTCACTTGTTATCCATAGCATTTTGGAGGAAATCTGGCAAATAATTCGTTACCTCCTTAGGTAAAGCTGGCTTCCCCTCTGACATTTCTTGCTATCAGACGATGGCTATCAAGAAGAAGAAGACGCCGATAACGAAATCTAAGAAAACAGCCTCAAAGTCGATATCTTCAAAGAAAACAAAGGAAATCATCAACAACTTCCATCAATTGTTAAAAAGACGTAAAACAACAACTAATGAAGTTGAAATAAAGGATATTGATAGAGCAATTGACGAGTTAGGCGGTATGGAGGCATATCAACACGCTTCTACTATAGGACAGTCTACACCTAGAGGCGGAGATTCTTCTCATTACTTTGTCAAATGGCTTGCAGAACTTGGCGTAAAGAAGAGCTATGTAGCTGATAAAGAGAAGATGTCGTGGGTACTTCTAATAGAATGCTATACGTAGCTCACATGCTCCAGTTTGCTAGAAATTGGCGCACTCCTACCAGATAACTACCACAGCGAGAGGAGCTGGATAGAAACTGAACTTATAGATTTAAAATCAAACCATCCATCAATTAAAGAACAGGATTTTCTACAGAGACCTCTACCAAGCAAGCCAGACGACGAGAAGGACGCGATATCTTCGTCATTGGTGCTTAATTTCGTTCCAACGCCCCAGGAGAGAGGTAATTTATTTCACGTATGGTATATAATACTAACATTAGATTAGGACAGTTCTTATACCGCCTCAACAGCGTTCTCAAGATGAATGGCTGGCTCTTTATGGTCTTACCAGCTCCTTGTGTAGTGAATTCGCGGTATTTGACACGTAATCACTTCATCTCGATCCTAGAAACACTCGGGTTCAAGTTAGTAAAGGAGAAGATCGGTGACCTACAGAAGGGTTCACGTATCGCTTACTGGCTACTCCAGAAAACTAGCAAACCTAACAAACCCCCTATAGAACTTACCAAGAAGACTGTACTAGTAGATGGCCCAAAGCTTAACAACTTTTGTATTCTGATTTGACGATTCGCTTATCTGTAGCTTGCATTAGAACAACCATGACTGCATTAGCTGGAGATCCTGGAGATCAGGCTATAAAGCCTGGACAGGACAGAAACAACTTTTACTGGTGTGTTATACTCCCCGCATATCCATATTCTAATTGAGAATGCGCAGGCTGACAGAGGAAGAACCACATCGTTCACGATGCAGGGCAATTATGAAGGCACATCCTGATGTATGTATATCGGCTACATTAAATTCGTTATATCTGACACTCTTTAGGTTAAGAAACTATTTGGACCGGATCCTAGAACAGCATTAGTTGTGTTATCTGTCGTAGCGATACAACTAGTCACTGCAACATCCATCATCAACTTTGGATGGCATCCTCTCAGTTGGAAATTTCTATTAACAGCCTATGTTATCGGTGGTACAGCTAATCAGAATCTGTTCCTTGCGATACACGAAATAACGCACAACTTGGTATTCAAAAGCCGCACTGCTAATAAAGCACTTGCTATGGCTGCAAACTTACCAGTTGGAATACCTTTCGCAGGTACTTTCAAAGTATACCACCACGAACATCATCGTTATCTCGGAGAAGACGGAGTAGATACAGACCTCCCAACCAATTTTGAGCTATTGTTCCTAAGGAATGTATTAGGAAAGCTTTTCTTTGCGTATGTTGCTGTTTCATTACTTTGACTTGATTTCTCACAATACACAGCACCTTTCAGATCCTTTTCTACGCGATAAGACCAGGATTGGTGAATCCAAAACCACCAACGCCTTTCGTTCTTCTCAACGCTGCTGTGCAGGTTGCCTTCAACGCAATCATGTATAAAGCATACGGTGGTGGTATATTTGCGTACTCAGTTATGAGCACGTTCTTCGCAGGATCTCTTCACCCCTGTGCAGCGCATTTTATTGCAGAGCATTACATGTTCGACGGTAGCGGTCAAGAGACGTACTCATATTATGGTTTTCTCAATTGGTTATGCTATAATGTCGGATATCACAACGAACATCACGATTTCCCGGCAGTCGCTTGGCTAAATTTACCTAAAGTTAGAGATTTAGCTCCAGAGTTCTACAATCATCTTCAATACCATCAGAGTTGGCCACTTGTGACTTTCAGATTTATTTTCGAGAGAGAGGTCGGGTTGTTTTCAAGAGCTAAACGTGATTCACATACAACCAAACCAAATGTAAGCGCCGCTAGAGAGAGCGCGATCTTACCAGGCGAAGGACGCAGCTTGGAGGGTGCGGATTAGACAATTGCTTCTCTTAGTCAATTCTTTTGCATAAAATACATTGTAATATATCTAGACTTGTCTATCGTTATTTGGTTCATCGTAAAACTGTTGTGCAAATTCTCTTGCATCTTCTGGTATATCGTCCTCTTCGTTATCTCCCTTGTGTATGCTCTCGTAGAGCGTCTTAAAATGCGTCCGTATCAGTCCATTCAGTTTAGTACGAGTGTCTTCTATCTAAATTCTGTTAAAGTTTGCTTGATAAACGATGTTAGCAACTCACATTACTCAAATTGAATTGGTTAATGAGGTAATACCCACTGACACCAGCGAGAGTTCCAACTATAGCGGTAGCAATACCAAGTGACTTTGCAGCATCTCCATATGTGAAATGCCCACCAGTATCTTCTTTCAACACACCCCCGCTGTTATCAAGCGTTGGATGACTCCTAAGCGAACTAGGCATAGGCGCTGGCTTTTTCTCGATATGATAATTACTTCTAAAATCTATAAGTGCCTGCCTTGCTTTGTTCCGTGCTCTCATCGACCTGTATATCGTTGCACCCATACTTGCTGAAACGCATACAAAAGCCAACACCGATACTCCAGCTATAGAAGCTTTTGATAACCCTTTAGATTGTGTAGCTGTGTCATCCTTTTTCTTTGCGTCAGTACTCGTCATTTGAGTGTAAGTTAACAAGAAGAGAACATAGACGACATTGCAAGTACATAAATCTTTCAAAAATGAGATAGAATGTTTTTAATGCCTAAACCCATTCTACATTACGTTGTACAAAAATTAACAAAAGGAGAATACTACTGCAGCGCAAGAAGTTCAAAAATAGCTCCTGGGCGGATTCGAACCACCGATCATCTGTGAACAGATATTACTCAAATTGTAATATTGTAAGACAGATACTATAACCACTAAGCCACAGAAGCGAACCGTACCTGTGGATGCCAGGAGTCGAACCTGGGGCTATTCGGATTCGATGCGAGTCCACAACGAATAATGTATACCGCTACACCACATCCACTCATGCTGAGACACTGCACCTACATCAATAAAATTTGATGTTTTTTACTTAACGCAAAATTGCCAAAAAGAACCAGCAGTGTCGTTTAAAACAGCAATTTCATTACTGTAATCCATTTTGGGGTCTCAACATACATGATCAACGAAGAATGAGACGTGGACGTATTTCGCAGACACAAGAGACATAACTATGGATCAGGGTTGCGATCAGAGACAAGTCGCGGATCACTCAACTCACGATCATATACCGCTAGACAAGAGAGCGGACAACCGGGACTGCTTAATGAGTAAAAAGAACAAAAATAGTGAGACACTGGAAAATATAGATGGGAGAAAGTATTTTACACTAAAAACCATCTAATATTGATCGCTATTCATTTTTAGTAACAATACAAGGCTAAACAGACGACAAGAAATATGCGGACAGTGAATATGCGGACAATGAAGGCCGTATAAGGAGATACATCTCGTACACAAGCATCGTCTCAAATGATCATTCTATAACGTATTCATACTTTTTTATTTAATTTTTTATTTTTAAGAAAAGTTTCTACAAAGTCTTGTGTACTAGCTGTCGTATCTATTCCTAAAATGGAGCTAAATCAGTGTAGAAAAGAAATATTGGTAGCATTGGTTTCTACTCTAGTTTTATATACTATAACTTTAGTTTACAGTATAATATTATCAGGATCTTCCGTGGAAATATATCAAACTTTGCCCTACTGGGTTGTCATTCTCTTACTATCTTACCACTTCTAATTGCGGGTCCGCGACATGGAAGTTTTGTCAGTAGTACCAAATACATTACATCTGCCAGGCAGGACGTATTGGTGTATGCTCAAGGAATGACGTCCGCCCAGCTCATAAGCGTTTCATTATCAAAAAAGCTATCTATCTTTACGAGCGGTGATACTTCAGGATACGCTTCGGCTATGAACTGTGCAGCAAGGGGGCGATCACTTCTTGTTCGGCTATTGCGTTGTTCAGCCTTCTTGATAGCGACGCTTGTGGATTCTCTCCTGGACATTTAGGAGTTCTTCAAGAAATGTGTAACAATATGTAAAGTCGAGCTTGTTTCGGGTATTAATTTTTTACCCGAAGACTGCAGCGTCCATGTATCATGGTGGCAGGACTTCTTAAATCGTGTTGGTTTACTGAAGAGGACAATAAGTTAAAATATGGTGCTGGATGGTTTAACCGGACACATCTTTATGATTTTGAATATATACTTGTCAGAATACCGATGTAGAGTTGAACATACAGTATCAATTATTTGCCATTCACGAACGTAGTTATCAATCAGAAATAATGATGTCCAGAGAAGGAACGAAAGAGTAAAACAATGAGACAATGAAATGTAGGTAATGGAAGCAACATTTGTAATATAACCATCAAGAGAATAAATTCATTTTTAGATTGACAACTCAGCCAACGAAGCCTCTGATTAATTTAGCGCACCAAACAAGTGCTCATAAAATAGGAAACATTGATAAGCACACTTTAGCTCTTGTATTGTCCAAATAATATATGGCGACTTCATTAGCGTCAAAAAGATTTAAGCTTGTAGTTCTATTCTTTAGTTTAGCTCTGATAGTATCGTTGTTTTAAGACTTATGAGACTGATTAGAAGTACAAATAATCAAGTTGTGATAGAATGGGCTATACGGAGAAGTGTGAAAGTTCCCATTACATAAACGTTTATTTTAGGTAGATCTCTCAGACTTTCTTATCATTGGGCGTTGCTGTTTGTTGACTATCTGCGCTTAGTCACATTTGATTACACAAATGAATGTACAGCCCGCAAGGATATAAAATGGGTGATAATTCCTCTCTTTCCTACGTATCAAACATCAATATGATTTCTGTAAAGCTTCTCATTCTTGCATTCATTGCTATTATCGCCAAAGTTTCAAGTCTCACCATCAACACTCCTAACGGCCCTAAAGCATGCGAAAAGCTTTCCATTACTTTCGATGGAGGCTCTGCACCAGTAAGTTAATAGATTGTACAGTAATAATCCTCATGCAACGCAGTACTCGATTCAAGTCACCGACGGTATCCCAGCGACAGTTCCTAAAGTTGTCGATGAGATCAAAGATGTTCAATCCAGCCCACTTGATTATGTGATAACCAGTAAGGAGGAAAAAATTGGTCTCGTCCTCCACTCAGCTGATGGCGAAGTTGCATACAGTGGTGAGTAGGAAATCAAACGCGATGTTAGTAAGCCAATACACGACAGGCAACGTCGACATGGCAAAGGGCGATGCAGGGTGCTAGACCATCATTGCGAGAATGGTCCTACTCATTGTAGTTAGTCTTCATGCATCCTTTTCGGACTGATCTTCCTGTGAGACATCTAGTTAAACCTGACGACGTATTATGATCAGGTATTCTCTGCGAAAGAATATTTATAATTACTGTGTCTAAAACCCAAACCCAGAGATGCTCTCTCTTGAGGATGTTTGAGGATTATCTCACTCCTGAAGTACCTTTACCACTAAAGATCCGAACAATATATCGAGATCCGCGAATTCCATGTATGCGCACTTTAATAACAATTACAGTTACTAACAGGTTATTCGCTAGACATGCTTTCCATTGATAAGATATTAAAGATCTTTGACGAGGTCAGTTCAGTGTATTTGGGCAGTCATGTTTTTAAACATTAATTGTATATTTCAAAGTAATACTACAGGACTGAAACAGCGAAAAACCTACTTGGATTTTGACCATGTGTGTATTGATATCTCTCAATGACATTCCTTCTTTATTGTAAAGCTAGATTCCGGTATTTCACTCCGAATTAATTGTGCCCTTACTATATGAGCGTATACCATTCACTCCTTGTATCATAAACAAAAACAAGAGCGTCGACATTAGTGTAAGATATCGACAACAGTGTGATCCTGTGTTCTCTTATGCGGGACATGAGCTGTAAGAATTCATCGTATGGTTCACCCTCATCTGAAACTAATGTGACTTGATATCTGGATTGAACTTCAGGTGGAAATATGCAAGTATTATATACTGTCAATGGCATACCGTTATTCACTTTTTATAGACAAGTTCAGCGCCTGCTTATATAGATTGAAGCTTTGTGCACTTGTAATGTGTAATGCAAACACGCACCGACCAATATAAAGTTCTTTTCCAGATTTTTTCTAAAAACAAAATCATTTTATTAGGTGACAATTACAACAGAGGGAAAAGTATGCGAGACGAATCAAGATTGGTCAATCTATTCAATCTATTGTTGATATTCTGGTGAATCACAACAATGGCTTTGTTGAGGTAAGGAACGTGTAGCAAAGTATAGGATCATAGGTTATTGTATTCCCGATGTGTTGAAGGTTTCACTAAGTCATGATTATACACTTTTTGTTAGGTTGTTGTTAAATAATCAAAATTCACACTGGTGCAGAAAAATTATGTATATCCAACATGAAGTTACGTCTAATATACCATAGCTAGCTACCGTCCCTCTAGATGGCCCTATGACGTGAAAATTCCAATATAGTGACACGTATCGTCAAGGCTTTAAGCCAGCGACGCAATTATAACCTAAGAAAATTTGCATACCTGAAACACACCAATCTATGGCGTTTATAGAATATGACATATTCGGTATGAATACAGACGTACTACTATGATAGACGCATTCCAGCATTCTGTGTAGTTTAAGCAGTTACGTAATCGCGATGTTAGCTTTCATCCATGTCGAATTCGGCTTTTTTGTCTATAAATCTTAACATCGGTAAAGCGTTTTGAGAGTATGCAAAAATACTGCTTTACGCTGCAAAATGTGCTTTTGACGCTACAATTTGAACAAAAAAGGTGTTCTGGATGTGATTTGCTATGAATGTATAGTTGAACAAGCACAGCTTTCGGGCTTAAAAGCCAAGTCTATCCTTTTCTATTCAATACATAAACTCCATCCTTTTATAGGTTACGCCTAATTCAGCATAACGCATGTTGCTCGTCATTGGGATAAGCGAACGAAGCGGATGGGGAGAGTAGCTAAAAAAAATACTATGAAACATTCAATCAGAATCGTACATATATCTGTTCGTCAGTTAAATGAAGAACCGAGCAGCAGAGCGTCACATACAAGGGCATACAGTTCGATATTATATAAAAAAATCCAACCCAGTTTATAAGCTGAGAATCAAGACATTAAATGTGCATGAAAGAGTTGAACAGTTACATAAGATTACCCTACTCACAATCGTAAACGACCTGATCATTAGCCCAACTTTCTTCAAAACCTGGTCTTTCATAACTCCATGCGCTACCGCTCTTGAACGCGTTGATATGCTGGTGAGCGACTCTGCTCCATATACTGCCATCAAGGCTAACAGAGGAAACTTCAGGTGGAACGTCTTCGCTATACTTGCTATCGTGGAAAGCAAGAGTACGAATAGCCTTTAAGACATGCTCATCATCCTGCTTGAGACCATCATCTACAATACCTAGCCAAATATTCGTTTCGTCTTCAGGAATTTCCCTCTTCTTGATAACCTCAGCGTCGAGAGATGGCCTGCCGCGCGAAACATAGACAGTCAAGATAACTCTAAAGTAAGCTGACAGGAGGAGCCTCTTATTGATTGCGGAAGGCGTGTAGTGAAGTATAAAGGGAATAAAATGTGACGAGTTGAGGATATGAACTAGGCTAGTTGTCTGTCAGACAATCCCTCCATTGTTAGTTACACAAACTCACATGAACTCCGGCTTGAACTTTTTGCCTGCCTTATATCCACCAGATGCATACATGAGCATAGCAGTGTATGCTAGTTCCCTGCAGAGCTCGTCCTGGCGCTTGGGTATATCACTAGCAGGGAGATCGAAATGAGAGGCTTCTTCGAGAAGCATTCCACCAGCTGACTTGACCGTCGCAGATACAGGGAAATCGTGGTTTAACGTAGGCGTGTCTGGACTATTTGCCGAATATTTTTCATCCTTGAGAACATCAAAGTAGACTTGTAGAGAAGACTTGCGCTGAGCGTTCTCTTTTTCAGGATTTGACCATAAATCTTGTGGTAGAACAGCGGAGAAGTCTGATGGATGTGTCGCTGTCCATGCCAATGCCTGAGCTAGAACCTCACGTTTGTTATCGACGTGTTCGAATTCAAGCGCATAGCCAAGATGTATAATAGGATGTATCAAGCCACTGAAAAACCTAGAAAGCATCTGGATGCCATCAGAACAAACAATATGGGGAGCTGATACCTACATCTACACCAACTTCATTAGCTATGCGACTATATATGTATTTATCCAACAATGATGCTGTATCCTTTGTTTTGTCTACTTCCTCCCTGAAATAGTTCAAGTAGGTTGGATAGTTGTCTCGCTTCCCGAGCAACTGCTTGTCATTCCAATTAGATTGGTTGATCGGTGTACCCTTTTCAACTGGTCTAAGGGGCTGCTGGTAGCTCGCTAATGCGTCTGCGATTCGCTGTATAGTCTTTGGTTGTGCACCAAGAGAGTATGCGGCGTATACACCATGTATAAAGTGGCTGAAAGAGGTCATTACTACGAGCTTTAGTTGGCGTCATAACCTACTTATGGAATCCCTTCCTGTTAAAATACGCATCACGTTCTGCAAAATCGTGATCTGTGAGTGAACGAACGAGCTTCGTGCTATTTGAAGAAATACCGAGCCACAGGCTTGAGCGTATGAGATTATTCATATCAGATTAGACGGTGGTATAGAAGAAGAAGAGAAAGAGAGAGGGTGTAATTCTGTCTAAGCCATTGTCGACGTCATATGATTAGAAATTATTTGCTGACTAAAGCACTTTTATAAGGAATTTCTATTATTTCTAGACTTAAATAACTATAGTAGAGCCTATCTTGTATCCTCTTCCAATATAACGTCCATCATGCTACTCGGAAACAACAACCCATTTAGCACGCTGGTAGAACAGGAACAGCAGGCCCGTGAGAGGGAGCAGCAAGAGCAGCGAAGGCGAGAAGAAGAAGAGAGACAGTCTATAAGTCAAGCCTTACAGAATACCCCGATGGAAAGCAGCAACAGTAGCCAATCCAACACTTATATACCACCACCACCACTACCAAATAGACCAAAATCTCCCCCACAACCGCCCAGACCCGCAGAATCGTCTACGGCGAGTTTCGAACAGCGATATGAAGAGGAAGAACCCCCACCATATGAAGAAGTCCTTAGCGATAGAGTTCTCGAGCAGGGTCCACGTCGTCCATTCACCACAGCACCACAGGTTCAGCCTCAGCAAATTCCTCAGACGCCGATACATACCCGACCAAATGGCTATCCGAGCTCTGGTATGCAACAGACGCAGAGCTATTCATACAACCCAAGTGCGTTTTAATTGTATCACCAGCCTTTCTAATGTCACTGCAGGTTACTCTCATTATCCGAACCGCATGCCGGTCAGAGGTCCGCCAATTAATGGCATCATAAGCACAGGTAGACCACCTCCAGGTGCTGTTGTCTTCCAAGCAGGTGATCCGAGAAGTGAGTGTCTCATATTCTGTAAAATTCTGCTCATTTATCATCAGTCGGTGGTACATTCTGCTATAAATGCGATGGCACGGGTAAAAGAACAGACTGGTTGTTTGGTATAACTGAGAATTGCTACAAATGTGGCGGGATTGGTAGGAGATTCCATTAGATGATCGATGAATATAAAGCAAAAGAACTATATTACAATGTCGAATGTTCCAAGATTTGTATAAAATGTATCATTAGTTAACAGTCAACTTCTCTTTCAATGCTTTCCAAGTTGAGCCGCTGTCGTTGTACTTTTGTATGTGACTATTAATTAGCGTTCTTATGACGTTATAAACCAGAGGCGTTTCTTGGTGTTGTAATTGAATCAACTCTGTCCAGACGCAATACCTCGCGAATTGTCTTTTAGTTAATGCGTGCTGAATTTGCACTTGTGCCGATTCAATAATTGTATTTTGGGTGTGTATCTCATTCTCAAATTTCCTCCTCTGCTTCAAGTCACCCTCACGTTCGAGAGCTTGTGCCAATGTTTGTATTTTACGTTGTGAGCGCTCCATGTTCTTCTTAAGTTTCTCAACGGAATGTGGTGTTAATTTGTCATACCTCGACAAAAGCGAGAGGTAGGCGATGTACAGGTCTCGCACATACTAACGTGTCGTTAGTAAATACTGCTTACTTTTCAGAGAAACAATTACCCACCCTGGAGGCTTCCAATGCCTGCAGCGACATTTGCAATGTACGATCATACGCTACCGAAGCGTATTCTTCAAGGCCTGTCTTCGCAAGTGTGAGGTTGTCGCTCACAGTATCACCTTGGCCACGTCCCCAGGATTGACTGTCACTCTCTATAACAGTCCCCATGGTCATGCTCAACGTAATATAATCCCTGGCATCAGTCTCGTTACGCTTGAGGATACGCTCGAATTGTGCACACAACGTAGTCCAATTATCTATCAAGTTTGGTATTCTGACTTTCAATTTGTCAATCCTCTCATCGAGATCGACAGGTATGGACATCGCTTTGACGCGGTTGAGCATTTGAGATTCCTCCTCTAGCGCGACTTTAGTATTCTTGCGCCAGCTCTCGAGGCTTGGTGTTTCAAGAAATGTCAACACCAAACCGTCTGTTTTGAGAATAGGATGATTTAATATAAAATTCATATACCTGTGCTCATTTAGTTATTTAACTCGTGTATAAACGTATACATACCTCTGTAAACCTCTACGACGCGTCTCGAGGAAATTCGCATCAGTGCTCAGACTGTGTCCACTGACAGTCAATCTTTTAGGTGGGAGGTTCGGTATGTTTCTGAAAGGATATCTGACCAAAAGGCAGTCGTGTAGCCATACGAAATCAGAGAAACGCCTTGAGACATCACCTCTACTTGACTCGATGTTGTAGTTGTGGTGCGTGAACAAGAAGCCTTCCTTTTCACCCTCTAATCTTATAATGACGGTTTCTGTCATTTCTGCCTGAGTAGCGACTGTCCAGCTGTCGTCATTTTGAGATACACCTTCCGGCATGTCGACTATCTTCGGGTATGGAATCGGCGGTTTTGCCATCGTAACGACATCAATTATAAGCTCCTGTCCTTGCTGAGCATATGCAGCTAAAGCTAGAGCGAATTTGAACTCTGCTTTTTGCACAACCCTTCCTCTAACCGTTAAACCAAGTATCTTGAGTCTAATTAGTGATAATTGTAAGGTAAATGAAGACTTACTTTCTCTACACTACGTGCTGGTAACTCAGTTCTAAACAATAACTTCTGCAATGCCGCTATCGTCATGTCTGCGTCGGATCCAGATGTGTGAGCCATCCATTGTTGTTCGAATTCGTCCGCGAAGTTCTCATCAGCTGAACACGTCAGATAAACAAATATTCACTCCATGCACTTACGAACTAAACCGTCAAGATATGAGGAAGTTGTTGCCTGTGTGTTCGCGCTGTAGGTTGCCCAGGGCGACCATGGGTTGGAATTACTGTCATTAGCGGTCTCTAGAGGTCCTACTACAACCTCTGATGGCATCGTTTGCTTCGGTGATCCTAAATCCTCCATTTTCCTTCGACGTCACTTTTCAAAGTAAAAATGAAACAAATATAAATTATTAAAATAAATCTCTATAAATTATTTACTTTTTATTATTACGCTTTGATAAAGCCTTATCAGATAGTGGTTTCTTGGTCTTCTTCGCGTTCTTCGCTGGCTTCTTGTCTGTTGGCTTCTTACGTGTCTTCGTGAGCTTTACCTTATCATCTGTTTGCTTCTTTGATACAGCTTGTTGCTTTTTGGCTAATCTACGCGCTTGTCTGACTGCGTCTACAGCTTTCGTTTTCTTGCGCGCTTCTTTCGTCATGTCTGCGAGTTTGTCACCGAGATTTGGATCACCCTTGACGATCTTTCCTGGTTTTGCAGTTACACTCTTCTTAGCGTCCTTTTTATCCTTCTTTTCGGCTTCTTTGGCATCTTCTTGTGGCTTTTGCTTGCCTGATGCCTTGGATTTCGCAAATCTGAGTGTACGCTTGTTCAACCTTCTGCGTTCATCTGGGAGTAATAGAAGTTCTTCCACACAGTCGTTGTCTGCCAAATGAACATATCCAAAACCCTTGCCCAATTGTGTGTCTGGATCACGTACAATTCTTACGCCTCTCACCCATGATTTGGCTTTATCATCGGCGTCTTTGGATTTATATGTACCCTTCTCTTCGTTGAGAAGCTTCTCTATGAATTCACCCAGCTCGTTGTCTTTCTGGCCGAAGTCGAGTCTACCAACATAAAGAGTACGCTTGGCCATATCCTTGTCGATGTGCCATCTCGTACCTGTCTTATCGACGTTGAGAACTCTATCGACACGCAATATTCTGCCTTCGAATGTGCTTCCATTTGCAGCATCTACAACTTTCTGGGCTACTTCCGATGGTGGAATATCTTTGTCTTTGTTATTAAGCAATACAACGTCGTTCGATCTCCTATAACCGAATACGACGTAGGCGTTGACGGATGCAGCATCAGGGTGTAAGTCTTGCTTGATGAATGCAACTTTACGTTTCTGTTTTGGTGTCTGATAACGCTTATTGTCGGCGTTTGATTTTGCAGATGCGGAAGTTGGAACACTAAATGCGACAGATCTGAAGCGAATGCTGTCGTATTTTGCAGTTGGTGGTAAGTCTGAAATTTCCATCAAATGTCTGACGAGCTTTTTGCTAAGTGGCTGGATAAAGTTAGACAGGCATATGCAATAGAAAAGTGAACGTACTTTACTCTTGGCTGCTTCTGCAGGAATGTTACCAACGAAAACAGTCCTCTCGTTTTTCTGTTCTGCTGTTTCATTCTCTATCTGATAGACACGGGGAGCTGACTTTTTCTTCTTGTTGTCAACATCGTCTTCCCAGTTTTTGTCGTCGTCGCCTAAATCGTCAGCGTCTCTACCTATTTCCTGAGCGAATTCCTTGAGAGTTTCTTCATCGATGTCTTCCTCCTCGTTGTCGGGAACGGAAGATGGAATAGCAGGCTGTTCTACTGGTGTATCAGGCTGTTTATCGGCTTTTGATAGATTCTTTACTGCTTCTTTCGCCTTCTTTACTTGATCTTTGTGATTGACCTTGATAGATTTGAAGCTGGATGGACCAGCTGATGAACTGAATAAGCTGTCTAATTCACTGTCAAAGTTTCTAGATGCATTTAACAGCGCTTTTGGTTCTTCTGCCGTGGATTTACGTTTGTTGGCCATCGTAGTACGTTACTAAGAGATATGGATAGCAGTTTTTATCTGTAATTAAAGAGATTCAGTTGCTATATCTACTACCAGAGTCTATATAACGTTCGCTGCTATCTGTATCTCGATATCGCTACACCAGAGATGGACAGAGCGAGGGAGATATTAGGATAGAATAGAGTATTTGAATATATGCATTAGAATAAATAATTACAGATTTGCTGTTTTATAAAATTTATTTATATTGCGATTTCAGAATTTTTTATTCAAGAGATTCTTCGCATTTCAGTTGAGCTTCAGCTTTTTGGTCCACCACCAACTTTGGTTTAATCGAGATGTAAGTTTTGGCGGAGATCTACAACTCTTACTAATCCCTACAAGGTCTACTGAGCAGCAACCAACCCAGCCACAAACTGCTGTCCCAGCAATTGGTATCGATCTTGTGAGTATACACCGGCAAATGGGCGAAAGTAGCTTTTCTGTATATATTCGCAATAAGGCAGTTTTTTTAATTCGTCTACAACTTTTCATCTCTCAATTCCTCCATTTTGAAAGTTTTCCGATCTTCGCAGAAAAGCTACCTCTCTACGCCAGCACGAAAAATATTCCTTTTACTAATACCAGCTATTAGGGTACCACCTACTCTTGCTGTGGTGTCTGGCAAAACGACAGAGTTGAAATTATCGCCAACGACCAAGGAAACCGTACCACTCCTTCATACGTTGCTTTCAACGATGCCGAACGTCTCATTGGTGACGCTGCTAAGAACCAATCTGCTATGAACCCAAAGAACACCGTCTTCGACGTTAAGCGTTTGATCGGTCGTCGTACTGATGACGATGAAGTCAAGAAGGACTCAAAGGCATGGCCATTCGAAATCGTCGACAAGGAAGGTTCCCCAGTCGTCAAGGTTCAATTCAAGGGTGAAGAAAAGCAATTCTCCCCACAAGAAATCTCAGCTATGGTTCTCACCAAGATGAAGGAAATCGCTGAAGCTAAGCTCGACTCTGAAGTCACCAAGGCTGTCGTTACCGTCCCAGCTTACTTCAACGACTCACAACGTCTCGCTACCAAGGACGCTGGTGTCATCGCTGGTCTCGAAGTCCTCCGTATCATCAACGAGCCAACCGCTGCTGCTATCGCTTACGGTCTCGACTCAAAGTCTTCTGAAGAGAAGAACGTCTTGATTTTCGATTTGGGTGGTGGTACCTTCGATGTTTCCCTCCTTAACATCACTGGTGGTGTTTTCGCTGTCAAGGCTACTGCTGGTGACACTCACCTTGGTGGTGAAGATTTCGACAACACCCTCCTTGAACACTTCAAGGCTGAATTCCAACGTAAGAACAAGGTTGACATCACCGATGATGCTCGTGCTATGCGTCGTCTCCGTTCTGCTTGTGAACGTGCTAAGCGTACCCTCTCATCAGTCACCCAAACCACCGTCGAAGTTGACTCACTCTTCAACGGTATTGACTTCCAAGCAAACATCACCCGTGCTCGTTTCGAAGAAATCAACGCTGACAAGTTCAAGTCAACCATCGACCCAGTTGCTCGCGTTCTCAAGGACGCTAAGGTCTCAACTCAAAAGGTTGACGAAATCGTTCTCGTTGGTGGTTCAACCCGTATTCCAAAGGTCCAATCACTCGTTTCTGAATACTTCGGTGGTAAGCAATTGAACAAGTCCATCAACCCAGATGAGGCTGTTGCATACGGTGCTGCTGTTCAAGCTGCTGTCCTTACCGGTCACACCTCAGACAAGACTGCTGACCTCCTTCTCTTGGATGTTGCTCCACTCTCACTTGGTGTTGCTATGCAAGGTGATGTCTTCGGTGTTGTTGTTCCACGTAACACTCCAATCCCATGTAACAAGTCACGTACCTTCACCACCGTTGAAGACAACCAAACTCAAGTTACTTTCCCAGTCTACGAAGGTGAACGTACTCAATGCCGTGACAACAGACTCCTTGGTGAATTCGAACTTACCGGTATTCCACCAATGCCAAGAGGTCAAGCTGAACTTCACTGTACCTTCGAAGTTGATGCCAACGGTCTCTTGAAGGTCTCTGCTCAAGACAAGGCTTCAGGTAGAAAGGCTAACATCACCATCACCAACTCAGTTGGTAGACTCTCATCAACTGAGATCGACCAAATGATCAAGGATGCTGAACAATTCAAGCAATCTGACAAGGAATTCACCGCTAAGCACGAAGCTAAGTCAGAATTAGAAGCTCAAATCTCACAAGTTGAATCAACTATCACTTCACCAGAATTCGGTATGAAGTTGAAGAGAAACCAAAAGGCTGCAGTTGAAGCTGAACTCGCAAAGGCACTTGAGAAGCTCGAAATTGAAGAGAGCACAGCAGATGAACTCAGAAAGAGCCAATTGCTCATCAAGCGTGCTATGCAAAAAGCTATTGGAGGTGGTCGTTAAAATACGTAGTCCATATATAACTACCTATGTAAAATTTATTCATTTTTCCTCATTCTCTGCAATTTGTTTTGTGTAGATCTATTTTTATAATGAGTGACGTATAATCTTCTCTTGATAAATTCCATCGAGAGTTAATTAAGGAAAGAAAAATCTTTGACATTTTAAGAGGTCTTTAGGGACTACAGTGACTAGACTATAGATGAATAATTCGGGTAAAGATAACGATGAGCTGGCTTCTGATGGGACAGAGAAACCAAATCCGGTGAAAGTTAGAGACTGGCTTCACGATGCATGGAAGGGGTCTTTTAACTTTTATAGAATACACATGCTCGTTTTTACTATCGCACCACTCATCTTTGGTGCTATCATCTACGCTGGCGATACAAACCACGGTTTCGCATACATAGATACCTTGTTCGTCGCAACTTCTGCCTTCACTGTCACAGGTCTATCTACAATTGAGCTCAGTCATTTTAACGGATTTCAACAAGCTGTACTATTCTTTTGTATGTCAATTGGTTCAGTCTCGACCGTATCAATTGTTATGGTCATCATAAGAAGGTTCGTCGGTTTATATATCACTATCTTTTATTAACAATTTCTTAGATTCTACTTCAGAAAGCGGTTTGAACATGTTATTATGACAGAGAATAAGAGAAAAGCACAGCGAAGACCTTCGTGGTATGAAGTGGCAACCTCTTCAGCCAGAGAAACTGCATCAGGTATTAGATCCCGTTTTAGACAATCATCACAACGTCCTTCAGATCATTCTGAGCGTCCTTCAACTCCAAACAATATATCTCCATCATCGTCATCATCGTCATCTGAATTCAAGACACCTATCAAACCTGCAGGTGGAACCAAATTGAATAGGGTTGCAAGATCACTAGGTATTGGCACATCTGCACATCATGACCCTGATAGCATACCTCCAATCGGTGACAAGCAGAAGAAGAAACGAAGGTTCACACCATCAATGATTCGTCGTGTCGATGCACCAGCTCTGATTAATAGAATGGCACCTGGTGGTTGGATATCTGATAAGGCGTCTGCTAAATCCATGTCACCACCGCATTCACCAATGCAATCGCATCAAGACATCAAGAATCAATACAAGAATGCGGACAATGAACACGCACTCGACACAGACTCAGAATCTGAAGAAGAAGATGCTGAAAAGATGGCTGGACAGCAACAACAACAACAGCGGAAGAGATCTTCAGTTACCTTACAGGCTTCCGGAAGACCATCTAGGATTGGTAGAGGTGAATCATTCGGCTCTAGATCAATAGACAGGCCATCGCAAGATCCACAGCCTCAACCTATTATTGTAGATCATGGGAATTCTCAAGTTGATGAAGAGAAATTTCCACGTAGTGCCACCATTGGATTCCGTGAGCCTGATTTATCGATCAATCGACAAAGGACTGCAGGAACAAACCTTGATAGAAGTAACACCTATCAGTCGGGTAGATCAAGATCTATAGCACCATCAGGATATTTCCCTAGAACTACAACCAAGCCATATTCAACACGTGATAGGAATTTTGGTGGTTTTCCAGGCCCATTGACATTGATAACACGATTCGTCGATAAGATTTTCCCACAATTTAGATCTAGACTTGATAGATCTGTTACTATACCATACACCCACACGTATACTTCACAACCAGAGGGCACAATTGGTGGACTTGGTAGTCGGGGTAAGCACGCACCTTATATCACCTTCGACGCTATCGTTGGGCGTAATTCCGTCTTCAAGGACCTGACAGATGAGCAACTCGATGAACTAGGTGGTGCCGAATATCTTGCTTTGAAAATACTCACAGTTATTCTGATATTCTATTATTTCTTCTTCCAGTTAATTGGATTGACTATTATTGCACCTTATATCAATGAAATTCCAAGATTTAGAAATACGGTTGAAGAGGAGGCACCAAATTTGAATCCAGTATGGTATACTGCTTTCAATACAGTTAGTGCGTATAGTAATACTGGTATGAGTCTTGTTGATAGTTCGTTGCAAAAATTTCAAACGGCTTACGGAATGTACCTTCCTATATCATTCCTAATTTTGCTCGGCAACACATGTTTTCCAATAATGTTAAGGTTTATAATTTGGTTAGGTACGAAAGTAGTCAGAAAAGAATCTCAAGAATATAGGGGATTACATTTCTTGCTTGACCATCCGAGAAGAGCTTTTCTTTATCTTTTCCCATCTCACCAAACTTATTTCCTTTTATCAATGGTCGTCATCATGGTTGTCACTGATTGGGTTTGCTTCCTATTATTGGACATTGGTACACCATCTATAGAAGAAATACCACTTGGTACTCGATTTGCGTGTGGATTTATGCAAGCTACAGCAGTTAGAGCTGCAGGATTTAATATAGTTAATCTCGCAAATCTATCGCCATCAGTCCAATTACTCTATTTAATTATGATGTTCGTATCGGTCTATCCTATAGCTTTGTCAGTTAGAGGTACGAACGTATATGAAGAGATGAGTTTGGGAATTTACTCAAATGATGATCAAAGTTCTGAAGAACCAAACGAAGATAATGTAGACTCTACTGCTTCGCCATCGAGAGGTAAATTATGGGGTAGCTATTTTGGTTGGCACGTCAAAAAGCAACTATCGTTTGATATCTGGTGGTTAGCGTTCGTGTTATTCCTTCTCTGCATCATTGAAAGGGGCAAGATACTCGACGAAGAGAAGAGTTATTTTACAATCTTTAGTATACTCTTTGAAGTAGTCAGTGCATACGGTACTTGTGGTCTCAGTCTTGGTGTCAGTGATAAAAATTACTCATTATCAGGCGAGATGCGTACATTATCAAAATTGTTACTTATGGTTGTCATGATTCGTGGTCGTCATCGTGGATTACCAAACGCTATAGATAGAGCCGTAAGTGTTTACTTTATAAGAAGGTAATATATTAATATTTCCAGGTGCTCTTACCATCTGACCTTCGGGAAACTGATCAACAAATGGCAGATCAGCAATCGCAAGCTGAAGCTTTACGCAGAACTCGCTCAATGGCTACCAGTTTCTCAGCTGCTCGTAATAACACCTTCTATCGTGAACTTGAAAATAACTACCGTGGTCCCCCATTCCCAATGCCACAAAGCAACGAAGAAGACGACAAATTGGCTACTATAAATGAACAAACTCAACAACCAACACCTAGTCTATCACCTGAATCTACAAATGTTGGTTTACCAGCAGATTTATCACCTAAACACGAAAACAAACCTGATATTCCAGCTTTAAGTGAAGAACCAGAGGATAGATCACATTCACCATCACAATCACAGGCTAACAAGGATGATTAGCTTGTCTCTTTTCATATATTTTCTCATTGTTAACTCGCATCAGATATAGGAGCTTTGTTTTAATTTTATTGTTATTATCTGTAATTTGCATTATATATATACTTTTTACAATATTAGTACATTTTTTAATCCATTATTGTCCTTGTTCTGCTTGCTGCTCTTTAGGTTTTTCTGTACCGTCAGTGGAGAACTTCTTTGATTTTGGTAATTCACTTGGTACCTGCTCCTGGTCACCTCCGCCACCATTACGTACCCAAACTTTATGCTTTGGTGTATCATCTGATAATGGTCTATCCAGGACTGACGGAGTTGGCTTAGGTTGATTTCCAAATGTGACGCTCTATAGGGTGTTAGAATGTTAATAAAATTGACAACATACTTACCTTATTTGCAAATCCACCTCTGGCATTACCACGCTGAGAGAATCCACCTCTAGGGGCACCACCACGTCCTCTAAAGCCACCTCTAGCTGGACTACCTCTTGTGCTGACACCACCACCTAATCTCTGTGCAGCCTTCTCTTCTGCTTCCTTTTGCATCTTTTCAAATTGTTCTTGCATGACTTTCGCAGTCTGCATAGTCATGAAGTGTTGTTGAAGTAATTGTCTCTCGAAGTTCGTCCTATCTTGGAAATTATAAGCCTCGTATTGCTTCTTCATTTGTGGGTTAGATTCAAGGAAATTTGTCGTCAACTCTTTTGATAATTTATAAGTTGCTGGGTCTAATCGTGGATGACGTGTTTGATTGTTGTTTTCTTGCGGTCTACGCTTGTTTTGTCTATAGTTATTACCCTGATTAGCTTGGTTGTTACCAAAGATGAGATCGTCCAATGATGCATCAGCTGCAGAACGCTTGGTAGATGTCGAAGGAGCTGCCATTGGTTGGGAAGTCTCCACTTGCTGTGGCACTTCTGTCTGATCCGGCTGTTGGGATTCTGCTTGTACTGGTTGCTCAACTGGTGCAGGTTTTTCCTCTTTTGGCTGTTCTATCTCATTGACGGGTTTTTCAGTTGATTGCTCCTTATTAATTTCGTTGAATATCTGCTGAGTTATTGTGGCATTATAGCGATCACCGATTAAGTCACACATTTCTGATGTTACTTGTTCTAATCAATCGTTAGAATGCTTTATTATTTTATATAGGCCTTCACTCACCCGCGTTCTTTTGATTTGTGATCATTACGACTACATTAGAGTTAGAATTAGCTCGTTATAATAAACTAAACCTACCAATGTATTCAGAAATCAATTGTAAATCTTCATCGCCTAATTGATGTTCGATAAGCACCTTCTCTACGAATTTCTGCAAATCAGACATGATTGATTGTAAGGAAGGACTATTGAAAGTGTAGGGAAGTATAATTATTAGTGGATGATTTTATCATTATTCAATTAATATTCTTTACAATTACAACCATTCTCAGTTCAATTGTTAGTTGGAATTCTGATATATTCCTCCCTGGCCGAATTTAGATGTACGTTACAGTGTAACCGTATGGGTATTCATATATTAATGTACTTAACTGATTTGTAACCAATTCACACTCATATTTGTGGTAACAGTATTACTTGCATTAGTTTATATTCCACTAAGCTATTACTTGTAAACAATCTTATACTACCTGTATTAGTTTATAAATGCTGCTGTATCTTGATATTCCCTATAAATCACCATCGCTATTGGATGATAACCGCTTGCAGTAATGAAAGTGTTATCGTCCAATTATTATCATGTATTGGTAATTTATAGCGCATGTCACAAGCAAATATTCTCTACCTAGGTGTCTTAACCTCTATGAGTGGAACTCAAACATAATTGAATAGCTCAGCGTGATGTGTATGTCGCTATCTATTAATTCTATAAGTAGCTATATAGTCATACACTAATTATGAAGCCTTAGAAACCACTGAAACCAAAATAAACACAAGTATTCCGTTCTTTCTCTTTCGGATGAACGAACAAAGGAGAACTGGCGGTTGAACCCACATATAAAGAGAATGCAAAGAAACGTAGCAAGTTCATAAACACATTTACGGTTATTGGTAATGTTAATTTTATTAATATTTCAAAGTATTCTATACATGTGTATATAAATAAATAAAGTAATGCAGCATCTACTTTGTCTTTTGCTTTTTATTAGAGGTATCAGCAATTGAAGTAAGATTTCGCAATTTTTCCAGATTCGCGGTAAAGAGTTCACCAGTTTTAACATTCTTCGTGTAACCTTCAGGGACATAATTACCTGCAGCGTCAGGTATCTTGAGATGCTCAGCGATCATAGCAGCGATGATGAACTTCGCATTCTTTTTACTACTACCGCAAACATCAGCCACTTTATCTCCATCAACGAAAAGTTGTGCATTCCAATTAGCAACACCTTCTAGATTTCGATCAGCTTCATGAAAAGCCCATTCCATTTTGTTCTTATCAAAAACTTTGTTTATAGCTGTAGCCCAATGTCCCTGTACTTCTGTGCTATTTCTCTCTTCAAATTCCTTCCGGACCGCAGGGAGATGAATGAGGACGAATGGAGCAAGCAAATCTAGTAGCCATTGTCTACTAACTCCAGCTTCCCTATCACGATATACAGCACCGATGTATGCTTCCATTACATCTGCTTTGCATTTCGGTGAACGATGCATATCTTGATTCTTGTAGCTTGTTGACATTCTCAGTTTGGCTGGTAGGCCGTACATATCAGCAAAGTACGCTAGAATGTAAGTGTTTACGAGTTTGTTTCTAAGATGTACCATCCCTGCTGGTCTGAGTTGAGGATACGTAACAAAGATTGCCTCTGTTGTATGTACTTCTAAGACAGCATCACCAAGGAATTCAAGCCTTTCGTTATCGAATGACGCGTATTCCTTTTCGAGAATGTTAGAAAACTACATCAACAGATAAGTGACTCACATCTGGATCTTGCATAGCGTTTAATGGAGGATTCAGTGATCTGTGAGTGAGAACTTCAAACAGAGATTCGTCGGAAAGTGATGGTAAACACGGTGGAAATATTTCTGGGAGCTCAGGACAGCCCTCAATGTTTAATTCTTCAGGTATAGGAAGCCGTTGACCATAATCCAGACCGTACTTTGACATGGATCTACCTTCTACATACTGGGCTGACGATTGAAGAGACTGTATAAACTCACGTTTTGCAGGTTCCGAGTAACTTGATTGCCAATTAAGATTCTTGAGCGGTAAATTAGCATCTACTTCTCTCTTTCTCTTGCCATCACGTTCCGAATCTTTAGCTTTCTTTTTGAGCATCTCCTCGTGCCTCCTTTTGAAGTCTTCTTCGCGCTCTTTAGCTAAATTCTCTTCGATGTTTTCGATCTTGACGTATTTTTTGTACACATCAGGCTTGTCTAGTGCTTCAGATTTATGTGCTTGAGTTTTCTTGGAATTCATATCGATATCATGCGCTCTGTATGATGATTCAGGCATAACTTCGATAGAATCATCTTGTTCTTCCTGCTTCACATCATATCTCTCGTCAGTTGATGATAATCTACCCTCTGATTTCTCTTTAAGCTGACTCGTAGATGATCCATTATTAGATGGTGTTTGCTGTAAGTCTTTAAAATCGATAGCAGAAGTAATTCGTAGAGCTATAACGCTAGAAAGCCATTCTTTGAGTTGATTGAAGCCTTTTTCTTTGTATATGGCGCCAACGAAACTGGAATTTGTGTGAAAAGTAAACACAGGTAGCAGAATACTCACGCTAATAACACATTACTCTTGTCTTCGGTGGATGTAAGTGGTTTCAGTTCTGGTATCTTGAGGTTCTCGGAGACAATAGCAAGCTCTGATACGGAAGTCACTTTATTTGCTACAAGAGTAAGATCAGCTTGGGGATAATTTGAGATTATACTATCAAACTAAACTTATCGTTAGATTACATCTTCAGCGATAAAGCGGACTCACAACAAAAGATTGTAATAGCGACTTCCCAAGACTCATCAGACCTTGATTTGATTGAAGGCATTGTATGACGATAATTGGCGATAAAGGTGGTAACTCTGGAGCCGTCATTGACGACGATGTCTGTTGGTTGTACGAGTCGAAGAAATAATAATAATATAATAACTTCTTTAAACATACTAAAACTAAATATTAAAGCTTATACATTTAACGGTTATTTCAAGGAATGCAATATGAACAAAAATTATTGTTCAAAAAATTGGCAAAAAAAGTCTAACCCCTGACGGGAATTGCACCCGCGACCCTCTGCTGTCCCAACCGGAGGCAGATACGCTAACTTCTACGCCACAAGGGTGAGTTTCCATTGAACTATTTCATTCAAGTGAATAAATATTCTTTAAATAGTTACATTCCTCTTTATTGGAAAATCCAAAAATATCATTTTTAAAAATTTCATACGATTCCGGAATGCCTTGAAATGTAAGAGAACTGCTTATCTAGTTTTATTGTTATGGATGGAACTGATAAATCTAGGGCCACGTTTGGATTAATCCTTACAAACACGGCCGAGCTATCCGCACGCTAGAACTGCTACAGAACAGAATGCTCAGAAAGGCTCTAGGCGCTGTCCGTACCACTCCTATACACATGCTCCACTTCGACACCGCGGTGCTGACACCAACCGAGAGGTTACGCATGAAAGCCGAGGCTTACATGGTAAGAACGCTCACGAGATCTGGCGATCATCCCGCGCGTAACATCGTAACAAGTATTCTGCGTAAACCAAGGAAGAAGTTCACTTCTCCCCTGAACGCAATGGTGCGCAATACACCAATGCTTGAGGGTCTAAAGGAGATGGAAACTATAGTAGCCCATCCTTTCGTACCCTGGGTACCTGCAACACTAAGCTTTTCACGAGCAGAGGATAAAGACCAAGCAAAAGCACAGCACACGGAATTATGTAGACAATACCACAAGTCATGGCACTTCTATACAGATGGGTCATTG